ATTAGAAGAGATCACTGCATTACTTCGCTACGCAAACGAAACAGAACACCTCTGTTAGGATTCCCCGTCGGAAGAATAACAGAACCGTTACATTAGAGTCTGCGCCGCAGCATCTCTGACTTACGTTTTTTGAGTTGATCGCGTTGGAGTTCTAAGCGGTTCAACTTGGCTATAGTTGTAGCTACGACTTCTCGGGTTATTCGTGTCTCGAAGGCAAGACGCTCCTCAGCTCTGTTGAGAACTTCCCATTCATTCTCGGAAAGGCTCACTACATCACATTTGCAACTACGGCGAATATACTCGCTGTATTTCTTTGAACGTTCGTTCAGGACCACGTAGGTCCGGTTATAACGCGCACAATTCGAGCAGCGAGGTATTTCGTTTCCACGGGCTATAATCTGGTCGGCCAGACTATATCGCTCCCTGAGTTTTCTTGAACGTTCAGGTAATATAATGAAGGAAGAAGAAAGCTATACCCGACGTTCGATGTTTTCGATATGACCTTTAAGCTAAGAGACTACGCTAGGCCACATAGGGGATAGTGTTACAAACGCCAACTTTATAGCCTGAAGCTCGGGTAATACGCAGTATCACTACAGAGAACTATGAAGGCATATGACGGGGTCACGTGACAGCAGGTATCACGAGACGAGTGTCACGTGATATGGATCGAAGGGATCGAAGGGATCTTAGGGATAGGATCGCGATCTACTGGATCGGACCTCGACTTTAGATATCCACCCCGATCCAGTAGCAGGAGGATTCTATATAAGTAATATAATTTCCTTACTAGATAGAAGCTTCGTACTCAACTTGATTCTTGAATATCAATTATAACAGTTTACTTTGATTACACTTGACTCCCTCCGTGATTCACTCACCTTGACATCACTTACGGATTATTAAAAGAGATCACTATATTACTTCGCTACGCAAACGAAACAGAACACCTCTGTTAGGATTCCCTGTCGGAAGAATAACAGAACTGTTACACGAAGCTCTTATTTAGTAAAGGAAATTATATTATTTATATAGAACTTTCTTACTTTTAGATCTAAATGAATTTCTAGAATCTTTATAAATCTTTAATAATTCAGCGGATCGCTTAGTAGGCCCTTGATCCAGTTGTCACGTGACTTCGTCACATACTTTTATAGTTCTCTGTAGTAGTAAGTTATACTACTTGAGCTTCAAGCTATAAAGTTAGCGTTTATAACAGTAGTTTTGTGATATTGTAGTAACTACTTGGAAAGTTTATATTTCCTTGATCTGCGGCTATATTATTTCGTTATAGAGGATCTGTAGATTCTGTCTACTAACTAAAAGAATAAAGTTTTCGAGTCTCCGTAGAAGTTGCTAGGTAATCTTGGCTAACTAGCTTTTCGAAGTACTTTTATTAGTTTTCTCAAATAACTAGAGAACAGTTTCTTTGTCTGTAGTTAAGAAGTACTCATGTTAATAAGAGTTTAACAGGAAGCTACTGAGTTCTTTATTCCCTAAATCTTTTCGATTCTTTTACGTAGCGTTAACTAAGCGTTTATACGATGTTTGGAAATCGTTTAGAGCGCGTTTGATATCTGTATTGTGACTGCTTTCGAGCGGTGCTGATACTAGCCGGACATTCTAGCTAGTAATAAAGTAGGCCTTGTTTCTATTGTTACTTCTAAACGTTTGCAGAATGACGGGGAAGCGATATGAGGGTATGAGGGAATCGCTGTGTTTATTGCTACTTTTGATTTTATGACGGGAGTTTAAGTAGATCCGCAGCTCTTTATAGTTGTTTGTGAGGTATAGACATAGGCGACAGCTGTACTTTTGGATCGTCCTGAGGTCTGCAAAGTGGGATATATATGGAGCTGGAACTAGTACTGCAGCTACTTCCTTCAGGTTTGTAATTCCAAGGGTTTCTAGCTTGCCTAGTAACTGCCCTGCAAACGTTTTGCGACTGGCAGTGCTTGTAACATGCTACGTCAGGTGCTGCTTGATATTAGGAAGACTCCCAAGCCTATGCTGGCATGCCTGGCAGATAATGACATGGAAATCCCGGCTGTATACAAGTGGTGGTAGGAGGGCTTCCACTTCTGCGAGGGTGGCGGATGGGAGGGCTTTAGATGGCATCTTGAGAGTAATTTCGAGCTGTTTGTCAATTGTTTTTAGAAGCCTTGAAGAACCTGTTCTAGTCTTATACGGATATCCCCCTAGATCTTCCCTCCGATGTCCTAATTAGAACAGAATATGAGTCTGAATGGGGGTTTTCCTTGTCTATGTCCAACCACCCACTTTCTGGTATTGTACCGGGATAGAAGTAATTGAGATCAAGACGTAATACCCGACACAGATCTGCACAAGTCTCCACAATAGACCGCCTTGGCGCTGTCAGCATCTCCGCTCACGTCGCGTGAGCAGCTTTTGCTTATATAACATCTACTGTGTAACATCGTCCCGAAGCTCAATGTATCCACTTATGCCCGCTCGCGGGGAACGGGTTTGTCATGTAAGTTGACGTTTATCATTATAGCGGACATGCGGCTCTGTAGCTACCGCACCGACGTTGGTGGTCGGTCGTTCAGAATACGCACTCTGCGCTTGATAGAGCGAGTCAGCGTCTAGAGTTGAACCGCTTCCCATTTACTACCGTGTATCTGAGTAGATATAAAAGAGCATTTCTCGTCTTTCATCTCGTTCAGTAAGTGATTATTTACCATCAGATCAAGCACCGCATCCTGTCAATCCTAGATTTTCCCCTTTCTTTATCCATGACTAAACTCATCACCATCATTGGCGCCACGGGCATCCAGGGCGGCTCTGTCGTGGAAACGCTGCTCAAGAATCCAGCATATTCCATACGGGCCATCACGAGGGACCGAAACGGCAAATCCGCCCACGCTCTCGCCGACAGGGGCATCGAGGTAGTCGAAGCAGACCTCAACAACGTGGAGTCGCTGCATGCGGCGTTCGCGAGCAGCCAGGCCATCTTTGCCATGACCAACTTCTTCGACGCCCTACCCAAGCTTGGTGTCGAGAAGTGCATGGAGATTGAAACGCAACAGGGCATCAACCTCGCCAACGCTGCGAGCGCCACCCAGTCCCTCGAGCACTTTGTGTGGTCCACCCTGCCCAATTCGCAGCGAATCAGTGGTGGTAGGGCCGTGGTCCCGTACTGGCACAGTAAAGCCAGGGTCGATGAACACATTAAGTCGATCCCGATGCTGCTCCAGAAGACGACCTTTGTCTGGTTTGGCTGGTATGCCAAAAACATGGAATACCCCTGGTATCAGCCCTCTCCCGTACACCAAGGTGGCCCAGAGAAGCATTACATCCAGCTGCTAGCATCGCCATCTTCAGTGAGAGTCCCGATGGTGGGCGATGAGAGGACCAACATCGGACTCTTCGTCAATTCGATCCTGGAGCAGCCGGAGATGACACTCCCTGGCAAGTATGTCCTCGCTACGGCTGAAGACATGTCCTTTGCGGAGATCGTGTCTGCTTTTGCGGCTGCCAAGGGCTTGGGCGTGGTGCAGCATGTGCGAGTTACTAGAGAGGTCTATATCAAGCTCTGGCCCCTTTGGGCAGACCTGATGGATGACACTCATTTGTACTTTGAGCTCATGGCGGACAAGAGCTTCAGTGGGGAGGAGGCTATCTTGACAGTGAAGGATCTTGGAGTCGAGGGATTAGTCGGAAGCGCAGAGGCATTTAAAGCACTGAAATTGATAGGCTAAGATAGAACGATGAGGAATGCTTTCCTAGACCTTATGTAGAGATATCAACCCACCTTGCCAAAAGGGTTATATGATCAGCCAAAACTTTGTAAACTGTAGCTCCCCGTCCCACAAACCATTTCGTTGCTGATTTTGTCCTCGACCACGGTAATGCACTCCTTCGGCCCAACGAGGATGCCGATTCCAAACGGGTGATTGGCTGTGCAGATGAAGAACCTACACGCGGGCTCAATTGATAGCAGCTACCTGTGGGAGCTACATGGAAATATCAGCAGCCATCAGTACGACAGCTTTTAAGTTGCCTTCAAGCCCACCATGTCGTCTCGAGGACCTCAAAAGATATAAGGAAGACGCTTATAACCCCAAACCACTGTATGCTTCAACCGTCTCCACCCCTTTGCATGCGACCAACATCAATTTCTCAAATGACTCTACCTCCCTCGGGGCACAAAGCCAACGATTGGTGAATTCACTGTACGCCACCGTCTTGTTCGGATTGGCAAGCTGAAGATACCCATCCTGCGAGATCCAAGCGGTCGATTCGGAAGACACGGGTAACATTTGCAAGGTGGGAAACGCCAGGCAGATGCCGCGAGTCAAGATCGAGTAAACACCACAGAGCATAAACGTGATGAGAACCGTCCGGCGAGTACACTCTGCCAGAATCCAGCTATGCCAATCGAGCTTGCCGTCTCGAATATCGGATTGAGCTCGCTGGAGGAGACGCAGAGCCCGCGTCATCAGCAAGCTCTCCTGCAATTCTGCCATAACTCGTTGCTCTACTCCGCCATAGAACAGCCGTATGATATGATACAACACGAGCGCCTGCAGTTTCGCCAAGTTTTGGATCACGTCTTCATCTGGGAGCTGGAGAATCTCGAGTACTTCTGCATCCAAGACCTTGAAAATCATTGACCGATTATCTTTGTTCATCGACCTGCATGCAGCAGCGGAAACAGTAAAGGCTGCTCGCACTGGCCGTGGTAATGCACCAAGATAGAGCTGCTCGTGTAGGAAGATATTGTTCCCTCTTCGGGAAAATTCCTCTGGGCAAGCTTTCAAGTGTGCAATCACCCATTGCCAGGTTTGTGTGTTTCCCATCAAGGGTTGTAAGTCGCCGAGAGGGCCTAGCAGGTTGGGTATCATAATACTCATCACCTCCAGCGAGATCACTTGTGAAGGCGTGGGTTGAGCCAGGTTGAGATCGAGACTCTCGTGACCTAAGCCTAGTTCTTGCTCAAGAAATTGATCAACATCATCGGAGACGTAGCTAGTGAATAAATCAGGGAATGCTCCTTGGTCAGGGGCAGGCTGGTAGACAGCAATACCGTTTCCTACTTCCTGGAAAAATGGCGTTGCATTATCAGCAGATTCAGGTGGTGGAAGTGGATAGTGGCAGAGCTTGTTGAGCCTCTGGCAGGTCATGCAGACGGGAGACGAGCGATCGCACTTTTGACGCCTTTTGAAGCATGCGTCGCACGACCTTCGACGAAGTGACATGTTGTTACTTATTAGTCTGTAGTCATTAGAGAAGCCAGTAGAACGTGGGGTTTCCTTTCCAGGCGACAAGAAAACAGCGAGGTGTTCGGCTTACAAATCTTTGGTACAGCACGGATATTCGGCTTGGAAGCCGCCGCAAGCGTCGGGTAAAGAGAAGTCGATACTACACTACATGTATTTACAGAAGTACAACTTATAAATATAGTAATAACATTAATATGGAAGTTTTAGTAGTTTTATTTTATTTAATTTAATTAAATTAATAGTAATTTATTAAATTAAAAATACTAAAATATTAAAATATTAATATATTAAAATATTCTATATAAGAAAAAGTGATATTATATATTTTTAGGACTATATTAAATATACCGAAGAATATTACAAAATTCAATTTCATATAGTTTGTTTAATTAGAACGTAGTCGGAGAGGAGAGCGCAGCTCTTTAGAGAGTAAGCTGCTCTTTCACCGAAATCCCTCGCACCGGAGCGCGCTTTAGTCAGCGGGTCGCGCACCCAACCAGCGCGTTCCTCTTTCACCGGAAAGCGGGGCGGGCCGGGGGGCGTGCACCCAATCAAGGCGCGCGCGCAGTCCTCTTTCACCGAAAAAGGGGCCCCGCATAAGAGGTAGGAAGGTCCTGGGAAAAGTTCAAATCTAGGCAGCGATCTTGAACTTCACCGGATCTATGCCGATCAGCTCTCTTGATACTTTTCCGCTTCGTCACCACCTCACAAGAGAGGCTGTTGAAGACGAACTTGCAGAGTGTAGCTATAAGTATTACTCCTTAGCTGGAGTCCGGCATCAGCAATATAAAGAGAGAGCTTTTTAAATGAAGGAAGAGAAAACCGTCGAAATTTCTGTCAACAGCAGAATCATAATAAATTGAAAAACTGTTCATAATCGTCGTTAATCTCCAAAAGGTCGGCTTGAATGTCTTTGAGCCAAGGTCCGCCAACTTCCCCCCAAACCACATAGCACTCCACTGCTACTGCCCGTCCTTTCCTTCGCCCTATACCCGCCCGTCAAGATGCGCCCGAATGCTATACCCCTTTGACAGCGAACTCGACCGTTGACGATGTTGGCGAAGAGGAATGGCCGTAGTGTTTGGTTTTATTCTTTGGGTCTTCCTGGCCGGTTTGCAAAGTAATATCCGTAGTCCTAAGGATGCGATTATTATTCAAAGCATGAATATTAATTTCGCGTTCCTCGTTTGCGGAGACGATTCCAGTGTCCTTCGTGTGGCTTCCAACAGCATTGAGCTCTAGATCATATGTACCCTTCTTGCCGATATTGTAAGCTGTGCTCTTTTGCGAGGGACCCAAAAGATCTTTAAGCTGGTTAAGGATATTGAATTCAACCTTGAGCTTCATGCTGTAGGCCATCCCTTTAAAGCTGCACCAGACGCCCCAGTAACCAAGAAACTCCAGAAAAAGGACGATAATATCCATTATGACGATAAAAATGTTAGCGATAATGAGATCTCTCATGACTTTTTTAGCGTTCGTTCTCCAAATCATTTCGTTATTCTTGAGAAGCTTCCGCGTCTCAAATATATATATGGCGGAAATGATACCTTCCTGGATACCGAATACCACCACGCCAACTTTGTCTATAATAGTAAAGGGTTCATATGAAGATACGGATCCAGTTGAAACTCCCTATAGAACTGATTAATAATATGTTAGTAGTAATTAAAGATATTAAGAACCTTACCACAGTCGAGAGAGCAACTTCAGTAAGTGAACAAGCAATAGCATTAAAAATGATCATACCCAAGACCCATCTTAGTACTCGGGGATTGCGAAGTACAAGATGAAGCCGAGACCATAAAACCACAGATTGGGCAGTAACCATAACCGCCCATCCAAGAGCACCACCCGTATTCACAACATACGTATTCCAAGGAGTAAGAATCATAAGAACGATAAAGGTCTGATAGAAAGCGATTCCTAATGTTGCGACGATCAAACTGTAGAAGTAAACACCAGTATAGCGTTTAAACACAATAAAAATACGACCAAAAACCTCAACACTATTATACATAGCAATAGCGGAAAAGCCAATGAAAATAAACACAAGGGCAACAGTGTCCAGGGGACCGAACAGTAGACCTGGCGGAGATGACATGATGAAGGTGGTCTAATCATATAACAAAGTTAGCAGAGGAAGGGCAAATAATTAATATAGGCATAAACTGACCTATAAGCAAAATTGTGTCTTGCAGAACTAAAGGCTCATGTGTTTTTATCCTCTAGAATACTTTTGGTGGGCGACACTGGATAAATATAAAGGTACAGTTGACGTGTTCCCGGGAATGGTTCTCCCCGCGCGCTTTGTGGCGCAACAGAAGCTGAACACCACTACGCCCCCTAAATACTTGTAATCGCTGTGCGAGAGCAACTAGGCCACGACAAGTACGAAAATACGAGATACGAAGAACGACGACTTTAAAACCTGACCATTTGTACGGAGAAGGTCGTGGCAAGAAGTAACTAGGCTGCTAAGTCTTTACGATACAATTACCTAGATAAGTTGAGTAATTTTACATACAATCATTCAAACTGCCTAAGTAATTATATCGCCCAATTACTTAAACTACAGTATCTGAAACATTGTATCCTAAACGCCTAGTAGTCTAATTGGTCGGATTTCAAAACCGCGGTCCTTTGTAGTTAATGGAGGATCGTTTTGCCAGCGGCTTGTAGTGTTTTACAATATCGCGTCACAAAGTCACTTTGGGGTGGGTATCTCTACTGCTTTAGTAACAAACTCGAGTAAAATCGGAACATTATACTCCGTAGGTTCGAACCTGTAGCTAATAAATAGGCACCTTGTATATAGATACGAAGGCCTGTTTTACATGCAACTTAAAATCCCTTCCAGCCGTGCTACTGTATTGAAATAAGCCTCCGCCCGAACCTCCACAGTTTTACCAAATTAAAATAAGCTTCTGCTCGAACTTCACACAGTTTTACTCTATTAAAATAAGCTTCCGCTCGAACCTCCACCTTCGCTCGAACCTCTCCACCTTCGCTCGAACCTCTCCGCCTTCGCTCGAACCTCTCCACCTTCGCTCGAACCTCTCCACCTTCGCTCGAACCTCTCCACCTTCGCTCGAACCTCCACCTACTACTCCGTACGCAAACGCTAGAAGCTCTATACTGCTGCGGCTGTACAGGTACGTTCTGTTGTACCCGCTAGCCTGATCAGGTGGGAGAGGGGGGATTGGCGCCGGCCTCAGGCGAACGGGTATCTCAAGCGAAAGGTTTGAGACGGTTCGTGCGCGACGTGCCCGGCATAAAGCTCAATGACGCGTTGATGGTAATCGTAGCCCGATTAGTACCGCGAAATGATTAGTTACTTATGGCGAGTCGAGATGCTACTGCATCGTATCAAGGTTGATCACGAATGTCCGTCGACCTTCGTCGATAATAGCCACCAGCATTCCTATTTTGGACATTCCTGGTCTTCACCTGGGTGACTAGTCGTCGTTCTTCTCGAAGTGACAGTCGTCGCCCCTGACCGGTCACCTACTTTCGAAAGGTGACCAGTCAGAGGGCGACGACCAGTCATCCACTTTCGAGAGGTGACCGGTCAGAGGGCGACGACCAGTCACCCACTTTCGAGAGGTAACCGGTCAGGGGCGATGACTAGTCTCGAAGTGACTGGTCGTCGCCCTCAGACTGGTCGTTGCCCTCATTTATTTATTTATTAATTCATAGGCTGTCCCAGCCGCCCTTGTGGCGGCTATGCAGCGTACGGCTACAAATACAAGTGCTCCCACTTTCCGTTTCCAGAGAATAAGCCCTTCCTGGACAGAATTGCTTCCCTTTCTATCTCGACGCAGTTACACCTCTACTAATAGCCTTACTAGTTGTTCTGTATCTATGACTTGTCAGGCCTTTCCTGGCCCTCCTTTACTTCTATGTACTAGTTGTCACTCGTCTACGCTACGTATATTTGAGTACTGTGGACGGGACTGCCCGGAATTGCTCAAGGAGCCTTGTCCGGAGGGTCATCTTTGCTGCTTGTACTGCCGTTGTCGAGCTACAGAGAATGCGTTTGATGTCCACACAAAGACGCTTGCCTGCCCACATCTTGTGTCTCTCCTCTACCCAGTCCCTGCATTCCAGGAGGATGTGTCGTACGGTCTGGGATCACCGAGCTGATTGCTCTGTGCGTGCCTATATGTGTGTCGAGTATCGCTTTTCCTGGACGTACTCCAAGTTTGAAGAGCTCTCTGCCATGCTTGGCCGTTTCCCAGGACAACTCCCATTCGTCTCTCATGGTTTGACGGACGGTGGGTTTCGTTGTTGCCGTCAAGATCCGTAAAGAGTCTGGCTCTGGCGGCGGTTCAGCATGTGTTCGAGAATCCGGGTTATAGCCAGCGGCTTCCTTTGCTGCTTGGTCCGCCGCTTCGTTGCCTGGCACTCCGACATGTGCTAGGACCCATCGAAATTCAACCTCCCATCCTAGACTCCGGAGCTCGTTGAGTAATTGTATGGCCTCAATAAGGATGTATTGCCCGGATGGACACTTGGGATTCTGTATTGCTTGAATAGCGGCCTGGTTGTCGGTGAAGATGGCGCATTTGCTAGGGGTGATAACTGTTGCATGTATGTCGAGTGTCATCTGCAGTGCTAATGCTAGTCCTTTTAGCTCTGCTGCGTATACTGTGGAGGCGGTTGCTGTGCCCATGTATTCCGTCCGTCTAGTGCAGATGCGGCTGATCTGTAGCGCCGGTGCTAATGCAGCTGCGCCGACATGACCATTAATCCCGCTTCCATCGGTATAGATACATATCGTTCCTGGCTCTGCGGTATCGTGTTGTTTGATTGCTGCTTCGGCGGATTCGGCAATAAAGACGGACGGTGGAATCCACCATGGCGGCACAACGTGTTGTTGGCGTTTCTCGATTCGGTCGAGTTGCACATTGTACTTGCGTTCCAGGATACTCGAAAATTGATCGAGGGGACTCTGCGCGCTACTTCTCCGGGGGGTCCTCCTCGGAACTCTGTTGTTGTCCGCCGGTGAGGCCATGTCTTTGTGAGAGGGCGTAGACCTGATACGTATTGTGGCTTCCAGGGCTGTTTGCTCGAGTTGCTGTGGTGCTGGGAGCAGATGTGCCTCCACATCGACGGCAGCTCCAGCAGTTGTCCGGAAAGCTCCGGTGATAATCTGTGCTGCCCGTTTCTGTATTTTTGCGATAGCAGCTACTATGGAACTGCCTCTGCCTGCTCGGCCACTCCCAGGGATGTGCCATGCAGAACAGCCATAGAGCATCTGGGGTACAACCATCGCTCTATATACATGCCGGAGGTTGATTGTTCCGGTACCCCACGATGAAGATGCTAGGGCTGACAGGGCGGATAGTCGTCCTGTAGCTTTTGCTTCTACTTTCTCGCGGTGGTAGTCCCAGCGGAGCTTGGTGTCCATTTGAATGCCTAAGTATCGGCATGATGGGGAGGCCTGGATCGTGGCATGTGGTAGGCGGAGAGCGTGCGTGCTATTCGCTTTGGGGTCTCTGGTAAAGTGTACGAGCTCGTACTTCGCCGGCGCAAATTGGGAGCCATGCCGCAATGCCCATTCCTCGGCTTTCCGGTGGATACCCTTGAGGGTCTTGCAATTGTGTTGTGCTGTCGCGCCCACAGCTAGGATAGAGGCGTCATCAATATATCCCACTGCCTCCGTGTCCTGCATCTTGCATATCTCAATGAGGTCCGCGTTGTAGAACAGGTAGAGGATCGGCGAGACAGGCGATCTTTGTGGGATTCCTGTTTGGATAGGTGCAGAGGGTGCCGTGTATTCCTGAAGCTTAAGTGTGGTGGACCGGTCATTCAGAAAGGACTCCGGACGAGTGTCTGGTTGACCCGACGCTTCTGGAGGTTGTGTAATAGCCGTTCCCGAGAGACATTGTCGTATGCTCCCGACACATCAAGTAGAAGTAGCGAAGCCACTTGGCTGTCGGTCCATGCTTTATGTATCCGCTGGGGGAGAAAGTGCATAGCGTGTTCAGTCGATGCGAGTTTCCTCCCCCCGGTGTGACGGCTTGGGAGGAGGTTGTGAACGTCGGCAAGGTAGGCTAGCCGGCTGGCGATTATGGCTTCTAGTACCTTCCCTAGCGTGTTAAGGAGAGCAATTGGCCTATATGACTTGGGTTGCGTATAGTCGTCCTTGCCCTGTTTCCGGAGCACTACTGTGATTGTCTCTTTGAAGTGTGTGGGGCAATAGCCCTGCTGAAGACATGCGTTAAAGAGCTTGCAGAGGCTTGGGAGGAGTATATTGAGCGTCAGTTGTAGGACGCCGTTAGTGATGCCGTCAACGCCTGGGGCTTTGTTCGGAGCTGCCCTGCGTACTGCTTTCTCAATCTCCGGTATAGTGATGTCTGGGCACTCGATTGGTGGAGGGTATTGGTATCCTTCGATGTCGGAGAGATCGGCGTTGAGTGGAGGCGGGAAGAAGGATTGGCGTAGGATCTCTGCCTTCTCGTCTGGCTGGTGGGCGAGCTCTCCGTCTGGTTTTAATAGTGCCGGCGTGCAGGCGGATGATATAGTGTGCCTGTTCTTGGCCCATTTGAAAAGGTTCCAAAGGCCTGGGTTGTGATGCCGATGCATCTTCTATTCTCTGACGATGAGTATTCCGGAGGATGTTTCGGATATGACGACCCTTCCTGTTGCGCGCCTCTCGGTAGGCCTCATAATCATCCTCTTGCCTTGTTCGTTGCCATCTTCGGCGCAGCTGTTGGACCTCTGTGCATATGTCCTTGCACTCTTGATTGAATCCTGAGACAGAGCGCGGTGATGGTTGGACCATGGCGTTGCTACCTCTATACCTGCATTAATGGCCCTGATAATCGAGTCCACGTATTCATCAATGCTCGTCCTGTCCGTTAGCTCTGTGGCATACAGTATTCGAGACAGCTGCTGCTCAACTACCTGCCGGAGACGCGGTATGTCTGTCTTTGTCCACATTCGTTTCCTTGATAGGTCGGCATGTCGCGGGGTCCAGTCAATAGCTACGGCGATTGGCAGATGGTCAGAGTCATGGTCTAGGTTTGTGTCGATTCTGCAGTGGATCAGCCGTGACGCCACATCATCTGAGCCAAAGGTTAAGTCGATTGTTGATTCACCCTCATTCCACCTATGTGTTGCAGTGCCAGGGACTGTGAGTAGCTGTAGTTCGGACACCTCTATAATTGTGAGTAGAGACTGAGCGGCCGAAATCCCGTTATTATTGTACCGATGTGTTGTTGACCAGAGTGGATAGTGTAGGTTGAAATCCCCGAGTACGAGGAGTCTCTCGTGAGAATCTACCTTGGCAATAGCTTCTTCTAGGTCGGAGATAGTTCTAGTTCCGACCTCGTTATAGACATTGAAGACGCAGATCTTGCTGTTTGAGCCTGGGCTGGTCATCTCCAGAGAGGTGATGTCCTTGGAAACGTGTTGCACGTTCCAGGTGCTCGGGTCGATCCGTTTATTGATGTAGAAGCATACTCTAGTTTCGGCGTCGTCACAGTAAGTCAGCTGGTAATGCGTTTTCAAGGGGTGGTAAGTCGTAGCGGTAAACGGGTTTCGCCAGGGTTCTTGAATTGCTAGAATATCGTATTCCAGAACCTTCTCGTCACTGAACAGGCTGGCTAAGACGACATCTCTTGACTTATGAACGTTATACTGCAAGATTCGTAGTTCACGGTGTGCCGTCATAGATTAGGGGTGGCGGTGGCACTATGTATGAGGGACTGGCTCCGAGTTGCCCTAGCACTCAATCGAGAGTTCGAAAGATTCGGTATTGGCTGGGAGGTCTCGCTTTGAGGTTGTCTATAAGTCCAACTAGGGGCACTGGTAGAGCGCTGTCCTCCTAGTTTTCCGATGTTGATCCTGAGGTTTTTGTCGTTGCATTCCGTCTTGATCAGATACTTCCGCAGGTTCGGCGTTGTGGGAAAGTCCTTGCCACAATAAGGGCATATCTTCATGCAGCTAACGATGTTGAGGTTGGCATTTTGAGTCGGCCAGTTGTCATACATATCCTAGTGCTGGGGACATCTGCATCCCTTATAAATCCCTCCTTGAGCTGTACGAGTATCCGTCGCTAAAGACGTTGGTGGAGAGATTGTTGTTCCTGATATGTTGTGCTGCAAGTCGTCGATGTTATTACTTGCCAAGTTCGCTAGCTAGAGGTCTGCATCTATTGAAAACTCTCCTTCTATTCCGTCCGGGAGGTATAGATTTGTTTGAGATGGCTCGCTATCTAGTAGCGCGAATTCGGCGGTCTCTCCGCTCCGCATGTCTTCTTCTGCTTGAGCGCGGGTGGACAATCCCTCGGTTGTTATAGTATGTGGATCGGCTATTAGTTGTTGCGGTGTAGGCTCTTGTTGTGTTGCTGGTGTTGCCCAATTCTCTGCGATTGACTGATCGAACGATGTACGTCTTGCTGTGATCTCTGGGAGTACTTGAGCTTCTTAGGTTGCTTGATATACCGTGTACCTTGCATCTATGCCTTCTGGTACTGTAGAAGCTGTGCCTATCTGTGTCACTGGAGGGCGTGGTCTATCGGCTGCTCCTGCATCAAGTGTAAGAGTGGGAGTGTCCGGAGAAGGGGTTGGGGCTTCTGATATTTGGATCGTTTGACTAGCTCTAAGATTGCGTGTATAGCTTGTCCGAGTGTCGTTGGCCTTAGAAGTGTCGTCTCTCGAGGGAACATGCTAGTAGATGTCCCGGATCTGCTTAGCTTACTCTACTCTTCCTATCTCTTTCTTTCTTGCTAGGCAAGCGTTGCTCTATACTGTGTGGGCACCTCTACAGACTACACATCTGGGAGTGAACCTTTCCACTCCCTAACGTTAGTTTTTGGAGATTACAGTGTAATCTTGATATTTTTGTATATAATAATAAAGTGTAGACTGTGTGCAGAGTACAGTGTAATCCAGTTAACCCCAACTTTACAAATAAAAGAAGTTTTCATCACCTAATTGCCACATGGCCGTAACATGGCCGTACATTGTTAAGCCAGAACTGGCGGCATTTCCACGATTCTATTCTTAGAAACTTCAGCGCCAAATCTGGCTGACATAGTCTGTGCTCATAATTATCCTCTGGGGAATGAGCGACACCGATTTTGCAAGCGACTGTACAGTAGAGTATACAGAGAAAAGAAGTATAAGCTAAAAGTAAAAAGTCGGATATTTGTCACACAGAAGAAGTATTTCCCTAGATAGCCGATTTTATTAGTACTACTTTTCGCTTTAATTTAATCGGAAGATATCGGAAAACAGAATTTTCCAGCTAAGAATAAATAACTATAAATATTTTTAGTTATATATTTGATAATTATAAATTTTATTAGAATTTTATTAAAGTTATTATAATTATATTACTATAAATTAAAGTTTTTGATTATTTAATTAGAAGAAATATTAATTTATATAATAATAATATATATTATAATACTAAAAATAACTTTTTAATATTATAAGAAAATTTAATAATCTATATTTAATTATTTTATAAATTTAAAAAATAGAAAAAATTTAATAATAATATTATAAATTGAAAAATTTATTATAATATTAAAGAAAAACTTTTATAAATTCAAAAGAATAATAAGAATATAATTATAATTTTCGGAATTATATCATAAACTGACAATTAATTTTAACAGTAACAAATAATAAAAGTAAGATTTTATTCGAAATGTAGTAGAAGAAATTAAAAGTAAAGACAGGACTAATACTCTGCTGGCGCGTGCACTCACCAGCAAAGCATACAACAACAATTTACCACCTCGCACTATACCGACTCCTCCAAGCAATCTATAGCACAACACTATCGACCTCTAAGCAGCAATCTCAAACGCTTTGAAGACTTCTGGAATATCCGCTACAACAGATCCGTTCTGTGCAAACCCAGCCAATTCTTCAACCAGACCATGGTCCATGTCGACAATGTTGTACTTCTGTCCATCACCAAGGAACAACACATCCGGCATCGTTGAAGTGCAAGTCCCCGGTGCCGATGAACAAGCACCTTCTTGAGCCCCCCTCTTGTTCGAGCGGAAGCCGTAGCCTGCACCGGTGTAAGGTCCTGAATTAAGACACTTTTCGGTGCCGCCAAATAAAGTGTCGATGGTCTTCACTCTGGCACAGTTACCACCCTCGTGTCCTCTCAGCTCGAGGAACCAGTTGGTCGGGACAGCGTAGAATATGATACTACCGAATGTTCCGGAGGGGATACCGCAACATAGCTGTGGAAGTACGTTAGAAATTGTGTGGTTTAAGGGGGTGCCGAGTTTATGGAAGGAGAGAATGTTTACATTGGGGTTTAAATTTGTGCAAACCCAGCCTCCACTGCGGGAATCACAGCCGTTTCTGATTCTGAGACCGACATCAATTGCTGAAACCGATGCTGTAAGACCGAGAATAATGGTGAGGAGTTGCATATTGAAGTTGATTTATAATTGATTCTCGAAACGGGGAGGTTCGGTGGCAGTTGAAGATCGATGCAATGAAGCTTGAGAAGATGGATGCGATGAAGAAAGAAGTAATATTGTTGCAGATTTCCTCATCTTTATACAAGTTCTCGGTGTCGAAAAGCAGTTGTTTCTTGAAAATTTGTCAGATCCTTTCTGTCGCATCATACGTCTGTTCGTACAAATCAGCACAATAAATTTCAGTACATTATTAAAGCGCGCAAGTAAGACTGAAAATTTGTCTTGTCAGATCCTTTCTGTCGCATTATACGTCTGTTCGTACAAATCAGCACAAGAAATTTCAGTACATTATTAAAGCACCCCCTACTTACACGGTGCTATGTATTCTATAGGTCTCGCTAGTGAACACAAGTGAGATAAGCACAGTATCTCGATTTATTGGTAAGACAGATGGGCCATAGTGCATGTTTATTACTGTATTTCAGCAGTCAGCCGTAGCCGCCCGAGTGTTTTACCGACTCGTATTGGTCCAAGTATAACACGCGATAGCGCGCGCTCCAGAAAGTCCCCATGTAGCAGCAAAGGCCCCGGAGGGCCACCAAGGGGAGCTGTACGCCACGTGCAACGGTGGCGCCGCAGCCGAGCATAGGGCGTGCATCGTGTCGACCCCAACACACTACCCCGGAGGGACACCTTTGAGAGAGCGCAGGCGTAAATGACGGCCTATCGTGAATTGATTTGCGCTCAGAGAGCGGCGGTTATAGTTAGGAAAAGGATAGGGTAGTAAGCTTGAATCCTATTCAGGTTAGTATCTCGTACTATCCTTTTCTAACTCTATAAAGAACGTGAAATATAGAAGTATACAGAGGGAACCGCAACGACCCAAAGGCCGACAGACGCTCAGACGTTCACCCAACAAGGGCTACTGGACACTTCCCGAAAGACTACTTCGTAGCAGTAAAGGCACAGAGACAGCAGCTGAGCCGAGGGAGAGTTCTATGAGTACTACTTTATTCTAGGACGAGATCTTGTCAAACAAGTTATCTGTCCTCTTCAAGGATTTAATAAATAGTCCTATGAGTAACAGAGGAATTAGTTCTCTGTATTTCACTTATTCGTCTATATACGAAGTATAATTGACAAGTATCTACATCGTCCAAGTACTAACATGAACTTCTCAACTCTTTCTTCGAAAAGTCGTTTCGTAGAGTATATAGTTATATAGTATGTCAATTCAGCTTTGATAAAAGTTTTCTTCACCGATAATAAATAAGCCGAAAACTATAGAATATACTGATATTAATTCAGATATTTCCGAAAGACTTTTGATTGAATCTTTACAAGTCCGAAGTTTTACACGAAAAAGAACTCAACGTCTAAGAACGAAGTCAGTTTATATATTAAATTAATTTTCTACTTAATTCTAAAAGACGTTAACTTTGATAAAAAGTAGTCAAAGTAAAATTAAATAACTGATTTAGATCTATTAAATATAGCAAAGATATCGTCTATATATCGCAAATAAAGAATCAAGTTGTCTTTTAGTTTATTTTATAATCGTATAATTAATTTAATAAATTGTTCTTTAAATTTAAAACTAACATTTGTAAATGTAAAAGTATATAATGTTTTTATTATAATACTATTAATTTGGAAATAATATTTATTATAGAATCTAAAACAGTTGTAAGTTATAATAGTTTCTAGAAAGTTTAGAATCTGTCAATAATCTATTCTGTCGCTACTATTGTAATCAGCTAGAGTTTATTGTAAATGATCAATAGTTTCCGTAGTTAGAACGTTAGTATAAAAGGATTCTACGTCGCTTATAACAATCTAAATATTTCCGACCGAGTAATAGTTTGTTCTTTTAATCGAGAAATAACTTCCCTAGTTGAATCTACAACTTAGAGTATCTCCTTCTTGTAGAATATCCGAAAAGTGAAATTACAGATTTATAAGTTATATCTTATTACTTAGGAGTAACTAGGAACGATAAGACGAAGAGTCTACAGAGTTTTATGTACTTTTAGGATAGTATAGAATTCTGGGATAGTATTTTCATCGTTAGATACGAATAAGTATTCAGAAACTTCGTCAGAAAAGAAAAATGACTTTGCGATTTCAATAATCCGTTCGAGAACTCTGTGATAGTATTGTTCTATAACATCTTTATGAGTGATGAATTTATATATCTTAGTATCGGACAATATATGTTCATAGTAATATAGATATTATAGTTTCGAAATAGTAGCTAACTCGAGGTTTTTATCGGTAATCTTCAGTAAGAACTTATTCGACTACTAGAAGTCTTTGATAGATTTTATATCTAGATTGAATATATGAATTACGGAAGAGTTTAAGTCTGTTGTCTTTTCGAATAGTAAGTCCTTTCCTTTGCGTAATCCTTTCTCGATTGTATCGTTCTATTCCTCGGGTAAAGGTGTCCACGACTTTTTAGTTACATAGAATTTCGATTGTTCACGAAGAATTAAACGAAATAACTTATATTATAATATTTTATAATTAATATTTAATTAAACTACTTTTATAAAAGATAATATTAGTTAGAATATATTTTACTATAAAGTAAAACCAATATTTATAAGATTTAATACAATAGCTTTATAATAATAGGATAAACTAACTTTACACCTTTCACTTCCCCTTTCCACACTTCCTTTATCCCATCCTCGACGGCGGCTAGCCCGCCTCTTCTCTCCTCCTTCGGATAAGGCTCAATGCGACCCTCATCTAGCAGACGTTGCGCAACCACATACCAAGCCTCCGCAAACTCACGATCATGCGGGCGGGCATCCAAGTTATACGGAGGGGCCCAAGCTACGGGGTGTCCGAACTGGGTATACGTGCACACCCAGTCTGGAACCACGCTGCGGCGAGTGTGGCCGCGTAGAGGGAAGGCATCCAGAGCCACATAGCGCCCGCCGGCCGGCCCCAGGGCTTCATAGCAGGTGCTCATGGATGCCGTATCGCTGATGCAGTCCAGTGCCAGCGCCAATGAGTCGCCGATGTATTCACGCACGTCCGCGCCACACTTCGGCGAATGGTAGTCGAATGTCGCGGTTGCGCCAAAATGCATGGCACGCTCTGATGATGCCGGTGAGCATGTTGTTATGGGGTTGAATCCGGCTATCTTCAGGACTTGGATTGCCATAGCGCCCGTTGACGTGCCGCCGCCATACACCAACACTGCTGGTCTACCTTCGATACTGGTGGCGGTTTTTGAGTCTGAGCTCACGGTTGATGGCATAGGCAGCTGGAGATAGTTGAATAATGCCAACCCGACCGTGGCCAGCGTGGCTCCGATGGTCGATGCTGTTGTGAGGTCCATGTTGGCCGGGACATGCCAGACAAGGCGAGCGGGAACAGCAGTGTATTCGGCAAAGGCGCCGTTATCGAGGCGGAGGGGATTGTTCCCAAAGACGCCACCGAATACACGGTCGCCGAGTTCAACAAGCTTCATGTTATTGTTGGCTCGGAACTTGTCAGTCTTCACATCGGCCCCTAACTGCACAACGATGCCCGAGAAGTCAACTCCACTGGTCGCGCCAGGTGATGGTGACATGTCGGCCGATTTGCCATCGACCTGGTTGATAGAAACAGCGGCAACTCGAACCAGGACTTCTAACGGGTCTAGGACCGGCAGTGCTGATGCGGTGGACAACCCCACGGAGCTGGGCCCTGAGATCTTCACAGCAGCCTGCGTGGCTGGAATGATAACGGAGGCGGCCATTGTGATTTATTGAGCTAATTATCTGTGCCTTTTCTCTCTAGCTCAGTATGCTCGAGTTATCGAGAAATACTTATGCTTTTTCCCGAGAGTTTACAAGAACTAACTAGATTGCCCAAGCCAAAACGATAATGAGATTAATGATCATAGCATACATGGCAATTTGGACCCTAGACTATCAAAATGACGAAGCGAGGATCATATGCCGAGACGGGCAAGATCTCGGAATATGCCTTACGTGAAGATAGCACTTACCTACGGGGAAAAGGTAGGGAAGAGGGTCCCTGAAGACCGAAGACCTAATATTCTACGGGAAATAGTCTTTATGTGTCTAAAAAGGAGATTTCCGATTGGGCGGAATACCCGTAGCGAGCAACACACCTCGGAAAATACCTCGGAGTATTCTATTAAGGAAAGCATTTTCGTATATCGCATTACCTATTATTATTACTCTATAGACGTGCTCAAACAATCGACGAAGCCTTCAACCTGTCGCTCAAAATCTTTCAAGTCTGTTCAACCTAGTATTTTGAGCGCTTGAACTCGCGACCTAGTTGCGAAGATAGGGGCTTGATTCAGTTCGCGATCTGTAGTTATCAACCATTATACCCTATATCTGCCCCTGCCAACGACAACGATGAGAACCACTGTCATTGATATCTCAGTCTGAAACTCATCTATTTCTCAACGACATTCCTTTTAGCAACATGACGAAACGAAGCTACGTCGAGGAGCCTATCGCCATTGTAGGATCGGCATGCCGGTTCCCCGGCGGCTCCAACTCACCTTCGAAGCTATGGGACCTGCTCGAACAGCCTCGTGATGTTCTAAAGACATTCGATCCCGAACGCCTCAACTTGGAACGCTTCTACCACCCTGATGGCGAAACTCATGGCTCGACAAATGTTACGAACAAGTCTTACCTCCTCGAGCAGGACACACGTCTCTTCGATGCCTCATTCTTCGGCATCACTGGTATGGAGGCTGCAGGGATGGACCCACAGCAGCGCATGCTCTTGGAGACGGTGTACGAAGCCTTTGAGTCGGCGGGCATGACCCTAGAACAGCTCAAGGGCTCCTTTACCTCAGTACATGTCGGAGTCATGACAAACGACTGGACTAGCATCCAGCTTCGAGATCCGGAGACCATTCCACAATATACTGCGACCGGAACCGCGAATAGCATTATCTCGAACCGGATCTCGTACGTGTTCGATCTTCAAGGTCCATCTGTCACAATCGATACCGCATGTTCCAGCTCTCTGGTAGCGTTACATCAGGCGGCCCGGGGTCTGCTCGACGGCGACGGCGAAGCTGCCGTCGTGGCCGGCGTGAACATTATCCTCGACCCAACCCTGTATATTACTGAGTCTAAGTTGCACATGCTTTCATCCGACTCACGATCCCGTATGTGGGACAAGTCGGCCAGCGGCTATGCTCGGGGCGAGGGGACATCGGCGCTGCTCCTCAAGACACTGAGCCGAGCGCTGCGGGACGGTGACCATATCGAAGGCCTGATCCGCAGCACCGGCGTCAACTCGGACGGCCAGAGCCCCGGCATCACTATGCCATTCGCTCCGACCCAGGCTGCTCTTATTCGTCGAACGTATCGTCGCGCTGGACTAGATCCTATCAAGGACCGGCCTCAGTACTTTGAGGCTCACGGTACCGGCACTCCTGCAGGAGATCCGGTCGAGGCACGTGCAATTAGTGACGCTTTTGTAGCGGCCCATGGGCCCACGTCTTTTGACAATCCGATGTACGTCGGATCCATTAAGACGGTGATCGGGCATTTGGAGGGCTGCGCGGGCCTCGCCGGTGTGATGAAGGTGCTGCTGGCCCTCAAGCACCGGACTATTCCCCCCAATCTGTTATTCAACGAGCTCAACCCAGCCATTGCACAATACTACGGACCGCTTCAAATCCCCACAACAGCGCTGCCATGGCCTGAATTGCCCACCGGTACGCCAGCACGTGCAAGCGTGAATAGTTTTGGGTTTGGAGGCACGAATGCCCATGCCATCATCGAAAGTTATGACAACGGCGTTTCGGTACGGGAACACGACGAGCAGATTGGTGTACTCGGTCCCTTGCTCTTTTCAGCAGCATCGGGACCGTCCCTGCTGCGCACCGTCCGATCATATCTAACGCACCTGGGAGAGCATCCCGAGCTGGATATGGGCGACCTGAGCTGGCTGCTTCAAACGCGCCGCTCCACCCACAGGGTGCGCGCCAGTTTCTCTGGGAAATCACGAGAATCCATTCTGGAGAATATGCGAGCCTGGGTAGCCACGTATGAGAAATCGACGGGTGGCAGCATCGGATACCAGCCTCGCCTGGTCAATCCAAAGGAGATCTCTGGCGTTCTGGGTGTCTTTACCGGCCAGGGCGCACAATGGCCCACTATGGGACGGGAACTATTCAACCGCTCCCCATTATTCCGACGCACTATAGAAGAATGTGAGTCTGTTTTGCGGGCTCTGCCCGGTCACGATGCGCCCACATGGTCGCTGGTGCAAGAATTGCTCGTCGAGGCCTCCTCGTCACGCCTCTCAGAGGCCGTAATCGCGCAGCCCATGTGCACCGCTATTCAACTTGCTTTAGTCGACTTGCTTGCTGCTGCGGGCATTGGTTTTGATGCAGTGATAGGGCACTCGTCCGGAGAAATTGCTGCAGTATACGCTAGCGGCATTATTACACGCGCGGGTGCCTTGCAGATCGCTTACTACCGCGGCTTCCACGCGCAACGGGCCGCCGGGGAACAGGGCCAGCGCGGCGCCATGATGGCCGTGGGTCTCTCGCTTGACCAGGCCTCTCAGTTCTGCAGTCGCCTAGAATTCGTAGGACGTCTGCGGGTCGCGGCTAGCAACTCACTGCAAAGCGTGACGCTGTCTGGGGATATCGACGCCGTCCAAGAGGCAAAACAGATATTCGATGCCGACAGTGTCTTTGCACGCTTGCTCAAGGTCGACACAGCATACCACTCCCACCATATGCAACCATGTGCTCAACCGTACCTACAATCCCTGCTGGCGTGCAAAATCGAGGTCCGGACGCCCAAACCAGGCCAATGCATTTGGAGCTCGAGTGTACGGGGAAATACGGAACTGCTTGGGGGTGATTTGAGCTCCTTAAAGGGCCCGTACTGGGTTGCCAACATGGTGCAGACGGTTCTTTTCTCCCAGGCTGTCGAGTCATCGATCTGGCACGGCGGACCTTTCGATGTCGCTATCGAGGTTGGTCCACACCCCACCCTCAAAGGCCCTGTGGAGCAAACCCTCAAGGCCGTTTACGGCTCAACGCCCCTCTACACCGGCGTCCTCAAACGCGATGGCAGCGACGCCGTGGCCTTTTCGACAGCCATAGGGGCGGTTTGGACGCAGTTAGGCCCCTCGGCGATTGACTTCGCCGGCTATCGTGCAGCTTTCTACCATGGGCAGCCACCAGTGCCTCGAGTACCCCAGGACCTGCCAGCTTACGTATGGGACCATGAGAAAATTCATTGGCGCGAGTCAACGATGTCACGGCGTTATCGTACAGGACGCGATGCGAGCAATGAGCTGTTGGGGAAACGCACGCCTGACGACAACGAGCGTGAGCTGCGCTGGCGCAATGTACTACGCCTCGGCGAACTGCCTTGGATGCGTGGCCATGAGGTGCTTGGCGAAGTGCTGCTTCCCGGTGCAGCCTATGTGTCCTTCGCGGTTGAGGCTGGCTATCAGCTCGCGGCCGCTGCGGAGCGCGAGGTCGTATTGCTCGAGGTTGAGAATGTAGATATTCTCCGGCCCGTGGTCGTCCCTGATAATAAAGACGGTGTCGAGACCTTATTCACAGTCCAGTTGCTCAATGGTTCTTCCCTGCGTGGAACAATCGACAATGTACGAGCTAAATTTTCATACTACGTCTGTGTGAACCAGACTGCTGGGACCATGGTTCATGCAAGCAGCGGTGAGCTTGTGGTCCATTTTGGCAAGCCATCCGAGTCCGGGGATATGCTACCGCTGCGTGATCCAGTGCCCGCCAATCTTATCGACATCGATTGTGCCCGGGTTTATTCTATGTTCGAGGGGATCGGGCTTAAATACACAGGGCCATTCCATACCATGACGAAAAGCAGTCGATGTCTTGGTTATGCCACCGCCAATGGCATCTGGCCCGATAGATCGCTGGGTAGCGGCAGCATTATGCATCCCGCCTTGCTTGACGTTGCCTTTCAAACTCTGATTCTCGCCCGAGCTCATCCCGCAAGTGGCCATATCACCACGGCAATTCTGCCCTCACACATTGACCGTGTACGAGTTAGCCCGTTGATGCCAATTTTGCAGAAGCAACGGTCAGGAGATGGGGAGATGAGCGCCGATTTTGAGAGCTGGGCAGTTAAGCAAACTGTCACCTCCCTGACCGGGGATATCAATGTGTACGATGCTGCGTCGGGACGGACCTTGGTGCAGGTCGAAGGCCTGGCTCTTAACATGGTAGGCGAGCAAGATGCATCCCGCGACCGTCCTGTGTTTGCCAAAACGCTATGGGCACGAGACGTAGTGCTTGAACTGCCGGATCTCGAACGCAATGCGGCCCATGATACCGAGCTGCTCCGCTTGTCCGAGGATATGGAGCGCGTAGCGCTATTCTATGCACGACGCTTGATCGAGGAGACTGCTTCTGAGGATAGGGGCAAGTTTAAATGGTATCATCAGCGCATGTTGGAGGCGTTTGACGAGCATTTGGCACTGGCGGCCAGTGGACAACATCCTCTGCTGCGGCGCGAGTGGTTGGTCGATGGTCCAGAGATATTGAAGGGAATGGACGCGGCACATCCAGATGCGGTCCAATTGCAAATGCTTCATGCGGTGGGCAACAACCTCGCAGGCATCGTCCAGGGACAGATATCGCAATTGCAAGTCATGACTAAGGACGATCTGCTCAACCGCTTTTTCATGGAGGACTTGGCTTGCATTCGCGTCAACCAGTTCCTTGCCGATACGCTACGTCAAATTACCTTCAAGTACCCTCGTTGCAATATTCTTGAAATTGGTGCAGGTACTGGTGGCACGGTATGTCTCTATTCATTGTTTTCGCCATGGAGCGAACATGGAAATCTCATTTTACGTACATGATACTAACTTATGGTGATATATTAGACAAGGAGTGCGCTGAAAGCTATTGATGATGCTTATATGTCCTATACGTTCACTGATATCTCATCCGCTTTCCTTCCTAGTGCGGAAGAAAAGTTCGCAGGCTATTCTCACAAGATGATTTTCAAGACGCTCGACATTGAGAATGACCTTGATAGCCAGGGGTACGCACCCCACTCGTTTGACATCGTGATTGCGGCCAACGTTCTCCACGCTACTCACAATCTGCACAAGACAATGCGTAACGTGCGCTCACTGCTTCGCCCTGGCGGCTACGTCCTGCTGTTCGAGACCACTGGCGAAACCCTAAGCATTCCATTAATGTTCAGCGGCCTCCCTAGTTGGTGGCCCGGTGAAGAACCCGAACGTAGGCTCCGGCCCATTATGCCTCCCCTCCACTGGGAACAGATTCTGTCCGACACGGGATTCTCGGGGCTCGACATGGTTGTCCATGATGTTGCCGTTGAGTCTAAGCACACAACAGCGCTGCTGGTCACCCAGGCCACCAACGATACAGTTCTGCGCTTGCGTGAGCCGCTGGCTGACCTTGCAGCTGTCCCAGCCCCACTCGAGCCGATTTTGCTCATTGGCGGGAAGAAGCTGGCGACTGCTAAAATGCTAACTGAGATACAGAAGCTACTGCCCCGTGCCTGGCGGTCCCGTGTGCGAGTAGTGAGCAGCGTTGACGACATTGATCTTGCTAAAATAAACCCCGGCACTGATATCATCTGCTTACACGACATCGACGAGCCGTTGTTTGTAACTACTATGACAGCGCCGCGCCTAGCCGCTTTACAAAGCTTATTGATGAAGTCACGGAACTTGCTCTGGGTGAGCAGCGCTACTACCGGGAAAACGCACTCGCCCCGTGCCACCATGTTCCACGGCATCGCGCGTGTGGCGGCCGCTGAGATGGCACACTTGCATGTGCAGATACTTGGGCTTGAAGCCGGTATAGTACCCGCGGCGGCTGCCCGCTTTTGTCTGGAGGCTTTCCTACGCCTGAGAGAGACAGCGGAGGCGGCTGTTGGCGATGCCGCAAGCGAGGGAGCCCTGTTGTGGGCACACGAGGAGGAAATGGAGGTGCTCGCCCATGGCGAGGTCATTATCCCTCGTGTTGTGGCGGACAAGGCTTTGAACGAGGTGTATCTTGCATCGAGTCGCACCGTCACCAAGCGCGTAGATGCCACCGACTTGGTCACTCACGCTATTCCTGGGCCGGCTAGGATGATGCTACAGGCGGGTGATGATGTGGAGAGGAGCGCCAACACCTCCCGTGTACAAGTCAAGTACGCTTTACACATTCCAGCCAAGACAGGCGACGGAATTTATCTTGTCTGCGGAACATCTGCTTCTACTTCTTCTCCCGTCATAGCTATATCTCACAAGAACTCCTCCGTCATCATGGTGCCCTCTGGACACCTCGTAACCATCGCCCCTGAAGAATGCACGCCCGATATACTTGTGGCCACAGCTGATCGCCTATTCGTGCATGCTGTTACTGCCCTCGCGGTACCCGGCAGCCCTGTACTCTTCTATGGTGCCGAGACAATACAGGCTAAAGAACTAACTGCTGAGCTTGCAATTCAAGGTAGCGGCGCCATTTTTGCAAGCTCGGACCCCGATGCCCCCGATACTTACATCAAAATACATGCCCAGTCCTCCAAGCGTGCCATTCAACGGGCCGTGCCTCCCGATGTTACATTATATATCGACTGTCAAATGTTCCCATCCGCCGTAAGCGACACACTCGGGGACTCCTTTATCCTGGGCGGTAAAGCTTGGAATCTTGATGCAAGACTTTTAGAGGACGCTTTTAGGACTTCCAAGTTGGCGGCGGCCACACTGCTAGAAGATGCTTATTTGTACGCCAAAAAGACGACAGCCGACCTGGTAACGACGCTGCCGGCACATTCATCTCTGAGTTGCGATGTAGTGGAGGTGGCTGCGCTAGCCGGTGCTCAAGTATCATCGCTTGCACATACGCGATACGTAACTGACTGGCAAAGGCGCGAATCTCTCTTGTTGATGGTGCCGCCACTTGATACACGAGGTCTGCTCCGACCTGATCGGACTTATTTGATGACTGGTGCTGCGGGAGGTTTAGGTCTTTCCATCTGCAAATGGTTGTTAGCCAATGGTGCAAAGCATATGGTCATCACGAGCCGCAATCCCAATGTTGACCCGGCTACGCTTGAAGATGCACGACGCGCAGGCGCCTCTGTACATGTCCTTGCTATGGACGTGTCTAATAAGGCCTCGGTCAGCAGTGTTGTGCAACATATCCGAAACACAATGCCTCCTATTGCTGGCGTGTGCAACGCCGCCATGGTGCTTACAGACAAGCTCGTACTAGATATGGACATCAACCAGCTGAACGGCACACTCGCACCAAAGGTAGACGGTAGCGAGCTCCTGGATGCAGCTTTCGGTAATGAAGCCCTTGACTTCTTTATAATGCTTTCGTCGTCAGCAACTGTGCTTGGCAACATTGGCCAGGCCAATTACCACGTGGCCAATCTATTCATGGCAAGCTTAGCGGCGCAACGACGATCGCGTGGACTCCCAGGTTCTGTTGTACACGTCGGCCATATCACCGATGTTGGCTACATTGTCATGGCTCGAGACCGCACCGCCCAGCTCGAGGAGCACTTCCGCACCATCCGCCTAATGCCACTGTCCGAGACGGATGTACACCATGCTTTCGCCCAAGCCATCCGTGGCGGAAAACCTGGCAGCCACGTTTCGCCCGATATTATCATGGGCGTGGAGCCCGCCGAAGAGCCCATGGCATCCGACGTAGTCGAAGTATCCGAGAGCAAGATTCCGTGGCTGGCGAACCCGCGCCTAGGTCACCTAGTGCCCGTCGCCACGCTGCATGGGAGCCGGCAAGCGCAGGCTCAGCTTGGGGTGGCAGGAGCAGGAAGTCTTCGACAACTGGTGCAGGATACTGAAGACGAAGAGGAAGCTGTGGCGGTGGTGCTAGAGGTCTTCTGCGCCAAGTTGGAAGCCACGCTGCAGCTACCAGCCGGCCGGGCTATGGAGAATGCGCAGCGCGCCATCATTGACCTTGGTATCGACTCGTTGGTAGCAGTCGAGATTCGGACTTGGTTTCTCAAAGAACTAGGCGTCGAGGTACCCGTTGTCAAAATTTTGGGCGGAGACAGTGTACAACAAATTTGTATCACTGCTGCGAGAACGGTTATGTCGAGGAATATCAAGGCAGAGAGAGCTGAAGAGATCAAAGCCAAGGCCAAAGCAAGTACCGCAGTTGATAATTCGATTGCTGCTTCCGCTGCTAGTTCTTCTCCTCTTACTGTCCCTGTTCCCAATGCTCAAAATGGATCGCAAGTGGAGGAAATTACTCCTAGCGTGTCCGAAACGGACGATGACTCTGCGAGATCGATCTATACCAGTCCGGATACCGATTCCTCTGAGACCACAAGCACCTCGCTGGTCAAGCCTACTGATAGTTCGTCTTCTTCCATAACAGAAGCCAAGAGCGAAACTGAACAAGAAGCTAATGCAACTGAGGTTGAAATAATCCGCCAAGAGCGCATGTCACGGTCCCAAGCCAGAATCTGGTTTCTGAGCCAACATCTGGATGACCCAGCAGCTTACAACATGGTCCTCTCAATCTGACGCGCTTTCGACATGCCCTCCAAGTAGTGACACAACACCACGAGTGCATCCGCATGTGCTTTTACCAGCGGGTCGGTGATGGCCATGCCATGCAGGGCCTGATATCGTCCTCAGCCTACGAGCTAGATTATGTTCCTGATGCCGATGATAATGATTTGCGTCAGTCATTAGCCCGTTTGAAAACACGCACTTGGGATCTCCAGGCAGGACGTACACTGGGCGTTGCCGTGCTGAGCCGTGGCCCCGAACTGCATGACTTCGTCTTTGGATATCATCACATTATTACCGACGTCGTGGGCTGGTTTATGTTTTTACAGGACTTGAACCATGCATACCGCATGCAGCCTTTGGATAAGGCCAGCATCGGCTCCCACCTTGACTATACAGCCCAGCAGCTCAAGTTGGAAGAAGCGGGCGGCCTGTACGACGAGCTACTGGCTTTCTGGCAAACCGAGTTCTCTACCTTACCTGACCCGCTCCCACTACTGCCGTCAGCCTCGGTGCGCGCCCGCCCTACCCAGCAGGCACCTGGGCGGACTGGAAAGAAGATTCATAGCGATTACCGGACTATGGCGGTCGAGCGAGTGGCTGCCGTCAAGGCGACGTGTCGTCGGCTACGCATAAGTCCCTTCCACTTCTACTTGGCGGTGCTAGAAGTGCTGCTGGCGCGTCAGACAGGGACCGAGGACATCTGTGTTGGGATCGTGGACGCCAATCGAGGTGACGACGAAAAAGTTGCCCGTATGGTTGGTTGCTTTGTGAATATGCTCCCTGTGAGGGTTCGCGTTGAGACCCAGAATAGTTTTGCTGAAGTGGCCCGCGGAGCATCACGCAAGGCGCTCGCCGCATTTGCACATGCTGGATTGCCTTTTGATGTACTCCTGGACGCCGTGAAGGCTCCTCGCTGGGCAGATGGCACCACACCTCCATTGTTCCAGGCAGCGTTGAACTACCGCGGTGCTGGCTGGTCAGACCTCCCTCTAGGCGCAGACTGCCGTATGAAGTTGTCTATGGACGACGGAAAAGATGCGGAGACGCCGTATGATATTAGTCTGGGTGTGATTGATATGGCACAGGAGTGCATTATTGATCTACATTGCCCAGCGACATTATACAGCACGGATGCTGTAAAAGGAAGTATGTATTATTCTAGCTGACATTTTTATTTGTATTTGTACTTGGAAGCTACCTCACCCCCCCCCCCACCCCCGGGACCCCCTTCCATTTTTTTGTCTTTTGGAACATAGGAACAGGATTAACCATGCTGTAGTGATGGATGCCTACATGCGCCTCGTCGATGCATTTGCGTCCGATCCGGATATGCGTATTGATAAATGCTCCCTCCACGGCGAGGCTCAGGTCAGCAAGGCCCTCGACCTTGGAAAGGGCCCCGTGGTAGATTTTGGCTGGCCAGCAACGCTGTCCCAACGTTTTCTTGATATGTTCAGCCTCCACTCTACCCAGCCTGCCGTTATAGACAACGGAACAACTGTTTCGTATACCCAGATCGCTGCCCGTGTCAACTCGGTATCCAACGCGCTCCGCACTTCTGGATGTACCGCAGGCGACCGTATTGCCGTGCTGGTAAGCAGCAGATTCTCTTATTATTTCACTCTATTTTGGTAGTCAAAACGTTCAAAACATTTTTAGAACGTTATTCCAAAAGCCGAAATACTCTCTGCTTTGTATAGAATCACAACTAATTTCCAATAGTGCGAACCGTCAGCAGACTCCATAGTTGCTCTACTAGCTATTCTTCAAACCGGCTGTGTATACGTACCCTTGGACACTAGCCTACCAACGGCACGACATGCAGCTATGTTCCAGAGCTGCGAGCCTATCTTACTGCTTTTCCACGCAGCCACCGAGAAATCTGTTGCCGAACTGAGCAATGAGACCAGCAATCTATTCCGCGAAATGCGTATCGACAATATCTCGCCTACAAACCCCCTCTCCAGGATGTCCTGCTCATCAGACCCCACTGCGCCTGCTGTTCTGCTCTTCACCAGCGGCTCCACAGGCACGCCTAAGGGCATCCTCCTGAGCCAGGGCAACTTTGCTAACCACATCGCCCTCAAAAAGCAGGAGCTGGTCTTGGGTCAGGAGCATGTTTTACAACAAAGCTCACTGGGATTCGATATGTCATTGATACAAACCTTTTGTGCGCTCGCCAACGGCGGATGCCTAGTAATTGCACCCCGCGATGTACGCCGCGATCCAGTGGCAATGACAGCTCTAGTGCGCAAGCATCGTGTCTCCTTGACCATCGCAACGCCCTCCGAGTACCTAACGTGGCTGCGTTACGGGTCATTGTCGTTGCAGGGCCACACCGCGTGGCGGCATGCGTGTATGGGTGGTGAGCTTGTTTCAGAGGAGTTGAAGAATGGGTTCCGCCGGCTCAACCTGGCGGGACTACAGCTGACCAACTGTTATGGCCCAACTGAGATTACTGCCGCAGCATCGTTTCAGACGATCGACATGAACAGTGCTGTTGTCAGTGATTATGAGATTGACGACGAGGAGCAGCATCTGAGAGTCAAGTACGCCGTGGGAAAGGCGCTGCCAAACTACTCGGTCTGCATTCTCGACGAAGCAGGCCGGCCGCAGCCGGTGCAGACTACAGGTGAGATTTGCATCGGCGGTGCTGGTGTGGCGCTGGGGTATTTGGGCCTGCCCGACGAGACACGCAGCAAGTTTACCACAGATCCAAGTACAGGCTACCGTGTCTACCGCACCGGTGACCAAGGACGTTTGCTCGCCGACGGTACCCTGTTGTGCTTTGGCCGTCTAGAGGGGGATACCCAGATCAAGCTGCGCGGTTTGCGGGTCGAACTCCAGGAGGTAGAGGTGGCCCTGCTCCAGGCCGCTGATGGCGTCCTATCCACCGTCGTTGTTTCCCCGCGGGGAGATGTTCTGATTGCACACGCTACCATATCTTCTGGGCACGAAAGTGCAGTCGGCACGGCCGAGCTGGCAGAAATCCTCAAGCGTTTGCGGTTACCACAATACTTCATTCCAGCAAGCATCATCGTGCTTCCAACTCTGCCTACCAATGCGAACGGAAAGCTTGACCGCAAGGCGATTGCAGCTTTACCACTTCCCATCACCCGAGATGCAGATGGCACGCCGCTGGACCCTCGCCCTCAGGAGAAGATGAACGTCCGTGAAGGCGAGCTGCGCTTGTTGTGGGAACGGGTACTCCCCGCTGTCGCAACGGCAGAGCGAATCACTCCATCGTCGGACTTCTTCCTTTCCGGAGGCAACTCCATGCTACTCATGCGCTTGCAAGCTGCTATCACCGAATCCATGGGTGTAAAAGTACCGACCCGCGTGCTTTATGGCGCCAGCACATTAGCTGCCATGTCGCGTGCAGTCCAAGAGCGCCGCGAGGCCGAGGCGGATGACGTCGATGACCCTGAAGACATCGACTGGGCTACCGAGACGGCTGTGCCTGGATGGCTGAAGCAACAGATACGCGAGACACTGCAGCCAAGTTCGACTAAAACCAAGAAGACTAAGAGCAAGGCTGGTGGTCTTGAGATCGTTCTTACGGGCGCCACGGGCTTTCTTGGTGGCCGCCTTCTGCATATGCTACTCGACTCGCCAGCTGTACGTGCCGTGCACTGTATTGCTGTACTCCCTGACGATACACACCTGCTGCCCCAAAACAGTCAGAACAAGATCCACTGCTACACCGGCAGCTTAGCAGACCCAACGCTGGGCCTTACTCCGACCGAGTCCGAGCTATTAGAGCAGACGGCCGATGTGATCGTGCACGCCGGCGCCAGCGGGCACTGCCTAAACAACTATGCAACGCTACGAGGGCCTAATCTTGTCTCCACGCACCGACTTGCCTCGCTAGCGCTTCCCCGCGCTGTGCCCCTCCTCTTCATCTCTTCAAACCGTGTCGCTCTGCTCGGTGGACGTACCGCACAGCCGGCCGAGTCACTAGCAGCTTTCACACCTCCTGTTGATGGCCGTGAGGGATATACAGCGAGTAAGTGGGCAGGCGAGGTATTCCTCGAGAATCTGTCAAACTACTATCACCAGCATCACTCGAAGGGGAACTTGGCGGATGGGAAGCAGCAGCAAAATCAAACGAACTGGAATGTCTCGGTGCACCGACCATGCATAGTGGTCGGCGAGCAGGCACCAAATTCGGACTCAATGAACGCAATCCTGCGCTTTTCATTATCGATGCGTTCTGTCCCGCGACTGAGACGGGGGACAGGCTTCATTGACTTTGCTCCTGTGGATGGGGTGGCGGAGGAGATTGTAGAGGCAGCGCTGCAGATAGGATCTGGAGCAGTCGAGAGAGACAATCTGGTTGTAGCGAAGGCTGAGGATGTTGCTCTCCAGTTCAGGCACCACTCAAGCAATGTCAAGGTGCCTCTGGATAAGTTCCGCGATTATTTGGAGAAGGTGTATGGTGGGCGATTTGAGGCACTCGAGATGCGGGAGTGGGTTGTGAAGGCTTCTGGAGAGGGCATCGATCCGTTGATCACGGCGTATCTAGATGGGGTTTTAGATACGGACGAGGAGATGATATTTCCTTATCTTGGGAAGGATTAGAGGGTTTTGTTATTATGATTTTATATGTTTTGCAATTTTGTTAGCACGGTTACAATGTATGAATCAATTGTAAGATTTTTAGTTATTAGATTTTTACATGTTTTGCAATGTTATTTGTTAGTACTGTTAGAATGTATCATTCAATTATAGAACTGGCCAATTGCCTCATTTGATAATTTTCCGGATCAAGCCTCTATCTCGCTTAACTTATGCTGTACAGCATGTATCAGAGAAGCGATAATCCTGAATCTAATATATGCTCACTATCACGAGTTTCAATGATCTTGATTTCAATTCTGGACAAAGGGAATACTGCTGAACACACACATAGAATAGGTAGAATAGGAATTTGAAGCTTGGCGGAGGTTGCAGGCCAAGTTGTCCCCTATCATGCATGCCTCCTCCTGCCAAAGGTCCCTAAGGGGTATCCTACAAGCTCCGATCGCTACTGATTCGTGGAGTACCTACCTCCCTCACCAGTAGTACGTGGAGGTAGTACAACGATGTGAGAGTGGTGTATCTAGATCAGCGACATACCCCGTGCTTGCTTGCTCATTGAGGAGAGCCGTTGAATAATCCGGTCCCACAATACGCACTCCGAGGCCGAGCCTGAAGGATGATGTTTCCCCGCCGCCATAATATGTCCGCGCATGTCCATCACCAAATCAGATCGTACGGGGGTGTTGAATAGTCCGGGCCCACTCTGCGCATTCCGAGGCCGAACCTAATCGACGCGTGGGAGTTTCCCGCCTATACTACATTATCGCTGGTCAGTTACAGTAAGTACTCGAGTAAGGTCTTAGGAAAGCAAAGTATAGCCTTCAAGCTTGTCGAAGATATAAAGTCAGGCATAATGACTCGTTATACGTCTGAACTGCTTATTCCTCCTGCATCTTGTTGCCATCGCTTTCTACTCACTCCAAACCTCTCGTTTCTGCTCAACCGCTCAAAAAGTCTAGTGCCCCGTTGCGTTACTTTGGTCACAAATTCCCATCATGTCATCTCCCACTCCCAATGTTGCCGAGAAGCTCGAATCGGTGGCGGCCATCCTAAACGATGCTGCCAAGGGCCTCCGAGCTGGGGCCAAAGCAACCCCAGAGCAGCATGCCGTACTCATCGAGGCTCTCAAAAGCACTGTCGAGCTCGTCAATGAGCCCCGCGACGATATCTCCGATGTCATGACGGCTTTCGCCCAGGGCACTATCATCCGGCTTTTTATCAAGTGGCAGGTCTTCGCCAACATTCCCCTCGATGGGGCCATCCCATACAAAGATCTCGCCGTCAAGGTGGCCGGCGATGTCGCCCTCATTAGTGAGAATATTCCGAGATCCCAACAGGGTACTCTTTTCGGCGAATGCTGCTAACTGCTATCTTCTTTCCGTCTCTTAGCCCGCCTCTGTTGGGTACTGGTCTCGACGGGAGTTCTACGCCAGGAAGGCTCAGACCAAATTGCGCACACAATCAGATCAAGGGCCTATGGCCACCGCAATCCGCTCCAAGCCATGATGCAGATGGGGTTAGTTCGACCTCCACCTTCTCCTCCTCCAACTAAGCCCCCAGGCTGTGCCTATCCGCTAGGCAAGCATTCTAACTGTCGGGAGGTTTGACGAGTATCTACCACCACTCCTCGCTCTACCACGGTACTACGAGACCTACGGCATCAAAGAGCCGACCGAGAAACTGTACACGGTCAAGGCTTTCGCCGAGGGCAAGCCGGGCCAGTCCGTGGCCGACATCACCCTAGCAGACCCTGAACGGGTCGCCACTTTCGTGCTGGCCATGGACTCGATGGAGAACATGTATCCGCACGACGGGATGTACAACTACAGCTGGGTGGCGGCACGCGCGGGCGAGTCGCCGGACCGGGCGCTGATTGTCGACGTCGGCGGCGCCCAGGGCAACGCCCTTCAGGCGATGTGCAAGAGCACCCCAGGGTTGCCCATGAGCCGCTGCGTGCTGCAGGACCTGCCGGAGGTGATTGAGACGGTGAAGAAGATTGGCGATGAAGGGATCAAGGGCGCCAGGTTGATGAGCATGGATTTCCACAACGAACAGCCGGTCAAAGGTCCGTCTATCTTTCTCTCTTCTGTCTTGCGTGGTCGGCTCAACTAATGCTGTGCGCTCCTTTCTCCAGGTGCCCTCGTCTACCACATCCGGCGGTGTCTCCACGATTTTGGGGATGACGAGAGCGTGCAAATCCTGCAACACCTGTCCGATGCCATGGCGCCGGACAGCCGGGTGCTGATTGGGGAAGCAGTCATGGACAACCCGCCGGCGCGCTCCGTGGCGCTGGTGGACTTCTTGCTGTCGACGGTCGGAGGCAAGGAGAGGACGGTCGATGGCTTCCGCGAGATCGCCAGCCGCGCGGGGCTGAAGGTACGGGCTGTTCACCAGGGTAAGCAGCGGGGCATGTCGATTGTCGAGTGTGAAAAGGAGATATAGGCGTAAATGCCACTTAGCTACTCGCTCGACTAGAATGAATACCATAAAATGGGTCTACAAGCTTTATTATTTAAGCCGTTGTATAGGTAAAAGTTTTACTTCATGCTATTTTAATGGCCACTAGTGTGTATGTAATATAGACTCGTGTTAAATTCTAGAGTAAAAGACACAATTTCACATAGGAGCATTCATTAGTATCATATAGGCCTGTGTAACTCTAAGTTGTAATTCAGATGCAAACTCTGGCATTGAAGTGTCAAGTTGTCCTTAGCATCTGGCATTACATACCTTACGTGAATACTGTAATATTGTGTCACTAGTCTTTAAGAATACTTTTTGAGCGTTGTGACTCATAGGATCTAGGTGCCAGCTACATACATGTTTTGAGGAAGCATAAGGTAACTTGAAAAGAAGTAAAATAAATCTTAATTTCTTTATTTACACGGAGGCTTTTGTTTCTGTGACTTCAAAATACTTCGCCGAATAATCCAAACCCGTAAGAGCTGCGACCCGGCCTCATTTTATCTTTACTAAAGTGTCGGCATCCTATGATCAATATCGTCGTTAAATATCCAGTTCAGTGGCTCGGTGTTGCCCAGGTCGAACATACCATCTGGGTTCATAAAGCCCCAGTCTTCCATTACTTCTCCCGGTGTGGCCACTGACTCCTGCAGAAGCATATCCTCCTCAGCTCCCTCCTCCTGGCCCTGGGTCGCCGCGATTTGTTTGAGGATTGGCAAGCATTCCTCCTCTACATTCTCCGCAGCCCTAATCAGAAGTTGGGTAATGGCGTCCTTGTCCAGGCCGCGCTGGAGTCCTTCGACCTGGGCCCCAACCACACTCATGAGTAAATAGCCCTTCACATTAGTCTCACCCACCTCGTTGCCCCGCAAGCACCAGGCCTTAGCCTCGTCTAGCACGGTCAATAGGTCCGGCCGCAAAGGCACGGGAACCAGACTTTCCTCTTCTTGTAGCTGCGTCCGGAGCTCCATCGAGATGAGCAATGCAGCATGAATAGTGACCGTTGAATAGAATCCCGAGCTGCAGACCGCAAGCTGCGCTAAATCGTCCCAGTCTGACGAAGTTGCCTCGGTGATGGACGTGAGACCGGAAGACGGATACGCCGCCCGCCAGATTTTGAGCGAGGAATCAACTACAACCTTGCGGGAAAATGCGTAGGCTGTCTCGTGGAGTGCCGGGCCGAAGTACGGGACATGAAGAGACGAGAGATATCGATGCATTTCGAAATCCACTGCCCGGATCTCGAATGGAGAGAGCGAAGATCCAGTAGGTGACGTTCCAGTGCCCGACTTACTAAAAGCTTGCAACGTTCGACCTAGTTCTCTGTATGCCGTCCAGAGCTGTGCATCGAGCCGAAGAGTTTCCTCGTACGTGCCAGAGGAGGAAAGATCGTTTAAGAACTTTACTACAGCGAGGCGCTGTGAAAAGGTTTTGTGAAGTGCTATTGAGATAGACACTTGCGTGAAGACATCTTCCGGCCTTGGCACTGGATCGTTGGTGGCCACGAGCTGGTCGTCGTCGAAATTGCCGGGAGGCGCAGTATCAAAATCGTCAAGAGAAATAAAGGGAGGTCCTCCAGAGGATAAACTAGACTGTAAGGTCATTTCCAGGATCGTGTTCCAAAGTCTTCGTCGCATTTCGGCAACAAAAACCGTTCCTTTAGGTAGGTGAGCAGGATCTCGATGTAGACCTAGGAAGACTGCTTTCTTGAACACTGTACCGATCGAAATCCATATCGAGTCTCCACCGGCTCCTACTCTTTCCTGGGCAATCAAAAGAAGCAGGCTAGTCTGCAGAATAGGGATGTCTAGCCGTGACTTGAACTTGGGCTCTGAAATCCAAGCTATTGACTCGTGAACCCAGTGGACAGCTGAGGCTCGCAATGAAAATTGCTTATCGTACGTAACCGCGCCAATAGCAAGCACGAGTTTAAGCTGAACTAAGAAAGCTGTATTAGGGTCAGGGCTATTCTGTGAGAGCCAGAGCGTTTGGTAGTCCCTGCGGAAAGTAGGGATATGTAGGACTCGATAAATAGCCTCCGTCGTCCGGAGGTAGCAGTCGACTAGCGCATCAGCGATCACTTTAGAGGGTAAATCGGACGTGGGTGGTGAGGGCCATGGAGGTGTCCGCCGCGCTTTAATGACCCTTGCCAAGGATTTGCACCTTTCTATTCCCATCCAGGCGTTCGATCTACCTTCTAGTAGATGGGGCTCAATGGTCTCCCAGATGTCGCGTATCTGATTCTGGTTAGGCCACTAATTCAAGAAACCCCGACCACTAATAGGATGTGAATACTTACTAGGAGTACTCCGTTTACTCCCCAATGGCTTTGGCCAAACAAGCGTGTCTTATGCGTGATGCTGCGGGCAATGGATTGGGGTTGGCCGGTGGAGCCAGTCTCACAAAGGACATGAAAGGTTCCGCCGAGATGAGAGCTTGTCTTCTCGATGCTTGAGTTCGGGGGAGTCGAGACGGGAGACTGTATGGTCTGTAGGGTTGATTTCGACAGCTGGTCTTCAAGCTGGCGAATCCTAAGCTTCAATTTCAACGACTCGGCATCTTGGGCGGATAGCTGGCTCGTAGGCGTCGATGGGTCTGTTGACGCGGCAACGTGTGAGCTTGACGAATGGCTTGAACTATCAATGGGTATTGACTCTCGAGAGCTTGGAACCGCTAGGCCAGGCCCAATTGTTTGATTGCGAGAAGGTGAAGGAGGAGGATGGTTGGGATTCTCATAGATACAAGCCCCGCTTCTGGCCCGCCGACAGTTGCTACAGGGCGTTTCTCGATTGCATCGGATCTTGCGCTTCCTACAGAGCGAGCACGATCTACGTTCTGGCCGTCAGCGCACGTATATCACGAACGAGAGTTCTCAACCTACACAGCTGGCCGTCGTCGCCGTCCATCGTGTTCAGCCATGGCTACCTTGCGTCACGTGAACCCGTGGGCTTTTTCTATTCAGCTCGAGCAGGGAGAGAGAGGTATGTCGCAGATAATTGGTTGGCAAGTTTTTTTTTTTTTGCAAACAGCCAAGGTTAGAGTGGGGAGTGAGTATAACGAGTGAGTATATAGTCAGTCATGCAGTGGAGGCGGCAACTGGGCATGTAGTCTGTCTGTTTGTCTGCACCGCGTCGAGTTGGAGTCCAACAGCTGATGTAATACCCAACTCCGAGCCCGACTTTGAGTATATATATGCCCGAGTCCGAGGATACGCCCGAGTCCGAGTCCGCCACCCACAAAGTATCTCCGACAAGCTCCCCCTTTCTCCAGCCCCACCATGTCTGCGGCACGTACCGTGCAGGACATGGGTACGCACAGGCATGCCTGTCGCCCGGGGTCAACGGCCAGGGCCACTATCGGCACTTGCGGAGAATTCGTGGGCGATGCAACTCGGTGGCTTCCGAACCCCACAAGGCTTTTTGGGGTGGCTGACGTAAAACTTCTGCAGATCTATCTCTGCTTACAAGTAGAGACCTGTTATTGGTGGCGCATCAGCTAGATGCCTGAAACTATGCGACATTCCTGTTCAGGTTATGGACCTTAGATCTAGGTAGTATTACGAACCGTTTATGCATGGATGATGAATAAATTGATCTTCGGCCCAATCTGCACAGAGATAAGGGGTTATACCTTATATAGGGCATACAGTACTAGATCGAAGTATGTACTTAGTTGCACAACTTACATTAGAAGACGTTTCATATGCAGTAGAGAATATAGGTAATATTAGGTAAAAGAAGGAAACGGTGTATGCACTTAGTTATATAACTTACATCAGAAGATGTTTTATATGTAGTAAAAACTATAGGAAAACGTTTTATACTCCGTAGATCACCAAATATCCTTATAGTATACATAGCCACTTCTAAGAAGTACAGTACATAGTTAAAGGAAAGCCCGAATCACTTCCAATTGACAAGCACCGTCTCCCCATCCTTCAGTTTGGTATACCTCACACTGTCTCTCCATACTATCGCCGACTTCTCCACGTCCCTGGCCTCCGCACTCATGCTTCCCGGCTCCGAGCCATTCAAGTAGACGCCGCCGTTCTGCCACCGCGAGTTCATAGCAGCATCCATGACGTCTCGAGCGGACGTTTGAGTGAAACGTATCGGAGGATTCGTCGTCGTGTAATACATCACTCGGGCGACGTTGGCGAGGATGACTTTGTGGAATACGTTGCGGACAAGCCAGTTGTTGCGGCGCACGAGGCTCGTTACCATGGTGCCGGGATCAACACCCACGACGGTGATTTTACTGATGGCTGGGTCTTTTCTGAGGCGCTTCTGAAGCTCACTCCTACGGTTCTGCGGCGTTAGAAGGTCCTATGTTCCCAGTGCATGTGTTTTGGGGGAAGAGGGGAGGAAAGGCCGTACACCATCATTACAATACACAGTTTTGCCGCTCCGTACCGACGAAACCCACCGTTCAAAGTCGGATCCTCTGCGGTGGTGCTCCAGGAGCCGTCGGCAATAGCATCGAGATTCTCATGGATGAACGTCTTCCACTTCTCATCCGGGTAGTGCCGCTCGATAATGGGGTAATGTGGGTCATGCGCAACACTGCCCAGGAACACGACGCGCCCGTTCTGGGGATCCAGACTTCGCAGCAAGAGCACCGCAAGCAGCCAGTGGCCCAGGTAATTCGCCGCGAAGCTGCTGTCGAACCCGCCCTCGGACTTCTCGGTCCACGTCTGCTCTTGAAACTCCTGGAACCCGGCATTCAGCACGAGCGCGCGGATGGGAGGGATTTCTTTCCTCGCTACGCGTTCGTTGATCGCGGTGGCGACCTGGCGCACGTTGGAGAGTCGGGTCAGGTCGAGGGACACAATCTCAGGGGCAAAGGATGCTTGGGCCGGGAGAGCAGACCGCAGCGCTGGGTTGGGCGCGGCTATATCGCGGACGGCGTAGATAGTGTGATAGTTTGGCAGCGTAGAACCTATGTGTGCAACGATGGCACTGCCAAGGCCACCATTGGCTCCCGTCACGAGAATCGTGCCTTGCGGTTTGGACATCTGGACCTGTGTTATGAGATTTTGCGGGTGGAAGGAATTTCGAAGAAACAGGTTGGGAAGGGAGAGAGAAATTGACGATTAGAAAGTGACCATGAGGTCGAACGAAATGATATCGAATGAATAAAGAGTGCGAGGCGGGGGGGGGGGGAATTCCGGGGCGAAATTACTATATACAACCTACAAAGTACTACTTGTGATATTACTCGTCCCCGTACTAGCTCCGTTAGCTGCTTTATGGGCTGTACCTCCGCACAGGCGGGGATGCGTGCCCCTGCCCTGGATTTTTGTGGAGGCTGCACAGACCACTGCAGGTACCGTACCTTATCTCCCCACTTATCGTGTACCGAAGCAAGATTCCCATCGAATTATATGTTTTCAATATTCAATATACTTCGTACTACTGGCCCTGTTGAGCATCCAGCACGTAAGCGCTCCGGTAAGTGACGTCTACCGGGAAATCCATCGGAGAATCCTTCGGAGAATCCTTCGAGGAAGGTCTAGCGATACAACGGCTCCTGTCCCTTAACAAAACGTTATTGTCGGGGAATTGGCATAATAACTCTAGCTGACTGTGCCTCTGCGGCAGATATCAGCACTATTCATCTATTTTGCGCTATAGACGGCATCAATCGCGCGATTCTCCGCCGCAGTATATACCTATATACCGGTATTGACGTTGCATCAGTCCGTCGATGGCCTTAGCCAGTTTCCATCTAGAGAAAGAGCTCTTCAGGGCCATTACTCGCTACGTGCTTTTCATCTAAGGGGTGCCTTCCCTTGATCTCCTCTCATCAATACTTGACTTGGTTTATGTCAGCATCGTCAGTCAAAATGGATATCATCAACTCAATCGACATAATCAACAAATTCAGCATTGGATATAGTCTCAATGTCCCCTTGCTCCTTTTATCCTCCGGCTTCGTTGCCATCGCGTTGAGCAGACTTCTCGGCGCGGGCGAGAGCACCACCGACCAGGACGGCTGCCAGCCCGCCGCACGGCTCTGGCAATGGGACCCTTTCCTAGGGATTGACGTCGTGATCAGCCAGGTGCGGGCGTTGCGGCGTGATTATTACCTCGATTGGTTGCGTGACTTGCATGCCAACCGGCCCAAGACGTTCACGTTGCGCTTCTTCGGCATGCGTTGGTTCTACTCGATCGAGCCCGAGGTCCTCAAAGCTGTCTACGCCACCAACTTTAAGGATTTCGGCGTCGAGCCCATCCGCCGCGACTCCAGAATCACCATGCCTTTTGCCGACAAGGGCGTGAACACCACGGATGGCGATGACTGGGCCCATAGCCGCGTCCTGATCAAGCCCTTCTTTGAGCGGGACGTCTACCACAACACGGAGCGCATCGCACCCTTCGCCGACCGCTTCCTGAGTCTGCTCCCCCAAGACGGCGAGGAGGTGGACGTCCAGCCGCTGATCCAGCGCTGGTTCCTCGACATCACGACCGAATTCATCTTCGGCCAGTCCATCGATGCCCTCGTGGACCCCTCGCGAGCACAGATTACCTGGACGATGATGGACTGCCTTCGCGGGGCGCGGCTGCGGGCGCAGACGTTCCGCTTCCTGTGGGCCTTCAATTGGAACTGGTGGTTGAAGGCGGTGGACGAGGTGCACGACTTCATCAACCCCCAAATCCGCTCCACCTTCGCCGAGATGGATGAGCGGGACGCGCGACAGAAGAAGGGACTGGCGTTGGAGCCGGAGCGGACCGATTTGCTGTGGCTCATGGCGCTTCACCTCCGCGGCGACGAGGCAGAGCTGCGCTCGCAGCTGTGCCTCATCATCGTGCCCAACAACGACACCACCTCCATCTTCATCAGCAACTGCATCTGGCACCTGGCGCGCCATGAGAGGGTCTGGAAGGAGCTCCGCAAGGAGGTCCTCGCGCTGGGCGACCAGCCACTGACCTTTGATGTCCTGCGCAACCTTCCATACCTCAACGGCGTGATGAACGAAAGTAAGCCCCTGCCCCTCCCGCGCTGTCCCGTTCCGGTGAAATGAAAACAATACAATACATACCGCTAACACACCGTACTCGTACCCAGCGCATCGTCTGCTTCCCAACAACGTGACGCAGGTGCGCGCCTGTCTGAGTGACACGGTTCTGCCCGTGGGCGGGGGGCGCGACGGACGAGCTCCCCTCAAGATTCGGAAGGGGGACATTGTGTCCGTGACCAAGACGCTAATGTACCGCGACCCCGATCACTGGGGCCGCGATGCCGAAGAATACCACCCGGAACGCTTCCTGGGCCGCCGTGGCAGTTGGGGGTTCTTGCCGTACGGGGGCGGTCCGCGTCGCTGCCCCGCCCAGATGATGGCGCAGACCGAGGCCGCCTTCATGCTGGCCCGCATCGCCCAGACGTACAGCCGCATTGAGGCGCGTGATCCAGAACCATACCGCGCGGTCATGCGGATTGGGCCGTCCAACAAGACGGGGGTGAAAATTGCGCTGTACAAGTGAGTCGCTTAACTAGCGGCTATGTATGTTACTAGAATTAGCGTATAAAGATATATAAAGCAAGAAATTAAACGAGTCAAACAATTATTTCAAGTGCTGTGCGATTTCGTCGCGATTACTAGCCAAACCAGTAGCGAAGTGCTTAAAATAATATTTTATACCTAAAACGTCCAACTTAAAACTATAAGATACTAAGCACCTCAAGAACGTGTGGAAGGCTTACGTTTATTAACAGCAATAGCTATTTTTGAATATAAAGTAGCTAGTAGCTACAACTTTACCCATGCTGCATTTCCACGCTGAGTTTGCTTTTCAAATAAGTTTGATGAGTATATCTTGTTTTTGAAACTCCTCGTCCACGATTATCACGTATTTCTTGTTAACAGCCTGTTGATACCTGCTCCAACCACCATACCATAGGCCCGGGATTCTCAGGACTCAGCCCGTTCGACGGAGTGGGGCCACGGGGTTTTGATACACGCCCTGGCGCTGCTCGTTTTGATACACGCCCTGGTGCTGCTCGGGTTGTTGGTATATTCTATGTAGAAAGAGATAAGGCACAGGGCCCCTCTCCAAATCCTGCGGTAGGGGCGAAAACAAGAAATTTCGTAAATCGATCGGCTGTTCATTCCCTCGTTTTTACATGTACGAAGTATACAATAGCTCCCTTGTACAGATTGTACGTACACCGACAGTTAGTGCTAACAGGTCCCCTGCTAGCTCTGTTACCTTCCTTATGGGCTGCACCTCCGTAGAGGGCAACTCGAAGTATGCCAAGTTCTATAAAGCTTAGAGGGATACCTTGCAGGCCCATTGTTTTTGCTGGGGAATTTCACTTTGCCGTTATTGATTTTTGCTGTGGGTCAAAAGCTCTTCGATTCCATACTCTGGAATTATTAATTCAATAGTGAGATGAGAAGAAAAGCCCAATTGAAAGAGCAACTGTACTGGCATGGATCCCGGCCCGGCTCACAAGCGACGGCGGCCGGCAGTAGCATGTACCGAATGTCGTCGGCGCAAGATCCGGTGCGATCGTGCCTCTCCTTGCGGGCCTTGTAGCAAGGCCCAATCGAGTCTGCGATGCGTGTATAGCACGAGTAGTAGCCCGAGGCAAAGTATGTATCCAGCCCACAACGACGTCTTTCGTCAACATAGCGCTCACACAACTAACTGGTAGACCACGGCCAGTTAAACCTAGGCCCTGAACTTCCAGAGGAAAATCTCCTCGACTTGGACTTCTTCGATCTAGACTCGCAGACGCTCCATGATGGCATCGACCTCAATTGTCTCACGGGCCTCGACGGCGCCGATTCGCCTCCAGCGCTAGGGAACCACCTCTATAGCTCACAATTCCACAACAACAAAGAGCCGCCCTGGATGGGCACGAACCTTTCTTCCACCGAAACGTGCTGCTATCAGATGGGCTCGGAGCCGGTCCAGCAGCCGTCCTTGAGCGAAGGTTCAAGCGCCAGCTCGGAGGTTCAATTTTTTGCGGAGCTCGGCGACAGTAACCATGAGAGCCCCTGGTATGAGCCATTTACACGATGTGAAAGCCTGCGCTTCATCCTGCAAGGCCTGACCGGCCGGCCACAGGACCATAATTTCCTTAGACGGCCCGAGCATGAGATGGTGCGGCCTCTGAAAGAAATGTTCGCAGGGCTGGACCGAGTGACGCGGGATGAGCGAGAGAGCAGGGCTCTCGCTGTCGTTTTGCGGGCCAATGCCCCCTCGATAGGATTCGCGGCCTGGGACCTGCTGCCGTCCCGCCAAGTATGCGATGCCCTCCTCGGCGCGTACATCAAGACCTTCGAGTCGGTGCTACGCATCCTACATGTGCCCTCCTTTCTGGGCGATTATGAACGCATCTGGAAGAGCCCCACGTCACGATCCATGGATGCGGACAATGTGTTTTTGTGTAAATTGCTCGTGGCGATTGCCCTCGGATCGTGCGTCTGCGTTCACCCCTCGGTTTCCATCTCCGTGGCCCCGGACCAAGTGAGCGGCTGGATTGCTCATGTCCGGCAGTGGTGTGCGAACAAGATGGTCGTACATTCGTCGGCGAACCTGGACATGGCTCAGATCGCGTGTCTTCTTGCGTGGGCACGACACACCCAGCATCACTCCGCCTCCTCCACGGGCAGCACTTGGTTCCCCGTGGACCACGATCTGACCCGAATGGCTCTCCAAATGGGCCTGCATCGGGAGGTGCGTGCCCGTTCTCCAGCTATGCCGGCCGAGGAGGTCGAGATGCGCCGGCGGCTATGGGCGACGATGCTCGAGCTGTCACTGCAGCTGTGTTTTGACGAAGGCTTGCCCGCTCCGCTCGCATCTGAGAGTTATGACTGCGAGACGCCTTCTAGTATCGCCGACGAGGACCTGACCATGGGTGCTGTGTCCCCCGACCGCTCAAACTTCACGCCATCGACGATCCTCATGCTCCTGGCGCGGACGCAGCGACTTCGCCTGCGAATCCTGCACATCGTCAACGCCCCGGGTGTGTCCAAAGATTATGACGAGGGCCATCGGCTCGCAGCGGAGCTCAATGCCGTATGTGGTGCCAACATGGACATGCTGCGCTCCATCAAAACCCCCAAACCCACCCGATTCCAAACCAAGCTCTTGGATCTCTTCACGCGGCCCTTTGTGCTGGCGCTCCACGAGCAGTTCCCTGACCAAGCCGTCACCAAGTCAAGCGACTACTACTCACGCCGGATGCGCATGGAGGCGGCGGCACAAATTCTCGCAAATCCATTGCTCTCCGTGCCTACACTCGCGAAGCACCCCGTGTCAGACCTGGGCTTCGCAGAGGCTTTAAGCCGAAGTCCAAGTCCAAGCACCACGAGACCATTTGCAGCCAAGTCCACCGCCCTGGAGCGGGATGCCTACGCAGCGCTCTGCATCCGAGGTCATGGGCACTTCGCGCTGGTGCAGCGACAGGCCACGATGGTGCTGTGTCTGGACCTGATCAGTGAGCTGGAGGAGAATGCATTCCCGATCACAGACGGCGCGTGCCGGCGACAGCTCCGCGATGTCGTGCGGGGCGGCGTGCGCGTCTTCGAGCGCCGGGTGCGGGCCGCGGGTGGGACGCACTCGACGCGGGAATTCCTGATCTTTACCTGCGCCAGTACCTATATCGATGCCATGCTGCGGGGCTGCCAGGCGCGGGAGATCGACGAGGCCGTGGTTGAGGCAGCACGAGCGGCGTTGGCGGTATGCCACAAGGTGATGGGGCGTCCTCCGAGCCAGCAGGGGGCACGGAGCGAGAGGTCCGGGGAGGGACGGAGCGAGGAGGATGTGCAGCTGTGGATGCTTGGTGACGGACAGCGAGGATAAGATAAGATGGGCGGTGCTCATAGAGAAGGGCGCCTGGCATTGCGAATGTAGTATTTGTATATTAGTGTTTTATAGTATATTAGCTCGATATATATATATATATATATATTGTTAAGAAAATAAAAGTATAAGTTATATAACTAGAGATATATTTTATTATTCCGGACTTATATAAATATAAAGAAGAAACTATCACGGATATAAATAAAAGTATTTTATAATTAAAGAATTATTTCTTATTTGACTATAATTGTAAATATAAAAATATTAAATTAAAGAAGAACGAAGAAAGAGTATACTTTTTCTAACAGTATATATTCTCTCGATAAATTATATAAAATTAATTATAATATTTTAAAAACTATTATTTTCTAAAATTAAAATATTATTTATTATTTTAATAATTAAAACTTTTTTAAAATAAAAAAGATTCTTTTTTAGAAATATAAATTTTAAAAACCTAAAAATAATAGCTTAACCAAGAGTATAGAATATAACAGCTAGGTCTCTTCGGAGTAGCGTTTCGGCTCTACCGAGACTAGAGCACGGGCTTATCTCCTTACAAACCCAACTGTGATGTCGACCGCTCTATGTCCGTTACAACACCCCACAATACTCCGTAATATTCCGGAATCCCCTCCGCTATGCGCGAGATTACTGGAACCTCCTGTTTATCGAGAATACCGCTCTATGTACACATTCTCCATGGCCAAAAACTCAGCCTACATATCCCCAAGCGATCACACCCAGGCTGTAGTTCATAGACATTGTTATAGAAGTTGATTTCAGCAGCTGAACACGAATTTCTTCCACCAAACATCACTTTCCCAGCCAATAAAAGTTTGTATTACAGCTATGGAGTCTTTACTCGCTGGCGTGCCGCGTCTCGCGGTTGGTGAATATTTCCTACTAGGCACATCCTCTGTTATCCTCGCCGTATGTGTCACTCTTTACCAAGCTGTTTACACTCTTGGGGAATATAGCGATTCGGGCTTGCCGTTAGCTGGAGAGCCCCCTGGAAAGAAGACCTTCAGCCTCCGGACGCGTCTAAGATATTACTATGACGCTGCTGCTTTGTATACTGAAGCCTACCAAAAGGTTAGTTAGCAAAGACACCATTTCTAACCCAACGGATATGACTACTACTTGGACTATACGCTAACTCAATCAACAGTATGCGAAGCAGGGAAAGGCTATCTTGGTGCCGGGCTACGGCTCTCGCGCTGACTTGGTCCTGCCCGAAAGCTCAGTCGAATGGGCCATAACACAACCCGATGCAACTCTCAGCTTGTCGCAAGCATTCCTTCAAGCCAATCATTCAACTTACAGTCTCGGCCACTCCAGATATTGGGGGGATGGGTGGCAATTTTCTTTGGTGAAGACCCAGCTAAACGACATCTTATCCACCCTCATTCCCGCGGTACAGGATGAGCTTCATCACGCCATGCCCAAGTACTTTGGCACCGAAACCCAATCGTGGAAAGAGATTGACGTGGGAACCTCCGTCCAGATGCTTGTGGGGCAGACCTCCAGCCGTTTCAATGTCGGACTCCCGCTCTGCCGCAATGAAGAGTACCTAGATCGGACCCAGAAGATCATCAAGGGAGTCATGATTACCGCAATCGCCGGAAACGTCTTCCCAGGCTTCCTGCTGCCCATTGTCGGTCGCCTCACAAGCTTGCATACTTGGTACAACATCAGTCGGGTCAAAAAACATCTCAAGCCGCAGTACACCGAACGCCTGGCGGCTCTGGGAAAGGAAAAGGAGGATCAACCCCAGGACCAACTCCAAATTATGATGCGATTTGCACAGAAGAAGCGCCCACAGGAATTGAACGATGTCAACATCATGGCCACGCGTCTAGTCGCCGCCAACTTCGTTGCCATGCATCAGACTTCCGACACGCTTACCACTATGCTGCTCAATATCATGGACTCCGACGCCAAATACAACACCATCGAAGTTCTGCGCGAAGAGGCCAAGCGCGTCCTGGGCAACGGTGAAGTCGGTTGGAATAAAGAAAATTGCGCGGCTATGACCAGCTACGACAGTGTGGCCCGCGAGACCATGCGCTGCAGCTTCCCGTTCGGCACCCGTGGTCTACTTCGCAAGGTTATGAAAGACGACGTCGTCACGAACCTCGGAGTGCCGCTCAAGAAAGGCAGCATCGTGTCTTTCCTCGCCTCGGCCGCACAGATGGACCCTGGAAAGTATGAGAATGCCCTCGAATTCGACCCGTGGCGCTTCTCACGCGTGACCGAGAAAGACCGCAAGGAGAAGCCGGGCGAGGAGTTTCCCGTTACCTCAACCGGCCACCACCCGCAGGCTTTTGTGACGACCTCGCCCGAATATCTCACCTTTGGGCACGGCAAGCACGCTTGCCCCGGTCGCTTCCTCGTCGATTTCGAGCTGAAGATGATTGTAGCCTACATACTTCAGCACTACGATCTCAAGTTCCCCGACGAGTGTAAAGGCAGGGCCCCACCCATGAAGCATGTAGCTGAGCTGAACATGCCGCCTCCGGGGGCCAGGATCCTGGTCAAGAAACGCGTCTTGTAGACCTGGCAAATCTGTAGGCCATTCAAGGAGCCTTTAGTGTGGCAACTGCTGGTGAGCCGGCATACTCTTTGCAGTGGTAATGGATCATGACATCCCTTGGCACTGGTGGTTCTTTTTTCTTGTTTGAAGAGATTGGAAGATTCAACGTGTATCTCAAAAATGTGTGCAGACAGTTTTTGCTCTAGAGAATCTCCTATTTCTTTAGAAATCAGCCAATGTCAAACATGATTGTATCAATCAAAAATGCAGTAACGTATCTCATTCGAGTGGGTCACTTAAAAGGTTATAACACTACAATCGCTAGTATAATGTGACCACGTTGTTCAAAAACACCTTCCATTAAGCTCAATCGAAAATTAAGATATGTTGTATCTATAGACATTATATTGAGACTGGTTTTAATGACCGGTAGAGGTAAGATCTAAACCGTAGTAGCCTTAATAGGTATGCCGCAAGCGAAACCCCTATTCAGATGTCCTGTAAGCGAAGTGAAGAATTATGGTCATGTGATATGTAGATATGACACAGACATGATCTATGGGAAGTGCGCGCCATGGGCCGGAGTATTACAGATGTGCCTTTAGCATTCTTAGACACCCTTGGCTCGAAGACAGCCCAGAAGAAAACCTAATTGCGCCAATACAACTTGTCTCTTGACAAACTAGCTCTCTTCCGTCGCCCAAAATTATCTACTCAGGGAGAACCGGAAATACGACTGAAGTCTTGTCAGCGGATTCCTTCACATGCATCACTATCAGGACAATATGAGGCATCTAAGCTTGTCTATTCTCTGTCTTAACGCGCGATAATGGCCGGTTCCCGCTGTTCTAAATGTCTAAGGTACGGAGTATAGTAAACTTTATCGGGATATCCCGTTGAATTCCCCGCCAAGTTAGTCGACCCGACCAACTTATCGGGCCCTATCCAACTGAAATCGGAGCTCCTTCAAAATAAGGCATAAGTGTATTACCAACGGCTTTGTAATCAGTAAGGACAGCTTCCCTCGTTTGAAGCTTTGCGCGGGAATTAAAACCTAGACAACAGGCCCATTGAGGGGAACTGAGCTCGACGGAAAACTCGGTTAAAGAACTCAGTATAATCAAGTATAGGTAGCAGGAGGCTAGTTTATTTTCTAAATCCAAGTCCCTCTCCAATCCAAACATTGCTCTCGATTATTGCAACACTAAACTTCAGCGTCCATGGCCCAATTGTCCAACGAGAAAATCATGGAGGATCTCCCTTTGAGACCTGTGGGTGAGCTGCGCACAATAATCCCACGGACTTCAATCTGTACATGAAATCTAATAAGAAACAGGCAACATGGAACGATTCAACATCGTCCGCAACTACCTTCATTTCTACAACAATGTTCAAGTCTCAGCAACTTACACTATTCCCTCCTCCCTCCTATCAAACTTCCCTTCAAGCACCAGCTCCAATCAACTCCAAAGCCTTATCTACGCGGGCACGCAAGAAACACTCAATCAACATCCTGTTATGAGCGTTGTGATAGAAGACGAAAGCACCTCCAAGCCCAAATGGAAAAGACTGAAAACTATAAACCTCAACGAAGTCGTGAAGCTCATCCCTGGAGATCCAAACGCAAGCTCGGATTCTTGGGTTCAAGATGCTCATCGAGAACGCCTGGATCGTTGTGATGAATTGCCTTTGTGGCGAGTCATCGTAGTTACCCAGGACTATCCGAAGGAGGGAACTGAAACCGAAGACGGTCCCGTACAATTTTCTCTTGGGTTCTTCGCCCATCACGCTATTGTAGATGGGATATCAGCTGTGGCATTCCATCGTACGTTCCTCGATGTGTTGAATGGTTATATAGCCAACAATACCCAAAGATCCTTGGATGAGGCCGAGACATCACTCGTGCCCGCTCCTCGACTGCCACTCATCCCCACCCTCGAAGAGGAAGGAAGCTTTGGCGTCCAAATCTTGTTCGCTCTAAAACAGGCCATCAAAGCCCTCATCTACAACCGAGTTGACCCCTTAAACTGGAGCGGCCCCATGTCCGATCCCTCACTGCCCCGTCCACCAGTTTGCAACATTCGCAGTTTTCTCCTTCCCACCCCTCTCACCAACGCCGTGCTGGCGAAATGTCGAAACGAGAAAACGACACTCACTTCGTTAATCACTGTTCTCACAAGTCGAAAGCTAGCGGTGATGTATCCGGATTACAAACGGTTTACGGGCCATATTCCGTTCTCGGTTCGGAAATTTACGAAGCGAACGCAGCTTGATATGGGATTTTTTGTTACGACTATCGAGCCGGCTTTTTCTTCGGAGATCAAAACACCGTCGGGTTACATATCCTGTTTTACTCCCTCTTCCCCATCAGAATCCGATGGTTTGCTATGGGAAAGCTGCCGAATAGTCGGCAAGTACGTCACGGAAAACACGAAATCACCAAATAACCAACTAGTGGGAATGGCGAAGTTCATCCCCGATATGGAAAAAATGTTCATGGGTAGTCTGGGCAAGAAACGATCGCGTGCTTTTGAGGTCACAAATCTTGGGGTTGTGGACGGAGGTCTGGGTGAGGATGGGAAAGGGTCAGATGGTAAAGCGAGTTTTGATCGGCTGAAGTTCTCGGCGTCGTTAGCTACGTCGGGGAATCCTTATGTGGTTAGTATTGTGAGTACGAAGAATGGGTATATGGATATTACGATGGCCTGGGAGACGGGCGTTGTGAGCGATGATGAGGCGGGGAAACTGCTTGGGTGGATTGATGCGGAGCTGAAAAGATTGGGTGGTGAGTAGGAGGCTTTGGTACTAATTATAGCATGGTGCACGAGAGATATATGACGGATTAAATCTAGTCGTGATGTGTAATAATTAAAATAGATATATACAAGTTTATAATATGAGGGTACGAATGTGACACTGCACTATACGTCTGGAAACCATCAAGCAGACTGAGTGTCAAAGGCCATAAAGCCACTGTCTAGTATTAGTATAGCTACTCCCATAGGCCTGTATGAAAATCAACGTTGGCTTTTGAGAGGGAGCTTTCAATTCTGATACAGTATCCTCAAATATCAGTGAGAATCATCCAGGAGCTAAGAGGGCATACGAATACTTCTTCAGTATCTCATATTCGCGTCTGTCAAATTCAGCTTGGCGTTTAGTCGACGGCGAATATCAGACTCAGTAGGCAGGTCAAGGGAATCTCGGTCTTGAATAAAATTCACAGTCTCCTTCTGGACTGTTAGAGCATGAAGAACTCCTGGCTCCATGCTCTCTAGGTCCTTGTGTCATATGAATGATATCATCCTTTTCCTGTGGGAGGGTAGTTCGCTGCTAACTGCGTCTATGGTCTATATGGCTTGCTATTGCCCGAGTCCGACCACCACCGTATCCGATTTCTCGATGTCAAGTCGGGCCAATCTGCGAATTTCACGATGTGTGATAGATCAAATTATCAGAAGACCGTCAACTATGACCGAGCCCGACCGCCAGATCCGATTCTCAGTGTCAAAGTCAGGCCAATCTGCAAATTTCACGATGCGGGATCAAATTATCACGAGACCATGAACTATGACCGAACCCGACCCCGACCCCGACCTCGAATCCGAACTATACTCAATCGACATTCCACAGTTCTTTCTCATGATAATATAAGTGCGTCTTTCGATCATATCGTATCGTTATTGCAGAGCTCAACAGTCATTCGAAATTCATTCACTCGTCGTTTTGACTGCATTCAACCGAAGCTGGGAAATCAACATACATTTCTGTATCACAAATATCCGGGCATTTTTCCCCTTCCCGCAAACAACAATGTACGATAACGAAGAACCAAATATGGATCATAGCGCCAGATCAACCATCGATGATGGTAGAGACAGTTTCCGCCCCTTACACTCGCCAGTTGATGATAGTACACATACGACAGAGGCGGAAAAAGAAGCGCATGAATACATATCTGGACCGAAGCTCTGGCTCGTCACAGCTGCCGTGACCCTGGTGATGTTCTTGACGTTGCTTGACACCACCATCATCGTAACGGTATAGTCCGTTAATAATCGAGTATCTCTGTGTGGTTGCTGATGGAGTGCATAGGCTATTCCTCGAATCACGACCGATTTTAGTTCCTTGTCTGATGTCGGATGGTATGGTAGTGCATATCTTATAGCAAGGTAGGATATCCCCATTGCAATTTTTATATTTGGAAGATCCCATACTAATATTGATGTCAGCTGTGCTCTGCAGCCATTGACCGGGAAGATGTACAGCCAATTTAGCTTAAAGGTATACATCCGCCACTGGTTCCGGAGATGGAAATATGCTAACTTTCTAAAGTACACCTTTCTTGCCTTCCTCGTCCTATTCGAAGTCGGTTCTGCTATTTGTGGCGCCGCGCAGTCGTCGAAGATGTTGATCATTGGACGCGCAGTTGCTGGGCTGGGTGGATCAGGACTGAGAAACGGGGCACTCAACATTATCACGGAGTCTATTCCTTTGTCAAAGCGACCACGTAAGTGTTGTGTTCTTGCTGGAGCTTATCCAGAGCTAATATGAATCAGCATACTTTGGAGTCATGATGGGTCGTAAGTACAGCCATACATAAGACCTTTCGTTTTCTAATGAAATTTAGTTTCCCTATGCGGTGCTGCGGTAGGACCTTTACTTGGAGGTGTGTTCACCAAATATGTTAGCTGGCGATGGTGTGAGTTAAAAAGTTATGTTACCTTCTACCTATTCTGACCTCCCAGGTTTCTACATTAATCTACCCGTCGGTGCTGCGGCCGCCATCCTGCTTTTAGCGATCAGAATACCCGACGCCAAAGAGAATAAGCCAAAATATTTGAGTGCTATCTCTGCTCTATTAACCCTTGACCTCGTCGGGTTCTTCTTGTTTGCACCTTGTGCCGTTATGTTTCTCATGGCTCTCGAATGGGGAGGATCAAAGTATGCATGGAGCAGCGCTACAATCATCGGTCTATTCTGCGGCGCAGGTGGTATGTTGATCGTATTTCTAGGTTGGGAATATCGTGTCGGTGACGAGGCGATGATTCCCCTCAGTATGGTGAGAAGACGAGCCGTCTGGTCCTCATGTCTAGTCATCTGGTTCTTCTTCGGAGCAATGATGGTGTACTCATACTATCTACCCATATACTTTCAGGCTGTGAAGGGTACATCACCACTGGCGAGTGGTGTAGATGTCCTCCCCTTAATCATCAGCCAAATGATTGCATCGATTCTTGCAGGTAGCTTAGGTGTGTATTTATACTCTCTGTTCTAGAGGGCTATAGCTGACATAACTTATAGTCGGGAAAGTAGGATACTATATGCCTTTCAGTATTGCAAGTGGCATTTTGATGGTTATTTCAGCTGGATTGATTTCATCTTTCAAAGTAGATACCTCGACTGGGAAGTGGATCGGTTATCAAATTATTGGAGGCTTGGGCCAAGGCCTTGGAATGCAGATGGTAAGAGATCCTTTAATAATCTATAAACATATGTTCAGATGTACTGACTCATCTTCTAGCCCTACATTGCCATTCAAAACACAATCCCACAAGAGCATAATGCAGTCGCACTCGCACTCATCGTTTTCATGCAGAATCTAGGAGGAGCGATATTCCTGGCCCTTGCACAGACAATATTTACCACGGATCTACGCGGTGGGTTGGCAAAGTTTGCCCCAACAGTAGATGCCGAAACGGTAGAGGCAGCTGGTGCTACAGGTTTCAGAGCTGTGGTAGATCCGGTGGAAGTTATTGGAGTTCTGAAGGCATATAACTCAGCTATAACCAAAAACTTCTTTTTAGCTGTCAGTTGTGCAGGAGCAACCCTTCTCTGCTGCTGGGGAATGGGTTGGGTGAAGATCAAGAAGATAGAGGAGAAGCCTGAGTCTAGAGAAATGACTAGTAACTGAAAACTCAGAAGTTTACTAGTTTATATAATATCACTCTCTTTTGTTCCGTTATATATTCTTTAGTATTTAGAGAAACTAGTATACTATATATTAGTAATACTATCTCTTATTTATAGTTTTCATCAAAAAGAATTCACTTTTCAGTATTTGCGATACTTTATTCTATAGATCTAAATTCGTAAAGTAGTGTTTATAAACTTCACTAATATAAATACAAGCTTTATTAGTAACTTCCTCAAATTTACTTTAAAAGAAAATATATTTATAATTATTTAATAAAATAAAAATTAAAGTTATATTAAATTTGTTTTAAATAAAATAAATTATATTCTTTTATTTATATTTTCTTAGCTAAAATTAATATTATTAGAAATTATAGAATAAAACTAATATATTTTTCTCAAATATTATTTAATACTTTCTTTGTACTTAATAATTGCTTCTTAGAATTTATAGTATCTTTCTTGTTAATAGTTATTTATTATATAACTTCAAAATATTTCTATTTTATATAAAGTATAATAACAATAGAAGTACAATATATAGAAGTACTATTAATAATAGAGAAATACTTGTCGAGTTTAAACTAAGAATTAATAATATAAATGCGGAGGTGTTGAATTGAGAGTATTGAGAGTTCAGGGTTGTTAGCTCTAATATTGAAGTTATTAGAATTTAGTAGGCTTGGTATACTGAATAAGTACTAACTACTATATTTTGGGTAAGGAATCTGTTTCCTTATATACTTAGCTATTGCAGTGTCTATCAATATATTCATCAATACTACGATTAATATCACTTGGAGCCTCATTTCCTAACAGAGGTCATCTCTTATAACTAGCACGTGCTTTAAAAGCCCGTTTAGTGTAGTCATATAATCCGATAAGATACCACGGTCGGCCTCTAACTTGGTGCCTTCCGCGCGTTTTGTAAGCTCGTAAAACTTCTTCAGGATACTCATAACCTCTGATAGGGAGTCCCAATCATCTTTATTAAGAGTATCATGACACAAAATACGCTGTCGCTCTTCCGCCGACGATGCCTTGTTGTAAGAACCGTGCAATATTCCAGGAAAAAGGTTCCTCGGACCACCCGTCAAGCCTTAGCACCATCCACGCCTCCAAAAAGGGGCAGTAATATATATTATTAAGAGTTCTACTATTGACATTAGCCCGCTAAGCTTAAAGGCCGCCTGCTGATACTAGCATCACAGGATGTCAATATACATATATCTCAAAGGCCACGCTCAAATTAAAATGAAAGTTGTCAGGATTCGGGCCCACTGGCGCTTGAGGTTGTAGGCCTTCCCGACACCTTTCCCGACCAGCTGGAATTGGGCCTCCTCAGTTGCTTCAACAGGGCGCAAAACAAAAACATAAAATATATCCTTTTTATCCCCATTCATCATCCTCGACATCTCCATCATCCCATCAATCCCATCATTCCCGTCATCGTCATCATCCCAAACATCCCCATTATCAATATAAATTCTATCCTCATAATCATCCTTGTCATCCCTCTTGTTGTTCCCAAATGTCGGTGTCCAGAGCCAGTCACCCTCCTTAACCCTCGTAGGCAGGTGGCACAAGGGATATCTGACGCGAGGGGAGCCATCGATGCAGGCACAGTGCTCAATATCATGTCGGTTAATCCTCTTGCAAAGAGTAACAAAGTCGTTGTTCGATAATTCCATCGACGTTGAAGTTTTGCTGGGCTGAAATTCGAGAGTTCTCATGGCACATTTTGGAAACACGGTGAGGAGAGCTGAATCTTCCTGCTTGTCAATTTTGAGCCTTCCAAAACCAAACCCTGGGATACCAATCTTTCTACTTTTACGCTCAAGTCTCCAGCCATGGTTGGAACGACTGCGGAGTCGTTCGGGATCTGTTCTCGCGCTTTCAATAAGTCTGTAAAGATTTCTCAGACTGGAGACCTCATCTTCGGTCTTCCAGTTAGGCACCCACGATGGCAGAAAAATATCTTCGTCTTCCCGTCGATCTTCTTCCTCGCTCTCCAGACCTTCTTCGTCCGAATCCTCTCTCTGTAGAGGACCCTGTAGTCGTTCCTGTCGCCGTCGTTGAAATCTTCTTTCCTGTCGGGCTCTCTCCAGTGCCTCGAGACCAGCAGCCCACAAGCAATGCAGGTCTTTATCAAGTTCTATGCACACTCGCGCCGCCCATGTGAAAGTCTCCTCCACGGACAGCGAGTAATCCGCTTCCATGAAATCGTAAAGATCCCGGGGCAACAGCGAGAGCAAACAGTAGACCTTGTCTCGGGGGTCTGACGATTCACGCTCCTGCGTCTGTGCCAGTAGGTGAAACAGGGTCCTGTCCTCCCCAACCTGGGCAAGAGTCGGGACGTCTAGAATCCTGGCGCCGCAGAAATGTTCGGCTTCGGATAGGCGATTGAGCGAGTAGATGGTTTTCAAGAAAATCCGGAAGTCTGCGTACTGGGACCCGCAGCAAACAATGGAATCTGTCGAAAGGCTAATCTCCTGCAAAGTCCAAGCCCGTCGAAACCATGCTCGAGACAAGATTTCTCCGCCAAAATCCAAGAGTTCGTTGAAATTTTTGCCGTAGGTTAGTGACAAATCTTGTCCATCCCTCACTTTCTCGAGGATCTTGAAGAAGTCTTCGCTCTTCTGCGTCGCCTCGCCAAGCCACACAACGACACATTGAGCAATGTTGTAGATGCCGCCCATCATTGTAACTTGTTGATTCCTCTCTGGAATGTCAGTCTGGTTGATGCAAATAGCATCTACCCATAGCTTTTTATCGGGCCATTCTCCCCATATCTGATGTAGTGCGGTCCATAGATTGGACGTAATAGGAACCATTTTGTCATTGCAAACCATGGAGCGCTCCCTGACAGAAGGGTCACCCCAGACGTAGGATAGTGCATCGAACGGCTCTGGTTCAGTCAGAGAGATCACTGACATTTCACAGTACACTGGTTGTTCGACGCCCGTAGCCGATCTTTCAGTGTCCTTCTCGATTCCCTCGATGCCTAACGTTGGTCTCTTCAAGGTTAGAACGCGTATGCTATGTGGTGTGGGAAGAGTTTCGTAGAGATTCATGATGTAACAAAGGCTTTCTAGTTTGGGTTTATATCTAAGCAAGATTTAGCATATATTGAGCTCATAGGCGTTTGCAAAAAGGAGAATAGCGTTTGCTGCAGAAATAATTTGTGTAACTCATGAATAGCGTGGCGCTCGTTGATTCGGAGACATGTACGGGCGACGATAACTACCTTGCCTTCTTTTCAATTTTCGCATTTATCGAACCCCGTAAATTACTGAATTTTTTATAATTTCGTACTTTTTGTACCTTCTTTTATTCTTAACTTATTACTCTTTCGTACGAAAATAACTATACATCGTCCTTCTATTTCGCTTAATATATTTCAAGTAGAGTTTTAGCTATAAGTTTATAACGAAGAGCTTAGTAATTAAGAGATTATTCAACGATTATTAGAACGTCGAAGTATACTTTATAAACTTACTACTATCGAAAGATATCTTCGAAAGAATATAATTAAAGATACTTTTCAACTTTAAATTCGAATTATACTTCTTTAAGTATTATATATTATATTAATTACTTGATATAATAATATTTTATAACTTTAAAGTTTATTTTTAATTAATTTAAAACTAATATTTATAAAATAAATAAAATTAAATTAAAAGTTAAATTATTATTATTGATAGTTAAATATATTCTAGTAAATACTTTAAAGTATTAGAAGAAACTACTAAGATATATTCAACGACAGGGAAAACTACGCCCGCGAGTGTAGCGAAGTAGTATAATTAGTCGAGGATATTATAGCGAGTATACTATACTATCTAACTAATAATCTAGGATCTTTTATCGGTAGGGGTGCGGAGCGGGAATTGAAGCCGGGGAGAGCGTAGGCGGGCTACTACTGATATATCCTGTGTTTATAGCGTCGAGGGTAGGTACTATGAAGGCAGAGATGCGGGAGTACTTGCAGGAGTACTTAGTATAGATTGCGGATAATATAGGGATTGGACAGGTGGCGAGATTCGCGAAGGTGAGAGGTCTTGTTTTTGTTAGTTTTTAGTTTGGGGTGTTCTACTGAGGATAGAATTACTAATATAAAGTTGTAGGCGACGGATATTGATAAGTAGTATTTTGCGGATAGGTGTATAATTGTATAGACGGGGGTGCTAGTTTAATTCAAAAACATATTGCGGGATATCAACAAACCTGTCTATAATTTCCTATACCCAAGAGTGGAAGGTCTCCTTATCAACAAGTTCTACTACTTCACCACCACCGCCTCAACACCTTCAAAATTAATCCCCGAAATATCAACCTTCCTCTGCCCACTCCCCGCCCCTCCAGCCGCCCAACTAACACTCAACACCACCTTCTCACCCGGCCATAGCGTAACATAGTTATCCGACCACACCACCGGTAGCACATCCTCGCCCTCCCCATCCCTCAGCTCAAGACGTACAAAATACGCCGCCACAGCGGCCTTATTCACCAGCGTGATGTCCACCTTCACCTTCCCATCCACTATAGCCGCTTTCCCTGCCGTAGCACTCAAATTCGCCGGCTTAATTGTCGCGAGTGACTTGTAACTCGCGAACTTCGTGACAGGGGTGTAGAACCACGTCGAGTTATCCCAGTCCAATTTATCCACTGTCGGCGCGAGCCAATATACGTTCCTACTCAACACCTTGCCAGCCGCATCACTCAGCATGAGGCGAAGGAAAGCAGCGTCCGTTAAAGCTGTCGCTTGGGGGATAGTAGCCACTTTCTGCGAGTAGTTGGGCGTTGTAGTCGCCTCTACCGAGCGCGAAACCAAGGTCTTGCCATCTTTGCTCAACAAGTCAACCTTAATAGTTCTCGACCCCTTCTTATCAAGCGTGTGGTTAATAAGCCACACATCGCCCTTCGCGCTGCCATATCCGAATGCAACGTGCTCCGCCCTCCCGCCGACTTTTGCGCCAAAGTACGATCCAGCAGGCTTGAGGTAGTAGTCGAACAGGTTCCAGTGGAGGCTGGGCCAGGCATTATTGAGCATCCAGTAGATGATACCCGTGGAGGGGCGCTTGGCACTCTGGAGCGCGGAGTACCCTTCAAATTCGGCGCGCGTGGCTTCGTAGTCCATGGCTTGGGCCTTGAGGAGGTAGTCATCGAGGGAAGTGGGGGCACCGTAGCGGGCGTAGAGCGCATCGTTGTAGATTTTGCGATCGTAGAAGGAGGATTCGATGGTAGACATGTGGTACAGACCTTTGTCGGGGGCGGTCCAGAGATCGTTCATATCGGACTCGGTGAGGAACTTTTTAAGAGATGAGAGCTCAGGGGTGCCGACGCCAGAGCCAAGTTCGGAGCCGAAGCCGAAGGCGGCGCCGTATTGGGTGTCATACCAGTAATTCGGGGGAACCCAGTCGTAAGGGCCTTCTGTGGGGTATAGTTAGCAGGGAATAAGGTAGAGTCGGGTCGGTAGATGTGAGGACATACCCATCTTCATGCCCGAGGACCCCAAATTCTCAGGAAATCCTCTCAGTGATGCAGAAGCAATGATAGGAACATCCCAATCAAGCTCTTTCAACTTATTGACATAGATCGGCGAGGCGCGCTCATCAGGCCAGAAGTCACTGCCAACAAGGAAACCAAGTAAGCTGGCATGGCCCTGCATCATATATGCCTCGTGCTCCATCTGCTTTGCTGCAGTCACATAATCAGCGTCAACCCACTTCACTCCCTCGGCCTCATCGTTATATGTCCAACCCTCCCACTTATCGCAGCACTCCCATCCAGTGAGCACCATCATGCCCATGCGGTCGGCGATATCGTACAGCTCGGGGTGCTCCTGTTTCCCCTCGAGACGCACGGTGTTCTGGCCCATATCGAGAATATACTCGAACTGCTGCACAAGCTTGGCCGGGTCAAAGCGCAGGAACATGTCGGCGGAGTAGCCGGCACCGGTGACGAGGAAAGGGTGCCCGTTAACGGCAAAGGCGCGGTCCTGGTGGGAGTTGAGCGAGGAAGTCACATGGCGGACGCCGAAGGTGCGTTGGGCGGCGCGGTCGGAGACCTCAGATCCGATATAGGCGGCGAGATTGAGCGAATAGAGGGGTTGCGCGCCCCATGCTTTTGGCCACCAGATCTGAGGGTCTTTGATCTGGGCTGTCAGTGTGACGGTCTTGGTTTCATTGGCTTTGAGAGTGTAGGAAGCCGAGATAGGAATATTTGCGCCGGAAGGCTGACCGACCGAGCCTTTAAGCGTGCCCTTGACTGATGTGGCCCCGCTGTTCTTCACGACAATGTTGATGGTAGCTGTTACGCTGCTGACGGCATTGCCTATGTAGTCAGTAACAACGCGGGGCTTCAACAGTGACACTGGTCCAGTCTGTGAGACGAAGACCTCACGCCAGACACCCGTCCCATTGTCCGGTGGGTATGGGTTCCAGTCGACGTAGCCTAGAGCAAAATCCTTAAGATAGTTGGTTGGATAGGCGCGGATTAGGACGGCGTTCTTTCCCTTCAGCAGGTGCTGGGTAATGTCGAACTTCTCACCGCCATACGCCCCCGCAAGAGTTTCCTTGGATGCAAGCTGTTTCCCGTTAAGGTACAGGTCTGCCTTGGAGGATATGCCGTGTGTCTCGAGGAAGTAACGCTGGTTAGCCGCCGGGTCGAAGGTGAGCTCCTCGCGGTAAAGCCAAGGTACGTCGAACTGAGATTTGTCGACCATAGTCTTCAAGTTGTCGGAAAAGAATAGGGCTGTGTCGTTATAGACATTGTTCTCGAGAAGCCCGGCCTGTGTTGAGTCTTTTAGCGGCATTCCCGGTCTTTGACATGCTTGGAGGTATCGAGCTGATGTTCACACATACCATGACAGTTCCCCGGCTACCAACACGGTACCACGACGATACGTCGAAGCCAGGCTGTGACACGGCGAGCATGTCACTGGAAGCCTCGGCCGTCGACTGCATATACCAGCCCTTAATGGCCGCGGCATCGCCGGCAGTCTTCACAAGGGAACAACCATCGATGCGAGCTGGAGAGGCAGTGACCACCTGAACAACGGCAGCGGCCACACCAAAAGAAAGTGAGAGCAAGCGCATAATACCTCGATTCACCAAAGAGCCGTTGTCGAGGAATTGGTTCTTTGTGTTGCGCTGGGTGCATTCACAACCAACATCCCGCACTGGGAATATTCTCTCTCAGTGCCATCAGGGCTACACGTTCGACTTTATATCCCCGTTCTGGACGGCTATGAGGGGTCTTGGGTGTCTTGGCTGACAGGGCCGGCTGGGCTAGACCGTATGTTGCACCACTTTGCATAGTGCTGCAGCATACCACTACCATACCAGCAGGGTAGCATTGAGGATAATTAGTGCGACAACTTATTGCGGCTTTGACAACAGCGTTGCGGTTGCGGTTGCGGTTGAGGTTGAATTTGTTGATAGCTATTGATGTTCGAGACACATTGATGTTCATATGATAGTGGGGATAACCTCAGCCCGGTTGTCGATCTTACTATAACTGTCGTTAGCGTCAGTTAACGTTCCCCTGAGCTCAGAGCTTAAACCTTGCCAGCACGGAGCTTAGCTTCGCCGGCTTCCGCGTCGCCGACTTTGCCGCGGAACTATCACCGAGAGTTGGAAGTTTGCAGTTTCCTAATATAGATAGATATAATATACGATAATCGCCGGCAAATATCTTAGTATGTCGCGGCGCGTGCTTCTTTTCCCCTTGGCGCCACTAGTCACCAACCTAAAAAGCGCTACAACGTTTCATTGCCGCCGCCCAGGTCTTATCTGGGGAAACGACTTAGTGCGGGGAAAGCTTGGTATCAAAATAGTCGCTGATCCCTCCGTGTTGTCGCTTGGCCTTTTAAGAATATCCATTGGCAGAGCCACAACTCTTAGATTCATCGTCAACGGACAGTACAGCAAGTATGAGTGAGGAAAAACAAGTTATCGCGTCCATCGTGGCGGCAGGAGACTGTGGGCAGTGATGGGAAGCCAGTCGACGCCGACGAGCTGAGACGGGCACAGATGGGTATTTATTCTTGTTGCCAAGCAAATCATGGAGTATAAGCAGCCAACTCTCATCCGCAAAGGTCACAAACAAGAATTGGCGCGCCATTTTGGAATTTTCAGTCTCGTCGGCCTCGCATCGACGACGACCATCTCCTGAACAGGTGTGCAATTTATCGCACGTGCCTCTGTACCACACAGCCAGACTAATATTGTATCCAGGTCTTGGACTTGGGCTGGTGACTGAGATTTCCGCTGGCGGCCCAGGAGCCGGTGAGTTGTAATGGCAGGTCTATTTATCGGGGCCCAGGCTTACTTGAGATAGTCATCTATGGCTTCATCCACGTCTGGATCCTCCAGTCCTTCCTGGGCGTATCTCTCGCCAAGTTTGTCTCCTCCTACCCAACCGAAGGCGCCATGTACCATTGGATCGCTGCCATCGCCCCACGGCGGATGACCGGCTACCTCAGCTTTGTTAAAGGCTGGTGCACTGTGTTCGGATGTGAGTCTGAGCATGATTTTCATGTGTGGATGGAGAGCTGACGCGAATCAGGGATCTTCACAGCCGCATCGACGAATCTGATTTACTCTCAAAATTTCATTCCATTGATTGTATTGTACTATAGAGATCTCGTGATCAAGGCCTAGACGACATTCGTGGTGTACCAGGTCTTGAACTTGGCGACGGCATCGATCGTTATGTTTGGCAACAAGGCCATCCCCGGGCTCAACCGATTTTCACGTGAGCTTTGCGGCGTTTAAACTGGCTCTGGTGAGGTGCTAATGAGTTGTCTAGTTTTCTATCTTCAGATCGCTTGGTTCGTGATTATGATAACGGTGGCTGCCACTGCGCCATCTCACAAGGATACCGAGTTTGTCTTCCGGACGTGGATAAACAAGACGGGTTGGGAGTCGAATGTGATTTGCTTCATTACTGGGTTGGTGAACCCGCTATACAGTCTTGGTGGGCTGGACGGCATTTCTCATATCACGGAGGAGATGCCAAATGTATGAGCCACCCTCTTAAATTGCGTGTTTTCTGGACTCAGAGCTGACCTTTGTGTAGCCCTCACGAAACGCACCACTTGCTATTAGTACGTATATCCCTGATGTATTAATATGAGATTCCTGTTAACAGTGAACAATCACAGCCATCACCCTCTCCATCGCTTTCGTGACTGGCTTGACATATCTCATCACCCTCATGTTCTCCGTCCAGGATTACTCGGCGCTAGCTACCACTTCCACTGGCCTCCCGCTCGCTGAACTCTTCCTGCAGGCAACTCAGTCAGTCGGCGGTGCTTTTGCTCTAACATTCATGCTTTGGATTGCCATTGGGCCCTGCATGGTCGGCTCTCAGCTGAGTATGACTTCGGCGTCTTGACTTCCACCCCCCAAGCTGATAATCTTCTCCAACAGGCACCGGACGCATCTTTTGTGCCTTCACCCATGACGGCGCCCTCCCCTTCTCTTCCACGTAAGGCTTCACAACCCGTGTCTTACCCCGCCATCTAACAACCCCCTAGCTGGACTAAAGTCCATCCCACCCTCCGCATCCCCTTGAACGCCCAGCTTGCGGTCACAGCCATAATTGCGATTCTTGGATGTTTGTATCTCGGCTCCTCGACTGCCTTCAATGCCCTCCTCGGCTCGGCCGGCACCATCAACAACCTCGCGTACCTGGTACCAATCCTCACCAATGTGCTGATGCGGCGAACTACATTGCATCGGGGCACCTTCCATATGAGTTATGTCGTTGGAATGACGGTCAATATCATAACTTGTATTTGGCTCGTGTTTGCGATTGTGTTTTTCTCGTTTCCCTACGTGAAGCCCGTTTCTAGTATGCACCCCCAACTCTACCTCCCCTTGGGTCAAAGTACAGATTGGAATGCTAATACGGAATAGCACAAAATATGAACTACACGTGCGCCTGTGTGGGAGGGTTCCTTGTACTAGAGACAGCGTAGTGGTTTGTGGCTGGGAAGGAGTGTACAGCGAATATTTTGAAGGCGAAGGAGGAGAACCATGTAGCGGAGGTTTTAGGGCGGGATGAGAAGAGGGAATGAGTGCAGACTCTTTTGGAGGTGTACTATGTTTGGAACACTTATTTACTTTATTTTATGTGGGGTAGATAATTACAGTTACAACTGTGAAGAGTATTGCATCCGCCCCGTCTGCTCTCCGGTACACTTATCGATATTATAGTCTATAACTCTAGTTAATACTAGTAAGCTCTACTACTTTACTCGAGCAGATTAGGAAATAACAAATAAGAGTACTAAATATATATATATTTATATTAGTAGTTTTAAAGCTCCCGATACTTTAAAGCTTCTTTTACTTTTAAGTTAAAATAGTTTATCGTTATCTTTACCAAGTCAATCTTTATATAATAATAGCTTAAAAGTATAAACTCTTTTAGAATATTTAATAACTTTAAAGTAAAGTATAAATAGCAAAGTATAAAAGTATATTCTATTTAGTTTTCCTTTTAAAGTTTAATTAAAATTATATTTAAAAGATAGTTTCTAGATTTTAAAAATTATTATAAAAATATATTATAGAAAAAGTACTTCAATTTAAATCCGACTTTAAAGTTTATAAGAAACTATTCTGAAATAGAATATTATAATATTACTAAGTTTAGAAGTTTTACTTCTAGAAGTAAAAGAAATCTTAACTTACTTTAACAAAGTAGTAATTACTAAAAAAGGAGCTCACTTAAGTATATACATATTATATGTATATAAAGAATATAAATTTATCACTAAAAGTTTAATAACTATAGAGATAAATAAATATAAGCTTCGTGTTCTAGATCTTAGTCGCTACTTTAACATCCTCGATATTCGCCGCCGCTTTCTTCATCTCTACTAGCGCCAACCTTTCTGTCCTAGCCAGCCTCCATCCCTCACCATAGAACCACTCGATCGCGAGCATTGGGGATAACCCAGCAGTGACGAATGAAAACATTAAGAATGTAGGCCCGGCACCGATGGATTCGATAATTAGCTCCACGGACGCAACGCCGATGGCGCCAATGGAGCAGCGCATGAGGTTATTGACTGCAGTTGCCGAGGCCGAGGCGCCGGGATACAAATCAATGACGAGAGCGCTATTGAGTGAGAAAACAGCCGTAGCAGAGTACGCGATGAAGAATTGTAAGACAAGGGGTACGGCGATTTGGTTCACGCTGAGTGAGAAACCGTAGAAAGCGGTCGTGAGGATGAAAACTAGGACGATCCACCAAATATTTCGTAGACGGGATTTCTCGATCGGAAAATCCACGAGGGTTTTCTTGTTGAGCTTTACGTCGTCGGGGATTCCTTTGGCTTTGCGGTATTGCCCTTCGACGATGCGGTAATCGTAGTCCATAAGGTAGCCCGTCAGATAAGAGCCGGCAACGCAACCGGCGCCGTTGGGGAGGAAGGCGAGTCCGACTTGTAGGTCATTGAGGTGGAAGCGAGCTTGGAAGAGGCCAGTGGTGCTGGAGGTTACCATGCTCCAGACGGTGTAGACGATGCTGCCAAAGAAGAGACTGACAAAAACGTCTTTCTCGAAGAGGAATCGAAGAGGGGCCACGATGCTCGCGAGTGTGACCTTCTTCTTTTGCACGTTGTCTGGTTCCATTATTGCGTCTGGCTGAGGCTTGAATTTGTAGATAAATGGTCTCTGGATGCCGGTCAGGCGGACAGTACCGTTGCCTGCGATGCTTCGCAGGGTCTCAGGGAGGAGCATCAGTATCAGGCCCAATGCAAGGGCACCGAGGCCGAAGAGGAACCAAAAGATGGCTCGGAAGCCGAGGAACTGTGTGATAATACCGCCAAAGACGGGTCCGACTGACTGTCCCATCATGCGAACTGTCGTTGTTAGTGGTGATATTCCTTGGGGGTGGAGGTACTTACTGCCGCCAAAGACTCCGATGAGTCCTCCACGCTCACGGGCAGTTGTAATATCTCCAATCACTCCAGCACCTATGAACAATTATTAGTCTTCCAATTCTGATCATCGGATAGGCATTAAATTTTACCAACTGAGATTGTCGCGGCACTACCAGCGGCTTGAATACCCCTAAAGACCATCAACGACGCGAAGCTATTGCTGAAGGCCAGGCCAACGTTCGCAAGCAGATATACCATAAATGTACCTGTAAATGTGTCAGTACTATACCCAATCGGGGGAGAAGTTTCAGTAAGCCATTTCGATTCCAAAGCGATCCAAAGTTGAATTTCCTGCCTCTGAACTCGAAGAATAGACGAAGGGCCCGAATAGGGGTTGATGCCGTTGAGGTTACCCGAAAGACTCACCAATAAATGTAATACGTCTTCCTTGAGTGTCGGATAACGGTCCCCAGAAGGATGGTGCGAGTCCTTGAACGATCATGTATACGGTGATAGTCAGGCTAACAAGCGAAACACTGACTTTGAGGTCCTATAATGTGTTAGCGCGCCACCGCAGCACTCGATAATCATCAAGTATACTGTAGAAATTTGTCCAAGTGCAGGAAAGTATATGTTACTTGATAGTGGCGAAAACAATCCTGCGAGGGACACAATATAAACCAGCTTCTTCTTCGTCTTGAGTGTGAAGACATGATAAGGCGGTTCTGGCAGCGTCTTATCCAAACTAAACACACTGCTTGCAGACGATGAGACACCCTCCGGTTGAGATGATGCGTTGCGATTGTATTCTTCGACCTCGTCATCTCGTTCAGCCGCTCGTTGTGACCGACTACCTCGAGGGCTCTCGAAGTCGTTGAAGTCAGCGAAGACCAGAATACTTTGTCTGTTCCAGGCCATCGATGGGATGCGGGACTTTCGTGCCATGACCCATCCCCCTGTTCCAATATTTTGGGGGCGCGGTTCGTCTAGGTGTTGGGCGAAGGCCACACGAGGTCCCGATGTTGGCTCTACGAGGGGTTCATCGGTCAACGATGAGAGGGTTGCAGCATGATGTGCAGGAGACGATCGATGTACAGATCCCATGATGGACGATGAGAGTCAGTCTCGACAAGACAAGATGTAGTTAGAAAGTAAGTGTAGGAACAAAAAATGGAACGCTCTAGCTAGAGTTTGCCTATTGTCTCTTATATACAATACCTCCCCTAGGGGAACTCTAGCAAAACCTTTATTCAAACAGCAATAGTAGCGGAGTGTAGTAGTAGATACCGCTTATAATTGGGGCGGTGGTTGGCACTGGCTCAGGGTGGACAGGGCCGCGGCTAGAGTTTACCTATGATCTGTTATAAGATGTAACAGCCTCCCGTAGGGGAACTCTAGAACACCTTTGTTCAAACAGCAATAGTAGCGGAGTGTGGTAGCAGATACTGCTTATAATCGGGGCAGTGGCTGGCACTAGCCCAGGGCGGACATGGCCCTGGCAACAATTGGCCTATTGTGTCTTATATAATGCAACAATAAGTCAATGCTCAGAGTCTGATGCGCGGTCAATCTTTTTGGATGATTTTGACTGGCGTCTCTTAGTCCCCAGACCTACAGAGCCTTTGAGATAGTATAGAAGCAAGAAAGTTATGGAGGCATTAAATGTATTGGATATTACAGTGAATAGACGAGACCTCGAGTGAGTTTAAGTATACTGCTCTGAGATTTGTGGATAACCGGTTGACCGGAAAAGATAAGATTAGAAGTAAGCGGGCTCGCACAACGGCCGAGAAGATCCAGGAAGACCCTCAGTAGGGGATATTGACGATTTTCGTGCCAAGTCCGAAGTTCAAGATCCACACTACTACGAATGGTTTGCGGACCTGGCACTTGCATCTCCTAGCATCTCCGAGCTATGAATAGCTCTAATGTACAGTTTGAGCAGGTTCAGATATACATTGGGACGAGAGGATGACGTTGGCCGACGTATTGGGCCCAGAGGAACAGCCGCCACTTAGCATCCCAGTAACGCGGGTCTGGATGTTTGCTCTTGGTATCAGAATTCAGCAGAAGCCACGCGAGTTTCGTTTGAGTAGTACCGACTTGGTATCTTAAGAATGATCGGCGTCCAGGTGTCTAGGTGCCGGTCTCTTGACTCCTTACTACGCATCGTCGTTTGCATCTCTTTTCACGAAGATCAGAGCGTCAAAGTCACCATGTCCAGGGGCTGCACGGATGTCACTCGACACGAAGAAAGGATTGATGCTATATGACTAAGAGCTTCTCATACTAGTAGAAGCAATCGATCTGCTTTCTGGATAGTGATCATTGAGTGGAAGACCTACTATGTATACTCAAGTGTGAGGATGAAGGAGGCGAGCCTACGATGCGATAATCAGTGCATAGGTGGAGTGACAGGTCACCGGACCTGTATCCAGTAATGGAAACTCAAACCGGGATGCCTCCGAGAGCATCCCAACAGCGATCGTTGGCTTTGTTTGATGGCGGCAGCCACACTTCTTCGAAACTTGGCGATCGGGGTCTCCAGACACTCTAGATGTCCCACCTAAATTTCCTTGCAGTCAATGTTTCTCAACGAACCATTACGGCGCTAGAATTTTGAAACGCGATTCAAATCGAGTACGAAGTAGATCACGTTTGAAACTAAGACCCAAGCGGAAGATGCTTGTGGGGCAATATAGGAACCAACCAGTGTTTTTCTGAAATAATAGCGCGCGCCGGGCCTTTCCCGAGTACCGAATTATACATTCAAGACCAGGAGGGTTCCATATCATATGCTGACCCTTCTGAGATAAAGCGAGTAGCCTCAAAGTATGCTTGGAAAGGCACGCATCTAATGACGATGAGAGGTCGTGGCCTCGCCCTAGAAACGTGTTTTGATGCGGTAGTTGTGGGTGGTACATGCACTGTAGTACTGGTACCAAGAGAAGAGGGGAGGATCAATAAACTACTGATCGCTTCTGGAGTGGGATCTGTTGCTTAACTAGTTTGTTGATAGAGCCAATGAGGCGAGCCCACATTTGCCTTTGCTCAGCCAGCGGGCTCGTTGCCACGCCAGGGGCATGGTGGGTCTTGTTAGGTGTAGGGGTATAAGGACAAAGTGTTTCCGTAATAAATATTTATCCTACCCTTATTTGGCCTGTATATTTTACTCTTATCGATATTGTTACGTTAGGAGGCAGATAGAAATAGAATCAGGTTATAAGTGTGAAAAATATCTAAGCCTTCGCTGGCCCCTTCTGCCCGTATACGACGTAGCTGTAAAATATAGCGTTAGCACGAAAGAGCTGAGAAATACGAATTAGACGAGCAAAACTCACATTGGCCAATATGCATGAATATTCTTATTCCTCAAGTCCTTTCTGACGCCCACTAAAAATACCTGCACTTCATCGTGGGTCCATCCCAGTACACGAGTGAACAACGCCACTATCATCCCTTCCAACCCGGAGTCAAAATTCTCCAAGCTCCACGCTCCTAGCTCCTTAAACTTCGCGGCTTTCGGCCACGTATTCGTAGGCCACTTGTATACCATTTCCACCACATTTTCAAAGCCGGCATCGATCATTAGTTGCTTGTACTTTTGGACGACGTCTACTGGTCTACCCATCTTGGGCCCAGCTTCAAGTATGAGATTGTTCATCTGCCTAAGCGCAGAGTCGTCTGGCCACGAATTATCGTCCGCTCGCATAGGGACTGCGCAGTCTTGCATCTCTAGCCATCCTCCCGGCTCCAGGTTGCTAGGAGCAAGTTAACGCCGTTCTGGACTAAAGAAAGGGAGAAATAAATTACTCCAAGCACTGTGTAAAGAATTTCGGCCAGTCACTGAAACTCGCATTGAGCATTCTTGTGTGAATGAGATCGAACTTTTGCGCGAACGCCCAAAGCTCTTCTGCATCATCGACTTCAAACCTCAGATTTGGAGAAATGCTGCAAGAAGTTATTTACGATTAGGGTTCGTGGTTACGCCCGGGATGCTCACAATTCCGGCTGGATCGGACTGAGGTCTACACCAATGACCTTTTGGTACGTTAGCAGACTTTCCGCTGAAAGGAAAGACGGCGGATAATACATCGGCCTCGGGATGTTCATCGGCTAGTAACCAGGTAAGTAACAAATTCGATACAGACGACAAATGGCTCACCAAAGTCGATGGCCCAAATTCCAGTTCCAGTACCGACATCAAGCACTCGATTCAGCTTATCCCCAAATGGACACACAACCAACTTCGAATCAAATGTCATCAAGAACATATGGTGTTGTAAATCTTTCACTGGTTAGGAAGGCCAAGAACGTTCAATTGGACTTGGACTTACCCAGCCGATCATTTTCCCTCTGAAAACCGTCAGATGTGAGGGTGTTCGGCCAGACCATAGAAACTTTACCTCGTCATTTGGTAGGATATATTCTTCATATTTGAGAGATTAGATAGGCTAAAGAGCGTTTGAGGGATAACAACTAACTTCCATCCTTGTAGGCATGGTACGTTCGGCCATTCTCTTCGCGATAACGAAAGATACTCGAAGACAATGACGTTGTTGAGTCTCTGCAGGAGCATTTCAGCCACTAAATCCAAAACTTGAAGGAACTTAGGTCAAGCTCACCGAAAGCTCCCCAACCCAAGTCCAGAGTCGCCGTCATCGAACGTGTCAGGCTGGATCTGCGCCGAGCAATTAGATCAAGTGATGCTCGTACTCTCAGGGGATTCTTACATCGGCGTCTGGCCCATGATTCTGGTCCGGCGTATTCGTACTCATGATGTGCTGTGGAGCTTTCAACGCTAAATGCTAATCGTCCCCGTAAGATTGAAGAGGGAGAGAGAATAGAGTGATGAGATTTCGGGGAGTCGCAGAAGTATAGCGCCATCTTTTCTGCAGCCCCGCCGCTTGTGCGCGGCCCGAAGCGACTGGGTTGGTGCGCATCCCCATAATTGCGCGGGGAATCGGAAGTGTCCCGGGCGAATCAGCCAAGCCGGGACTACGGAGGTACAGCCCATAGGTAAAGTAATAGCACTAGCCAGGGAGCCCCCAGACGTAAACAAAACCTATCCTTTCCAGCACAATTTTCCTTGCAATTACACCTCAAATAGGATAAGCAAAGACGCCTCACATAGGGGCCCCGACTAGTGCTATTACTAGACTTATGGGCTGTACCTCCGTAGTTAGATGGAATGACCGCCTTACAAATGGGCACCGCACAGTCGCCGTGTACATGGCTACTCTCAGTAGCTTCTCTTTCGCCCACTGTTAGATTTCTTGGAGAGAGGAAATTTTAATCCTGATTGCACCCGCTCTGTGCAACACAGGAAGCCTTGGAATGGCGATTCTTTCGAGCCTGCATTATGACCTCGGCGTTGGGCTCCTCATCTTTGTCGCAATTGTTCATGCTGCTCGCACGGTTTTCAGTGTGTATTTCGGCCCACTGGCGAAGTTTCCCGGCCCCAAACTCGCAGCCGCAACACTCTTATACGAGTTCTACTACGATGTAATCTGCAAGGGCCAATACACATGGAAGATAAAGGAACTTCATGGGCGATACGGTCTGTACCCCTAAAATGATAGTCAGTGAACGAGCTAATCCTGTTAGGGCCAATTATTCGAATTAGTCCATATGAGCTCCACATTGATGAGCCAGATTATTATGAGGAGCTGTACTCCACCAACAAGCCGCGCAACAAATACAAGTTTCTCGTCGCTCAATATGGCCTACCTGATACAAGTTTCGCAACCATCGACTGGAAATTCCATCGGTCGCGACGTGCGGCCATGAGTCCATTTTTCTCTAAGCAGAACGTCAACCGCCTGGAGCCGATGCTAAATCATATGGTCGAGAAGCTGTGTAAACGGATTGAGGAGTACCAGGCTTCAGGAGAGCCATTGTTGATCCGTCAGGCGTATATGTGCTTTACGACTGATGTTATTACGCTCTATGCCCTGAATCGCAGTTGGGGATTTCTAGACAGTCCTGATCTATCACCTCTCTGGGTTGAGACGATGAAAGCTGTGGTTAAGACGGGGGCACTTGTGAAATATTTCCCGTTTCTTATGGTTCTTATCGAAATTTTTCCTATCAAGGTTATTGAAAAAATAGATCCAGGGACAGGGCTACTTCTACGGTTCCGCGAGGTATCCCTTATTAACATCCCATACCTAATTAAATACTCACTTACTAACTCGATACCTTATCAGAAAGTGCAGCAAGACACCCAGAAAGTAATCGATGGCAGATATAAGCACTCACAAGAGCAAACTGATCTTGGGATGGACAAGACTATCATTCACGAGCTTCTAGAGTCCGATCTTCCCCCCGAAGAAAAACTGCATTCTCGACTTTGGCAAGAGGCCCAAGTTGTGATTGGTGCCGGAGCAGACACAACAGCTACGGCGTTGAATGTCACGCATTTCCATGTTCTTGATAATCCGGACGTTTTAAAAATATTGAGAGCAGAGCTCGAGACTGCTATGCCAGACAAATTTGCACCGGCAAAGCTATCTGTTGTAGAACGTCTGCCGTACTTGGTTAGTTGAACCTTGCCTTTGAGAGAGACAACAGGGGTTGACAGGAGCTACAAGGGTGCCGTGGTACAAGAGGGCTTGAGGCTATCTTACGGAGTAGTTTCTCGCCTCCAACGCTCGCATCCAACAGAAGTCTTGAAGTTCCATGACTGGGAGATTCCTCCAGGAGTAAGATTTGCCCACCTATCCTCCCCTAATGTAAGTAACAGCTATCTAATCTGTTTGAAACAGACACCAGTAGGCATGACCTCGGTCCACATTCACGAGAATGCAGACATCTTCCCCGAACCTATGAAATTTAAGCCAGAGCGCTGGCTCAAAAAGGTCCTCGAAGACGCACCACCTCTTGACCGATACCTAGTAACGTTTACAAAAGGCTCGAGACAGTGTGCTGGAATAAAGTAAGTCGCACTTTCCTAGTATACATGCTGGCTCGTTGCTACCCAACGTCGCAAGTCGCTAGACTAATCTCTAAATGTGACAGTCTTGCGAGGGCTGAGTTGTACCTTACGCTCGCGACAATCTTCCGTCGATTTGAGGATCAGGCTCTGTTCAAGAGTTCAAGGTTGGATGTCGACGTTAAACATGATTATCTTCTGCCACAACAAGATGCTAAGAGCAATGGAGTAAAGGTACTCTTTAAATGAACCTTGTCTCCTTTTGAAATTTTTCTTGGGGATAGTAATAGCTTAGCTCTATATTATCAATATAATATACTCGCTATTATATAATTATCGAGAAGATATAATTGAAATAATAATTACGAAGTTAGATAACTCTACTTAGTAGACTTTACTAGTATTTTTACTTAATATTATTTTATACTCCCTTATATTACGAATATAAATAAAAGTACTTTAATTAAAAATCTATCTTTTTATTTGACTCTAATTATAAATACGAAGATATTGAGCTAAAGAGAGGAGAAGAGAGAGTATTACTTTTCTAGAAGTATTTATCCCCCGAAGTAAGTCACGTGACGTAGGTACGTGATATTCCACGTGGTCGGTTAGTGTAGGTAGGCGCACGTGTCAGGCGTCGCTCTAGAACATGTGTTAGGCGTAGGCCCATATGTCAGGCGTAGGTGTACGCGTCGGTCGTAGGCGCACGTGTCGGGGGTCGCTCTAGAACTGTTATACGCGCCGAGCTTATCTACTCCCTAATATAAGTAGTAGGTATATCTTCAAGTCTTTCACGATATTAAGCTTACTACAAAGAGTTCATTCGCTATGCAACGGCTGGTTGCATGCTCCAAGTACGCCTTTGCCTTTGGAGAACCGGACGAAGTCATCTCCAGAAACTATGACTACCTCCTGCCAGAAGACTGCCTACCGCTGTCACAGGTGCGCTGCCGCATCACGGATAGCAAGTACGGATGGCGATACAAGCTGCTATGGGATGGCATAACCTCTTTTATCGACATTGGGATTGGTTTTAGGAGATACGTTCAGGCGGAGGACTTACTCGTTGCACTAGTTGTGATTTCAAATGGGCCATTGTTTGTTGACGTCCGTCGCCAGAGCGTCATGAGAGATGGGCGCCTTGAGCTGTTGCCTGCAGGTGGTGGCTTACATCTTCAGTTCTATATTCCCGCCGCCGCAACCGGTTAGTTAGTTGAGACTCCCATCTATCTTCTTTCTGAGGCTTGGTTGACTTATACCTATATATGGGAAGACAAGAGCCCCTTTATTTGGCCAGCCATCGGCAGAGCGTATGAAATTCCAGCAGGTCTTTCCAAGTCAGAGTTGACGCTGGCGAAGTCCTGGCTGAGCGATTGCATCACGAGGAGGGGAAAACACCAGAACTGTGGCAAGAATGAAGACCCCCCTCTCTTGCCTACTCGAGTGATAGATGTTGGATCCTTGAACGCGGACATTTGTTTGCATGTATCGTACCCTGGAGAAAAGAGCCACTACGTTGCCCTCAGTCACTGCTGGGGCGGAGTGGTACCAATCAAGACTACCACATCTATCATCCACGAGTTTATGAGAAGGCTCCCAGTCGAGATGCCGAAGACCTTCGCCGATGCTATTGCCGTGACAAGAACTCTGGGCCAGAGATATCTTTGGATAGATTCACTCTGTATTCTGCAGGACTCGACGGACGACTGGATCGCTGAATCTTCCCGCATGGATCAGGTGTATTCTCGGGCACTCTTTACTATCGTCGCGGATGCCGCCAAAGACAGTACTTCAGGGTTTCTCGAACCGCAGGCGAGGAATGTTCGGAAGACCTCGGTGGTTATCTGTGACCTTACTACCTTGACAGACATAACAGCTTTACCCACTGCTGTCCACATACGGGAAAGAGGTGACTTGGCATTCCAACTTCCCTACCATGACTTCCATCCTGTCTGGGCTGAAAGGTCAGAACTTCCTCCACGCAGCAAACTATCGACGAGGGCCTGGGCGTTCCAGGAGAGACTCTTGTCCCCACGCACGCTGCACTTCGGTCCCAGCGAGATGGCCTGGGAGTGTCGTGAACTTTGCAGCTGCGAATGCTCAGCGACAAACGAGCGGACCAGCCGCATCACGAATCTATTGAAAGGCTCTATAGCCCTGCGGCCAGTCCCCACACCCAGTGGGGTGTCGATGCAAAGCGTTCTGCGCAGTCTTGATAACGCCTGGCAAAGAGACATCGTAGAAGAATATACCCGGCTGGACCTTACCAGGGATACAGATCGATTGTCTGCTCTTGCTGGTGTAGCTATAAGGGCTTCGACCCTGCGGCTAGGGGACCAGTACATGGCTGGGATGTGGCGCAACACTATCAGAGCAGGTCTCTCATGGTATACTACACCAGGACGACCTAGTCGTCGTCCTCCTAGTGAAAATGCACCGCCAACATGGTCTTGGGCGTCGGTATCTGGGCAAATACAGCATGCGCGTGTTGCTGACGTTCCAAGCGATGCTCCTTTCATGGAAGTTCTTAGCGTGCAATACACCCCCGACGCCAGGTCACCGATGGGGGCAGGGCCACAGACGCCTGCGTCGCTTTTGGGCTCGGGTTACCTGGTTCCTATCGATAGCGTATGGTTCCAGCCCTTTATCGGTGACTCAGATGTGTGCTACAGGTCCTGCTATCGTGTGAAGTGGCCTTCAAATGTAGATTTGCCCGAAAACTGTGTTGTTATGATGGACGTAAATAAAGCTACTGCCCCCTACGATGCAAGCATTCAGCTGGGTAGATTGGATGATATGGAACTAGAGAGCATGGACCTGGTCATGCTTTTAACGGCTCTGTCAAAGGGAGTAGTCTATGGATTGGTATTAAATCGGCGTGGTGCGGGCGGGGATATCCCTGAGTACGAGAGGGTGGGCTTCATCAACGGGATGGACTCGATAGGGGCATTCGTCTCATGGAATTCAAGTTCATACTCGGCTACTCCAATGTTTACGGGAGACTGGGAGCCTGATGAGAGTGGGGGAATAAGCGATATCCTCGAGCGTGCTAGTGTCAAAAGAAGCACGATGAAGATTTGGTAGCTAGGCGGCGAATAGAACCCAAGAGATAGCCCCCTTACTATATTTCTCCTATATCCTATTATTTGTTTAATAAGTCTCTAGTAGATTTTGGATTACTTCCCAGATACGAAATTGCTAATCGACAAACTCAGTCGTGCCAACATCAAAATCTGGATGCTCACTGGAGATAAACGAGAAACGGCGATCAACATTGGTCATTCGTGTGGCCTAATAAAAGCGCATTCCATAATATTCAACCTGAACGATGAAGACGGGGGCGACATGGTGGGGAAGGTTCGCTCTACCATTTCAACTCTTGAAACGGCAGCTCACAACGCAGTTGCCGTTGACGGCAATACTTTGGCAACCATCTACAATGAGCCTTCCGGGTCCCTCAAAGTGCTCTTCTTTGACTTAGTTCTCCTAGTAGATTCCATAATCTGCTGCCGTGCTCAACCCGCCAGAAGGCTCAGGTTGTAAGCAGTATCAGAAAGCGCGTACCGAACTCGGTTACTTTGTCTGTAGGAGACGGTGCAAACGACATTGCAATGATCCAAAAAGCCCATATTGGCATCGGCATCACTGGTAAAGAAGGTTTCCAGGCAGCCCGCAGTTCGGATTATTCCATTGCACAGTTCCGATTCTTGCAAAAGCTTATTTTGGTTCACGGAAGGTGGAACTACATCCGAACGTGCAAATACGCCCTGGGTACACTCTGGAAAGATACGGTCTTCTTCTTGACTCAAGCTCTCTTCCAACGCTGGAATGGATTTACGGGGACGAGTTTGTATGAGCCTTGGAGTCTAACAACATTCAACACTCTTTTTACATCGCTTCCCGTTATAATTATTGGCATTTTCGAAAAGGATCTTGAAGCCTCAACGCTTTTGGCTGTGCCGGAGCTATACAGAATTATGGGCCAGAAGAACCGCGGTTTTAACTTTTGAATATACTTTAGATGGACGGCTATGGCTGTGGCGGAAGCTATGATTATATACTTCTGCATGCTCAGTTTATTCGCAAATGCGGCGATCACGAAAGATAACACCCTGTTCTCTATGGGTGATCTCAATTTTGTCGCGGTGGTCATTGTCATCAGCATGAAGCTGCAAATCATCGAGATGCACAACAAGTCGATCGTCGCGGGGCTTTCAGTCTTCCTCTCTGCCGGCGCAGTTTTTCTGTGGAATATTGTGCTTGCTGCAGTCTATCCACCGATATCTATGTACAAAGCATGTGGAGGCTTTTTCAACGGGTTCGGACAAAATCCAACATGGTGGATGACGCTGGTTTTCATTGTTGCCTGTGTATATATACTCGAATTCAGCGTCAGCGCATTCAGAAAGGCATTTCTCCCAACAGATACAGATGTCTTTCAAGAGCTCGAACGGGACCAGGCTTACAAAGAGCCGTTCGAAGCAGCTGCTGTGCCTGGATCGCGGCAAAGGTGGGAGATATATAGTAACAAGCTAGTAGATACGAGAAATAAGTTAGATATCCAGTTAACAGTATTACAGCGCTAGTCTAGCGATCGCCTAACAAAGTCTCCGCTAAATCTCTATATAATTAGACTTTATATATATAGTAACTTATACTTTATACTCTTTCCTTTTCTCGTCTTTCTTTCTTAGCTTTAGATCTTACTTTTTAAGTAATCTACTTCTTAAGAACTTCGACTTATTAGAAGTTTATAATTAATTTAACAATAAGAATAAAATAAAAGTAATTACTTTCTTTATATTCTAATTTCTTACTTTTTAATTTTATTTCTAATTATATTTTTTCTTTTAATAAATACAAGTTATTTTAAAATAAATATAACTTTTTAGTTTTTTACTATTTAATTCTATTATTTAATAAAATAAATAAATATAAAGTTATATTTATTATAATATTATAGTTAGAATAATAGTTATAGAATAGTTAAATTATATTATAATCTCTATATCTATTACATATTCTTTTACATTCTTAGCGAAATTTATATATAAATAATATAATTGAAGTTATAGCTAGTGAGGATATTTATAGTACTACCTACTTACTTATTACTAACAATTAATTTCAACGAAAATAAACTAGCTGTCGGATTAGGCCACTTCCGATAATTGTTGATAGAGAAATAGAAAGGAAGTCGCAAAGATCCTCGTACATAGAGGGATGTCGACGTGGCGCACGTATCAAGTTCAGTAGAAAGGCTACCCTGTATTGCAGGCTACCTAGGAGCCGCGCAGTTATCTTGCTAATACACGAGGTCTTACAAAGTAATATTAGGGGCGTCTTAATAGGAAAAGAGGTGATACTTCATGAAATAAATGAATTGAAATTATTATAAATTAGTTTTTGTAATATTCAGAAATAGAGAATTTAGATGAGCAAGCTGTTGTGTCATCTATCCCCCTCCTACGATCTCCCTTTATCTCACGATACTAGACAAGATCGTTGTACTCCCGACTTTTACTTTCCGTCGGCTACTAATAGTCGTTTCGACCATTGCTTCTTACTCTATATAGAAATATAACCTGGGAATTTTTAACTGTATGAAAACTCCGTCCGCTTTCTTGCTTGACTTGCACTAGCTCAAGGAGTAATATAATATCACAACACTTCCCTCTCCAAGGCGCTATTTTAGGAGTCGAGCCCTTGCTTCCGAGACAGAGGTCTTGAGACGCTATGCCTTGATTGATTGTTATATATGGTTCCAGCCGTTGAAAATCAGCTTCAGTAAGAGCTAGATCTACTCGCAAAACGTACTGTAAAGAGGGGCTTGTATCCGCCTATCCAAAAGCTTCAGGTAGACTTGCATATCCCGGATATTCTCGTCGTCCGGCGTCTTAGCTCTCATGCGGGCCAGAAATAGGGTCGCATGATTTCGGATATTCGACCTGCAGAGGTGGGATCCCCAACGCCCTCGTCAATCGATAGCCCCGCTAGTCACCGCGATGACGGAATCATATTTCAACCTCATATCGCACATTCCTTCTATAAAAATTTCGTGCAACCAAGTGTAACCTTTCCCCCCGTCCGATGTTTGTGTTCTTCTTTTTTGAGACTGAATTGAAACCATGCGATTTAAAACAACTCTCCTCTCAGCCGCCTGGTGCGGGGTAACTTTAGTGGGGGCACATGCCCATCACGAGCCCGATGCTGAGATACCGCTTCATGAGCGGGAATTCGAGAAGGAATCGGCGGAGGGGCTGGAGAAGAAATGGGGTTTTGAGGTGAGATTTTACGATTTCTTTTTTTGTTTGTTTGTTTGGGTAATGATGTTTTGGAGGGTTGGAGGGGTGAGGGGTCTAAAAATAGAGGGAGCTCAAATTCTCTCAATCTTTCTCGCACTCGCGCGACGTCTTACATTGGCGCTTTGTGGTATATATAAGATCTCTCTCCCTCCTCTGATTTTAATCTTTCTTTTCTTTCGAGAATTTGAAATTTGGGGGCAGCGGGGGGACATTTTGAAAATGGAGAATAGATTAAAGCTAACGGATGATGAATGAAGTGGTCATTCTCAGGAGTGAGCACCTTCGCACATCTCGAGCATGTCAGGTGCTTGACGAAGCCAGATACGCCGTTCGATATCGGCATCTTGGGAGTCCCATTTGATACGGCTGTTTCTTACCGTCCAGGTATGTGAACTTCATATCCTTACCTCACACTCATAAAGGATGGAGTGAGATCACTCTCCATTTTAAACCCATATTGACTCAATATAGGAGCACGATTCGGACCTCGCGCCATACGAGCAGCCTCAGCCCGTCAAACCTCATTCCGAGGCTTCAACACCCGCGCATCCATAAATCCCTACTCCTCATGGGCCAAAGTCCTCGACTGCGGCGACATTCCCGTCTCTCCCTTCGACAACGCCATCGCTCTGGCTCAAATGACATCCGCCTACCTAGAACTCGGTCACCGGTCTTCTCTATCTTCTTCCCTCGCTCACCCAAAGATCATTTCTCTCGGTGGCGACCACTCATTAGCATTAGCAGCATTAAGAGGTTTGAAAAAAGTATACGGAAAACCAATAGCAGTCCTACACTTCGACGCACACCTCGACACGTGGCATCCATCCAAATATCCCACGCCATGGCCAAGTAAACAAGCAGATTTCACCCACGGAACAATGTTCTGGACAGCATCAAACGAAGGACTCATATTGAACGGTTCCAGCGTACATGCTGGCCTACGAACAAGATTAAGCGGTTCCGATTGGGGTGATTATGAAGATGACGATACGCAAGGATTCCTCCGCATCTCATCCGATGACATTGATGATTTGCGCCCCAAAGGAATCATCGAGAAAATCATGGCTAGAATGGGGACAGAAACTCCCGTCTACCTCAGCGTCGACATCGATGTCCTTGATCCAGGACTCGCGCCCGGAACCGGAACGCCTGAACCGGGTGGATGGACGAGTCGAGAACTGATTCGCATTTTGAGAGGTATAGAAGGATTGAATGTAGTAGGTGCGGATATCGTGGAGGTTGCGCCGGCGTATGATGGTGTTGGGGAACAGACTGCGTTGGCGGGTGCGCAGGTTGCGTATGAGATTTTGACGAGTATGGTGAAGAGGGGGCTTGTCGATATGGGGAAGGTGTCTGAGGTTCCGAAACCAACTGTTAAGGGAGGCGTGAAGGATGAGTTGTGATATTGTAATTGTGTTATGTTAGAGGTGAAACGAGAGGGCGCTAAGGATTAGGAGTAGCTAGATATAGCGACGAATAAGAAGACAGTAGTTATAACCTAAGCTAGTAACTTAGTTTAAACGAAAATATTCTCTAGTTTTACTTTTAAGTAATCTTTATTAAAATATTTAAGATTAATTATATAAATAGTATAAAGTAAATATAAGCTCAGTTTATAGAATAGCTAGTTAATAATATAAAGTTCCGGAAATAAGACTATCCTCTTTACTACGTGTATTCCGATTATTACTAATACTACTCTTTATAAATTCTCTCTTTTATCGGTTTTCGAGACTCTATATACACTTATTATACAGTCGATAGATGTACGGATATTCTTGAGCTCCGACCGGAAGCTTTAGTCAACCGCACCTCATCGATGACGAACCTTCCCGAAGGCGGCGCACACATCAAAACTGCTATTCGTACTTCTGAAAGCTGTGAGAGCTATATTTCCCGGGTTTCTTCACAGGCGTGTTTTCTGGGGTCTAATCTTACTTCACAGCCACCTCTGAAACAGTATGCTGATGTTGATACCCGAACATGCTGATGCCAAGAGTCTATTTCAACATCCGCACCAACTCCACAGTCCCGGAAAATGCGCAGTCCAAGCCCGCCCTTTCAGCCGCACTCGTCTCCTCTCACTCTCTCGCCCTTTCGCCGTTCCTCGTTGGCTGCTTGATACCCGACACCTCGGAATCCATCTAGCATATCAAGCAGGTACGAGCATGTATGCATGGCCTTGAGGTCAAGTTTGCTGACCCAAGGGGGGGAATGAGCCTGCTCGTCAGCTTTAGCTATGGAAGATCGAAATGTGTAGCCGCTGTCGGCCGACTCGCACTCGGAGCAAGTATATAACTGTCGCAAGTGCTCGTCGTTATGGTTCATAATTGCTCATCTCCTTTATTCCCCCTTTTCTTGCACTTTTCCTTTGGTATTCTCCTTGGATAATCTCCTTGCAGCTGCTCAATTACGACTCTTTCTCGGGCAATTTCATTTCGTCCTTCTTTCGGCACTTCAGAGCTCTTTCTCTGTTGCTGATCAAGCACAACACTTGTTCATCAACTCGTCCCTTCTGCAAGCCTACAACCCTATCTCCCGACAACCGCCAACATGGTGGGCCTTAAATTTGCCTCCGCCATCCTTCCCTTCGCTGGCGGCGTACTCTCAGCAGCCATTTCCCTTCGCCAAGATCCGCAGACTTCTGGCATCATCTGGCCTATCTCGTACATTGCGCTCGGGGACAGCTTTTCTGCGGGGATTGGTGCCGGAAGATATACCGACCCCAATAATCCTTTGGTCGTTAGGTGCAAACGGATGAGCGGCTCGTATCCGACTCAGGTGAAGGGGAAATTCCCGCGCATCGACGACAAAAATTTCTTGTTCGAATCTTGTTCGGGGGACAAATTGGGCGGTATCGACAGCCAACTTTCGAACCTCGGGACGTCGAGAGCCCAAGTTGTTACTCTGTCGATTAGCGGCAACGATTTCAAATTTTCCAGCGTCGTCGAAAAATGCGTGTACAACGTTCTTGCCTTAACCGACGGTACAGCCAATTCCCAGTGTGACGAGGCACTCGAGGAGGCCAGGGCTCTGGTTAGTGACGAGAGCATCTGGCAAGCATATAAGGACCAGGTCAACAAGATCATGTCAAAGGTCATGATTGCAGACATCAGAGGAATCCCCATACCTTGGAGTGTGCTTGTGATCACCGGCTACCCTCAATTCTGGGGCGAGGTTGTTGACGGCGACAAGTGCAGCAAGACCCGTTTCCCGGTTCCATTGGAGATCTTTGGTATCGTCAAGAATGGTAATCTTATGCGCGAGAGCGTCCGTAGATCAATGAATGAGATGGTCAAGAAGGTCAACAAGAAGATCCAGGAGGAAATTCTTCCGATCAATAGAGACAAGATCGAGTTTGTGGATATCGACCCACTCTACGCAGGTCATCGGTTCTGCGAAAAGGGTGCAGCTGACCCTATCGGCGCCAACAGCGACTCGGTGTGGTTCACTTCCTTCGAAACTATCTTGCAGGAGACAAAATTCGCGCCTGATCCCAATAGCATGCTGGAACAACAGTGGGCCCCATTGACCCAGAGCTTGAAACCGGGCGACGACCTTCTACCGAACGAGCTGCGGATTAACTCCAATTTCCACCCCAAGACTGCTGGGCATTCTCAGACAGCCGAAGCGGTCCGCAAAGTGGTTGTAGACTGGGGAAATCGACATGAGCATACTCCAGTCCCTCCACCCCAACAATGTTTGGCCACGGATGCGCCAAACCTTCCGCAAAAGATCTTTATCAGTTCTGGCACAGTTGTTGATCCAAATGGCTTATTATATAGACTTCGTGATAGTAAGTTTCCCTATATTTGCTCAAGCTTTCCATATTATAATCTTTGCTAACAAAAAAACTTGCTAGCTCTTTGCAATAACAAGTGCGAAATCCCTGCTGGCATTGATGCTCAAGCAGGTGCTATCGTCACTGGCGCTGGTGGTCGCTGCGAGATCTCCGTCGGCATCCAAGGAGGCTCGGAAGGATACGCCGTCCGCGATCGGTCCATCTCTGGTGACGAGCAAGTAAAGCTGTGCTGGGATAATCTTGAGAGACGTAAGTCCATATACCGTACGCCTCCGATTGGCTCTGCTAACATACTCTCAATAGTCATCACCACATGTGTCCAAAACCAGGCCAAGCACGGCTGGCAAGGTGGCATCGATCCCAACCCTGCGTTCTATGAAGCCGGCTTCCGCACGCTCAACCCCCCCGATAATAAACACCAGACCATCGATGAGAACCATGCTCTACAGAAAGATCTCTCGGACTTCCAGAGTATCTGCGGCAACGAGGACGGAGATTGCCAAGCAAATAGTTGTTTTGGTGCTTGGGGAATGTGTACAGATGGGAGGTATAGAGGTTGCAGGTGCGCCAGAGGCACGAAATTCAATCAACTAGAACCCTTGGAGAACGACATGAAGTGCAAGACTAGCTGCTGCAATACTTCGCCAGACCACTGGTACACGGCCGACTGGTGTAATGCCCACTGCGGTGGTATTAGCAGCCAATTCTGCTAGATTGTTAGCTAGGAATGAGTCATGCAGTGACGGATGGCTCTGCGGGGGACGTTTGTTTGGATATTTCAGATACGCTTTACCACTCTATATATAATAAACGAAATAATCGTAAACTCTAGTTATCATAGTACAGAAACTCTCCAGAAATTATACAAAGACAGTATCCGAGGTGCAATTACTGACCCGTAAATAGATTAAAAGTCCCAAACATATTATTCACGTGTGATACAGCTTAAAGCGACGCAAAACTGGCTCTAAGAAAAACCCATTGTAAAGTAACAGCTACTTATAACTTTAAGCATTAGTTATTTATTCTATTATAACTATAAGTTTACTTAATTACTTCTAATCATCTTATCCTTATAATAATAATAATAAACTAAGTAAATTTGAATCGTTGATCTATTGACGTAGAACTATATAGGGAATAATAAAGGACTATAATTTCCTAAACTCATCAATAATTTGGCGCAAGATAGCTGTTGCCTTTTGGGGATCTACCCTCCCATCCCCGTCTTTTCTCATCATCTTTCCGACGAGGAAGTTAATTTTACCCTCCTTCCCAGCCAAAATCTCCTCAACAACCTTCAGGTCTATAACGCTCCTGGCCAATCCTTCATACTCTGCATTAGACAACGGCGAGAACCACAAGCCTGCTTCATCAACTAAGTCTTCGGTCGACCGTTGATTCCCGGCCAACCCTGACACAAATAATTCCGAAAGGATCCTCTTGGCCGACTTCCCTGTAATCTTGCGAATATCGAGAAGATATACAAGCTTGGCTAGCTGGTTATGAGGGATAATGCAATTCCCATCATTAGCCATCCCAAGAGGGTTATCTTCATCAGCGCCGGGATGAGTCAACCCACCCATCTCATGTAAAACCCAATTACCGCAAAGCTTCCCTACTCTCTTGAGATCGTCGTCGGGGCTGAGAAGCAGGAAGTCATCTATCACGCTTCGGAGATATTCGTAGCGTCCCCCATCATTCAACGACACCACAGATGCCGCATCTTTAAAGGTCAAGCCAAACTCGCCTACAAGAGCTTGCACTTCTTGTTCAGGAAGAACCCCAAGATTTTGAGAGAGATAGTCGATTAGATCGTCGCCAATAATAACGGCTCCTAGATCAGGATCTGGCATGTACCTGTAATCGACCTCTCCTTCCTTTCCCCTTAGTCTCCTCGTTTCGGTGCTACCGATTGTCCAACCTCTAGTTTCTCCTTCAATCAGGCCTCCAGACTCGAGGACATCAATTTGCCGATCGCGCTCTGCAACGATAGCATCTTTAACAGATTTGAAACTGCTAAGGTTTTTGATTTCCGTTCGTTGGCCCAGCCCTTTTACACCCCCGTACTCATGATCGCCTACATCGCCATCTCGTCTTCGCACGGAAACATTGACATCTGCCCGCAATCCACCAGATTCCATGCCAAGAACACAGGCATCTACTGCGTTGAGAATAACCTGGACCTTGCGGACCAGAGCGGCTGCCGTAGCTGGATGGTGTATTTGTGGGAGTGTGATGATCTCGATTAGCGGTAAACCAACTCGATTATAATCCAACAGATGTATGTCCCCTGGCTGAGAAAGGGTTTTTGCGGTGTCCTGCTCCATCTGGATTTGCTTGATACCAATGGTGATTTGCTCCCCGTCTTCCTCCGCGATCCCGTCATGTGCATAAAGCGTAATGTGCCCTTCCTTTGCAAAGGGTTCATAGTACTGTGTTATTTGATATCCTGCAGGTTGATCCCAATGGAAGTAATGCTTGCGGTCGAATTTACTTCGCCTCTGGATTTTGCAATTCAGGGCAAGGGCGGCGCGAATAGCAGGGAGAAGTGTCGCCTTTCGGAAGATCGGCTGCGAGCCTGGCATTGCTAGATCGAAGTGGGCAACATGGGTATTCGGCTCATCGTTGATGGTGGATGCGGCGCCCGAAAAGAGTTTCCGGGCGGTATTCAGCTGGGCGTGTATCTCAATGCCCACGGTCAACTCCCATCTGTTAAGTTTTGGATTGTCCTCCTTCCGCCGGCGGCTCGCCGTGTCCGCCTTTCGTTTCCTTGCTTCATCCTTTAGCTGTTTGCGGAAAGGTATTGTGGCATGCTGGGTAGTTGTAGTCGTGACTGACTGATCGGTTGGTGTTTGTGTTGTTGGGGCTACTGATGCGACGTGATATCTTTTTGTGACCATGGACTTGACGATCGAATGCTTTCCAGTCTTTGTGCGGCTAATACATATACATCCCTTGGTGGGAATCTGGCCCTGGAACAGATATTTTCGCAGTATATGGGGGGCAATCCACGCCATTGACAGGTTCGAGTGAAGAGAGACAGCCAATAGGGCGGAAATAGTAGCAAGTTTTCCGAATTGAATATGACAAGGCTAGTAGCTTGAATCGGGTCGGGCGGGCTCCAAAGGTAAAGGCTGGGCCTCTATGAGGCACACACAATGATAGGGCGTTGGCAGACAACCCAAAGGGCTCTATGTCGGCGTCACCTCAGTGCAGAGGTATTATTAGCTGGCCAGAATATGCCCAGTCGAGTCATACTAACGGAGGCAGTTTTCGCACATGTGTACCGGGTAGTGGCGCTGCTGTGGGTGGAGCAGATACTGCAGACAGGATGTGTGCGTATGTGTATGTGTTAATCGTGTATTGGCCGTGAAGGAGTGTATTGCGAGGTAGTCAACATGCGTCTGATAGATGACTTGCCGAGTAGAACGGTAGCACGTCGCCGGGTCGGGCAATCGTCAGGAGGAGGCGCCAGCCGCGTTCACTCAAAGCCCATTTTGTTCTCGTGGTGGTTCTCGTTGTAGTTTTCGTGGTGTTGTGTAGCGGTGCTGTTGTGCTGTTGATGTTGTTGATGTGCAATTGTTTTGTGGTTTCTGCGCCGCGACCGGAACCTTGAACGTCACACCTCCACGTGCTGAAAATAACTCGAAACACCACTGGAACTCTTGTGTACTCGCCCGGACACAACAGCCCTATATCACAGCATCTATACCTACTGCCCCGAAATACAATACATATATTCGAAACCTCAACCCCTCGAAACCCCTCTCCCCCAAATCCCCGAGATCATGCTCGTCGTCATCCTCCACCCCTTCAGCTACGCATACTCTACAGTATCATCGAAAGACAGATCATGGACAGCACACAGTAATCTAGACGATCCACACTCTACGACAGCATCCGTCCAGAGATAGACCTCCAGGAGCACCAAGAAGGTCGGTCATAGGTATTCTAGGTATGTCGTCCAAGCACCCTTTTGAAGATACCGAACTCGGCTTACCAGTATACGATTAGTTGCCATTGATTTTCTTTTGAGCTATAACATCCAAGCCAGGACGATCTCGTTCCGGTTGGGTTCCTGCACGATAGTACAATGACTACGAGCTACAGCACCTCTACCGTCGAAGTAATCCATGCAATTCCTGGGAATGAAAGGGACAAGTTGAGGGCCAAATACCAGACCCAAGATGAGAGGCCCTCCGAAGCCAACGATACCATCCACCGTCTGTCTACGCTGTCGCAGGGACCGGGACTAGGAATGCCACCACCCATAGCAAACACAGGTCGGGAGAGGGAGCGGGAGCGGGATAGGTCTCGACGATACCATAAAAGTGCTCCAAGCACCGGCATCAATACAAGTAGCGGCAGCGGTAGTAGCAGACACATGTCCAAGTCCAAATCAAAATCAAAGAATACCGGCGCGAAAAGGTCCAGCGTACTCCCCTCCCGGGATAGGGACCATGCTTCTGATGGATCACATTTCCGCCACAGACGCTCACATTCTAGTCGGAGTCAAACCGTGTCCTCTTCCGCGTCTTCCTCCGAGGAAGAGGGCGAGCCTGTGCAGGATCATAGGACGGTGTTCACAAACACGAGGGCTCGACTCACGTCGCCATCTACCATCTCAACCCTGACGTCCGCGACCAGCACAACCAATAAGTCCAGCAGCTCTAGCGGGAGCAATTCCACCGTCACTCAGGCCTCGATCGCCAATCGCTCGAGCTTGACAAAGAATCCGGACATATCACAGATTCCAATGTCGCCCGCTGTACCCGATGCGCCTGATGTTTTCAAATTTCTAGACCCGGAAGGGTCAGTAATCGCTTCTGGAGAACCTGAGGAGGAGCCCGGCGTGGGTGCAACCGCCCACTGGAATCGAGGTCAATTGGAGGGTGTGGCGACAAAGTCAGCGTTGCCTCCGCCGACATTACCAGAGTATTCCAGTCCATCCTCATCACCGCCAAGCAGCTTCCACGGAGATGATAACTCGTCCGAGGCAGCTCATGACGTCGAGACGGATCGGAGCACGAGTCCGGAGAGAAGTGTCGCGGGACAGGAAGAGCCCGGACAAGGCCATGACCACGACCTAATCAATGCTGGCCCTCCAATTGACGAAACCTCTGCCAAAATAGCATCGCAAATCGCGGCTGCCCAGCAGAGGCAGAACTTCCATGGGTCGATGCACCCATTTGGGACGCCTACTATGCAAAGGGGCCCAGCAATTTTACCACATATCCCTTCAACCGCCTTGAGCTCTCGCTACACACAGTCCATCAAGCAACACCCCCTCCCGAGAGCAGAGAAATTGCCTGTTACTGGGTATGAGCTTCTCGCGTCCCAACTTTCATCGCGTCGCTACCCTTGTGAGGCCGATACGGGAGAGAGGATCAAGCCAATATACCGAAAATTCGAGGCACTTAACCATCGACTCTTACTCCACCTGCAGGACGAGCTGAGTGAGCTTGAAGAGCAGCTTCACCGGTTAGATCACACTGATACCCAGTCCCGAAGGACGGCGAATGATATTGCTCCTGCATCACGCAGAGCAGCAGCGGCGGCAGGCGGGGAACTGCAGTGGCACAAAACTGATGTACTTGGGAGAATCGGCTACAAGCTCGCGCAGTATAGTATGGAAGGTTCCCACATAGCAATTCCTTTTACTGACTGCCTCTTCAGATCAAGCCCTGTCCTCTTTTAACTCTACCAGGTCGCTTGCCGCTCCCGATCCTGAGGATATTTCCAACTACCGCACATATCTTCGAACTGTAAATCCTATTGCTGAGGCCGAGACGCATTTTCTTGACCCAGAAGGTGATCTTGTCTCGATCTATTCTGGCCATACCCTGACCTCGTCTTCGTTCACGCCATCGGACCAATCATCCTACTCGTCTTACGCACCATCAACCATCCCATCTGAAAACAAACCCGAAGGTCCCATTCCAGCCGGAACGCAGAGTCAAGATGTGCTCCCCGCTGTTGCAATTTCCCTTGCGGTTGCAATACTTGTTCCGATTCTTACATTCTCTGTCATCCCTGGCTTTGTAGGCCGCCTCACCGCTACGAGCCTGGTTGTCGGAGGCGTCCTGACCGCCTCTATCCAAGGAGGGGTGGTTGAGCAGAGAATGCTATTCCAGGCCGAGGGTTTGATATGTTCAGGAATCTACTGCGGGGCTATGCTCGTTATTGCAGGGATCCTACCTGGTTGATCCAAATTCCGGGTGATCCGAGTTGGGGGTTTTCGGTGCTTGTAAGTTTTGAGTATTAGAGTTCTTACGCGGATAGTAGCTTGATACCCTTTATTTTAGTAGGATGTGATGAATTTGACTGTCTAAATAGACTTGAAATGCTTGTCCCCTGCCGCTCATATTTACATTTATGTGTCGATGGTTACTCGTATTGCACCAACAACCGGGTTACCGCGCCGCTTTATCTTCCGTCCACTCGGTCCTAGAAACCCCTACATAGATGACGACATGCTATAATATATTAGGTAATGGTTATAGAAGCAAGAGCACCGATCCGATCGGCTGCTTTGTACAAATACAAGGCTTACTTTGACTACTTGGTACGCGCGCGCGCACACTGGACACCCACTTTGAAGATAATCCCGTTTGTTATGTCCAATACTCTGTAGGTAATTGCCAATTGATACCGTTAGCTACGGGGAACGGCAAAGATGTCAACAACCATACATCCCATCACCATAATAGACCACCCGGGTTCTTCGCAGGCGGACATTGAGAATGAGCCCAACTGGGGAGATGGTCGCCACCATAAAATTGGGTACCGCAATCGACAAGATCGCGTTGTAGGATTAACTCATCGAGGTGATGAGAAGCAAGATGTGGGCGACTTCGATAGAGAGGCTCTCAAAGACCTTGCGCTGTTGCATGATCGTGTCAGAAAAGGCGACCTTGTTAATTTTCGCGATGCAATAACTCAGCAAAAGGCAAGTAGTGGTCACTGCTACTATCTCCTCGTAGAAACGATTATCTATTAAATGGGATTAACTGGCTGTAATTTGTAGGATTTCCACCTTCGTCACCCAGATGTTCACTCGGCAGGATGGCGCTACGTTCTTGATACCACTGAAGACTGGATCAAAAACATCGAAAATTGGCCAGCAAATGTACAAAAGAGGGAAGCCGCAAAGAAAGCGCAGAACCTGCAGAACGACGGGCCCAAAACCCCCGATCTCAAACAAGAGGATGATTGGCGGAGATCGCTCGGGCAGAACAAGCACCATGGTGCGTATGCCAGCAATTCAGAGGGCGACAAAGTGCACCAGGGAGATAAAGATCCCAAGAAAGGCGCGAGTGAACGCGAAAAGCTTCATGGGAAGTACTCAGCGCAGGAAATAGCGCTACTGCGCAACCTTCGGCATGAGAAAGATTATATCTACAATCTGAAACAGAATAACGGCAAGAGGAAGTCGCCAATTGGGAATGGAGAGCAACTTATTTCAATAGACGAAGCCGACCAATTTTCTCCGGACAACTGGATCCCACGATCCGAAAAGCTGATCCGTCTCACAGGCAAGCATCCATTGAATGCGGAGCCGCAGCTCACAGCACTCTTCGATGCCGGCCTCATAACGCCGAACTCGTTGCATTACGTGCGGAACCATGGACCGGTCCCGCATTTACTCTGGGAGACTCACGTACTAGAAGTTGAAGGGACGAATCTTAAACTCAGCATGGATGACCTGAAGAGTAACTTCGAGCCTATTAACATCCCTGTGGCTTTAGCTTGTGATGGCAATAGGAGAAAGGAGCTGAACATGATCAAACGCTCTAAAGGCTTTAATTGGGGCTCAGGGGCGGTAAGTTGTGCGTACTGGAAAGGCCCTTTGCTCAGAGACGTTCTGCTTGCAGCTGGCGTGCCCGAGACGTACCCAGAGGGCAAGCGATATTGGGTGAACTTTGAAGGCGCAGATGAACTCAGCGACGGAAAATACGCAACCTGCATACCATTTGAATATGCATTAGACCGCAGAAATGATGTCATCCTGGCCTACGAGATGAACGACGTTCCCCTTCCCCCTGATCATGGGTATCCTCTGCGCCTGTTGATTCCCGGCTATGTTGGTGGGCGGTGTGTGAAGTGGTTGAAGAGAATATGGGTTAGCGATAGGGAGAATGAGAGCCATTATCACATCTGGGACAACAGAGTACTACCAAGTTTTATTACCGAAAAGGACGGAGATTTTGCGACGACTATGTTTGCACATCCGGATACCCTATGCAATGAGCAGAACCTAAATAGTGTTATTGTGAAACCAGCTCAGGGTGAGAGAATTGCTCTTACGAATGCGAGGAAAGGAAAGACATACAGGATCGAAGGATATGCTTATGATGGCGGTGGACACGAGGTTCAGCGGGTGGAGATATCTCTTGATGGGGGCGATACTTGGCTTTATTGCATAAGGAAGGTATGAAAAGCTGGCCTGCCGAGCGAGAGCTGACGAGGCCGTGCTGATACTTTGGGTGAGAAAGTTCCCAGAGGCTCCTATCAGACACGGCAACAAGTACTGGACATGGTTGCATTGGCACTTGGATGTGGAAATCATACATTTGCTCCGAGCAAAAAGTGTCAGCGTCCGATGCTTCAATGTATTCAAAAATACGCAACCCGAGCGTCCTAGCTGGAACATCATGGGGTAACTATTCTCCGCGCTAATACTTGGCATTGATTCATTGCTCTGGGTGCTTTCATTAACATAGCTGATATAGTATGATGAATAACTGCTGGTATGTTGTCATCCCCGAAATAGTCGAAGAACCCAATGATAGCGTTCCCAATATCCTCTTCCGCCATCCTACCGAACCCGGCACCGGCAATGGAGGTTGGTTAAAGGAATCTACAGACGTGCAAGTTTCAAATGCTAAACAAGCCGCTGGGGGGCCCCAGAAGCAGTTTACGCGAGAGGAGATAGAGAAGCACGATAAAGAGGGCGACTGCTGGGTTGTGATTGACGGGAAAGTATATGACGCAACCAGCGTCCTAGGCTGGCACCCTGGTGGTGTGACAGCAATACTGGGACACGCGGGCAAGGTTCATCAAGAGACGAGCGATGAATTCAGCAGTATCCACGATGGGTATGCGTATCAGAAATTGAGCGGTAGGTACGAACTCCGTGGTATTTGACGGAGCTGTTTTGACAGTGGACCTAGAATGCATCTTGGGCATAATCACGGACAGAGCCAAGGACTTCATTAAGACGGCTGCTGAAAAGGTTGCAGAAGATAAAGCGAATTCTAGCAGAGGCGACGAAGATGTTGCATTACAGAAGCATAGGTGGCTCGTACCGCTTAAATTCAGCTAAATCATGCTAACGATAGCCATAGATGGGTACCAGTACGGCTCCAAATGCGTGAAACCATTTCTAACGATACCCGCAAATACACGTTTCGTCTCCCTGACCATAAAAAGACACTTGGGCTTGCAACCTGCCAACATATCCAACTCGGGTTCCACTTCAAAGATAAAATGGCCATCAGGTCCTATACACCAACCAGGCCAATATTTCCCAACGAAGAAGATGGGACATTTCAACTCGTGGTCAAGACTTATTTCCCCGATGAAAATCAACCTGGGGGAGCCATGAGCAACATTCTCGATTGCATGCCGATTGGAGAAGAGGTCGATATCCGGGGCCCAACTGGTGATATCAGCTACGAGGGCAATGGGAAGTTCAATATCGAAGGGGAGGAGAGGAACTACAGCCGCGTAACCCTCGTTCTTGGAGGGAGCGGTGTTACCCCTGGATACCAGCTTATTTGTCGTATCCTCCGAGCTAAAGGCGATACGACTGAACTCAGGGTAATCGACGCCAACAAGTCCCAGGCTGACATTCTATTGAGGGATGAAATGGATAAGCTGCAGGAGGAACATAAAACGCAGTTCAAGATCACGCACGTCCTAAGCCACCCTGGGGATGGCTGGAAAGGGCTGAGCGGTTATGTGAATGCCGATATCATTAAGGCAAATGCGTTTGAGCCGAAGGTGGGAAATGCGGTCTTTCTGTGTGGGCCACCCGCCATGATCCAGCATGCTGTGTTGCCAGTACTAAAAGGTAATGTTGTGTGTCCTATAGGATGGTCTAAATTGCTCACCAGGGTGTATTACAGATTGGGGTTACGAAGAGGGAAATAATTGCTTTGGTTTCTAGAAACCTTAGTCCTTTGTTCTCTGGTCGGATAAGACCCGTTGCAAATTGCCAATCAAATCAGGTGGGAAACGGCAGGGAAGTGTCAACGCCAAAGAATATATTCTTAGCCTTCGTCTGTATCCATCTTCTGCTGTCCGGTACCTTCTGCCAAATCTGACATGATTGGATGTTGTAGCTGATGAGTCCAATCTTACTCGCATCATCGTGTACAAGTTTGACGCCATCATAAAAGTATGCCGACTTTAAAATTGATACCTACCCCTATACTATTTAAGAGCGTTTACTGGAACCCTAAGTAGGGATAAACTTAACCTAATACAATCTGGTTTGTGGTTAAGTCTGATCATGTGCCTCAAATCCGTACAGCGGCGGAAGCAGTTTTACCATCTTAATCCTTTAATCACATTTCCTATCCCTTGTTAATCCCTCGAGCCTATGACCACACTGACAATACAGATGGCGTCAACTAGGGCTTAGGCTTGTCGACGTTGTTCACCAAGCTTGTCTGTTGCCCGGCTTTTAAAGATAGCTCGAAGTCCCTTGTATATTACTTGCAAAAAGCAATACACTACGGTATCGGCGGCACAAAACCGACGTACCACATGGTCTCGAGATGTAATAAAGACTTATTCCGGGATTTAAAGAGAACCTTCAGGATAGACCAGGCTCCGAGACTGCCATGCTAGACTAAACTTTCAGAAAAACCCTGAACAATGTATTGGATGAATACCTTGGGATATTTGAGCTATAATATTACGATTTTATCAGAGGGTTGAAGATATTGTACGACCCCACAAGGCATCGCGAGGGATTAATGCAGCTTTGGATGTAACAAAAAGATTTACAAAACTCGTCGTCGACTGGATATTCGACGCCTAGGATAGGTATACCGAAAGACACCCCGGTTTGCTAACGATAAAGGGCGCGTCGACACAGGGTGAAGGAAATACTCCCGTGACCCAGTCAAAGCTGGCAAGGTCGGGCACAGACCGAACACTCTCGCGCTGAAAAAACAGCGGGTGCTGAGCTCCAGACGCAAACCCATTCGAGCACGGAAACAGAACTAGGAGCAATCTGGAAGTTTGTGGGAGGCTGGGGCCGAGCCTTGGGAAACACAAGATGATTACCTAGGTTTGCAAATGACAAATCCGCAGGCAATAGCCCGAGTGACGAACTCGACTCTTAAGATGAGAGCGAATGCTAGAGATACCAAGCTAGCTCACGATTCCCAAGACGAGAGTGCAGATTTTGCTGAAAGCATTGGAGTCAACAGCTTTATTGATGATAGTTCACAAGTAGATGACGAAAATGGCGAGGGATCTTCTAGTGACGAAGAGTCTGAAAGGGGAGATTTCCTCGAGAATATTTGCAGATAAATATGGCTTAGTTCACTTGAGAAGAATAGTAGAAGATTAATTGACATCATACAGCTATTTCGTATTCCTAAACGTGACGTAAGTGATTGATATTTCCCATTACCTATTGCTTGTTTCTCGCTTGCCGCCTTCTTGTCAAGAACAAATGCCGAGTATAGTAGGTGGCTAAAGATATATGCGCGCCTCCAACTGTGATCAATTGCGTGTCTCTTCCGTATCTTGCGTAGTGACATATTTTATAGTATAAACTTCTGCCAATCTCCTGTACCTCCAGAGCCAGTGTGCTAAACATCCCGAAGGGGCTTAGTGATAGTATATTAATAGTCGAAGTTGCTGCAAAACTCTTTTGGCTAGAAATATCAGGCACTTACAACTATTACTTATATGTCGCCGATATCGAGCTTGTATACTATTTCTATACAATCTGGATAGTCGGCGTAGAGTACTATACTCTGCTATTCGAATATCTAGCTGATCGTAAAGTAAAGCTATTCCTAGGTCTACCTACTATATCCTCTATATCTAACTGAATTGAGATATTCGAGTAGTGTAAATATCTCAATTTCGGTCGGATATTTGCGCGATATTAGATTTATATCTAGGTAAAGGCCGTTAGTCCTTATAATACTGGCGAAAAGAGTTTTGCTCCAAATTCTCCTAAGAATGCGCTATACTTACCCGTTGGCGCGCCTGAACCCACACGTCGCATTTCGGACTTACGTAATACGCGCTGGCTGGTGCATCAACTCTACTTCAACATCGATTTAACAATACTCTAGGATCAACTTATTATTTGACTCTCGCAGCGAATGTCGAAGACGTCAAGGGTGGATATCACGGAAATGATGTATTGATTAAAACGGGAGTCTTCACGCGAATAAATTCTTTTTATTAGCGTAACAATCTAACACGAGAACAGGACCTGCCAAAAGACATGGTACGCTCTATGCGGCCTCCTTCCCCTTTCTCTTCTCTGGCTTGGATGTGCTGTCAGCTTCCTTGCTGCCCACGCCCTCTTTCTCGATGGCCTACACTGTATCCCCGTTCTTTGAGGATGCAGCTTTGACAGAGTGCCTGACCTTTGGCTTCGGTAGTTATCTTGCGCTTAAAAAAAGCCGCGTATTCGGTCCTATCAGAATTGACAATATCCTCAACCTGTAGGAGAACGTCAACTTCATTATCGCCAAACCCAAAATAAGTCAACTTTTCCCTTCTTAAAGAATTGGCTTTCGTAAGAATTTCGAAATCGGGCATATTTGGGTGGAGCTTCTCGGCTTCCTCGATAAACGAGCAAATGCCCATAAACTTTTCTCTGCAGGCAATATAACGAGCATTTGCTCTATCAGCGTCCATCGTCATCTTGATATGATCTTCCAGCCTATTTTGTGCTAAATCTTGCAGCTTGCCCTTTCTTGCCAGCTGATCGTCTTTCGGTTCCTCTATTCTGGCTTGCTTCACCACGTCTACAAGTGACGGATTCTTTGGCAGAATGGTGGGCGCCTCAGTGGGTCGTACTGCCTTGCGGATAGCAAGAGGTTGCTGCTCTTCTGGTGTGGGAATAGCAGGAGCTTGTTGCTCTGCTAGTCTGGGGCGCTTAGCAGGAGCTTGTTGCTCTGCTGATCTGGGCATATCAGGAGCTCGCTGCTCTGTTGGTCTAGCCATTGCATGAGCTCGCTGCTCTGTTGGTCTAGCCATTGCATGAGTTCGCTGCTCTTCTGGTCTAGGCATTGCACGAGCTCGCTGCTCTGTTGGTCTAGCCATTNCTGCTCTGTTGGTCTAGCCATTGCATGAGTTCGCTGCTCTTCTGGTCTAGGCATTGCACGAGCTCGCTGCTCTGTTGGTCTAGCCATTGCATGAGCTCGCTGCTCTTCTGGTCTAGGTATTGCATGAGCTCGCTGCTTTGTTGGCCTGGGAATAGCAAGAGCTCGCTGCTCTGTTGGTCTGCGCATATCAGGAGTTGGCTGCTCTGCTGGTCTGGGGCGGTTAGAAGGAGCTCGCTGCTCTGCTCTCCTCCGCCTCTCGTTTTTAAAACGTTCGATTTGGTCTGTCGTCATCGGAGGAGGCTGTGGGCAGCCAAAGGCTTCGACCGAGGCATGTTCCTGCCCGACTTTTCCTTGTTAATAAACATCTCAGATTCATCAGATCGAGTACGGAAATTCGACCTACCGTACGCGCAATAGAGCAGGTACTCGGCAGCCCACTGTGCCCGATGAACCTGGTCACCGTGCTCCACCTTCATGTCCCGTAGATGGTCCATGTAGCGGTTGATGTGTGGTTTTGTATGGAGGTTGGAGAGTTTCGAATTCGAAGTTGAGGAGATGGTATAACAACGCAACCCAGAGCCGCCCAAAACATCACGTGAGAGCTTGACAAGTCTACTCACCGCCATCGAGGCCATCTTATACTGGAACTGGACTGGAAGCAATGGGACTCGATAACATACGTTTAAAAAGACTTGTCAATATATACCGGAACAGGGCAACTACTTCTATTTAGCAGATCAACGAATGTGATCCATAAGTCTAAATTACAGTCGACGGCGTCCTCTTGACATATCCACTTGCCGCTGATGCGGTCGAAGGCAGAGCAAATCCACAAGGAAACGACGATTCAATGTAAAAGCTCATTGCTTTACATCTCGAATGCCGAATCAATCAACTGCTGTTGAAGTGACGGTCATCTACCCATTTGTAGCTCGCTGCTACTAACGCGGTTGAAGTACAATAGAATCCATGCTGATTCCATCGTCCATGTCTCTCTTGTCCTTGATGCCTTGGAGCCAGTCTAAAGTCTTCATCCTGAAGGCGAGCTGCGCTTTGCGCTCTTTGATAGTTGCCATTGATTTGGCTGGATCCTCCTCGCAAAGCTTCTCTGTGTCCTCCTCGAGCTCTTTCGTCATCTGCCTCATGGCTGAGATCATCTTCTCCTGACGCTCCTGTACAATCGAGACGCGTTCGTCCATCTCCTCTAAATCATCCCCATATCTCTCCACGTCCTTTATCGACTCGAGCAGCTCAATTCGCAACTTGGCCTGGACCAAAGAAGCTTCCATGTCATCCGCAATCCTTGCGCTCTCGACGAACGCCTGCAACCGTACTTCAAAGAGATCGTTTTCTACCGTAAGGGTTGCGTTCCCAGGTTGTATTGGGTTAATCCCCCCGTACTCGACCATCGACGATGCTAGCTCTGTGATAAGCGTTTCTGCAATAGCAAGATGATCATGCCTCCAGACCTTTAAAATAGGTAGCGATATATGCTCGATTTCGATATTTAATACTGCAAGACACTTAATTATAAGTGCCCATAGGTTTGGGGTATTCTTCATCCCACAGTCCGGGCTATATTCCGGCATCCTCCCTCCTAGATTCTGGGAGCAGCCAACCTGGGCAGGAGATTGTAGCTGAGGTGTTGTCCCACTTGGATCGATGTCGAAGCAGATCCTATTCGATAGTAGTCTGCAAAATCTGCGGTCTTGTTCTCGGATTGGTTGGGTAAAGGCTCTTTTGCCTTCTCTAGTCATCTCTCGGAAATAATCTAGACTGAGGTTCGACCGGTTATAAGCGTATTCGATTCTAGCAGCCTCTTCCGCATTCGCCTCTTGATCCTTTGTGGAATTCTCGTCGATGATGTGTTTCTGACCATCGAGGTATCTAATTCTAGTTAATGCTGTAGGCAGATATCCCTTGGTTGGTTTTAGTAACATACCGAGTTATAATATCTTGAAGGGCTTTCCATTGCTTCGAGTTGAGCCCCTTACCTGTTCCTTTTACAAGGAATGTGTTTAAGTAAACACCAGGGCATCCGTCTTTTGTAAAAAGCTGGGCAAAGTCTGGATCTGCTTTATATCGGTATCCGATTGTACCATCAATTATAGCCTCAACTATCGGTTTCGGGATACTTCTTAGCAGTTGTGTTGCCTGTTTCTCGCCGTTGTAATCATCGATCAAGCGTTCTGCTGATGCTTTTACTACGCTATTATTAGTATATATGTTTTGCATGGTAGGTTATACTTGCTCCGGTGAGTATCGATATGTGGCTTGGGCTCGAGTAACTCATTATTCGTCTCATTGACGATGCATATTAGTTCTGCTATCAAATCATCAGTTATTGATCCAGGGCAACGGAGGACATCAAGCATTCTCCATTTTCTCTCTGCCCAACACGGCATCTCTGCAGTGCGCTCTACTCTATATTCTTTAGACGCGATAAGAGACATCGTCGTGAATTAATATAATATATGTCAAACGTTGGAATATAAGCGTCGCGGAGTTGGAAATTCGTCGGACGAGTTGATTTTGATAGTTAAGGGGGGTGGGTCACGTGATATACACACGCGTTAAGCGAGACCTACCCTCTGGATATCCCGAAGACGCGACCTGCAACACTCGAATCCTCTTCCATCCACATCCACATCCACATCCACATCCACATCCACATCCACATCCACATCCACATCCACATTCACGTTCACACACAGTTAGAAACCATGGCTACGAACGAATACCTCGATACAACCCTGGGTTTGCCTCTGGCAAATGATCAGGGATCTGAGATCGACTATATGTCGCAAGATGAGTTAGAAGATGCCGAGCAGACAGCTCACGGCTCCCACGTCCATAACCTCCCCCACCAGGGCGAGATCTCGAGAGATGAGCAACATGCTCTAGCTAACTATCCCCAGATGTCCCAGGAGCAGCAAGCTCCGACTAATCTGGTCCAGATGTCCCAAGAGCAACAAGCTCGCGGCTTAGCAACATCGAATGATTTGGACGAAGGTTTTCATCCTTAACCCCTTACAATTTGTGACTACATATGCTAACCAAGGCTCAGATACCGAAACTGTTCAATATGGAACACAGCATAGGGGAAATCTCCCGATCTCCATGCAAGGAATAAGAGAAGCCCTCCCAGGAGCCTCTACGGTGGCATCATCAGTGGTTGCCCCCGAAGAGCACCAAGATCAGTTTGTGCCTCCACCAGCCAACTTGACATGTGGCAACTGTGGTCAGCCAAGCCACTCCGTTCAAATGCGCCTTTCTCCGCTTGATGATGGCGGCTTCATCAACGCCTGTCCTTGGTGCAATACCAATTTACACAACGCTGCGACTTGCACCCGGCAACGGCGCACTACAAGAGAAGCTAGGACCTTCTTCATTGTCAAGAGGTACAATAAACCACCCATCCGATGTCCGTGGGATCTTTGGGACTTAGATCTCGATGCTTGGCGACGGAGGCCCCAATGCCCACAAAGCGGCAGATTCGCCCTCGAAAGACATCAAGTACATAGGCCACAACTTCCGTTCCAACACGTTGTAGATCCTCTAGTGGCTCAATTCGACCAGATTCCTGCCGCTGAACAGACCCCAGAGGGGTGGAAGGCAAGATTCGGAAACGCGTTTACCCGGGGTGAGACCGAGCCAGGTCTCCCGGTGAATGTACTCTACAGACCAGTACCCCATCGTCATGCTGCTGCGCGACGGGGGGGTCGTGGTGCTCTGGCAGCTGAACAGGCACCGCGCTTGAGGGACTCCATGCATAATCCCGAAAACCGTCGATTTACCGGCAATAACCCCGGCAGAGATTATTCACGGTGGTCCAGATCTACCCACAATCCGCGGAACCAATCCCAGCCCGCATATGGACCTAGAATGGGAATGGGAAACGATCCTCAGTTAATGAACTTCGTTGGATCGGCCCTTGAGATGGCCGGCTCATCCACTTTCAATCGGATGATGAGCTTAATAAACTCCCAATCTGGGACAGTTGCCAACAATGCTGGGGCCACGTTCGGCAACTACCGAGGTGGTGGCAGAGGAGGACGCAGAAACAGACACCGCGGCAGAGGCGGCGGAGGCGACATACGATCCCAGTATCGTGATCTCCCTGGTGGCCCAAACAGAGGGCCGGAAAGAAACAGAGGTGGCTATCAATAGATACCCACGGTAGCATCCCAAGCATCGGGACAGAGACAGACAACACGAGATAGCATCCCAATCATCGGGACAGGGACAGAGAGAAAGCAGGTTGATCCCAAGCATCGGGAGTAAGAGACCAGGTAGAATCCCAAGCATCGGGACAGAGACAGAGAGAAAGCAGGTTGATCCCAAGCATCGGGAGTAAGAGACCAGGTAGCATCCCAAGCATCGGGACAGAGAGAGAAACTAAAATTAAAGGGGTGGCTATCATTTAGATACCCACAGTGCGATGATGTACTCTGTTGAGTACTAGATATATCAATATGAAAGAATCGCCGCCCTAATTTCCAGTATCAATCGTGACATGTAAATGCCTGAATCTATGCTTGAATGTTAATTTGCGCGATCCTCTCCAGTTGATATTTATGCCAGCGTCGGTCGACCTTTCCCATCAACTGTTTGGCTCACTACTTCTGCATCTGTAATGATTATGTTCGCCAGTTGCATTAGATCGCTATTAAACGCATGAACCAACTTGCAATGATTAATATTCCACTATGTACTATAGGAAATCCCATAACTCACGAGATTGAGATCCTTAAATGTTCTTGTGGGGAGATCTTCTCAGAGTTTGTAGCTTGAAGCATTGGCAATGGGGTATTCATTGATCTTATTTCTGATAAAGAATATGGTCAGTAGGAGTCTTCGAGTCTTCTAGCCGGAAATATGATAGGTTGATGGTATGGATGTATATTTCGGCCAGAGGTATGCGTTCCATGGGTATGCTATTTCTATGTCCCTCTGAGTAGTCGCTGGTGCGATCGACAAAGGCGTGAGCGAGGTCGTCGAAGGCTAGTGGCCTCGTCAACATAACCACCCTTTATTGTTCTCGACCTTCGAGGGCCACATGTTACTCGTCACCATGACTCTTGAACCCGGCTTATCGTTGACCCGTCGCCATTCCCCGGCGTAGGTAAACATAAATTCAATTCATCTAAACATCACGTCAAGCCTCCATCCAAAACCTCCATACCGCAATCCTTATACCATCAACCTCTTACAGCGCACGCCTCTCGACGATCCTGTAACGACGGGATGCTTTCCCCCATTTTGCCACAACATCCATCCTAGCGCTCACCACCTGCCATCAGCCTAAAGTTTAACTTATGGAATTGCAGGTTCTCTACATGTCTTTGATTCTTAGTGTTCCTGGGCATGACCAGCCACACAACCGCACTCATTCTCAGATTGAGCCCATTCCGGACCCTCACAGCACTGCTGTTCACATCGCTCAAGTTCACACTCCTGGTCCAATGTCAAGCTCTATTTTTATCTCGCCTGCCATAGTGTAAACCTTTGCACACAAATTTGCTATAACGGAAGGTACAAGAAGAATGAAATAATAAATGGCATTCCTTCATTTTTGCCTAAAAGCACTTGCTTGCTGAAATTTTTCTTTAAGGTTATTCCGGCTGTTTAGTATAGCGCCTACTACTCTATAAAAGAGCGGCTATTACCTAGATAAACTATATTCAACGGAGGGGCGATCACTCAGCCACTGGCGGAGTTTTGGAGATGTAGCAATTAAATTCCTTTATATCATTTGGAGCAAAATTCAAAATGCTCTACCTAGGTAGATGATTTGTTTTTCTAGTAGTGTGTATCCCCAGCCGCAGCCCATACTTCTTCCAACGCTGAGAAATCCGAATCCAGCCATTGTAGCATAGGCTGTGTATTCATAAAGTCATCAAGGAAATTGTTGCTACAGAGATCGCTATTAAGGTCCTGGCCTAAGCTTGGAATTGACTGGGGCGTAACGTTAAATTCCGACTGTAATAGAGCGGGAGAATCGTATGCCACGATCGGGTGAGGAGGAGGGGATTGGCTTCGTATAATCGGTCCGTTGCTAGAAGCGTTCCGGTTAAATGGTACCATTCCCTTACCACTGTTCGATAGGTTGTTGGGTTCTAATGGTGTGGTGCAGTCCTCCGAACTCAAGATGCTAGAAGCTAATGAGGAGAATGGGATACACAGTTTGTAAAGTTTTGCAACGGAGATGCTCTGGGTAATTATGTTCATTAGCTTTGTCGCATTAAATATAAAAGCGGGTGGAAGAGGGCTATAACTATACAATTTCTTTTGCTTCTTCAAGATATGCAACAAACTGTAGCATGATATTGTAGTCTGGTGTAGAGCGGCTTGAGATAACATTGCAGAATAAGACGAAGAAGGGTGTGAAAGGATAATGGAGGATTGTCCTATTGCATAGTTTAGCAATATATCGAGTGGTAATGATATCGATGGAATAATAATTATAATCCATCGCCACGTAAATATGAGGCTCAAGGTTCAGCTCGGGTAGAATTAATACTAACCAATGTGCAAAGGAATTTTGCATATAGGCACTATTATACTGTGACGAGTAAGAAAGTTCCCGGGCTCTTTGAACGGCATTCAATGCAGATCGTGCGGCATCCAAATACGCTTGGTTATATTCCGGACGCAATCGTTCTGCCCCGGAGTGGAACAGTACTGTCTTCACCGAGTAGTATGCAAAGTCCACCATAGCTGACTCCATCTCCGAGTCGTACTTATCGCCTATCTGTTTCATTTGATTTTGTAACTATATATATATTAACCAAGCAAAGCGCGCCGGACAAAGTCAGAGACATACTTCTGTATTTAGCTTCCAGATTTGATTCATCTTGGCCAGTAGATTCGACATGAGGGCCGCGCGTCGACTCGCTCCGTTAGCTAGCCGTAATTCGGTGGCAATGCAGCTTTGGACCTGCGCAAGCTGGAGATAAATGGTGAAGTTGTCAAGGATAACTGATGTCGTAGTCGGTGGTTTGAGTAGGTCAATTTCAATTATGGAGTCCTGCAGAAAGGCTGGACGGTCAAGATTCATCGCTAAACCCTTGTCGTTCTTGTAGCAGATAGCGAAGCAGTAGTATGCCTCGATTGCTATGTCACGAGGGCCATTTTCGAAGGTATTGCCCTTTTTGTGGAGTTTCATGTCAAGGCACATAGTACTAGCAGCTTCTGTGAGGAGCCAGGCTGCCGAAAAATCGCCAGCTTCTTGCGCAAGCATATTCTGCCGCATGATTAGTAAATCATCTTTGAGCAAAAGAAAAGAGAACCTACACCATAGAGGAACCCCTGAAGATTCTCGAGGCTTGGTGAGGCTTGCAGAAGAATGCGTGAGACTGTGGTTCGTGCCGTTGAAAAGTAGTCTAGTGCTTGGAGACGTAGCTGTTCTTCCAAACCTGTGCTGTCGCCGTGTCCTGAGAGAACGATCTCCTGCAAGAAATACCCAGCATACGCGGCAACGCATATCAAGTTAGCAGGGCTGGAGTGATTCGTAGGTTTATTGAGAATATCTTGAGCCATCCGAGCGATCGTCTTCCGCGATGTAAGTGGCATGAACTCGTTGGAGCATACCGATCTACCGGAATCATCAGCTAGTAACAGGTCAGAGTATAATCTGTAGAACATATTTCAGAAACCTACACTGCAACATCCACTGTATCAAGGTTATATGTGGGATTGACAGGTTTTCTAGGTCCTGTTCCAAATTTCTTTCGCTTGAGGGATCATGGTCAATCATTGATGTATTCAAACTTTGCTTGAGAGAGGATAACGCAGACTGAAAGGCAGCCTGCTTTTTTGCACTCAAGCCGGGAGCACGAGTTAACTCTTCTTGAATCATCGTCTGAGCTTCATAAGCAGAAAAGGGGGGAGTAACATGCGATTCGGCGGTAGCTGAAATGTAAGCAAAATTCGATCCACGAGGTGACTCGTACTGATAAGGATCTCCACCGAAGGCTTCCATACGAGTTCTCTTTCGAGGGGCCGTCTTGGTATTGTGGGGATCTATGATAGATTTAGTTGTGAGGGCGATCAAATCGCTAACTGAGCTTTCCAGAGTCGTTATACGTTCTTTGATCTCATTTATGGCTTCCGAGCTAAATTTAATGTCAGCAAAACATGCTTTTGTAACAGTTAGATTCCAACATACACCTCTTTAGGGAATGCTTCTCGAGACCTTCGCTCTGGCTTCTGACGTTCTCGTAGGCAAGAAACTCGAGAATCCATGCAGTTCCCACATGGACTCCTTCGATCACATCGTATCTTTAATGAGGTATTAGTCCAAACATAAAAACATATCCATTTAATGTGGCAAGGACTTTATTAGCAGAGCTCAAATTGGAAATTTACCTTTCTAAAGTAGCAGACGTCGCACTAAAAAGAGATTTTGATCAGCTTCTTCGAATTCAACTCTAGAGATATTATGATGAAAATGCAGGCACAGAGAAGATCAAGGAACCTCGGGTTGGAGAATCACATCACGCGGAATTAGTCACGTGGTTTCCAGTCTTTCGAATCCATATAGGCAACCGCTACTTTGCATCCATTAGACATGGCCTATAAGTTCCCTGGGGTTAGTTTCACATTAGACAATAATGGAGCATACAAGAGTCGACTCCTAATGACAACACCCCATGTCACGTGGTAATCCACGCTTTTGCCCTTAGCAATAAGGAATTTCAAAGAGAGCGGGTGGCTGTAGAAGCGGAAACTATTCCAACAGATGAACACGAATGCAAGCGGTACGAAACCATGCAGGCTGAGAAGCAGGGGGGGTCTTACAGCAATCGGCGGCAGTGGATCTGCTTTGCTCTCGCACAGGAGAGGTGACCGCTGGGGTTTTCGAGTGTCGTCCATTTGATGGCTGTTCCGATGGACGTTATCGGCACCGAGAGGCTATAAAAGGGAAGACGATATCGCATTAGTTAGGAGGTGTGTATTCCATATTGCGAAAAGATTTCGTCGTTTGAAAACGGGGGCGAGTCGGGCCCTCGGAGGCCGAGCCCCCGAAACCGATCCATGCCATCAGAGCTAATTCAGACAGAAAACATTGGCAGCATCCAATTAGTAATACCAATCTCAAAGAAATGGAAAACGAATATGTTAGGCCTTGCATTTGTAAGGGGAAGATTTTCCTACCCCAAAGGCTGGCCAAAAAGCTGGGTGGACATACCACGTGCCAGAGTAAATAGGGGGAAGGGCTTGCATCGCGGTCCAAGTCTATAAAACTCTCTACATGCCATTTTCGTCGCTACGAGTGTCAAGTTGAGTCCCGAATAATGTTCTTTACACCTCGTATCCAATTTTACCGGAGAGCATTATTATAACATTGGTCTGAAAGTTTCATAACGCAGCACACAACAACTTTAGCTAATTCGTCATACTCGGTACATAAGCGTAACAAGTGGACTCGCATGTTCATCACACTGGCATAAATATTATGTGTGTTTCCCCTTCCATATTTCAACTGGATTAGCTCGAGTAGATAAGGCAAGTAACAACACCCAGGACCAGAGTCAAAAAAGGGAAAGCATGGGCAGCATTATTACGCCCAAGCGCGGCGGATTTGGTAGCACTAGTAGTAGAGCTAGTATTGATGAGCGTAGAAGTAGAGGTAACAGAGGCTAAATACTGTGAGTCTCTACCGCAAAGTAATATATAGGTGTGACTTACTACTCTGTGCACTGCTTATAGTGGGGTTTTTATGGGGTGAAGGGGCCGAAGTTGCAGAACTAGTGGGGTCGGAGGGTACTCCAGATGCCAGAGTTGAAGGCGGATACGATGTGGTTAAGGTCGCGGGAGTTGGAATAGCTGACACCGGAAACGATGTGGTCAAAACTGTGGAACTTAGAACAAATAACCCAGACGACGCTGGTGATGACGACAAGGTGGAGGAAGCTGTTGCTCCAGTTGACACGTCAGTAAAGTCAGAGCTGTCGCTGATTTCAAACTGAACGCTATAGTTTGGCCCTGTGGAGTCGATGATCTCGAATGCGTAGGGTCCCTCTGGGAAAGACCCTGCGGGAGTCCAGGAGAAGCTGGATCCTATTAAGCCGGCTTAAGAATACTTGTCAGCATGGTGACTCGTGATATATCTTTAGGGGTGACCTACATCCGATAGTGCTGGCATCCTTCAATGCGGTTGAGGGGCCATTCTTCAATTTGAGTGTGACCGGCCCTGAAGCATCGACCCAAGTGATAGCGAAAGGGGAGCCAGTTGAGATGCTATTGAAGTTCGAATTGCTAAATTTAGCAGCCCCAGCTACTAAAACATTGATAGCCAGAAATACAGCTCTAGAATACATGGTGGTGGGGGAATTTGCTGAGGGATCAACCTAAAGAGTTATATAAAATCAGCCAACCAGTCTCACATTTCATCGATACTCTCGCGCCATTTGATTCGATGTGCATGGGATGGTTGTACTCACAGAAATAAAAGTGTTGTAAAGGATAGTGTGGTTGATGTATATAGTTCCAGGACGTATGAATTTTTAAGCAGGAAAGAGGTAATTGACCAAGGGAAGAACGCAACTTATATCCGGCAGATATCCGTATAAATAGCATCAACAATAGCTGCGTCACCAAATATCCAATGCTTAGCACACCGACCCGTTAATGTGATCCCATCGGGCTTACTTTGGAATTAAATGCGATGTACATAGCATCCAACCACAATAGAGCCCTTCCAGGCTTCTCACTTGAACAACACTTGTCATCCACTTCAAGATGAATATGCCGACCGGTCTCCAGGAACTTCCTAGATTCTTTCAGTTACACTCCGCCTAGCTTGGCGAGTCGGAGTTCGTATAATGCCAACGAGTCAGTGAAAGTTTCGGGGCCGAGCCTCCGACAACAGTTGTAGCGGACAGGACTTGGCTCTGTGTGACTGTTCTCAGGCTCTCAGCGTTGTATAATTCCCAGAAGTAGTTAGATCATACTTTAAATGAAAGATTCAATAGCAAATAGCGATGGAATTACCGGGTTTGAAGCAGTTTAAGCTATTATATACTTGCTCAAAACCGACATCAGTAAAGTGACTGGAGCTGTAAACCACTTGATTCACTCCTTTCAAGCACATCGAGAGGTCGCGTGTGAAGCAATGCGCTCATGTAGCCGGAGGCTTCCTCCGTCATACCCACAAAATACTGACCTGGGAGTTCGTCAGCTTTTGATTCCAAGACACAACTGCCCCAAAACTTGGGTCTGGAGCGCCAACTCCGAGGACCAAGGCGATAGAAAGGTTTGTTTCTCAGGGGCTGCCTCGTCAACGCCACCAGCTGATCGTTACTCTAGCGCACTATTCGGGCGTCCGAGGGCCCGAAAATATTTAGAATTATAGAATATGGTCCAAGCTCTCAACAACAACCCAACTTCCGAATGCTCATTAACGTTTTAATAGGAAAGCCTTGTTTGAAATGGCGAAACTTCTCTCCGGGGCGGTGCACTCTGCTTTCTCTAAGCTGAGCCACAAGCAAGAGTAGCCAAGACAACAGTTGTAACCATTTTCACTACCCAAGCCACTCTAAGCACTCTCCATAATGGATCCACTTTCTCATCGTTGGTTTGGTATATATGTTCAAGATTCCGAGTTCAATGTGTCTGTACCAAGTGATTCTATCCCAATACTTCAAGAAACTAGATCCCATAATACAAGTCAAACACTTACGCTCATTTCCCCACAACCCACAACCGTTCATGGAAACACATCTTAGCCAGCTCCGCCAGCATTCTGGGGAGAAAGCCGCGTCGGTTTCCACGTCTTCTCTACATTCATTTTCCAATGAACTATCCCCTCCAGCTAGACTGGCGCCACACCTCGGTCCGCTTACCCTTGACCACGACCTTCCCATAACGCCAAATGTTTCTCCTATCGAATCTGAGCCTGGAGCATTTCAACAGCTGACAGCTGATTGTGACACGTCAGTTTCCGGTGCCTTACCAATGCAGTTGTCCAGGTCCTTTGTAGAGCATCAGGCATGGTTGGTTATGGAGGACGAGGCTGTGAAATATTTCTCGAGCCAAACTCGGTGCATATTCGACCTCTTCCAGAAATCTGCCGACAAATTTAAACCAGTCTCAACAGGATCCGTTGACGATGTTGTTAGACTAGCGATATGGTGGTTTCTTGATGCTCGCATGAAGCTGGACCCTTTGCTCAGGGAAGGTTCCTCGTTTCCCTTCGCCCAGGAAGACAACAAGATTCTCCTCCAACGTGCACACTTAAACCTAGCGAAATCTTTCTGGATCCTCCAAGAAACCAACAATCTCAATCATGAAGCTTCTAGCAAGAACATTTTTGAGTCAGCTGAATTTCGCGATGCTGATCATACGGTTGCAGTGCTGTCACTTCGTCTTGCCGTTCTCGTTCGGATACGCCAGGCGATCTGGTCCATGCAGCGAAGTGAGCTTCTTCCCCTGTCCTTGGATATGGCTTCTATATCGGAGGATGCGGATACATCAATCTGGGTATCCTATCCTTCGTTGAACCTCAGCATTGACTATCTCATAACAGGGCATTACGCTGCTCCTCAGGACAAGCTCAATGAAGAACTGCCTCTCTCCGCATTTTTGCCACTAGGTGATACACGGGACGCATTCCACTACGGCGGAATGCATATCGATCTCTTTCTGCTCGCTGAGTCTTCTAATGCACAGCAAATCAAATATCCTGCTATACTGTCAATTATACGAGCACGAGATGAGCGATGCTTTTCTGTTGCCATTGGGACCCAACATGGGCTCCTGAATTTTTCAATACATTCAAGCCGGAAGAATCAGCCAACATGGGATGATGTCACATGGGTGCCCGTTATAAATGCCTTGGAGCTCAAACTACGCACCGGTTTTAGGCTACAGCTACGTTGCAGCACTTGGGATTTTAAAATCCTCAAAGGGATGTATGACTACTATTGTCAAACACTTTTGACCTTCCAGGCATCTCAGGACGAGACTCTGCTATTCGAAACAGGTATTAAGTCAGCGAAGTACCATACCAGTCAAGTGGCCGAGTTTGAGGATTTCCCAGCAGGCGTGATCGCAAACTGCACGTTTCGATTATTCGAGGGGACACTTATACAGCAAGCGGGGACGGGACCACGGCGGCTGCATCGCAGTTTTCGGATCGCAATCATCACACCACCGTCAGCCAAAAACATTACAGTCAGTTCTCAGACGATCTCGCCCGGACGAGCAATACAATTCGGCTTCATGCGAGGAGATACCGGAAGCCCAACACTAACACTTAATATCGACACCCACGACGCAGAGAGAACATGGATCCTCGACTTTGACGATTCCCAGCAAAGAAACACCTTATTTGCACATCTGACTGGCTGCTTTCTATGCCAACAAGAAACGGTTCTTGCGCAGGTTCACATAAGCCACTTTTCGGTCTGCACTGGGCTCGAGGCACAGACTCCAGCCCAGGCGTTTGATGATTGTCAATGGCACAGTCTCCGGGTGATCAACAAGCAACCAACCGATCCAGACGGGCTGAAAATCGAGAGTAGCCAGCCAGTCTTATCAGACTATCTTCGAATCATTGTCGACTCTCCTAAACTAAGGGTCACCGATCGTGTAAATGTCGGCATTGGCGAACTAAAGATTAGACGTAACGTTGTAGCTTCCGGCCACGAACTTTACGTTCTGCGTCAGCCGCAGCAGGACATGACTTGCTCTTTATCCAACTTGGCAATATCAAGCAATGTTCCGAAAAACCTGGAAGAGATTCTGGAGGGCATCAAGACGCAAGAATCGATTCGTGCATACACTTTCCCCAACCTACCTGATCTCCACCTATTCCAGTTAGCTATCACCGGCTTCTCGGTCCTGTTCGATGGAAGTCCGGCGTCATTCTCTATCTCGCGCCGTAGGATGATAGTGCCGGTTCATAAGGAATGGTCTGCGCCCCATACTCGACTCCAGATATTACGTCGCGGAGGGATGTTCCAGCTAGCAGCGTTCTTCGAAGGCTTCAGCCATGGCAAGTGTATGAACTTTGCCTTGAAGGAAACCGATATCTTCAAGAAATCCACCAAAGGCGGGAAAATATACTTGAAGATTATCGATGCCAAATTTTCGCTACCACCTGGGGGGAAGAAAGATTTTGGGCACGAGAAAGGGTTTGTTAGCTTAGATTCGTTGGATTATCCTGGGGAGCATTCTGATATTTGTATTGGGTTTGCGAGTAGTTCTGGTAAGTATGGTTATTAAAACGAAGGTCAAGTAGGGGCGTTTGCTAACTTTTGCTCTAGACTTTACCAAGTTCTCTCAGGCGCTGCCAGCACTCGTAAAAGTTAAATAGATAGTATTCAAAAGTATAGTGATGCCAGATTATTAGAATAGATCCATTTTTTTTTAGAAATAAAATGCGGATTACCTAGATATAATCTGAGTTCAATTGCTCGACACTATGGCACGCCTCGTAATAAAGTGGCTGTCGCACCAGAGCCCATCGCCTCTGGATATAGTCTTGAATCACTGACCGCGCGACCAAGCTCTTTAGTGCCTCCGCCCCACGAATCTCACTAATAAGAATGAACTATTCAAAAAACGTTCAAGATCAATGTCTAGCAATTGAAAAATTATAGAGTGAGGCTACTCCCTAGGCTTTGATTGTAAGAGTGAGAAGGGAGCATTACTTTTGTAGTTCCTTGAGCAAGTTATCACGGAGGCAATAAACGTGATAGAGGTGCTTTGTGCATTCACACTAATGATTCAACTGTCTTTAAATATTAAACTGGTTTAGATGCCTATCTTGAACTCCAATGCACCAATATAAACTTACGCTCAAAGCATGTCTCGTCAACAAAATATTCCACCTATAAGTTATAAACCTCCCCAAACTCCTTCCGCAACATCCTCCAACATCCTCAACCCATAAAACCTTGCCAAATTCCGATATATGCTCAGTTTCCTTACTATCTCCTCTCGTTTCACACTCCCCGCCCACTCCCCACTACAAGCACAATGTTCCATAAAATCGTTGACCCTTATAACTTTACATTTTATACACTTTAAATCTTGCGTGCACCATTCAACAACCATACCCTGCACAGAGGCAATTAATCGCTCCTCAATATTGAGACGATTATACTCAGCATCACAAAATCCGCATTTCCAAGGTCTTGAGCTGGCATCTTGCGCGGGAGTCCTAGTTTCGGGGGCCAGATCCTCATCGCGGCAGAAATCCAGATCGCGGGCCATCGTACAGTTCTCGCAAATTATTTGCTGCATTTTGAGACTTTCAGAGGGATTCTCGAAGCGTGCATCGTTGCTGAATTCTCGGACTTCAAAGAGGGCGAGGAGTTCTTTGCGGAGGAGGCGTGCTTCCAGAGTGATATTTTTGTCAAGCGAGAGGACTTGCATGAGGGACTTGACGAGCTGAAGGACCGGATTACTGAATTTGAGATGCGAGCCAGGGAGAACAGGGAACTCATAATCAGACGCCAGTTCAGGATGTAGCATTTCGTCCTTTTGGCGGCGTATAAGACCTGCGATTTGGCGCTTGAGGGGTTTCTCGAATTCCCTTCCGAGGACGATCTTGTCCTCTTTACCGTCGCCGAGATTCTGGACTGGCAGTTGTGTTGCTCTGGGAGTGGATTCCACGCCATTCAAGGCCCGAGGCCTTTTGAGCTTGTGCATCACATCAATAAACTCAACGACCCAATCATGGAAAATTGGTTGAAGGGGCTGTGGCAAAAACTTGGCAAGTTGCCAGTTCATAATACAATCAAGAGTCTGATTCTCTGCTTCGATGACCTCTTGGCATGCCTTGCCGCCATAGTTGAATTCATCGTACCAAACAAGATAGTCCCAATATTCCTTGATCTCGAGGTCGAGGAAATGGAACAGAGGCTTGGCCTTGATGGATTTGAGTATATACTGGCTGTATGCATAAGCGTTACCGACTTCAGCTTTGGTAGTCTGTAACAATAAGCGATTTGCGCTGGCAAACACAACATGAGAGCCAACTCTCCGGAAGTCTGTCATAAGTTGTTGAAAAGCTTTTCGGGACATCATTTGCACATAGTAATGCAGTGATCGATCATATAGGAACGAATCTGGATTTTCGACCCATCGTACGAGATGCTGTACCATGATATCCGCCATATTGCTTCCTTTGCAGGCTTCTGTCCACCAAGCCTTGACCATTTCACGAAGGACAGTGACGCCTGCGGTTGCAAAAGTATTGTCGGCATACAGAATGGTTGTTCCATCGCTTGGTTCATCTGATGGTGCAGCTGGGTTGAAGGAGACGGAATCACTACCCTCGAGCTCATTTATAAGAGAAGAAGTCAAGATAGTATTAATTGTGAGATTGCGAACATCGAGCTCAATGCAAACAGATGGATATGTGCCGGGGTTATTGACGGAGGGCATTTGGACGACATCTAGTGGCCCGAGAACATCATCTTGTTCATATCCAGCATGATCTGGTCTTGGGCCACCTGACCACCACAATACCACGTTGTTCTTCTGAAGTCGCCTGGCGTAGGCAATATCGATTAGAAACCGGGGATCATCTCGCTCGAGGTTGCAGAGTGGGATATCTCCATATCTCGCCAGCTCAGTCAGGTGCAAGACCCATGCTCCAAGACTGAGGTAGTGATTCACCAGGCGCTTGGCAACGAAGGCTTGCCATTGGAGGGGTGGCAGGTTGCTATCGGATACTTCGCATTTAAGCGACAGGACTGGAAAATCTCGCAATATTGCAATATCATGGACAAGCATTCGTCGCTGAGGTGATTGGATAACAAGCATAAGCGGCTTTGTCTCGTCATTTTGAATCCGCTTAATCAGATCGCTAACTTCCAGAAGAGCTTTCCGTCTTGTCGTAACCTGATGTGTTTTAAACTGAATGGCTTCTTGGTATGAGAAACAATTTTGCCACAACTGGCCATCTGCTTCTTGATTCCGTTTTGCAAGCATATCTGTGTATATCTTGCCAATGTTCGGGAGATCCTGGTTTGAATCCTTTGACTTTTGCAATATTATAACATGGGCTTGGTCTTTTGCGGTTGAAAATAACGCAAAAACCTGTCGATCACCAGCCACAACGTGGTACAAGTAGAGGTACGTGACAGGTGACTGTGAGAGATATGGTTGTTGGGAAGGGGCTCTGCATAGACCGGCCAGATCAAATCCAGATTCCAAACCCTTACCTAAAATACCAGGTTGCGTTTCATCAAAGGTGCAGAGGTTGCCAAGTTGTAAAACTGCCCTGACGTGTAATGGAACCTGCTTCTCATAGACGCCTTCAACGCTCGGGTGGTTGAACAACAGTGAGAGCTTTTGTGCCTCGTTGACGTAAATGTCTTCGGACATGGTGAGTTTGAAAAGGTGGACTGAAGGATGACCATTAGGTAAGGTATGATTTACTTTCTGTGCCTCGCATCCGTCAATTTCAATATCGGGAAGTTCCTTGCCCTTCAGGTTCAGGAAAAGTTGTCTTGGCACCTTGACCTTAACGGCGTGAATCTTAAAGTCAATCAGCACAAAAGCCATCAATACCCCAGGACTCTCTGTGGCCTGGAGTTGAAGCACCTGCCAAGTGCTCTTATAGGTCATCTCAGCTTGGGTTCGGAAAGTGGCACCAATGTTGTTCTGGGCACTAACGCGGCTCTCGCCGAATAGATGCCGGCGCCGAATCCGTGCTTGTTTTTGAATCTTCCACTTCTGTTTCTGATATTCAAGGAAGCCGAGATAATCCTCTGTGGGGATGGGCATCTTGTCGGGCAGAGCTGCGTATGGGTTGACCGAGACGGGAGCAGCGGGCTCTGGAGACTTCCGCTTCTGCGCTTTCTGCGAAACCTGTGACAGAGCAGCGTCAAGAGTCCTGGGTTTGAGAAGTTTAGTCCCGTAGTCTTCCATATCAGCCGTCCTTGCATTTCCCAGATTGGCTATTTCGTCCAAGGGGGCGACTTTGTTAAACAAGTCTGTCATTTTCTTCTGTTTCATCTTGTCATCCTTGACATTGATTCTTCGCTGCAACCACTCCGGATGAGGTACTCTTGGAACGGGATTCCTCACTTTCTGCAATGCAGCTGGAATGGTGATCAGTTTCTGAATGACTGAACCGAGACGCTCAAGATAGTAATCCCAATCCAAAAGGGATCTCGGGTCCATGTCCGCAGGATCTTCTTTCAGCCATTTCTTCAAGAAAGCCCTCTTTATCAAACTATCCGCCGAGAATATTGCCACGGGAATGGCCCGTTCAGTAACAGGGGCGTTTTTCGGTTTTGCGCAGATAATGTACTTGCAATTCAAGCCTTTGTCTTTTACCATCTGCTCTCCTAAGAAATCGGCGAGGCGTTTGGCAGTGGTGATAGAAGTCGATTTCTGCGTCCCATATTCTTCCAGCGTTTTCGACATGCTCCTATTCTCGCAAATAAGATCGATCAGTTCCTCGTCTGCAAGCGTCCGGCCTTTAGAGTGAAGCACGTCCAACCATTGGTTTGCTACTTTTGCAACGGCGCTGTAAGTCTCGGCAAGCGTTGTCCCTTCCAGGAAGAACTTGAAAATCTGCTGCTGGAAGATTTTAATAAGTTTAAGCTCCCCTCTCCGCTTGACTTCGAAACCTTTTAACTCTGCGAGACTTCCATCATCATTAAACACAGCATAACGTTTCTTCAGATTCTTATCCTCCTCTTTAGAAGTAGGTAAAATCATTGCTCGGTACGGCCCGTCAACTTCGAAGAAAATTGAGTTATCGCTGTGAGTCGCGTATTTAAATGTCTTCGAATCAACTAGCGTCTGGTACTGGTGGTTGGTGAATTTTGCGTGGACGAGATGGTTCAACATGACACAGGGGTATGAAATGGCGAGCTTCTTCCCACTTTTTAGTTTGAATCCATAGTTTTCTGGGAATGTCGCAGGCAACATGCACCAAATCCCGTCAGTATCCAGTTCCAGGGGACGGCCAATTCGCTCGACAAGCTGCCTGGCCATTTGAATAATATGTGCCCCTGTCAAACACGTCACACCAGCCATTTCCATGGAATACCACCGAGAACCTTTCCTCATCACATATCCGTAGAAGGAATTCAGAATGACCTTGTGCGCCAGCTGCAGGGAGTCGAATAAAATAACCATCTTTTTGCCGTTTTCAATCTCAGCAGGCGAGGCACCGGATGCTTTGAGCTCCTCCGTTTTCCCCTTCCAGACTTTCTGTTTCCCTTTGTAATCATATCGTCTGTCCCTGAAATCTCTGACGGTATTGATATAAAACGGATTTTCTCGTTGGCAAATTATAGCCTCTCGCTCAATAGTCTTCGACTCGTGTATCTTGTGGTAAATTTTCTGGCTATAAATCTGGAGCCGTTTTCGGATAAGAGATGCTTGTTCATCCGCTGGTAGTTCTTGAAACGTTCGGGGGGGGCTAGTAGGATATTTTCCAGGGAACCTTTCGTTCTCAAGCGAGTTTCTGATCATAAGATACTCGTCGCGTTTTGCTGGGAGGTACTCTGCCCTCCAAGCCCAGGGCATGCGCCTGTCGCAGGTCTTTCCCGGTCTATTGAAGTCGCAAGCCGCGCAGTCCGACTCTTGAATCATGGAATCCGGCTGTAATCGATTGGTGGTCATGATATTGGGATACATAGATGCGACATCTAGATGGTAGATCAGAGGCCGCTCGCTTCGATTGGCGGTGATCTTGAGGCTGTTCAGCCGATCTGTGATTTCTTGCTTTACCTCGTCGTAATTCGTAACATCATCCAGCGATTTCTTTTCTTCGACCGTGATGCTGAACTTCAGAGCAGCGTCCAGGTCGTGTAGAAGCTCGTCAATTGCTGTGGTATCAACCGCGAAATTAACGGGGATATCAGCTCGGAAAACTCCAGCCTCTATACTCTCGACATGCCCGCCAACGTAAGTTTCCGACTCCAAAAGATGGCCTTCCCAGAAGGACTCCTTCGGTGAGACATGTTTATTTGGTAGCACTATCTCCTTCTGATAAGCCTGGACCATGAGCAGCATTTCGCAAAGCGTCCCTGTTCCTTTCCTGAGGACGGCATCCGGTCCGAGTGGAATGATCGTACACAAGGAGAAGATGAAAGGGTGTACATATTTCATATACAGATAATATGTTGCCACTGCATCTGATACCGAGTATTCCGCAAGGGTCTGAGGGCGCTCACTTGCATACCGAAGCATCAATTCCGGATCCAACTCGTCGGGATCATATCCAAGTTTGGCTGTCGTGACCGCTTTCAAACCTCGGCTACCTTGCGGTAAATAACTGTCTCGATTGACCCAATGAAAACAATCCATATGAGCACTATAGTCACAGCAATATTGATCATCGGTGCCTTTCCTCCAGCCTATTTCCTGGTACATGTCAATGCCATTAACACTCGAGCGCGCATCAACAAAGGGCCAATCGAAGAAATCTCCGTTATAAGTTGCTATAACAGTCGGCCGTGCTTCCTTGATATGTAGAAAGAATCGTTCGATGACTGCTTTTTCATCCGGCTCGTTGAAAATCATGAAGGGGCCATCGTATTCTGGTTTGGGGGTGTACTCGAAGTCCTCGATATCTTCGGATACAATCTCTCGGTTCGTGATAAGAAAACCTTGCCCATCAATCATATAAGAGATCATCATAATCTGGTCAATCGCCGCATCTGGGAATTTCAGAGGCAATTTCGTCGTCTCGATATCGTAGGCCATCACCACTGGATCTGCTCGTTGAAGTCGCTCCTCTAAACATTTCATGGTTGTATGGCCATGTTTTGCCTCCACCGTATACCATTTGCCCGTCCGTATATCTGCAAGTATCAGCACCGATTTTACTATCCCAATGGACCCTTCTCACCCATGTCTATCATTACCCGCACATGATATGGTACATCCCATTCCCGTATATCCACAATGAAATCGCTGCCATCCGTAACAGAAGCATTAAGTCGTCTATCGTCATCTCGGTCGTCATCAAAGAGGTCAAATCCTGCATTTGCACTGTCCACTATTAGATTATTTCTCCAAATTCCGGGAGAAAAGCGAACCTAGCAACCTCCGCATAAGTATCCATCGCATTCATATTCTTCTTGTTCTTCTCTGCAATGGGCATGATATCTCTCCTAGCTGCTAGCAGATCGCTGACATTATGAAATCTGAGCTCAAAAAAGGTCCTGCGATAGCCCAGCAAATGATTGGGCATCTGTAAATCCTCCTTCTCGACCTTCCTCAGGCTTTTTACCACGCCCCCTCCAGGCGCTCTTTTTATCCATTCCTCTGCTTCTGGTTCATGACCCCTCTTGACCGCAACCAAGAAATACGGATCATACTCAAGCGTGGCCTTGAACGTCCCACCATCCTCTTCTATAAAGTAGCAATCCAAGCCCGCCCTTCCATCCGCAATTTTTTCGTCCTCTATAGTCGTCGGCTTGAGATTGCAGAGCCAGCCGACTTTCTTCTTGCCAGAATCGTAGCGTGCGAAACCCATGGACTCATCGATTGAGTCCGCGAGCTTGACGGCCTCGCGCTTTTCATCTGCAGAGGTAGCTTCATTGCGGTTCGAAGATGTGAAGGTTTTAGTTTTTGAGGGCCCGTGGTAGGCATTCTTTCCTCCTCGCCGATAGCCATTTTTTGGCAGCCGCGGTCCGGGCATGGTGGCCGTGGCGAGGGTAGGAGAAGGGCCACTTGATGGTATGGGAGCTCGCGCGATTTGCGCTGGAGAAGCCTGTTGAAACGGTTGCAAGTCTACTTAAAGAGCTGCTTCTCGTGCTTCGGACCCAGCATATATATCAAGAGTTTAGGGATTGCAGGGAAAACATTGAGGTTAGCGGTGCTCGGGTGGTGTCGTGGTGTCCGAAGTGCTTGATATGAATTGTTTCTGGATTCTAGAGACGGGAGTTCGGGCGACGCGAAAGACGCGTTGAACGGATCGCGTGGCGCGTAAAGTGGTGGACAGGGACCACGGATGGCGGCTGGCGGCTATGCGATAAACGACGGTCCATCAATAACATCGAAAATCCGAACCTGTCGGCTCTCCCACCATCTTCCTCCACCTTCTCACCCTCACGGCCCAATCCACTATTGGTATTGGCCACGGACACAATAATGGCAGGTGATACGCGAGATTCTGCTTCCACACCCTCCCCCATCACCTCCCATCCTCAACCTCGAGGGCCTCCGCCCGGCGAAACCTCACCACCTCCCCACGTTCAGTCCCCCCCCAAGATCTACGAAGTATTTACTGGCCCACCCCCAAATGCGAATGCGCTTCCGCAGGGCTCCGGCCAGAATACTGCAGGAGGACATGCAAAAATGCCAACTTTGTCCGAGGGAATCAAGACGGTACGGCTGGAGGATTTCAAACAAATGTATATGTATCCCTGTGTAAGAGAGAGCCTGCTCATGGGTATTGGAGGCGGCTTTGGGATGGGAGGAATCAGAGCTTTATGGGGCGGTATGTTGGGACCTCTCTCGACCCAGTCCGCATGACAGGAGGAGTGCTAATTTACTATTGGGAATACATAGCCCGAATACCCAAAGCCGCCAATTGGGCCGTAGGAACATTCATCTTCGCAGCGTTCGCCAACTACGAATTCTGTCAGTACCGGCGCATGATAGAGAAAGCCCATATGAAGCGTGCCGTCGAGATAATCGACCGGAAGAAGGCCGAGAAGGAGGCCGCGGCCCAGGCGAAGCGGGAAGAGAGGAGGCGGCTGAAAGAGGAGGCGGACAACAAAGCAGAAGAATCCGGTAACAAAAGCCGCTGGAGGTTTTGGTAAACGCAATCAGCCAATGTATGTAATATAGGTAGGTAGTGTTATGCTGTATACGTATTTGAGTCCAGCCAAATGATGTTTCAAGACGGAACAGATCATGGATCGCTTCCATAACTGGTCGTGATCTGCTGGCATAGAGGCAAGGTTGTACTCGTCGTGGAGTTCTTCGTACTATGAAAGTACATGTATGTATCTATATACTGCGTGCTAGATGCCAACCCCAACATTCTATAAGCCGCTGAGCCCTAGGGCGAGCTTGAAATATTACATAACCTTGACCCAGAATCACGTGGTCCGAATCCGGTTACTTAAAAGGGGCAAGTTCAGCACTTGGTAGGTGTTAGCGTGCTGCACTGTATTTGCTTTTGGCGTCAGGGTGCAGAGGTGCGATGTGCAACAAAACTCCACGCTACATGTGGGGCACGGGTCGTCACAGAGTACCTAGGTACTTAGGTACTTATCAAGTGATCATGAGCCTCAATGATTCAATGATAACCCCCGCCAACGACACAGCATCTTAGCACCACACAAGATATCGGCTACTACTTCTCTAACTTTAGTATCCAATATCCCACACCTCTTTTCGCCTATAACATTACTGCGTAACATCCGCGATACATATTTGCTTCGCCCAGGAGCCCGATCAAATATCCATCCTCTATCGTACAACCTTGTACCCCCGAACGCCCCCGCAGTAGTTCACGTCAGGCATATCTCTGCTGCCCCCCGATGACAATCCAATTCCAGCTATGGAATCCAGTCGATCTACAGCCTCGGATACACCGCTCATAGCCCCCTTACCATCACCAAAGCGGAAGCGCAATGTTCCTCCAACACCGCCGCCATCCTCTTCGGCGAAGGAGAAAATGCGACTCGAGACCGACGTCAAGATATCTACAGTTGGTGTTGATAATGGCCTAGCGGGAAGTCCGCGGACGAAGGTCGCGTGTGACCTTCAGGGCATGCAGCTTGAAGATAGCATTGTATCCAAGCTAGAGCTACGGCCTATGTATTGTCCAGCGATTCGGAATAGGCACCAGGCTGTGTACGAGGACGGAATCGATGAGGATGAGGCCCTAAGCAGGAAACGTTCCAAGGTGTACGAGATCCCCACAACGCCTGAGACGCGAATAATCAAAGCTTCGCCAAAGCTGAAGGAAAGGACGGCAGTCGCCATAGCCTTTGGGTCCCCTACGGCACAGGATCCACATATACCTGAACAGCCAACCGAAGTGGCGCTGGGTGAGGATATTGACCACCATATCGTATTCAAATCAGGTAGCTCGCTAGGAAAATTAAAGGGAAGCGGGCTTGGGAGGGCATACCCAGGTATCAGCCAGCTACCGGACTCAAATTCAAGAGGCAGGAAGCGTGCAGGTACACCGCCGCTCGCCACCTCGTCGGCATCCAGCTCCCCTGGGGGCGGAGGGAATAGGATTATTGATCCCGAACGCGCAGCCCTAACCTGGCATGACGACGAAATCACTGGGCACAATACATCTGATCCAGAAGACGATGGGGAGGGTATTAATGGGATCGGATTTAAACCCACCCCAGCGGAAGCGTATGCCCGGGCCCAGAAGAGACAGTTGCAGATGGCAGAGTACAAAAGTCGCGAGGCGCGGGAAGCGCGAGCGAAGAGAAGTCAGAGGCGCAAGGGGAGCGACAGGATGGAACAAGTTGAGCGAGAACAACAGAGACAAGTGAGGTTCCTAGATGTGGAGCAGAGTAGCGTGATATCTATCAATTGAGCTCAGGAAGATAGTCGATGGTGGGATTTATACTACCAAGCTTCACATTCGGCTGGAACAAATAGCCCCAGGTTCTTTTTAGATTGTTAAGCTTCTTTAACATAGCAAGGCATAGCGTAGGCGTTTTCGGTTCCGTCTCGCCTTTCTCCCAGGAGTTTGATCGATCGAGGCAATATTTTGCTGGTTGTCCGGATTTCTAGGGGCGCGATTCGGGCTTTGGGTTCATTAATGGCTCCATTGAGTCGAATACAAATCTGATTATTATCATTTTAATCAGGCTTGGTCGGGATGAAATATAGAAAGTTAAATCACCCTCCCCGAGGGATGCGTTTCGTTCCCTACCATGTCCCCAGCCCAGAGTCTCCCAAAGCCCTTATGTTGGTCGACTGAACTCTGTCCCAATGACGCCGAGTAAGCCGACGAATGAAATAAGTTAACCTGCACTTGGCCTTGTTCCTCCTAGTCCTCGCTGACCATAGATGCCTAGTGAATGTCTATGATGTGCGCTACCATAGGCCAGAAGTAGTTAAGAACAAGCACGTAGGTAGTATCAGAGCTTACCACGTGAGTGCGAGGAACTCCTCGAGCATCTTCTAATGTGTGGCCGAGGTGAAGGGGAAACGCTGTCCCCAGTCTAGTAATATTCACGAGTTGAGGAAAATTTATCATTTTTAAGATCTATGCAATGACTTCTATGGAGAGACGGTGCTGTCGTGGTGGCCTTCGTGATAAGCGGATACCCAACGGTGTACTCATAGTAAGGCTGCGAATGAAGAGTAGTAAGACTGCGGGCTAGATGAGAGGTGCTAGAGGGATTGAATAAACTCGAGGCAAAATCCCAAGAGCAGGGACCGACATAGCTAACAAGCATTGGCTTAGAAGCAATTTCACAGGGTATCCAGAATGTCTCTTACGATTCATACATATATCATACAATACCTGACTAAACCTACAGTTCGTCATTTCCCTCAATTGCCCCTCGACTTGACCTGGTTCCCTTTGTATGTTCCTCAACTTCAGGCCCCCGCGCGCTCTTCAGTTGGCTGGCCGACTTGACTGTTGAGGGATGCATCTCGGGCATGCCCAGTCCCGCCGGCGGAGACCACGTCACTATTCCTTTTGCAGCGGATTCAAGTCGCCTGCTCTGCCCTTCTTGGCCCGCGCGGCCGAGAACACCAGCAATAACTTGGATGCAACGGAGACTAATCGTCAGACGTTAGCATTGGCTCAATTAGAAGCAACGGAGCAAGGGGAAGGGCCAACCTGTCGTCATTCGCGGGAATAGGATATGTGACCCAGGTAGGATCCGCATCAGTATCAATGACACCGATCGTAGGGATATTGTTAAGTCCACATTCGTGCAGCAAGATATAATTCTCTAGCGGATTCATGCAAACCACTAAGTCTGGCTTGAGCGCTTGCCATCCCTCCATCTTGCTTTCGAACCCAGTCGTGACCTCCACATCATTCTCGTCCACGACTTTCATGCCACATTTTGACAGAATCTGATCGCCATTGGTTATACTGCCTGGAATCCATTTTTCAAATAGATGGCAACCTTTTGCTAGCTGAGCAGCCCTGACAACGCAAGATGATTGGCCCGCCCGAGTTCCAACGAAGAGAATCAGTCCACCATGATAAGCAACACCCTCCACAACTTTAGCAGCGCGACGTAGATGTGCCGCAGTTTCTTCTAGGGAGATGATGTGGACGCCCTGTCTGATGCCGAAGATGTATCTCTGGTTTGTCGGGTTCCACAAGCTCGTACTATGGCCCAAATGACTTTGGCTTGCCAACAACAGCTCCAATGTGACGTCTTCCGGCTTCGGCGGGTTCAAGATCAGAGATTCGGGCTCGTAGTGCTTCTCTACAATAGAGCCTAGCTTCGCGGTACGTTTCTTGACATGGCGTTTGAAAGCGTAGGTGTCGCTAATTTCGTCGGATGGTTCACCTTCGTTGGATGGCGGAACAAAAGAGCTGGTAATGTGCAATTGGTTTATGGTAGCTTCGATTGAATGCGTTTCTTTGAGGTGGTTTTGAATGGAGTGTTCTATTGCTTGGGTTTCGTGGGTGAGAGCGCGAGCGAAGGGTTTTCGGAAGGGAGTGCGGAGAGCCTTGCGGCCTAGAGAAGCAAATCAGCATGCCAATTTGGGATATTCCGAAGGGGGTAGACTGTTTTACCATGCCGTATGGCTACATTTCTTAATATCATCGTTCTTATGCAGCTGAGACGTTTGTTTGGTCGCTACAACAACTTTTTTGACTCGCAGACGGGGTGTTCACGCTAGGACTCCAAGGTCAGGTGATGCGCTCGATCTCGCGTATAAGGTACCTAATAAAACATTAAAGTACTTAGGTACTTCAACGTATGACATATGGTAAGGAAGCGGCTGTCACCGCACAAAGTGATAATTGATCAAAGTCTTGTATTAATTCAAGTAGTATTGCTAAAGAGGCTAATTAATGGTTGTTCTATATATGTAATCCAAACAAGCTGCAGAATAAGATAAGTTCCATTGGATCCTAGCGACTGGCTGGGATGATAGAACCACACAGTCCTAACTTATATCTACAGGGAAGCGTCCGAATGCGCCTATTCAGTCCGTCTTGGTTTATTCGAGCGTGTTAACGGCTTGTCGCACGGGTCAACGCAAACACACCGACAATAACAACCGCAAGAGTGACGATAGCGCCAGGCAAGAGCAACTCATTCGGGACGCCAGCAAGTACTTGCTCTTCTGCCTGCTTGCTGGTTATCTTCCGATATCGAGGTTTCACGGGCTGCTCCTCTTCGCTCTCTTCATCCTCGTCAGAGACAATTCTTCGTCGTTCTCGGATGGTGTTTGACGGTAGTGGAGTCTGCGCTTGGCTGGTGATGACTGGTTGAGAATCAAAAGTGGCTGCAATTGGTGGCTTTTCGGGATCGTGAACAAACAAGTCGACTTTATCCCGGCGGCCTTGCCTAGCGAGTAAAATTGCTTCGAGAAGATCGTGATCTGTGGTGATTGAAACTGTATCGCCGTCATCGTCCAGGTAGCTAAGGGCGAATCCCGAGGTGCCCAGCTTCCCGTCTTCAAATGTAGCAGCTCCCCCCACAGCCTCTACCTCGGAGCCGAGCTTCGCAATCACAGCAGAAATGAGTTCAGCTAGTCCATTGGCACCAATAACTTGAAGTCTGTGCACACGACCGCTAGGGGCCTTGAATTTGAATGAAAACGGAACCTGTTCAGCGGGAGTATCTGCCGCTGGGCTCAGGCCGGAGTGTTGAGGAGATCCCACATGAGACGCTGAGTCCCCCGGAGCAACGCTTGAGTCGACTACCCTTTCGTGACCTCGAGAGTGGTCAGGCGACATCAAGGACCTGCCACCTGCAGTGTGGTGGTGGTGACTCCCTTCTCCAGAGACCATTGATTCCGTCTCATTGTCCAAAGACATCCAAAATTTGTTCCAGGCAGGACCCTCACTGTCTCCGGTTGACATGGTGTTGATTTGTTCAAGGGTCGCGTAAGTCAACTTCAGAACGTCGACCATGCCCACAATCTCACCTGACTCATTCATGACGGGAAGATTCAAATAATGACCGTCTACGAGGGAGTTAGCCCGAGTCTATGCCCACAGTCGCATTGCTTACCATGCATCTTTCTCAATGCCGCCTGAATGCTCATATCCATTGGAGCAAAGTCAGGGTGAGGCGTCATAACACGCACAACACTGCAAGTTGCAGGATCCAGTCCAGGAGCGATCACACGCAGAACGACATCTTTGCTTGTGAAAATACCAGTAATCGAGTCTTGGTCTTGGACGAGAACAGCAGTGGTATGGTTCTCTTTCATCTTAGCTGCAGCCTCCTTCACTGAAGTCCGCACGCTAACCGTGACAGGAGGCCGGCCATCGAGGACGGATTCCAAGGTAGGGCCGGACATTTTCGACCGAAGGGCCTCGACATATTGAATGATTTGTTGGGGCTGACTCGATCCCAACTCGGACTGAACACCTTCTAGGGCATCATACAACTTCCGTGATGAGCTGTAGGCGCGTTCCAGCTTCTCCATAGCATCGTAGAAGCACTTGGTAATATCAAGAATGCCAGAGATATCTTGATTCTCGTCCATGACAGGTAGATGGCGGAAGCCTTTTCGGACCATCAGGTCCAAGGCATCCGTAGCGCTTGTATCTGTGCGCGCACAAAGCGGGTTCTTGGTCATGATATCGGCAATCATGACATTGCTGGCCTTGATGCCGGCACCAACAACCCTAAACGCAAGATCTTTGGCCGTGAAGATACCAGCGATACGATCGTCATCGTCGGTAACGAGAACACAGTCCTCCCTTTTCGCAGCCATCAATTGTGCAGCCTCTGCAACACTGGTATTTGGCTTTATCTGGAGAGCTTGACTCGGTCGCAGAGCGAGAACAGTTCCTGGTGGGGCTTTCCGCGAATGTCTTGACCGCGAAGTAGTGTGTTTCTTCTTGCTGAGGTCGGTTTCGATCTTTCTCCGGATAGCCTAACACAAGGCGTCAACAATGCTTGCCACTGGAGGGCCGCAACCTGGGCGATACTGCAGACATACCTCATCTCTCTTCGACTGCTTCTGTCTGCTGGCACTCATCGTGGATCCGCCTGCTTCACTTTGAGCTTGGCTGGCGGAGCTTGCATGTGCCTCAAACGCAGGACGAGGGATATTTGAAGCAGGACTGTTGGTGAACGCGGGTATCGTTCCTCGGCCTTGCCCACGGTTGGGCGTCCCCCGCATGGTACCGCTGGAGGCCATGGTATTGATATTGAAGGGTGGGATATAATATGCGGAAGGACAACCAGAAGCGCTGAAGCAACGAATTGATTATACTGTGTAGGCGCGGGGGATGGCCTGTCGCACTGGGCCAGTGGATGTTGTCTGGTTGACTGGGTCTACGGTCTGTGGTTTGCGGTCTATTGGTGTTGTGGTGAATGTGGTATTGTGGTATTGTGGTATTGTCCAGATGTTTTTTCGGCGGTTCAGGGGCCGGCTGTTGATAGGGGAACGAGGCTGCGCGTCCTGAGGCACCAGCATGGCTCCTGGTTGCCCGGCAAGACCGCGTTGCTATGGCGAGTTTGTTGACATCGTCTCGTCCTCGGCATCTGGAACAAACCGCATCCCCATTCACATCCACATCTACATCTACATCCACATCTGAACAAGAACTTAAAACATACAAAAGCTTCACCCCCAAAAACTACATTGAACCAAATTTATACCTACGCAAACCCTCTGGTCGCGAAAACACTGCTTTAAAAGACCTCCTTCGGGTTTTCAAAGGCCAGAGGGCCAGCACAACCAGCCCAGACAGACTCCACCAGAGTCTACTAGTACTGAGCGGCCCTACAAGCTAGATCTGCCCGGCCTAACGGCTTGCGCTGCGTGAGGTGAGGCGATACAGAATGCTTTTGCCGGCTCTCCGCTCTAACTACTCCCCAGTCTCGGAACCTACAGGTTTGCTTAATTGCAGTACCTACACGACAAACGACATCTCCGAACTCTTCGAGCATTCATAATGCTGTCAAATCCAACAACCAACCTTCACACCCGACAACGACAACACCGACGACAAAACTCGACCCCAACGGCCTTCGAGCCAGTGAAGGCAACCAACCTGCGGAAAATACAAAGACATGGCGCACATCGACGTGGCATGAGTCTTGATCAACGACGACGACAATCACCCCCGCAGGATATAGAGGTAAGTACTACTAACCAAGGATATCAAACGACACAACAGCATATATTGCGAGAAACGCAGCAGCAGAGACTGGTACGCCCGGGCCAGCAATTTCATTTCGACAATGACGAGAACTACCTCAGTTCACCGGCCGTCACACCACTGAGACAATCATTTGATGCTGGGAGTATGAATTATGAGGAGAGCGGACCGTCTCAGAATTTATACGGCAGACCTATCAACTCGATAATGAGTGTCGACCCCAGTAGCTTTGCTGGGGGCAACGACTTCAATCTATTTACTTCAGAGACCATCTTGACGACGGCCCCATTCTTGAACTTTTCGCCAGAATTTGAAAATGGAAACCAAATACCGGATGGGAAAGCTTGCAGCAGGAGGTGCTCTAACGGTAGAAGAATTAGCGGTGGGATTTTTGACCGAGTTTCTCAGTTTGAGAACCTAGCACTCCAGTCACCAGGACGACCAATAACACCTCCAAATCAGAATGCTTTGAGTAAGTTGATCTTGCCCTTTTGTCTAGTATATATATTTACAAACTTTCTCAGACTATTTTCCACCTACTCCGACTGATACTCCGCATGGACGGATCGCCAAGCACGACCAGCTAGCTCAGCGGTTCTTTGATTCATTTGACACGTCCATGGAAGAGACAATCAAACCAAAGAGCACCCAGAGGGGGAGAGATGTCTTCGAAGATATGAGAAGGGAGGCAGAGATGAACTCCATCCCAAGTCCTCCAATGCTTGCTGCATCTAGCTTTGATTCTGCCCCAATGCCAACTTCAAACTTCATGAACATGTCAAACATTGATATGAAATTCATCAACAACGAGGCACAATTCGGCGACGCGCAGGTTTCCCCAACTTCGACCAACCCTTCCCCAACCGTGTCATATGATTCATCTCCGGAGGTGTCCAAGATGACATTGATGGCCGGTTCCCTTGCAAACGAACCCGCCCCAAATGCCCCGGCGATGTCATACCCGGAACCCCCCTTAAATAGTGGCTACTCTATTTCACAGTCGCCGGCCCCTTCTTCGCCCCACCGCCGGTCCGAATCAGTGTGTAGCATCAATATCGAAGAGGCAATAACAGATACCGGCATCACTGTCGACGATATCGCTACCTTCATTGATGGACCAGATCCCCAGGATGGGAAGTGGATATGTCTGTACCCAGGTTGCCAGAAACGATTTGGGCGAAAGGAAAATATCAAATCGCACGTCCAAACGCATCTAGGTGATAGGCAATTCCAATGCCCACACTGCAAGAAATGTTTTGTTCGTCAACATGATCTTAAACGGCACGCCAAAATTCACAGCGGGATAAAGCCTTACCCTTGTCAATGTGGAAACAGTTTTGCTCGGCACGATGCCCTCACTCGCCATAGACAACGCGGAATGTGTATCGGTGCCTTTGATGGAATCGTCAAGAAAACGATGAAGCGTGGACGTCCTCGTAAGAACCGACCCGATGACGAAAAGCGCCACCAAAAGTCTTCCCGAACGCGCGCAAAGAACAAGGCTATGTCCTCTGCCTCGTCGACAACAGGATACTCGGAGAGTAACGGAGGGAATTCGCCTCGGAGTGACCTTGACCTCCTTGACGACAACGCCTTTGGAAATTACCAGTTGACACAAGGCACATCTGGGATGGAGATGGAGGGTGGTAGCTTTGTGTACTCGCAGCCACAATCACCTGCGGCGAAGGGATGCATTTCCCCACACGCCATTCAGAACGCGGCCTCCCCAACAGCCTTCAGTACTCGCTCGCAGTATTCTCATTCAGCATCAATATCTGAGCACTTACCCTCACCACCTCGGTCTCCAGCTAAAAGCGTGCAAAGTCAATATCATTCACCTCCTGGTCTTTGTGATTCCTCTTCATCGCCTGCTCCAAGCAATCACTATTATGATATGGATAATATTTCTAATCATGGCGACGAGATGATAAATCTAACTACCCTGACAAATATTTCAAATCATGACGATGAACTTTTTCTTGAGGCGTTCACTACGGAAGACACGAATGATCTCACCCAGTTGGAGCGGGACCCGGATCTACTTCTTGGCAAGTTTGACGAGGCATTTGGCAGTGTTAGCAACGACGACTTATTCAAGGAGGAAGGCGATGTTTTCTTTGGAAGTTCATGATCTCCTCTAACCGCATAACAACGGGAAGAGAGGCGGAAAGTGCGAGATCTATGGTTTTTGAATCCCATGTGTTGCGAATTTTGCTTGTATGATTATGGCTGCGATAGAATATGCTGGGCTGGGTGGTATTGGTATTGGGTGGGCTTATCGGAAATCTGGCACGAATTCCCTTCCTTAGGTGTTGTTTTTATCAGCTTTTATCCTCGAGTCGGACTAACCTCGACTTTTGAATAAAGATGGTGTCTGTTATGATAATGAAGGACGGGTGACAAATGATGCCTTGGGTCACGTAATGTTAGATAGATGTTTTCGCAATGTTGGATGAAAGTAAAAGAGGATGATCCCTCCTTCCTCTGTCCTCCGTCGAGAACCAATTGCGTTACTCTCGCGCCCTTCAAGTGCCTTCAAATTTCTGGAAAATGTTGATCGAATCGTCCTCTCACTACGCCGCAAGATATGAATCTACAACGACAGTGCGTCCACACATGGGTGTGGAAATGTGATTTCTTGCCTAGGCACGCAACTTTCCGGCCAAGGCTACACTACAATCCAATTCCATATCCGGATCGCTAACCTGCCATGAGAAATAATCCAAACAATGCGCCTCGCGACAGGAGTCGTTAATTCTATAGTCCAAACTAGAAAACTCCATGTGCCCACTGCCTTATGTCATGGTAGTGTATTCTATTAATTCGTTCACACTTGGAGGAAAAGAAAGTTATGTCATCCAACAGATACTCTGCCTAAATGCCACGAAATATATTCTAGCTCAAATTTCCTCCATATAATTTTTTGGGCCTGTTTTGCTGGTGGCAGTTTGCTAGATTCCGGACGAAAAGAGACGATGACCTGTAGTGGGGAATATCATGAGACTACTCCATCCTCTAGCTAATATTTAGAAGTCCTACTCTATATATAAAAGGAGGCCAAGCGTTCTCGTATAAGTACTTCGCTGTTTTGTTGTGGTCTTGCACGCTCTCAAACATTATATTCACTCTGTCTTGCTTCGTATGCCGCCGACCGGACTCTTTTTTTGTCGAATCATCTTACACCAGGTCTATCAAGTGCTAATGTAAAATAAAGTCACAGCAACGAGGTAGCATGATATTTCAGTGGAAATATCCCAAATTAAACTGTAAATTTTAAAAGAATGTAATTGAAGTAATTCCTTACTCAGTTCCTCGAATGTTTTAGTTCATCCCCCCAATACCTCTAATAATGCCTTGCTACACTTTTGTCCGTTTTCAATTCTTCCTCAATAGCCATACCTCGGCGAGCCTTTGCTCTTACGACTCTACGCGCGTGGCTCCTTACATCTGCGTTCCAGGTCGACGATGTCAGGACCACCAGTCAATTCCTTCAGGTATGAATTTAGCATCAAGCCATCCATTTTAAAACAACAGAGTGATAGACACAAACCTTCCTGTCACAGCATTTTGGGGTTTCCCAATCTCTGCATTCCCACTCGTCGTCGCGACGTCTCTCTGCTCGTGAGCCTAATATCTGTTAATATTACGCTCGTGGTATTGTCGGTAGAAGGAGAAGCAAACAGTCATCCGAATCCCTCCTACGACAGCAGTACCCAACATCGTCCCTATCGCAATGGAAGCGCCTAGCTGTAGTAGCGGTGACGAGGGCCGCAAGGAAGAGAATTGAAATTTTCATGATTGCTACCAAATATCTTTGACTATATGGGTGGGGTCTTTTGGGTATTGCTCACGGCGGACAGGAGCTTGGATTGTGAATTCTTAGACAGAGGGAGTGCATCTCGCCTTTTATACCTCATCTCCCCGATCTCAACGGCCTTACAAAGAGAAGTTAGTGGCCTGTTGCATTTGGAAGCCGAAATCCATACCTGGATAATACACAGGGCAGCGAAACCCAATTATCCATACTGATAGGACTCTGAGCCCTGGGTCGGCCATTTCCCGGTCAATTTCCTGATCGTGGGAACACTCAGACCCGAATTGTCACACTTTGACTCTCTGAACTTCTTCCTCCCTTCTCCTCTCAAGTCCATGAATATGGGACGGTATATGCGGGGAAACACTTTAAACGTGCAGAGGAAGCTTCTCGTAACTGGTTACACCAGGATGCCATTGGAAGGTTTTCGGCTCAAAATATAATGAGGGGTTGAAGCAGCATCAAAAATGCCCGACCCTCGAATGTTTCTCCGGATCACAATCTAAATAACCATGTTATGTTCTTGAGCAATCACAAGAAGTCAAGTACTTATGTTGTGTTCGTAAGCTCTTTTAACTGCATAGCTGAACGCACTTATTCCCATGTGCGGGGAGTTGTTTAGCGCTGCATTATACTCTTCAGGCACGGCTAAAAAGAACTTTTAATTTAACAAAGCTTGTTTAAATGAGACGAAAGTCATGAGATAGTTGAGTTGGGATTGTAACATCGTATGTCGTTCTAATCGGCCCTTGCTGACCTTGTTGCTCGTTGCAACAACCATTCAGGTAAAGGGCATTCCAAGTACTAAGCTAGACTTTGATGTGCTATGCCTGTTATTATCAACTCTATTACTAATTAGCATAGGTTTTAAGTGGTTAGTTGTGAGATTTAAATTTCAGTCCGTATGGGAACCACTTCCTTGGAGTGGAGACTAATAAATCGATTTGGTCTTATTAATTTTATAATTAGCTCCATTTAATTCCCTAGTCTATACGAAGTACTATGATGTAATTGAATTATTTCCTACCGTTAAACAAAAACCAAGTTAAATACCCCACACCAGTAGCGGAGCCCCCCGCGATTGTGTAACTATACGGAATATAGTTGGCCGCACCTCGGACCGACTTGATAGGGAATCTTCTGACTCCTGTACTATCTATTTGATTATGTCTTACCTATAATTCTCTTCACATTTGACAGTGTTACCATAGAGAAAGCTTAGAAACAGATGCCCCTGTTGAGACCAGCCCACATTATATTCACCCATAGGCGTTAACAACCAATCCCAATATCCACCTATTATTAGATTCAAAGGAGATCAGAAATATTAAGCTCTAGATTGTGTCAGAAAAATTAAAAATTCACAGCCTTCCGTAATTCCTAATCCCTTGGATCTTCCAAATGCCCCAATTTAGGTCCATAATTAGCTATTCTAACACTAGGTATAGGCTCTATTAGACAGCCACGACGGCTGACAGTCAATTTGGCAGATAATTTCCTCTAAAGGAATCCCATCACGATGCAGTGTAATTCACCATATATTTAGCTTAAAACTAGATATTCTCAATCTCATTTATAAGATATAATTAGTAGGCCGTGTAATGGTTGGAGGGGGCATAAGCCAACCTCCTAATTTATGTGATCATTACCAGATTCTCCTTACTTCAAGGAAAGCCAGTCATCGAGGTGAACAAAAACTTTAACCCTTTATTTATTCTATCACCATATATGCGACCCATCACCAAGCTGGGCACTCTTTCCGATGAATGGAAATATCACACCTATGTACAAAAGATCCGCAATACATAATAACAGGAAAATATCATATCCCAGCCGGCTGAGTAACACAAACAGGACAGCCATCCCTTATTTTGTCTCTCAGTAACCGGGCGTGCGTAACCTTAGCGCCGACACTATGTATCACAGCCCACTCCCCATTCTCGTCCAAATCTACGTCCGGCGGCGTTTCCGGCCGCGATTTATTTCGGTAGTTGAGTAAATGGCTGAGATGGAAGACGTGTCCACATGCAAAGCCGACGAGTGTTTCCATTTCGTTGTCAGACAACGGCTCGTGGCAACCGACGCAGCGACCAGGACCGGAAGGCGATTCGCCCTTGTGGTTGGGGGCATCCTTGACTATAACCTCGACATGATCTCGCCCTTTTTGAACTACATCAAATTTGACACCTTTGCGTTGGCCAGAACGAAGTGTGTCCTGGGCTAGTACCACTTCGCCCCTTAGGACTTTTGCAACCCCAGAACTGATGCTCCATTGTATTTCATGTTCTTTGATCATCCGACTGAGGCCCTCTCGTAGACCTTCAATCTCTAACCCTTCTGGAATGCGACGGACAAGTGTTACAGGATCAATTGCTGTCCCCACTTCTTCCAGGAGACCGCATATAAACCGTGGTTTATCCATTGAGTAATCGAGAAGATCTTCCCAGAGATCACTGTCGTTCTGCTCTTTGGCAAACGAGATAGCCTGCGAGACATCGGCCAGGCGATCAATGATGAGATACAGCGCCCGTTTGGTCTGGCCGGTTTTGGAGTATAGATAGACAAGCTCGGGAATATAGTCTCTCTCTTCGCACTCATGGGTTGCCTGGATCTTGTTAGTATCATATGAAAGGCAAGAACGAACTAGGGAAGGTACCTTTTCAAAAGTATAGGAAGTAGACGACTTAAGAAGGTCCATGAGGAGATCTCGGGCATATAGGGCAAATAAATGGACTGCGAGGTCCGCAAACTCATTGACAAGGATTCTACTTTCTGCCAGAAGCCTATCTCGACTCTCGCTCTGCCCATCCTCAATTCCATCGCCGCGCCAAAGAGAGCTCAGATAAAAGAATAGATAAAGAGACATGTGTTTAGCTTCCAGTTGGTTAACGACTACCTTCGGATGGACAATTCCTTGTCTGGCCTCATTGACAAGCAGGTCAATGGCTTCAGAGGTCAATTCTTGGAGCTCTTTGAGGGAAGCTGTCCTTTTCTGTTCTTTCGAGACGCGCAGCAGGATGATGCCAGGTATATCATCAGCAACAGCGTCGACGAGGTGGTATTCCTTGATCAAGCCCAGAGCAGTATCGGCATCCTGGAGGCGGATGTAACACTTCAAAGCTTCCCGAGGTCGTCCATTTGCTATGTGGAGCTTGCCCAGGCTCTCCATGATAATTCGCCAGTCTCTTCCAACCTGGCCATCTTCAACGCTATCCTCGCGGACATCACGATATTTGAGCTGGTTTTCTAGCACATTAGTGACGCTCGTAATGTCAAAGAGATTTGATGGCCATTGCTCAAGTAGCTCTCGCACCCTTGGGCGATTGTGGCGGATGTAATGACCAAGAAGGACCTCGTATATCTGCGAGGGAAGTGGAGGGCGTAATTGAGTCGTCGGTATAAATGATACTATCTCATCGAATTTCTTCGCCCCAACGAAAACGTAAACCCATTCTTCCCATTGCTGGGCCGTCCTCAAAACCTTTCCACAAATTTTCCCAGCAGCAACCCAATCATCAGTCTTGATCAGCTGCTGTATCCACAGTTCGCCGATACGACGTTTCTCCTTCTCAACGGCGGAATTGATTAACAGACTCGCAGAATCGGCCATTGTGGCGGAATCCTCATAGAAATCATCGTTGCTTGGTTGCGGAGATGTGTCAGGCCCAATTTCTGCGAGCTTTGCTAGCGAAGAAGATATTATCTCGGGGTGCTGATCAATCAGATCCCAGGTTTCCTGGTACTTCTCATGTTCTGCCAGCCATGACAGGTGGTCCGAAAGTTCCCTCTTTGTCGCCAATATACAATCATAAGGACTGTGGATAAATATTTTCATACCATGAGCCTCAAAATGCGGATGAACATTGTGGGTGGCGTGCCCCATTTTTGTTCTAGCAGTACTGGCCACACTTTCAGTTTTGTTACCAGATCCCTTGCTACCGTTACTTTGAATGCTTGCAGCGGAACTGAGGAGAGTTGCTGCATTGATTGTAGCATTCCACATTCCACTTCCCATGCCACTTAAAACCTCTAGTGTGCCGAGCGACGTCTGCGCAACAGGAGGCGCCCGGGTGGGAGGTAAGATACCAAGGTGGTAGTCCGTTGCGGATAACCTTTCAAATCGACTTACAGTCAAAGTATCTGTATCGACTTCCTCGGATGTACCGAGATCGATAAGACGTAGCTCCGGTGATAAGGCATTGTGACGGTGACGGATCCCACCTCGGGGTTCACTGCTGGTTGAGGCCGTCGATCCTTTTGACTCGTGCATCTTCGGGGGCTGATTCTCCTCATCTTTCTCATCGGGTGTGATATAAGCAAGTACAAGAAGCAAAGTAGGGGTATATAACGACAATCCAGAAATAATGCAATCCATGCGTAAACTATGTCTGTTAGCAAGGTACTGATAGATACATGGAAGGATGCTTTACATTTTGATAATTTCAGGGTATCCTACTGTCCGTTCTCCAGCATGTTTCCCAACACCAACGCCGCCAGGATGCACATTGATTATCCAAATTGTACCACCCCAGCCAATGAGGAGCTTTTCGATCCGCTTGTTGTCCTTAGGGACTTGTTGTTTTACCTTTGCACTAGCTGGTGATAATGCAGAGGCTTCCCGCATTTTGGCATCATCGTCGGGCTCGATATTCTTTTCGTCTATCCACTCGGCTCTTCCTTTCCACACCCCTGCCATTTCTTCCCATCCGTCGTCTTGTGGTCGGTCAACGTGGCCTATGCGTTTCCAGGCCGATTCGGCATCCACGGTTTCCAGGTGCAAGTTTGACCGCATGATCCATACACCATGTTCATTGATCCAGACAACGTATTTACCAGTTAAAGACCATTTTATCGTACTGATTGCTCCTTCGCCAGAATGCAGCACGGTATCTTTGCCCGTGCTGGTACCCAGGCCAATGGTGCCTAGCCAACCAGAGGCAGCCGCGGCCGCAGTCCCAGTAGTCGATGACATTGAGTTTGTGCCAGCTCTGCCACCCACGGTAAGAACGAGATTTCCCGCCAACCCACCAGAGATATATGTACGGTCGTTCTTATAATCTGGCGAAAGGGCCACAGCTTGTACCGGGCGGGCAAAGTCTCGCAGTTGGACATCTTTGAGGTCAACTAAAGACGCCACACAGACCTTCCCATCAATCGAGGATGTAGCTACATAGATCGCATTCGAAGGGGTGTTGGGTACACCTGGTGATTGCTGTGTTTTGGAACTCCATTTCGAGGCTTCGGAAGCTATGGACGGTGTTTTCTTCGGGGCTTGGTTTTGGGAGCTAACTTTACTGGCACCCTTGTAGGCCACGGAAGGTAACGGCGGCGGAAATGGAGATATAGATATGCTAGAAATCGATGCGGAGTGTGCGTGGTAGACTCGGACAGGCTGTAGAGATGGTAAAGATAACACATGCTATTCGATATAATTAGTTCAATGTAAGACCAACCGTAGCTAGGAATCTAAGGGGAAAACCTACAATGTTCCCGTTGTGAGTTCCAATAAACTGCAAGTCAGTCAGCATTGATATTGAATCCAAGAAACCAAATTCCAACCACCGACCATCTTGTCCCCAGCGACCAAGAACGCACTTGTAGCGTCCCCGTTCCGATATACAGCTCCAAGGTTACTCGTCAGTCGAGCGTACTTCAGCTTCGGCTCTTCATCCTCGTCCTCCTCGTCTTCATCATCGTCATCCTCTTCCTCGCCTTCACCCTCCTCGTCTACATCTTCGTCGTCATCCTCTTCCTCGCCCTCACCTCCATCGTCTACCGTGTCCCGTTCCTCGCTCGCAGGTCTTCGCTCTCCATGATTAGAGATCCTCGGGTCGCCATCGTCCTCGGACTGCGATTGTTGTGCCATGTCGACATATTCTTTTAGTCAAATCACATTGGTTGTTGTTGCTAGCAAGGGACAGTACGTAGGTACAGTAGGACTAGACCCCCTCCGCGACGACGTCAACCCTGAGCTCACGCGATTTAGCGAGCGAGCTCTGTTGTACTCGAGTATGATATTGTGCCGTGCTCCAGTCGCGTCAAACCATTGCATTTTCTCCTACATCATGTCACATTTTCTTCAACAAAACAATGGGACACTCCGCTGGATTACCCATGTGCATGGTTTCTAGGTCTCTAGAATTATCTCCACCCCTCGCGTTCCTGTCAGAGTCAAAATGTTGAACCTCAATCGACACATCCCCTCATCGTGCGCGCGACTTATCCTCAGCGATTCCAGCCTCAGACCGCAGCCTTTCCGCCACCTTCATGCTAAGTTTGCCTACCAATTCCCAAGGAGGAGAAGTTTATTTTCGTCCCATGCTATCCTGCAGGAAGAATCGATTTCTGGGAAAGCCAAGACATCCAATGATGGCACTTCTCCGCCAAAGCGGAAGACGATCCGCGCGCCCCCCACGAAGACGTCCCTAAGGAGAGTTGCAGTTGAGGCTCAAAGATCAAGGGAAAGCACGCTACGCCCGAGGAAGATGGTCGCGGATGGTAAAGGTAGCAATAGTGTCACTGCGGTCTCGGTGGCGGATCAATTCGACATGGATGAGGTAGCCCGCCTCTTGCGATCTCACGGCTTCCCAATCGATCCAGATAGCACTGGTTTTGAATTAGAGCAGGTCATACACACCCGGGGCGTTAATAATGGAGACATTTTTGTTTTCCCGTCTGGTTCTCTGGTTGCATGGTCCTTACCGGAAGATGTAGTCTCTGACCTGGCCACTAAGACTTTGCTCCCAGCTGCTAGAAACCCACACATGGATCAGATGGAAATGGAAGACTTGGAATATGCAGAAGTTGGAAATAGAGAAAATAGTAGCATCAAGGGAGATGTAATTACGTTGGGCACGAAACCAGGTTCACATAAGGATGAAAGCTCAACGTAGGACCCACGCAAGGTAATTTAATCTGCACGTACTAACTGGTGTATAGTCTAAGGGTAGATAAAACCCTCACCAAGATAGCTTTCTCCTCAGGCCTGGCTCGCTCGACCAAACTCGCGGTGTTGGAGACGATGCTTGAGAAGTATTTCGAATCAACTAGAACAATCCCCACGCTCCTATCTCGCGGCTTGAGATTGCCATTTAGCCGCAAGTTCATGCTTCAAAAAACAGGCGAATTGCTCGAGCTGAGAGCACAGTTAAACCACTATTCTGAGCTCACCGATTCCCTGCCAGATCTTTTTTGGGATAGTCGACAGGATCTGGGACTAGAAGGATACTACGACCAGGTTGGCAGGGCTCTCGACGTAGGCGTCCGAATCAAGACCCTCAACGAGAAGATGGATTATGCTCAAGAAATCGCGAGTATCCTTCGACAGACAATGAGCGAGAAACATAGTATCCATCTTGAATGGATTATTATAATTCTGATTGCAGTTGAGGTTGGCTTCGAGCTTCGACGAGAATGGAAAGAGAGGAGGGAGAGAATTGCGAAGGCAGAGGCAATCGAGACGTAAATATCTACTGTATACATCCTCATGGCGGATTTGATGCGGGGGTTGTAGCCATTAGAAAGTGTTTGGTACTGGATACCCTATTCTCCCATCATCGCACTAATTGTTCATTTCAAACCTCAATGTCTTACCTAGTGGCATACTCACGCAATCTCTAACAAAAAATAGTAAATAAAGCTTCAGCTAAAGCCTAGCTCAGACTACAGTTTTTAATACAGTGCATTTACATCTCGATATTTCCCTCATCAGCTTCATCCAAGAACCCCAATCCACTGTCATATCTTCTCCTCTTCTTTCCAGACCGTCTTCTAGCCAACTCCCCATCAAATAATCCAGCTCTGCGCACAGGACGCTGCCCTTGATCCTGCGTCACTATACTGTGCTCTCCCTCAACAGGGGCACTTCCCGCTCTTTGGCTCCTAATGGGGCCTAAAACCGATATATCGCCATTTGTGAAGCCCGTGCCCGCCTCGAGAGCGCGAGTCAACTGATCGCCTATAGCCCTTACAACAAAAATCTCTCGCTTCTTCTCGCCCTCAACCTGTGCTTCGAGAGCCTGGTTGTCTTTCCGTATCTCAATAATAGTGTGGTGTGCAGCCTTGAGTGCTTCGTTAACACGTTCAACCTCACTTTGTAGTTCACAAACTCGTGCGTCGCAGAGCGCGAGGGACTTGCCGTGCTCTTTCTCACGTTGCAGTGCCGTACTCTTCAACAGTTCGATAGTGGCATCTTTATTAGCCAGGGCAGCATCCTTGGTAGAAACGTGAGTAGCAAGCTGAGTTTGCACCTTAGAAGCAGCCTGGAGAGCAGCGGCCAGTCTGTGTTCCAGCTCTATAATAATCATGTTTTTGCCCTGCTCACTTGCACGAGTCGTATCATGTTTCAGCATCTCATCTCGGAGTGCTCCTTGTAATTCTGTCGCCTCGCTCTGCCATTGCGCTTCCTGGCGACGTCCCTCGGCCTCCATATTCTCAATCAATTTTTCCAGCCCTATCACTTCCTTTCTATATCCTTCCAGTGCAGATTGGAGCCTCTGATTGCTGATATCTTTTTCTTCCATCTCCCCTCTCAACTCGCCCATAGTTCTGTTTACATGTGAGATTTCTCTATGCAAATCGTCGGCGACGCTGACGCGTGTATTGAGCTGCTGTCTCAACAAGACTTCTTGCTCGTGATATTCATCAATAGTGCTTTCCTGTTCCTTGGCCTTGGCGAGCAGAACCCCAACCCTAGAGACAAGCATATCGAGTAATTTGTCGTTCTCAAAACCCTCGACGACTTCGCCCGGGGTCAGGTATTCTAAGTCGAGTCTTGCTCTCCTAAACTGCGTGGCAATCGCTTTGAGAGTTTCTTCGGGGCCCGCCAAAGGAAATCCAAGGCCGGTGATCTCGGTGCTTAGGGCCGAAAAGGCAAAGAGATGCTCCTTGGCATCGGATTGAGCGACAGCAAGCTGGGTGAGCACGGTGTCAAGTGCAAAATCTAGCTTTGTGTAGTCACAGGATTCATCGACTGGGAAGAATTCAGAAAGCTTTTCGGCGATACGTAAATGGTTATCTTCCTTCAAAGCAATTGCGGATGTCAGTTTCGCTAACTCTGCTCGTAGAGAATCGAGCTGCGACTTTAACGTGTCATTTTCCGGGTCCGGGATAGGTAGGCATGCTTGGACACCGGCACTTGTGGAGGAGATTAAACGGCAAGGTGTGTTCGGAACGGTCGATGGAGGCGATGGAAACGAAGTGTTAAGGCGGGTTGGGGTTGTGAGCATATCGCTATCTCCAAAGTTATCGTCGTAATTCGTGATCACATTGTCATCGTTGTCAAAATTGAAGGGGTCCCTCGCCGCCATAGTCCAGTTTGGACTTTGTATTGGATCTTCCTCTTTTCGCCGAAGCTCGGATCTCAGCTCTGATATCACTTGTTCCAACTCCTGGATCCTCGCGCTTTGGGCGCTGCCTATATTGACCGAGACCGCCAATCCAGACTCTTCTTCAATTTGAGTGGCAACTTCTTGTTCGTCCATCAGAGTCTGCACTTCCTGATCCTTGGCTGCTAATTCTTGCCTGAGCCTTTCCACCTCCGTCTTCCGTGCCCTTGCTTCATGCCTCTTGTCATACTCGATAATGTTTATCTCTTCGCTCAGCCTATTCCTCTTCAATCGCCGTTTGATCCTTCCATCAAGCACTTGCCGCAGCGGCGCAAACTGCAGGGTTCCGGATACCGGGAGATTGTATTCGGCGCGGTTCCATAACGCGGCGGGCGTTGAGTGGCGGCGATTCGATGCTGGTGTTCCAAGCGATGATCTCCCGAAAAAGGGAGTTAGGCCTGACGACGATGATTCGGTTTGAATTTCTGGGCATGGATCAGAAAATCGCACGCGTTTCTTTTCTCGTTTGGGAGTCTCCGGAGGGGTCGATATGCCAGAGGCAGTTTGGGAGGCCTTGGGTTGCGAGCGGGAGGAGGATGGAACGGAATTTCTGGTGGGCTCAACACTGCCGCGACGCTTTCTGCGCAATGCTACCGGCCGATCGTCGTTGACGATGCGTGTTGCTAGCTGATTATTGAGGCTCGCCATGTTGGCTGGCGCGATTGTGATTGTAGGTGACGGGGGCAACGGGCGATAAGGGTAGGAACTGGACCTCCCAGCTAGGTACTCGACCACTTAGTCACAGCAACTCGGAAGTATAAAAAAAACTTATTGCTGCAATGAAGAAAGGAGAATGGAAAACGCGATAAGATGCGGTGTGTACACTAAATGAAATGGCCAAGTAAACATCGTGTCGTTATGTTTACATTTTCCCCAACGCGGTTACGCGATTACTGACCCCTTATCGCGACCTCATCGGACAGGGGGATCTTCGCGAAGTCGCGTGACGGCAGAAACTGTTGGCTCGTGAGACGCGACAACAAAAGTTCTCAAACACAAGTTTAAAATACGAGTACTGAATGCATCTAATTTGTTCGTTTAGGGCGCTAACCCGAAGATGTCACTATAGTGCCAGCTTTTGCTGATCGAGGGGTTTAGCTTGCTGTACCAGTACGGGGATACTTGTGGTGGATGTCAACATCGACAAGGGCGTAAAGGAAGCTATGCATGAACCCCAAAACCACGAAGTTCAATACAGGTTTCTACTCGAACTCAGCGATCCATATTCGTTCCACGTCAATGTAGTTGGGAAACTCCCACCCATGGGACTAGTCCCGTTCCAAAAGGCCATCATTGCTGTCGCAATGCGGCCATCGGACTTTGCGAATCGCCCATTGCCCATTACAAATTGCAAAAACTGGGAGGCGCTGGATCTTGCTGCCGAATCCATGGCCAAGCTGGGCATGCAAGCAGTATTCGCATGAGGATAAGACCTGTGAGAGAGCCTGTATGATCATGGCCTATTCTGTATCCGTAATCTGTGTGGTATATAATTTCTACAGTTCGGCTCAACCCAACCACCTTCGGCATGCTCTCCAGGTACCTACCTAGGTAGATATATATAATACCCTTACGTATAGCTCTTTAATTCCATATATAGGTAATTACCTAGGTACGTACCTAGCGGAATGTTTGTTATACTTCTATATAGGAAATGAGGTAGTGTTATTCGCCTGGACTTGTTGAGTAAATGGGGACAACCAACTTAGGGGAGATGGATGATTAGTCCAAGCATATAACCGAAGCCGTCTTCAAAAGCCGACGGTCGATCCAGCTGCCCTCTTGTTGTGAAACTGTTCGGTACCCCGCATGTTGACGTTGACAGTCGCCCCGCAGCGACTGTGGGTAAGGTAGGTAAATATTTACTTTACAGTGGACAAGTTCATTCAAGGACTACCCTAATAAGTCACTAAGGCTAAGCGGTGCGCAAGTTTCGGTGGGGGGGCGTTAATCGAGCTGTTTTATTATTTATTGTTTCCATCTATCTATCTACCTATACCCAGTGCACCTATAGGAGGGAGTAAGTAACATAGCAAAACTCATCTTCCATTAAGACTTTTCGATACCCAACATCCGATTCGCAGCAGAGAGCCCGGTCAAACCAAAAATGGGTCCAACATCAATCGCTAACCTGAAAAGAAAAGATCTCTTCCAGACAAAAGGTTACATAAACGCGCAATGGATACACAGTCAATCAGGCAAGACATTCGATGTGATCAACCCTGCTACGCTCGAAAAAATCGCCACAGTGCCTGAAATGGGCGCCGCGGAAACAGCGCAAGCCGTCGAAGCAGCCCATGTCTCCTTTCAATCCTTCAAAAAGACTACAGCCCGCGAACGGGCACGCCTGCTTCGCAAGTGGAATGATCTCATCCTCGAGAACATTGATGATCTTGCGCTCATCTTGACCTTGGAGAATGGCAAGCCACTGGCTGAGGCAAAGGGTGAAGTTGCCTACGCGGCGTCATTTTTGGAGTGGTTTGCAGGCGAGGCCGAGAGGACGCATGGTGAGGTTGTGCCGGTTGCTAATCCGAAGCAGAGGATTTTGACCTTTAAGCAGCCATTGGGGGTGGCCGCGTGTTTGGCGCCGTGGAATTTCCCCATTGCTATGATTACGAGGAAGGTTGGGGCAGCGCTTGCAGCGGGCTGTACAACGGTAAGCTATTGATAATGCCCCATGTTTTCAAGGCGAGATGATGGTTGGCATGCTGATGGGGAATTTTAAATTTGAATAGGTTTGGAAACCTGCGGGCGAAACTCCTCTTAGTTGTCTCGCTCAGGCTGTGTTAGCTGAGCAGGCGGGCTTCCCGATGGGAGCTATCAACGTCGTCACCACGCTTGATCTTGTGGCCGAGGTGGGGATGGAGCTGTGCACGAATAAGTTTGTTAAGAAATTGAGCTTCACTGGAAGCACGAGGGTGGGGAAGTTGTTGGCTGAGCAGTGTGCTGGGAGTTTGAAGAAATTAAGGTGAGTTCAGGTCTCCAGGATGACACCCTGCCGCGCAGTGCTGTTGCGCTACGTTGGTAAATACACGGCTGATGCTTATTCTTCCGCCCTCTACTGTAGTCTCGAGCTCGGAGGAAATAGTCCATTCATCGTATTTGATGATGCAAAAATCGAGACAGCGGTTGAAGCGTGCATCCTAGCTAAATTTAGGAACTCGGGCCAAACTTGCGTCACTGCGAATCGCATCATGGTGCAAGCGGGCATCTATGACCAATTTGCAGAAGCGCTGGCTAAGAGAATCCAACAATTGAAAGTCGGCGATGGAACTGAGGAGGGTGTCTTTATTGGGCCCTTGACCCACGAACGAGCCGTCGACAAGGCCATGTGCCATATCAACGGTGAGTCGAAACTTCAACCTGTACTGTTTCTATCCATGAACAAGCTGATACGATGGGCATGTAGATGCAAAGGCGCATGGCGGCCAAATCATGCTCGGCGGGTCGCCGCTGGATCTGAATGGCAAGAAAGGATACTTCCTCCAGCCTACTGTTATCAAAAACATGAGTCGGGAGATGTTGACGACGCGCGAAGAGACGTTTGCGCCCGTGGTGGGATTGTACAGGTTCAACACCGAAGAAGAGGCTATCGAGCTGGCAAACGACTGCGAGGTCGGTCTTGGAGGGTTCATCATCACGGAGAGCATTCCTCGGTCGTGGCGGGTAACTGAAGCATTGGAGGTCGGCATGGTCGGTGTCAATCTTGGACTTCTCAGTGCTTGCGAGAGTCCGTTTGGAGGGATCAAGGAGAGCGGATATGGCCGGGAAGGCGGGCGGCAAGGTATTCAGGAGTATTTAGCGTTGAAATCGATGCTTATAAATGTCGATAATTAGGTAGCTATGTATTATTAGTAGGGTGCAAGTTAGCAATAAGCAACTCGTACTCGACTTCTAATCTGCCTATAACTAGATATTTCCTCTATGTACTCCTCCTGCGGCCGAGATACTATAGGAGGTACTATGTACCTATTATAAGCCACAATACGACACCTCCCTAACATTGCCCATCACACGCTTACGCGGCGATGACGAATGGAGCTTTCGCAGCAAGTCCGTCGCAGAGCACCAGGCTACTACCTGCTGCCTGCCGTGCTCTATCATTTGGATATTCTTCGTCGAACATTTCATGATCGTCTTGCTGCGGCCTTAAGCAGAGTGCAGGAACACTGTTACCCGGCTCTCGCCTCACGATGAAGGTACTCGTATCCAGCTCAGCGCCCAATGGCTATCTGCCCGGCACGAACAGCAACAATAGGGCCTACAGTGATAATACAGACAATGCCAATACAGCTTCAGCTTCTACAGGCGCCGCCCCACTAGGGTCGCGGTACCGCGATGAGGATCTCCCACCCTACGAAGAGACGCCGCTGATCCCTGCGGTCGCTGGAGCGAAGCAACTCCCAAAGCGACAACCAGAAGTCCGCAGACGTTGGTACCAGTATGTAGTTTTGTATTGACAATTTTTAACATGCTAAAACCTCTACTAGGCCGCCTCCCGATCTCCCGTTCTCGGGTCATGATGGTGGCAATAGAAGGGTCTACACCAGGTTCCCCGATTACTCCACCGATGCGGAAACTCTCAGGCAAATGGTTTACGAACAAGCCTCATATCCACCTACATACTATATGGAATTAACGGGCACACATATCGAAACCACTTATCGGGGGGGGAATGGGCTGCCGCCCTCGAGTAATCACCGTCGCTCTTCCCAATCCAGCGCGAACAGCGGCACAAAATCCGAAAACACCATCACCGACTTCTTCATCCGCATTAACATCACCCATCTTCTGACACCGGGGCCCAATGTTGGCGGCGAGCTTTTGCTCCTAGCAGATGATCAGAAAGGGTATCGAGGGGGATGCATAAAGCGCTGCACACCAAGTATCGGGTCTTCGGACATCGAGAACCAGCATGATGAGTTGAAAGCATGGTGTGATAAGTACGTCGCAGATCCCTCAAGACTCAAATCTTTCACGTTGACCCGGCAAGTCATCAACCATGATACGGAAAAACTCGACTCCCTTCTCCGCTCCCTCGTCGCATCGACGAATTATAGGGGCAAGGTCTCCATTCACTTCCCCATTGCACACGGCAGTGTCACGGTTTACAGCCCAGGAATACTCAATAAGTGGCGCATGACGACCTGGATCCGCTGGTTTTTCTACCTCACCTTCCTCTGGATTTTTAGTTGGCTGTTCTTGTTCATTGGAACCGCTAGATACGAAACTGTGATGGTTGTCTTTCCTTATGCGGATATATCGCCAGAGGAGGGAAATATGGGGTTCCCACGAAGGTCAACGGTTATGAGCGAGACAACCTGGTTCGATCTGTGGAAGCAGGCAATCAGACGAGGCGTATTAGGGAGGCTTAACTGTGGGCAGGGAGAAATAAACGATGAATATAGGCTTGCCACAGAGGAGGTTGCCGCGAGGGGGGCGGGCCACGGCGGCGCCGCGATAGTGTATCCGGATGGCGTGGAAGGATTATTTGGTGTGGGTACGCAGTTTGCAGGTCAGTGGCAAGAGCGGGAGAGTTGGGGGTACGATTGTTAGTGTCTTACATGCAGGATCTTTAGTAGGTATATGGGATGGGTTGTTGTGACCCCCGGCGTTATTTGGAAAGCTTCGTTCGGCATACGACGACATGATATACGTTACACCAGCATACCAGTATCTTAGACATATTCCGCTTAATCAGATAATCGGTCAGCGCTACTCGCATTCAGTAAGTAGTACCTTTCACTTGGTCTTGGGACCTTCAATAGTCAGCGCCAGAATTGTTGTGGTCGCATCAGCCATTGGGACGTCTTGAAAAACGAGGGTCTTCACGAAGCCACCTCCTAGTGGAGCTTAGCCTCTTTGACTCAGAAGGGTTGTCTAATGATAGGAGAGAAACGAAATTTTCGTCAGCCTCCATCGAGCAGCTTAGAAGCTTTTACTTTTTTTATAAATCGCTAATAGATGCCATTTTTCCGTGTCCTAGTTCTGAAAGAAGACGGGCTGTATCTTGGTTTTGGTAGATGATAAGGCTGTGGAACTTCTGGACGGCATGCGGCACCGTGCCGTGCCGCTTGCAGCTTGCTCTTACGTATCAATCGTTGGTTTTCGGTTTCGGGGGGAAGTTTTTCTTGGGCAGCACTCTTTACCTCTTGTTGATTGGGTTGAGTATTAAGGAACGATCTACCAGATTCATGCATCTGTCTTGCGCCACCAACCGTCCTTCGTTCCTTTGAACTTCAGCCCCAGCTCTGTGAACTCAAATCCAACAACAAGTAGCCAATAAACAAACCGCTCTCGTCACTTGCTTCCAGTTCTTTACTATCTATTCGTATCACTCCCTCGTTTACCCCTCATTTTCCCAATACACAGTTTGGGATTCTTTGACATGGCACCGCCACGCGAAAGCGGCGACAATATTATCACGAAGTAAGGGGCTCGCTCGCTTAGTTTGCCCGCCCCCCTTTCCGCGATGTGGCGCCCCTGGCTGACATGTAAGTCAGCTAATCATCACAACAACAGCCCTAATAATCGTTTGTGTACTCTTCTACAAATTATCAAGGACGATCACAGTTGGACGTTATAGGTATATTAATGGAATAATTAAGGTGACTGAAGCACTGAAACTTCAATTGACAGATTATACGGGTACAAACCCCGACGCTTAAATTAATACTTTATTTTAGTACAACCAGCGAACCCCTTTAGTTGGTGTGGACTTATAAAGCCACCAACAAGTAGGCCGGATCGGCTGACTTTCCTAAGCAAACTGGTTGGTGATTACCTCACATAACTACCTCTTTAGAATTGCTATAGCAATTCCACATTCTTATCTATTCTCTTGCTGACCCAGTGAGGCACATGCGGCCAACTGTATGCATGTATGTGACTTCTAACGGCACAGAAACGCACCATAACTATTTATCCTAGTCACCTATGTCTACCTTGGCATTCAGTACAAGACACCTGTTTATGATATTAGAAATCAATTTAGTCTCCCAATTCTGTTACCAAGACCTTGAGCTCCTGACTATCATATAGCCTTTTAGCATCTCTAAGCTCACGTCAAGCGCTGTCTTTAAGTGCAAAATCATTTTTGGTTTCTCCTTACGAACACTCAAGAGCGCTTTTAGTTTGTGACATAACAGCTCTACAAAGGCAATGGCTCGAGAAAAAGTTGCTATTGTGGGGAGCGGGATGGCAGGTCTTGCCACAGCATGGGCGTTACACAATGACCCTTCTCACAAGTTTGACGTTACAGTATTCGAAAAGGTATTACATACATGGTCCTTACAAGATGTGGCTACATTGAATTGCTGATCGATTGTAGGGCAATGCATGTGCGCTGGACGGTTACTCATATGCACCACCAGGTTTAACTCATTCCCGCATCGACATTCCTATGCGTGTTTTCTCGGGCGATTACTATGCCAATCTCTTCAAGCTCGTGGCAGAATTCAATGTTCCTGCTAAACCACGTCGATTCCTGTTTGTGTTTACCAGGGAACGACAGGCCCGTCCGTATTTTATCCACGCATCGAATGGGTATAGAAAGATCCCACCGCTCCCTATGCCCAATCCTGGTATTCTAGAACTCGTTCAACATTATGTCCTAATGCTCACTATGGCCCTTTGTTATGCCTTGTTTGCAATTGCAATCTACGTCTTCCCACCAAGGGTGGGCGGAGCAGGCCAAGCAAGCAAGACCGAAACTATCAAACAATATTGCAACCGACTCTGGCTTCCAAATTTCTTCTTGGATGACTATCTTGTACCTCTCTTTTCATCTGTCGCAACATGTTCGCATGAAGACTTTCGGAATTTTCCTGCAGTGTATATCACCGACTACAAAAAGTGCACCGCCGGCCAGAACCATAATTCGGTAACAACGATGCAAGATGTGCAATCAAAGCTCGTTTCAAATGGACTTCGCGTGAAGCTTCGGCATCCGGTAACAAAGATCGAGAACACTCCCCAGGGCTTGGTTCAGGTGACGCATGTTGACCTTGACAATGACTCTACTGAGTATGTGGAAGGGTTTTCTAAGGTCATCACTGCGACATCATCGCATGCCCTTGCGAAGTTATATGAACCTGCGAGACTTATGGCATCACAGCTTCCGATTTGTGAGGCAGAAGTCGTGGTACATAGTATGGCACAATCCTACTCCGCCGAGATATCCAAGCTAACATATCCAAGCTGACTATACGATTATGTCCCACGTCGTTTCAAGCCCCGGCGTCCTGTCTAGCAAGCCACTTTCGGAATTTACAGCCACCGAGTTCTTGAGCTCTACAGAATGGTTGAATCCCCAATCGTCCAATGCAGATATTCTAGCGTTGCAGACACGCCGTTCTCCTTCGGGCGAGGAATGGACTGAAGCTACCCATGTACATAGCTCGGGTCTCCTTGTAACGGTACGGCCAGTCATCTACCCGAGCAAGGCACAAGAGACCAGGACCGTGTACGGAAGCATGAATAAGACACCGCGGTTGCCACCAGCATATGTCATTGACGAAACCAAGGTCGCGCACAAGGCTGTGTTTTACCGTATGCTGTCAAATCCGCACCGGCGAGAGTTGATTCAGAGGGCTTTCTCGGAGAAGATTCCATCTGCCTCGCCAAACAAAGGTTTCGGTGACGAGGAGCGGCTTCTTAATGGCGCTAATGGACCAATTCAAGAGCGGCAGGAATGGCGAAATGGAGATGGACATGTTTATGCGGTAGGGAGCTGGCCCTGCGATAGTCTTACTCTTCTGGAGAATTGCGTACGAACCGGCTTGAAGGTTGCAGAGACATTGGGAGCGGAGGTACCATTTAAAGTGGTAGAGAGAACAGAGTTCTAAGCCAAGCTTTGTAACTCTCGGAGTCATAGAAAGCAGTCTCCCTAAAAAAGTGCCTCAATCCCACTATCCGAGTGAGAAACCGAAGTTTAAACCCACGATACTATCTCAGTTTGCGCGAAAAACGGCGAAGAATCAAATTAGATGATATAGACTTGTAGTTTTAAGACAATTCTGCCCTGGCACTACACGAAAATATCGTCTGCGCGTGTGATAAATGTGTTTTAGGGATAGGAGCGGCCGGACCTAGGGATTAGCATAGCAATAGCCTCTTATCCGTTATAATAATATTGATAAGTAGTGTTTGCTTAGTGGGGAGTATTAGTAAATGTATTGAATGTTGCGACTCCCCGTGGTGATATATTAGACGTAAACACAGCTATACATAATTATTTCCTGATTTATGCTTCGTCGCTGTAACGTCAACGATATATTAAACGAGCATCACTAATCTCGTGCTATTCGTGTGGGATTGTATTGCCGGGAGTGGCCAATACATTGGCCACTCGAGTGGTGCTCACACATACCGTAGAGCATCTCCTAGGGAGTATTGATGCGTCCGGCAAAAATCCTGCATGGAGCCGATGGACACAGGATTTCTCGGCTCAACATAACCATAGTAAGAAAATTCTGCTATGGGAGGCTCCCTCTCGCCGAAATGCATGTCTTCAGTCTGCACTCCCACATCTACATATTTTATCCTCTCAAGGTCAATTTGGTAGGTTCCTTGCGTCCGCAGCCTTGGAAGTGCTTTCTTGTTTTCCCACGAGTGCTGTATCGGCGCACCACCTATAATGATGCTCCGCCGCCTCTGGACTCTCGGAGTTTCTTGCTTGAGATCTATTCTGGTAAAAAGATCTGTTTTCCGCCGTTCTAGTTTTGGTGTTGCCGGTTTGTAGTCTAGGCGCTTGAGAAGTTCTTCTGGTATGCTGCTCGAGATTGTGTGCGCTTTTGTTCTTGTCAGACGAGCTGAAGGGGGAACTTCTTCTATCGATTCGCTGGTACTTATAGGATGTGAAGAATCGCGACTCGATATTTTCTCAAATTTATCAGAGGCAAAGAACTCATCATTCGACCCCAGAGAAACTTGAAGGGTCTCAAAGTTTCTCGTACTCCCATCTGGAGGAAACAGCCATGTATGGAGTTTTTCTGGTAATTTATGACTCTCTTCCATAAGATCAACATTTCTCTCTGCAACTAATCTGTAGGGGACGACAAACCTTGGTGGAATTGCCCATCCTTGTCCTCCCATGCCATGTAATACCGATCAAAAGCCCCAAACGCAACACAAATAATATTTTGTACCTCCTTCGGATCTTTCAATGCTTGCGCTCCATCTTCCTTTCTGGATCCTTGATCGCGAGGTAGATTCATTGGATCGTCATTCTCGGGACTCAATGTTTGTGGAGAACTCGCAACGGAGGAGGGAGAGAAGGAGTATGCGGTTCTGGAAAAGCTTGAGATTCTGTCCAGGCCGTCAGTCCTGAAGATATTCGATTTTTGCGAGGTGACGGTGGCTAACTCTGAAATTGAGCCGTACGAACTTCTTGAGGAATTTGAGGCTCGATCTGAATGCCCGGTGGTAGATGCATACGAGTTTCTCGTTGAGTTCGCCGTTCTGGCGTATGGCTCTGAGTCAGGGAAAGAATCCATTTCATCGTCAATATCGTGTCTTGGTAGGCGAAAGTTTTAATTTCTTCCTTCGATACTTCTCAAAGATACACCAAAGATGGATTCCAGAATCTGGCCATTCCCAGCGGCGTGGTCGTCCCTTCCCCACACGGCTGAAACCCTGTCTGTGCGCGTGGCATGATTTATCGTCCGAGGATCTCCCCATGTACTATGAACCTTTTCGGCATAGTTGAATAGACACAGGTGCCGTTTTGGTTAGATTATAACCTCCAGTATAAATGCCACGGTTGCAACAAGGAACTCATTCGTTCTTACTGAGCGTTTCAGACGCCAAACCACATGATGGGAAGACTGAAATGTTTGAGAAGACGTTGTTAACGATGTGATTAGGATTCGCCTGTCGAGTGGCCCGGTTACTCTCGAAGGGCGAGGCCTGGTGGGGGCTTGTGGAGCATGTTCGTGATCTGTGGATAAGCTTCCCAGATTGATGCTTGTGGGAGCATGAATACAGCCATAAATCCTAGTATCATTGGCTTTCTCACTGGAGTTCTCCCATCCACTAATGACTCGAGTTCAGTTTTAGGATCTGGCTGGGTTGATTGCGGAATACTTTTCTGCGTATCCGAAACAGGTTCAGATAATTGCATCGCATCAATTTACAAAAAGGTCGGGGTTAAAGGCTGAGGGTTTGTTGTGTTATACATCTATGTTTTGGTCTATCTGGTGAAAGCGTCGCTACACAGTTGCTTGCAGCGAAAGGCATGACTGGAGTATAGAAAGGGGGTTCTAGCGTGATAGTAGCGGCGGGTGGATCCGCAGCTACGACTTTCTCTGTTTCACAGTCTAACTCTAATTCGATGCCACAGCAACAACTCTCTAACAGTAAACAGAGTGGACTTTCTAGTAGATAGATTTCTCAACTAGCACAGCCGATCCTACTCTGTCTTCCTCCATCCTTGAGGACCCTCCGGCCTCGGCATCCGCACTTCCCATCTGGACAGCTCGACCTCCAAGACGACTTTCCCCAGGCCCAATTTTTCTCTCAATCCATCATCATCTCGATCAAAATACAATGACCACAGTCCATCTCCTTCCATATTCTTCACCGCAACGAACCCTTCCCAGCCTTCCAATGTCATCCTCCTGTCCTGTCTGGTACAGCTGAATGGACCAGTGATATTTGGTTGTGCATCTACGCGTACCCCATATTTGACTTCATAGGTGTCTTTGTCGACGTAAATCCAGTTCATGATAGGAGCTACATCCGTAATGCTGGAAACAATTCCTTCATATTCCGCATCAGGGTACGGCAGGTAGTATCCTGCGAATGGGTGCCCTGGATTGTCACTTGTCCCAGTGCTGATGTACAGCTATGTGTGTCAGTTAAGAAGAACACTGCCTGCATGCTAGGGAGTTGTAGCAAGTTACCTTGTTGTTCTTGAGAACCACCTTTTGGCGATCAATCTCGCTACTCATTTTAGACGGCGAAGCGCAAGTGACAATGAGGTTGCATCTTCGAGCGCGATGTTCCTCCCTTCGATCCTTCGACTGTCCTTGCCTGATAGCTTCATTACTAGCTAAAAGAGCTGGACAAGCAACGAGTGCAATGAGTAGTGAAGTCATTTTATGATATTCTTGTGTAGCATCCGTCTGATTTGAATGGTATAAAATCAATTGCTATCACGCCAGAAGGATTGGGTCATGTTGTTCAATGAGTGTCTCGGAATAAAAGGTAAGTAGCAGCTGAGTTCTTCCTGTCGCCTGTGGATCTTTATGCGCGGGGAGCGAAATGGCCATATTATAGATCTTCAACAGGGGTACTTTTTCCGCTAAAGATGCTGGTGCCGTTCGGAAACATATCACGGACCAGGTTTGGTGGGAATCATCAGGTGATTTCCCACCCCTATACTTCTTACGTATCAAGTATAAGTCCACTTTTAGAAAGTAAGTCCACCTTTACAGAATCGTTTCCGACGTCCAGGGAGTTACGTAGGGTGTCCCTTAGGCAGAGGGGAGAATAGGGGGCGGGATGGATTAAGCGAGAGGATCGCCAGGGGTAATCCCGTGCCTCGATTTCACACTTTCAATATTGACACTTTCAACGCCGGGACTCTGTTTGGAGGGGTAAAGTCTTACTTCATGCAGATGTGATCGGTGGGCTCTTCCTTAGAAGTATTTTACTATCGAAATATTCTAGAACACGATATAAAGTCCATGGCCGACGCTCAGAAAAAGAAAGTCTATCATCGCAACCACTCTTCAGCAATCATACATTCAATCCTCGCAATAAAAATACTCGTCGATAATCAACCCCACAAGTAAAGTCCAATCATTACCTAGTCCACGCTTGCTCCTGTCTAAGTCTACCATTAAAACTTAGCGACAGCAGTCTCTTTTATAATGGCTTCTACGTAAGTGTACCTCTCAAAGACTCGCACATGCGCAGCCTCTAACGAGCTTTAGAGCAACATATAGCAATACTGCGGGAGGCGCCGCTTATTCTCCCAACTCCAGTGATGACGAACGCGCAGCGGGAGGACGCAAAGCCATCTCGACACAACAGAACCTCAACAACTCATCTCTTCCCCAGCTCCCTACTTCAGACGGGCTTCGTGCACCAGCTGGTAAGTTACATCTTGTGATAATGCCACCACCCAATGGTGAAGTCGGTGACTGGCAGGAAGTATCACCGACTAACAATATGCAGGTGGCCTTCTACGGGGTGCTGTCGATGATAATGGAAAGTTGAAGAATGCAGGCTTGATGGTTGGGATCAAGCTTGACTTGGAGGCGGAAGTGCATCTCACTGCAAGAATACGCGGTGATATCGTGATTGGATTGTACTGAGCCGGGGAGGGTTTTGTTTCTTGATACTACGAGGGAAGGACGGGGGGAGTAAATAGCGCATTTCTTTAGTAAACTGATATTATATAAGTTAGATAGCTTGAATAACGAATCGGAAATTATAGGACTAAAAGAAGTTTGAAGTAAGCCTTACTTTAGTTTTAGTACTAAGAAAATAAAACTCGAAAAACGAAGTTAAATATAATAAATATTTAAATATTTAAATATAATCTTAGTACTGCGGTTTGCCCCCCTGGGTTTAGCGACCCTCTGCTTCGGGAAAGGTGCGTGCACAAGCTAGCTGCCGCCTTCAACGTCTATAAAACTTCGCACTCCCCGTTACTCGACCTTCTTCTTCTTCAAAATCCTTTCCTAGCAACCCTCGCTCGGCTATTTGACCTCGTCATACGCTATAGACCCCTCTCTATCGAGACCTACTTGGAACACTCTAATTATAGCTGAAATACTTTGATAGTACGGCTAGGCGAAGTATACGAGGTAGTTAGAGAGATTATTAAATAGGCCTACGAATTCCCCTTGGCTACTATCAATGCAGCTCTTCAGAGCTCGATACTAGAACTAACTTTGAAGTAGTACCTACTAGGAGTAATTAGCAAGCTGGCCGGCTATTATAAGTGAGCTTATATTTCAGTTGCAAACTACTCGAAAGGGAATCGTTCATCTCATTTGTGTAGGACGGAGTTTAACTAGCAAAGGATTTAAGACACCTCTTGCGACTAAAGGAATTTATATTAGGGCTTAATGATGAAATTGTGATTCTTAGCTTTACTCTAGCTGGATATGTCAATAGTATAGTCCTAGCTTCTTCTCAGCGCAACTATTTCAAGGTCCTACTCTCTCGAAAGCCTTTCTAAGTAAACAATCCGTATTGTATCTGCTCAGTCGCCCTTCCTACCTGGGATAATATATCTACTATAGAGGTTCTCAAAAGCTACTATCTCTAAGTCGATGCCTTATCATCTCTACTATAGAACAGTTAGGTTAAGTTATAGAGTCAAGGACTTTTCCTTTACAGTGACTTCCCCTTTTCTGTAGACAGTCCTACTTACTGTTTATAATTCTTCTACCCCTTTCATTCTTCCGAGGTAATTTTCTTTCTCCGATATATTCAGAAAGGCGCTTCTCGATATCTTCCGGTAATATATTGTTCGGGAGAGGATAAGTAGTTTTCTAGATCTATATTAGTACTAGTCGTATATTTTTAGCAAGTAGTCGCTTTATTTACTATCTCTGCTATAGATAGCGGCTACGATACATGGTCCCTAGATCTGTACGTGGTGTATCGACCATACTTGCAAATGATCAGAGCGACGTCAATACTATCGAATTCCCCTAATTCATAGGCTTTCTTAATCAAGGTCAAATGCGATTGTTTGCAAGACGCCCTTAGGTCGGTTCTATAAGACGTTAAAGGCATCAGCCTACAGGAGGGGAAACCTTTAGTACAACTACCCTTAACTTTCCCCAGGAAATCAGAGATTACTAACTACTTCTACGTCGAACAGAACCTGCTGTTCCACTACCTCTCCGATCTCGAGGCGTATCGAAACAATGTCGCTGCCCTGGATTATTCAACGCTCCAGCATCTTGACTTATTGCTCGAATTTACCAAGAAAACCTACGAATCTTCCACCGAACGCCTTACCACCCTTCTTGAAAAGCGCTAAATCAGGTATGAACTTCTGTGGGCCCTCTTCAAGCTGAACACGATCGTTTACACCACTTGTGTCAGCACAGGGAGGCTAAGATGTGTCAAGTATGATTCTGGCAAAGAGAAAAAACAAAGAACGGAGTAGAATACTTTCATGCCGGGTGTTACTATCTAGACTCCGATGGGAAAGTGTTTGGCATGGTCTCGACTGTACTTAGGATTAAGAAATTCCGTGGGACAATGCGGATCAACTCCCTTGGAGTCTTTCCGCTACAATACTACTAGAAAAGTATGGAGACGAGAGCTTATCTGGAGAAATGTAGTCGAAGATTTCTCAAGCTCACGAATGTTCACCATTGCCAGTACCAAGGAATTGCCTCCTACATAGAGGGAAACCGCCCTCTCAAGCTATTTGTCAACAGCCAAATCATAGTCGACGCGGTTTATTTCCAAGAGGCCAATCCGAACTATACCAAAGCAAGCATCGATAAGTCTTGAAAAGAGAGCTCACCGGGCGATGACTAGCTGGTTTTGGGTGGGGACGATGATTCTCAAAAGTCATCTGACCTAGTCAAGAGCAATGGCATGGAGCCTTCAGACGTGAAGCGGGACGACCTCATTATCTGCAGTATAACTGTGCTTGGGTTTAGCCTTGGTATCAAACTGTGGGGTGAGTGCTTTCGCTTTCCTACTGCTGAAGTCACGGTGTAGCTAATGCGTTTAGTATAGCTGAGTTTGCTGTTGATCGTGTCAGAGACATTGACTAGCAGTCTAGGGCTCTCGCTCACCTTTATATCCCTCCAAAGAAGAAGAGAGCTATTCACGCTCTTCTTGAAGCTTGTATAAAACGGGCGTCTATTAACTCCTTTTATTTTGATGATTTAATCGCCGGGAAAGGGCTCGGGTTCAACGTGCTCTTGTAGTATGACAATTGATCTCCGTTGTTTGACAAATGCTAACATGCATACCAGCGGGCCACTAGGAGCAGGCAGACCTTAACTTCCGAGGTCCTGTCCGAGTATATTCAAATGCCACTCTATGCGTTATGTCTTTATGCATAAACAGTCTCACCTTCTCATAACTTTGCAGGTCTCCGATGGCGAGCTAGAAAAAACAGCAGAAGAACTCGAACAACGGCTTCCTCTTATCCTTGAGCGTGCTTCGAAATGGAATGCTCTCCTTCTAGATAAGGCGGATGTTTTCCTCGAGAAGCGTTTAATCAGCGACATGATCAACAACATTCACCACCACGAAACCAACCAACTTTTACTTTAGCGTCAAGCGCAATTTTCAGACCATGGCTCTCCTCCTATGCAGTAGCACCGTGCTCTTCAAGCTTCCAAAGACGGGAGCGAAACCACGTGTGATAGTTGAAGGATGAGGTTAGTGACGAAGCACTGGTAGTTTAAGCGGCTTTTTCACTAAAAACTTTTGAAAGTTACCGTTTAAGTACGCATTGAACTACTATCTTCCAACACAAGAGTCAAATCCCTATCCAAAACTCCACTAAACAATCCGTTTATCTAGCGCCCCGGCTAGTCCCTTCTAGTGTGTATATGATGGCGTGCTAAATACTCCGGGATACTCGTTCGAAACACTTGCTTGTCTACTTTAGCAATATCTGTCGCTAGCCCCTTGTCTACCCCGCCTAAGCTGGTACGGCCTTTGGTGCTCGACGAGACACCTTTAGTGGCTCCTTCAGGTTATCGATGATAGATGAAGGATCATGAATGATACCGCAGACGGCTTCGAGCTCAACCCCTTCCAGCGCGTCGACCCCGAGCAACTCAGGCGCAAGAAGCACCACGGCAGCCGTTAATGCGGCAGTGATTTCTTCGCATAAGAAACCGTGCCCACTTGCATCGAGCGTGACCCCAATGTTCAGGCGGTTTGCGTATGGATCCCCGGCACCAGCCATGACGACGGCTATAGCAGCTAATTAGCCCTCGATTCGGAAGACATGGAGAGAAGACAAATATGACTTACTGATTTCGTTGGGCGCACTACACATCCGTGCCTCGTAGTGGCAGACCACAGGACGATCGCAGTTATCGAGACAGCGCTGTGCAAGCCTGCTCTGCTCCGCTACGAGCCCTCCTCGCTCCCAAAGGACTGCGCCATCATCACGGCGGACCTTTCTTCGGAGGCGGCTCGTTGGAATAGGCCCTTTACCACAGCCCAATCCCGTCTCATCTGCATCGGCCTCATATGTGACATTTTTGCAAAGCTTCAAGGTCGGATCATTGAGAGCTGAGACCCAAGAAGAGATGCCGACAGACAGCATCTTTTCCAAGACGGCTTGGCTGGTGCTATTAGAAAGAAATGCGTTAGTATTGTTTGGTCCCAAAGACTACGTAGATAATGCGTGTGGACTCACAATGTGGCATCTTGGAGATACATTGCAGGCTTAAGAGGCTCCTCGCCATCAGCAATAGCCGCTTCCACGTTGTCCATCTCAGCATGATCCCCTTTGCAGGTCGAACCACTGCACATGGCTTTGAGCTTGCCGAACATCTCAGTAGCGAGATCCTTGCCGCCGTTTCCGTCTTCGGCATTTCCAATGTCGATGGTAGACAGATTGCCTACCCATGCGGCGATCGTAGGGGATGGAGCTGCGGTTGGGGTACAGCCGGCGACCTTCGTGCAAGTCTCCGCATCAGCGATACCACCGACAATCGTACATGCGGCGCAGTTACTAGTCCACACTTGTCGCACAGGCAGAACGCTTGGTTAATCCCCTGGTCAGGATCTTCATTGTGAAGTTCGCCTGAAGGCGTGGGCGCGGGGGTGATGCTAACAGGGACCGAACTTGTTGCGGAACCGGTACCAGTAGCTGCGCTGGTCATATAACAACTAGCAGGGACGTCGCGCTTCTTCCTCTGAGGAGGATTGGCGAAGGTTCTGTGGAGAGCTTGGACAGCTGTGTCGACGCGGCCCATAAAAATTTCGAATTCTGTCGTCGAATGGGTGTCAATTAGATCTCTAAATTCGAACAAGGGCACAGAGCGCTGTGAGTTGTACATTTTCTCCGTTGCTGTTTTAAGGCCTCCAATAGAACCATCGATGCTTTCATCAAATACTGAAAGTGCGTCTTTAGCGCCAGTTCCGGAGCCGATGCCTTGAATCCTGTCCAACAAATTAGCATATTAGAAGGTCGTGTCTATCGAGTAAGTTGAGGAGTTTAAAAGCTCGAGCTAAGTCGGTCTTAGGAGCTGTCTCGGGAGCTAGGATGCAACTGCCTGGCCTCCTGAAACAGCTCCGAGCTCACAGCATTTTAGTATTAGAATAAGCCTACCAGGTTTTAATGTTCACGCTAGCAGCGGAATTTTTGAATGTCAATCTACCGAAATTATTGTTAGAGACTGGCTTTGCTAAAGACCCAGAGCAGTAGATACCGTCAATCCTACACAATGTTAGTCTGGCGGGCAAGAAGAGTCGGGTTACTTACTTAACATTGCCATCTTCTGTCTTGTAACATGCAAGAGAATTGAAAAGGGTGAAGAGGTCGCCCGGAATCTTCGATTTGACTTGTTGAAATATGGTGTTAAACTCGGTTCGAGGCATAAAGGGTAACATCAGCTTAGGGCTTTGATCCCGTCCCAGGGGGTAATGTGCGCCTTTGGCATAGGATAATACCAAGGAACAAAAGCCGAGGACGTCGTCGCTGACTTTGGACTGGTTGATACCATTTGTGTTGGACTGAAAATATTGGTCTGTTACGACAAAAAGATTACCGGCATCAGGGTTCCCTGCTCTGGCGGTTTCGGAACCGGCAAGAATGTTCCGCTCTGGGGGGAGTATATCTGCTAGGTCTTCTTTCATAAGACTATACAGCGCTTCGAGGGGCATTGGTGCGGTGATCTGTGCATCCCACTCCACGTCTTCTGGTTTTGTACCTTTAGATGGGCTACCGATACTCCACGGGTTGCATTTGCTATTCGCAACGTCTATATTGTCTGTGTCGGCCCCGTTCCAGGGCTGCCAAGCAATCTGATAGCGTTAGTATGACAGGAATAAACAGGAAGGCAAGTTCTTGCACTTACAAGGTCCGCAGCTGCTGCTGCACCTGCCCTAGTAGCATCTCCAGTCCCGACTTTGATGTTCTGGCCATTCAAAATGTACTCTGCGTGGAGTTTCCCCGAACGGCCAATCGTGTCTGCTGTCAGCTCGAAGTTCGGGCCCTATATGTCCTGCGATGACTTGTCTCTTTGCCGTATCGGTATCAGCCTTACTACAAGCAGCGTTCATAAGATAGAAAAAAGGAGACTCGAATTCGGCGCCAATGCCTGCGGTCCTATCGGAAGTAGGTGCGGTCAGTTCATCTCCCTCATTGTCCTGGATCGCTGCGTCGCACGCATTCACGCGTGGCTGTAGAGGCACATGGACTGCAGAAGCAGTAAGCAAAATCGACAAATACAGAGGTAGATGCATAGTGGGCAACTCCTTTTGTTGTGTGTAAAGGCAGGCTGGGTAATGGTAATAAATGGCAATTGAGTTGCTTTCTCAGGTATGTACGAGACAAGCACACGGTTTATACTCCCTTAACCATTATACATCGAAAGAAAATACTTCCTAGATCCTACTTATTTTACGCCTCACGAGTTAGTATCTTACGCCTCCGGAGGTAGGCATTGCAAGTTGTGCAGATGTTGAAGATGTTCTAAAATAAGTACTTACCTACCTAGGTAGGTAGTAATGTTGGTTCACCGTTGTTGCTGACCGATACATACTCGTATCGCGGGGGCGTAAAAAGTGATAAAAGCGATTCCCCTACAAGCAAGTAGCACACCTTGGTATCGACGGTATCTCTCCCGCGACATAAACATACCATACCCACACTCAGTAGCGTTCCCCCCCTCAATCTTCAAGCACCACCACCACCACCACTACTACTACTACTATGGCGCTTACTCGTCTACCTACCGAAATTCTTGACACAATCATCCCACATACCTTGCCAGAGGGTTTCGAGAGCCTGGCATTGACCTGCAGGAAAATCTACGCACTATGCACACCATTCATTGAGCGCCACAACCACCTCCGCTCGCAGTTCCAAAGGTTTATGTACAGGGAATATTCGAGGGACCCGTTATTATTACCCATCAGAAACGCGTTCGATCTTATTACACGTATCGCTATCGAGCCTATGGTGGCGCGTTATATTAGAGACGCAGACCTCTACCGTGACAACTACCCCCCTCGTGCTAGAGTCCCTCAGCTTGTACCGGATGTTTATCGTGGTGGGCCTGTGGTCACACTGTTTGCCGATTCTCCTTACCTAAGACAAGCAGGTCTGGACTGGAAGGAATACTATGCCTCAATTAAAGAGGATCTTAAACCACGCCCCCACTACTCACAACACGCTGCTGCTTTTATTTTAACTCTCCTGCCCAACGCCAAGACTCTCAAGCTACCAAGATTATGGAAGCCGCTCGACAAAACCGAGAAGCTTCTCGATATTATCATTCACAAAACCAAGCAGTCGAATTTCCTATGGGACAGTCCTAGTCTCGCTCAAGTCACTAGATTTGAGTCATACAAGTCGTCAGGCGCCGGACACCGATTTGACTTGGATAAAGCGGTTCCCTTCCTGGCCTTACCACACGTGCGGTTGTTTCGCGGCCCTAGCTGCGTGGCTATAGGCAGTGACTCTATAGCACTCGCATCTAAAGATCCGTATCTTTGCTACGGTGAGACTCTTGAAATTGTTCATCTCGCGGGCAGTTGTATCGACGAGGTGGCTATTGCCGACTTTCTTAAACACACCTCACGTCTTAGGACGCTTAAGTACTCTCATTCGAAAAAAGGGGATAGTGAGGACTGGGACATCTGCAAATTCGTCACGGCAATTGAGCGCGAGGCAGGGAGTTACCTCGAGGAGCTTTCTATCTCTCTATGCGAGCCACGCAGTTCGGTTACTCCTGGCAAGGCGTCGATGCGCGGCTTTCAGCGTCTGCGGAAGCTCCAATTGCCTCTCGAGATTGCAATGTGTAATGTTGCTAATGCTACATCTCGAGTTACCACACCAAACGAAGGTTTAACGGGCCAAGGACTAGACAAATTTGAGCAATTTATCGGTGACTTTGTACCTGCTTCAGTCTCTCAGCTATCACTACTATCAAGCGGGACAGACCACCATGAGATGGCCCTCAAGGTCATGTTTCGTGATTTCGCCGCTAGGAAGGATTCTCAGTTGCCTGCTCTCAAGGAAATCTACCTTTCCTGCCTTATGAGTCCAAGTGCAGACGATGCGTACAAGGAAGAGTGTGCAAAGCTGGTTGCGGAGACCGATGAGGCGGGCGTGGTGTTACATCTAATGGACTGGCGGGACATGCCAACTATAGCATGGAGTGAGGCATAGTGGCCGTGTCCCTTTTCTTTGACATAGAATAAGAGACATCTACAGGCTATGTAGCCGGGAAACTGGCTTTTATTTCAGTGGGCTGGTTAGGACTCATAGAACGCAAAACGGAGTAGAAAACCCTTGTTGATGTTTGGATTACTGATGAGAAGGGAAAAGCACAAAAGAAAAGAGGAATGAGGGTGGTGGATGAGATCGTGGTGGAAGTGAGACTGAGAGTTCTCACGTTAAAACAACTCGACAAAAGAGCTAGCGAAGGACTGTAGGGTTGGTCTGGATGGTGTTTGCAGTTGAGATCTGTGAAGGGAGCGAGGATAAGCCTACCGTGCTTAAAGATCTTTGTGTCTAGAATTTTCGAGATTCCCATGAGATGCTACTCAGCGAGCCCTGACCTCGAAAGTCGAAGCTAGTATAATATGATCTGCCTTTGTTCTCACAGAAGGATCATCATCTCCCTGCTTCTTTCTTTCAATGTGGCCTTTTACTCACGCTTCCCACAAGAGTATATCATCTATTAACTGACCGGCCCTAAGGTGCTTATATCCTACTCAATTAGTTTTGAGAAAATTGGAATGGGGTAACCCACTTACTTAGGTCTCGATCAAATCTGCCAACGTCGTTATAATTGAGATAAGACACAAGGTAGCGTCCGATATTGTTGTTGCTCTGACTGCGTATTTAATACCCAAAGTCCTTGAGTCGCTTGAGCCAAACATCGGTTCCAAACCAAGAGCTTCCTGTAAGCTTGCTTCTAGTAGTATCCTTCCTCCTGTTTAATCCTTCGTTCTTTCTCTTTCTTCTTTTTCCCTCGTCATTTCATTTAGCGTTCGTAGTATCCATTGATACTAAAAGGTGATCTGCCTAGGTCAATTTTGATATACTTCGAGTATTAAGCCTAGGGTACTTGAGAGTTGTCTATTATTCTAGGCTGTGTTTTGTCAAAGACCCTCTATTCGGATAAGTTGTCTTTGAGAACTTTCGTATAATAGTCAACAGGGGTATAGGAACTAATTTTGAGCTTATAGTTATATAGCGAGAGACTTAAATCGATTTCCTCTAAACCAAAGTAGAGAGATAGTAGTAGTACTTAAACGAGATATTTTCTTATATACGTTATAAAGTAGTAACAGCTAATTTTATATTGATACTAAACTTATATATACTCTGTCTATTTACTATATAGGCTATATTTCCTAGTAGTTCCGACTAAGAAAACTATACTTTTACGTATTTTACTTTAGTTAGTATTTAAGTAATATAGATAATTTAAGTACTGTAAGTTAGTAGAGTTCAGAGCATAGGACCTCTTTAGTATAGTTATATCTGTGTCTTCTCATTTGATTGTAGTATATATATAATATTGTATACTTTCCCTTATAATTCCTAGAAAAATACTACTAGTAGAAAGCTCCTAGGGCATATGACGACCGGGAGGAAGCTCCTATAATAGAGAGAATCAACTGGCGTAGAATTAGTCTTTTCTAATATACTAATAAAAGCTTTATCTCTATTTTATTTTTTGCTATAATAGACGGATTGTAATATTTGTAATACTTGCTTTTCTATATAGATAATTACATCCCTTTCACCTGATTGTTGATAATAGGCACCTTGTATTCCTTAGGTACCTTTTTGAGTAGGCGCTAGGGAAGAGAGAGGTGCCCTGTATTCTATAGATAACTCTTTGAAAGGGTGCCTAGAGAAAGAGAGGCGCCGCTTTTTTAGCAGGTGCCTTTTTAGATAGGAGCGACCGGACCTAGGGATTAGCAATGCAATGGCCTCTTATCCGTTATGATAACATTGATGAGGAGTGTTTGCTTAGTGGGGGATATTAGAAATGTATTGAATGTTGCGATTATCGTGTAGGTGAAGAGGATGACGAGAGAAACTTTAGGTTGACTTGTAGAAGCAAAGACAAGATAAAGCTTAAGGCTCTTAGAGAAAACAGCTACTCTAGGTACTCTTATAAGAATACTACGGGTGGTTTAGACATGTGGTATGGAGTAGGTGACGTTATGTCAAAGGACATACTATCCCTCCGTTGGTGGGCGGGCGTCTAATTCCACGCACCAACCCACCAAATGGCGGGCCTTGAATGTGAAGTTCATTATATGTATTTCATATGTTCCACATTTTGGTATGTTAATTACAGGTTAAACGCTACCCACCCAATGGCTAGCTGAAACACAAGCATGCCAACCGTCAGGCCCCTCTGAATACCATTCTTCGGCGCAGCGCCCGTGGCTGGTACAGTCGTGGTGCTTCCGTTGGGGGCCATCTCAGCAGCACTACCAGTTGCATTATCCGCCCGAGCAAGCCCGAGACAATTGGCCATATTGAAAAAGATATCAATATTACCATAAACACCACCAAACAATTCCTGGCATGGCCCCATAGCAAACACCGGTACATCCGTAAGCGAGTGGACGCCCTGAGCTTCATTAGTCGGGATCGTTCCATTCACGATGAAACCATCTGTATTGTCCTTTGGGTTGGCATAATAGTCATTCGATGCATGCCCGCTAATATTCGTCGCGGGAAGTCGAGGGCCATCTTTATGGACACGGTAGTTCTCCCGGTGGTCGGGCATGGCGCCAACTCCCTGTGCGAGCGTGTATCTTGGGTCCCAATTGACTGGGAAATTCACTCCCGTGTTGTATGAGATGCTCGCATTGGTGATGGTGTACTGGCTAAGGCCAGAGCTGGCGTAGGTACCAATAGCATTGCGCTTATCGCGGTCATTCGTCTGAGAGCTTAAATATTTGGTATCGGCCGATCCGAATACGTCAAAGCCGTGGCCATGGTCTGCCGTGACGAGAATGAGTGTGTTGTTAAGTTCACCCATTGCTTTGAGCTTTTCGACCGTGGCCTTGACGGTATCATCCAGCTCAAGTAGGTCTCCAAGGGCGCGGTCATAGTCTAGGGTGTGCATCTGTTTGTCGATAGAAGCTGCTTCAGACATCATGAAGAACCCCTTATCTCCACCACGAGCATGGAGGATATCAATGGCTTTGAGGGTCATTTCCTTCAACCCAGGAAGGTCCAACGCTGGCTTTTTGTTGCCTGATGGGTCATTTTTCATGGTCTCTAGGTTCTCCTTATACACGTTGCGATCGAGCCAGACCGGAAGCGTGGAAGTAGAGAAGATTCCAAGGGCCTTGCTAGTGTTTGATGCCGAAAGCAACGACGTCTTATTGAGCGAGACACTGTAACCAGCGCTAGAAAATTCGGCATAGTAGTCCTTGCCTTGATAGGAACCTGAGCCAGGAAGGAATTGCTCAGCCCCTGTACCGAAGAAGACATCAGGTCCGCTGAATTTGGTCCACGTATAGTTGGTGACGCCTCGAAGTGCTTGGTCGATCAAGGCTCCATATGCGTAGCGAGATCTACTATGGCCCTTTATGATCCAGAGTCAGCATCTATCATGGCCGTGCCTCTGAGGCTTCCGAAAAGTGGAGACGTTTTACATACAGTTAAAGCAATGGGTGTGGCATCGGCCACAAATGCCGTGCTGACAACACCAATTGCGCTCCCCCAAACACGTGTGAGGAGCTCGACTATTGTCTCAACTTTAGGGTCGTCGAACAGATCAGGGCTGGAATCGGCATAAACTCCCATCGCGTTAACGGTACTCTTGTGGCCGGAATATAGAGCCGAGGCACTATTAGCAGAATCTGTGATGTAGCTGTCGAGGGAATGGGTCTAACGGGTATCAGCGACCTGAGTACACGAGGGCTGGCACGATCTACATACCATTTGATGTCCTAGAACCGGAAACTTGTCCATCATCATCGTTGACTGGTATTTTCCATTGATGCTCTTGTGGGCAATCAATCGTGCCGCGGTTATCATGTTCGTGGTCATACCATCACCTAGAACGACATGAGCTAGGTCAATGGACAGCAGTAAGTGTCTCACCAATGAACAATATGACGTTCTTCGCCTTCTTTTGCTGCTGCAGAGGTCTAACGATCCAATTCGCAACGGTTTTCGTTCCATTGTAGTAGGTCAGAGTTGCGACATATTCCCCGGGCTCGTAAAGCGCGACACGACGATAGGCCTTGGAGGTAACTCGCACCACGGATGGGGCATGGGCATCTTGTGCAAAGAGGTCCTGAGAAGGTGTGAGATAAAGCTATCCAGACAGCATGGACTAATGGTTATGGAATAATTACCTCGTACCAAGTGAAGTTCCACCTTTCCAACTCAGGCTCAGGAACCTTGAAATAGGTAGCGGCTGGCTGAGCTGGGCCATTCGCCTTTGCAATGGTAAAAGCAAAATTGGGGTCTGGAACTCCTCCATTTGCCTCGGAACCATTGACGGGTGCGTGAACCTGCCAGCTATATCAGCACACGCGATCCACTTAGACCATAACCGGTTTGGTATTGCGGCATACCTCGAGACGAATATCAAAGTACTGGCCGGCGAGGAAGTCAGTTTGGTCCGGGGGAAGTACGCAACCAAGTGCTAAATCACATAACATTAGAAAATTGCCAAGATATGTCTGAGATAGGATTGTATACTTGGACATCCGCCCAATCGCTGGAAGGTCTGTGCAGCGGACAACGTAAAGATGGAGGCCGCTGCCAATACACCTGAAATGGAAACCATGATGGACGAGAAAAAGGAAGCGACTGGAATGGCTGAAGCAGAGGAAACAAATCAGGGACCCAGGAAGCTCTTATATGCTCCCAGGTAGCTGCTGCATACTGCACAAGTTAGCTGGAAGGATCCTGACTCCAGGCACCATTTAGCGGGGCAGGTTGATGCTGGCAATTAACGTGGAAGCTCTGGAGTAGCACACGACATGATAAGGAATCATAATTGATAAATCCCACACGTGGTGACCGGGGAGTATGGGTTATAAGCATGTCTTGGCTGCCGGATATGTGCATGGAGGTTTAATGGGAAATGCGAGTCGAAGTACTACTAGAGTACCAGGAACGAAGATTGGTTCACCCTTGTGTTTGTATGTACAGGAACGAGCAGAACCGCTGTGACCTCTGGGCCGACTTCGCCGGGGTTTGAGCTCCAGCCTGTTCAGTCTCCCTTCATCTCTCATTGCCCTTGCTACGTAGTAGCAGTGTTCGGATTGAAGCTGTGAAGCTGAATCGGCCAACATCGTCGCATCCACCGATAATGATTAGAGCCCGTACGTAGCACTGCACTGCACTGTACTGTATATTACATGTCCCTCCCCGAGGCCTTGGCCTCGGAATGCGGCACAAACATTGTCAACGATATCTTGTTCATATCAAGGCGTGGCGGAGCGCGCGATATTGATTCGCTGTGGCTGCCATTGCCAACCATTGCCAAGCACAACGCTGAGCGATGCTTCCCGACGCCAAAAGCTTCGTTGCGCGTTGAGACTTTGAACGGACATCAATCATGCATACTCGAGTAATGCTCCATAATCAGAAACAGCTGCGGCCCGACCTACCTTGCCAACCGCAGGCTGCAAGCGGCACGTGGGAGAATAGATCGCACTTCTTTGGGTGCTTTAGTACGTGACTCTGTACTCTGTAGGTGCTATGCTCATTAACGGCGAGTGTTACGAATGTATTTTCCAACGCGCTGCCTGCTCGTTGTGTATTGTATTGGCACTGAAATTAGGTGATGACTAACCGGGACCGGCCGGTGTAATCACGTGCCTAAATCATGCCTCGACCGAATGGCATTCCCATTCCCATTCCGAGAGCATACCAATCTAATTAATATTGCATGTGCCTTGGGCCTGTTTTGGGAAGTCGGAATATAGCTTATCCAAAATCCTTGGTGGGTGAGGTCGGCCGACCGTGTTTAGTACTTCGCAAGTCACAGTACAATTATAGATGGATATGGATTCCGTCAATTGGCAGCCCATTGACTAACAAATCTTAATCTACCTTGGGGCATTTGATATCCCAATAAAATTAACTTGCAAGGGATATTAACGTACAGGGAGGTAGGTGTATTGACCAACTGGCCGAAGCAGCTTAGCCAACTGTCACACACGACGAAAAGTTCAAGAACTTGCTCAATATGTTAGGTAGGTATTGAAACCTGGGGGTATAGACTGCTAATCGGAAGAACCCATCATTGTGCATCCCGCCTCTCTCGTCGCCCACGCAACTCCAACCCTTCCCAGCAATGCCCACACCTTAGAACTCCGCCGCCGTGACCAATCCTTAGATTCGTTACGGCCCCATTTAACTCAGGTAATCCTTGATTTCGCTCTGGAGTTGCAAGAAAGTTTCCTTGTCATGGCCTGGAATGATGCGTCCCTTCGTGGTAGCTTCAAGGCGCTTCAGCCGCTGTGTGCTCTGGAACCAGGCTGGGTGGTCACTGTTGTTTCTCTTGTCAATGGCTGTATTATGTGTAGCAATTGGGCCTAAACTTACCGAGCCAGCCATCCTTGTGGGATACCATCCCTCCACTGTACGGTGCTTGTTAGTAAGGTATATTCCCAGGGTGAGATACAGCTACATACGTTCTCAATAACGTGGCAGTGGTCAGAGATGAAGAAGAAGGTGCCGCTGTTGGGAAGGTTAATTTGCATTCCCTGGGGTTCCTGAGTTAGCACAGTACTTTGAAAAAAGTGGCTGTTATTGACGACCAGAAGTACTTACAATCAATCCGTCGGTGTGGCCTGGGAGATGGTGGAGGGTGATGCCCTGGCAGAAGTCGATGGTGCGGTCGTCAAAAGTCTTCCAGTTCAGAGAGAGCTATTACTGATGTTAAATAATAGTCCAATGATGCCAGGTTTAAGGGGGACGTACGTCAAGGTAATCCTTAAGATAGACACCCTCATCTGCGCCGGTGGCGACAGACCAGAATGCGGAGCGCAGCTCCTTGTCATGAACCCAGATCTCAATATCCTTGCGGCCAATAAATTGATCGAGGCCCCCCGCATGATCTAAATGCATGTGGCCCAGGATACTAAAAACAATGTCAGTGTATGAGCATTAAAAAAAAGAGGGACAGAAGAAGCGAATCCGTAGGCTTACATCTTCTTAATATCCTCCAGCTTGTGCCCTGTAGCCTCAATGGCCGCCTTGAGCTCGTGACGAGGCTCGTAACGAACCCGGGTGAAGACGTCGTGAACGGCGGGTCCCCATACAGTTGGGTAATCGACGCCACAACCAGTCTCCCATAAGATGCAGCCCTCGTGAGGGTGATCAATTAGCACGCAGTACATGGGTAGCTCCCGGCGCTTGTTGACGAACGATTCGCCCTCGGTGCTCTTGAGCGACGTGTTTCCTCCTCGCACGACAAAGCCCTCATCGCACTCCAGCCAGCCGACCTCGAGGAGATATGCCTTGGTTCCTGGAGGGCAGACGTTGGACACGAGATTTGGGACGGCGCCTCTGTCCAGTTGCTGCTGAATTGCGGCCATGGTGATGTGTGGTTGAAGGTGAAGGTGAAGAGGTATGGATATATATCTGAGAGGGAAATGGATAATAGGCGGGGGGTCGAGTAAGATTTCAAGCTTTCAAGCGAGGGGAGGGCAGGACGGGAGGTAAGGGTGGGAGGTGGGAGGTATAGATAGAAGGATAGAAGGATAGAAGGATGGAAGGATGGAGGGATAGACGGGTATAAGAATTGGCAGAAGCTGAGATCGGCATGGAGGGCAGGTCAGGCTTAAGGGAGATTTGTAAAAGTAGAGAGTAGAGAGTAGAGAGCAAAGAGCGATGAGTACGTACCGTTCCGATTTCCCATTCCCCATCCCCCGCTCCCCAATTGCAAGTTGCTAGTTCCTAGAGCTCTAAGGGTTGCGGGGGAGCTATGGTGCAGGTGTGTAGTGTAGCGTGTATTGCCCCGTATCCTTATCCTTATCCCCATCCCCCGTACCTCTTACTACATACTTACCCAGACGCATATCTTGCGGGACCGACACCCCGGATTGCGTACGGTGCGTATTCGTATCAGTGGCAGCCAGTAATGGAGTACTCGAGCGCGTAGTGCACATCGTGTAAGAATGGAGAATAACATAAATCTACCAGCGGGGGTTGGAACCCGACGCGGGGCAATAGCAGACTAACAGCTTAGCAAGACGCCAAAAGACCAGACGACCAGACAAACGAACCACGTAACCGCGTCCGGAGTAACCGCATAACCGCAGAGCCACATAGGGCTACAAGCTCAGCTCGCCCTGCGTGCGGTGCATTGCATTGCGCTACGGTGCGATGGCAGAGCTGGTTGCCAGGGCCAGGCCAGGACTTGCTAGTTGTGAGTTGCGAGTTGCGAGTTGCGAGTTGTACGTTGCCAGTTGTACGCATCCGTACGTACGTAATCGGAGTCGGCTTCATGGTTATCATAGGAGCTGCATCGGTCTACCGGCTGAGCCTCCTAGTCAACCAGGCAGACTTGCGGTGCTTGAAGACGCTATCTGGGGTACAGTCAGTACTTCGTACCTCTAGGTAGACAGCTATACGCAGGTACACAACCAGACTCCCTAGGTAGGGTAGGTACGGTACAGTACCTAGTTGTCAGGCAGGTAAGGGTAAGGTAGGTAGGTAGGGAGGTAGGGAGGTACCTTGGGTACAGAGTCCAGTACACGGTACCGAGCAACCAAGCAATCGCCAGCCGAGGTACAGGTACCAAGTACAAGGTATTCGAGTAAGGTACGAGTATGTACTCCCAATCCCAATCCCAATCCCAATCGCTTACTAATGACAACCACGGACGGTCTGTGGCCCGTTTGCCCACTCTCTGAATTACTCGTACCTACCCAAGGTACCTGACCCTAACCACAACGGTTATTTACATTGCTACATTGTTGTACTATACATCATTCGAGCGATCCACTCCCACCTACGAGTCCGCCTACGCCTCGGAAATAAACCCGTCCAGCTCTCATTTTCAGTCATGGCAACATGGATAGGCACTAAGTACCCAAGTACCCCGCATTTGCTCGGCTTCATGGCCCCCCTCGGGCACTGCCAGGCCGATCAGGATACTCAATGCCCACTACCTAGGTAATCCGTACTCACTGCTCGATACCAACTACCAACTACCAGTATATCGGCAGCAGGACCACCGTACCACTCTGCCTACTATCCCTCCTCTCCCGAGGTACTATCCCTAGATATGTGCCACTAACCAACCATCCCTCGTTCCTCAGCGCTCCGCCGCTCGCTGCTCCAATAGCAGTATCCAATCCTGTATCGCACCGTGCCTACCACCGTACAATACCAAACTCACCACCATACCCTACTCCGTACTATTCTCGATCGCCAGTGTTTCGACTCTTCGGACTGTCTCCATATAATACTGTCCCCATCCCCTAAATCCCCCCGATACCCCTCCCTCTGCGAGCGACCTGCTTGATACCTACCTACCTTACCTACCTAGGGCACCTATATCTATACCCGTGTAGCTCCCAACATGTCCAAGGATACGATGAAGGCCGTGGTCTTCCATGGCACCCTCGATGTCAGGATTGAAGACCGCCCCATCCCCAAGATCGTCGATCCCACAGATGTCATTGTCAAGGTCAAGTACTCGGCCTTGTGCGGAAGGTAAGCAGCATTCTCCATTCATAGACCCTCGGTCTTCGCAATTGTTATAGTTGGTCGAGTGAACCTGAACCTGAACTAACGGCACATGCAGTGAACTCCATGTTTTCCGGGGCCACCAGCCAAGCAAGACCGGCTTCATCATGGTAAGTCTTTGGGATATTTGCAAGCTTTATGTCCCGCCATCCGTCATCGGTGTTGGTGTCGGAGTTGCCAACTATTTCTGACATCCTCTAGGGCCATGAGACCATCGGACACGTCGTCGAAATCGGTTCCTCCGTGAAAACCCACAAGAAGGGCGATTTGTTGGTGCTGCCATTCACAGTCTCTTGCGGAGAATGCTTCTACTGCAAGAGCGGATTCTCATCGCGATGCGAGAAGTGCCTTCTTTTTGGGTGCCCGATGTTGGAAGGTGGACAGGCCGAATATATGCGTGTGCCATTGGCGGATGCAACCGCGGTGAAGGCCCCCGAAGGAATCGATGAGAAGAAGCTGGTCTTAATGGCAGATATCTTCCCTACCGGATACTTCGCAGCTGCGAATGCCTTCCGCGGATCCGACGATGCAACGATCAAGCAGAGCGTCGTGGTTTTGATCGGATGCGGGCCGGTCGGTCTGTGCGCCCTGATCAATGCCCTCGAGTATAAACCCAAGGCGGTCATTGCCGTGGACCGGGTGGAGAGCAGACTGGCCCTGGCAAAGAAGCTGGGCGCCGAGCCATTCAATGACCAGACAAATCGCCAAGGTACGGCCGTATAAGAGCGTTTGTTTCGCTGAAGATCATATCCCCCGCTAACAACTGTGTCGTAGGTTTGGAGGCTAGAGTAAAAGAGCTTACCGAAGGAAGAGGTGCCGATATCATCATTGAGGGTGTTGGCCATGCAGATGCGTTGAGGACTGGCTTCGACCTGCTTAGACCCTGGGGTACTATCTCCAGTTTCGGTGTCCACAACGAGGAGATCCCGTGGACCGCAAACCAAGCCTACGGCAAGAATCTAAGAATACAAATGGGTAGATGCCCGGTACGAAGTATCTTCCCACAGGCCCTGGAAATGCTCAAGAAGCACCAGGACAAACTCGAGTAAGTGATCCGGTGTCTGACGAGAAGGCGCCTTGCTAACTCAGCACAGTTTCATGATGGACAAGATCATGCCGATGAGCCAAGCAATCGAAGGATATGATATCTTCAACAAGATGCAAGTTCAGAAGGTTATTTTTGAGCCTGAACACCCGAACTAAGGGGTGAAGCCGATGCGGCTAGAGTGGAAGATTTTGTATAGGTACTAGTAGCGTGATCTGAAAATATACCTTTTGTCAAATGCACTTCCATTTATCCACTTCGTGCAGCTTTAACACACCACCACGTCACTGTCTTTTCACAGCTGCCATCTTGGCGTCGATCAATTAGAAGTTGAAAGATTTCGCTTGGTTTCAATCCGCAGGAGGACATCATCCCCCAGTGCCCCACGCTGCACCACTCTCGATGTCTCAATTTCATTTCAGCCCCAACACTGCGCCCATTTCCCAGCGTACTTTAGACCCGAACCAAGCTAGATAAGACTGATTTTCCTCCTTCCGAAATCCACTCCAGACTTCAGATGAAATTCGTGGGGGATCGCCATGGAACGACGATAAGCGAAACCGGTAAAAGGGGAAACCCCAGAGCGCCAGGTCCGTGAGCTTGACTTCTTCACACAACAACAGTCTCAGATGCTAATCCGGTCTTGTCTAACTGACGCCCAAAATACTGCGGAAGAACCCTCGCGGTCAATCCCGCGTAGCTTCGGTAGTGGCCAATTGGCCGTTCATCAACATCGCATTATTTTCTCATCCTGCTTAAATTCTCGTCATACACGGACCGTCTTGAACTGTGAGCAGGTTCTGGATCATGGAGATCCGGTTTTCATCTCAGCCAAGAGGTATATACATCTCAAATAGTAGCAACATCAGCCGTAATTTCTACCAGCTCTAACCACTCTCTTGTTCCCCTTTAACCCCTTTGTATCCTTTCCATCCCACCTTATTTTCTTGGCTTTTAATATATACTATCGCTGGCGATGTTTCTCCTTCCGCTATTCTTGGGCGGCGTAGCCTCGGTGGGCGCAGTGTCCCCTCTAGCTGTAAGTATCTCATGCTTCCTATCCCATGACTCCATCCTTATATAGTGGTTATGGCCCTAACCTCTTGTAACAGGGCGTCAACATCGCGGGTTTCGATTTTGGCGTGGAAATTACAGTAAGCTGCCTCTCCACCGTCTCCATTCTCTGGAACCTCTCTAATTAGTTGGTGTAGGGGACAGCAAATCTCCAAAATGCGCAGGGTCCTCTTATGGTCCTTGGGAACAGCGATGGCGCGGGGCAGATGCAACATTTTGCCAAGAATGATGGGCTGAACTTATTCAGACTGCGTGAGTGACTTTGCGTTATAGACAATCGAGGTGCATGCTAATACTGCAATAGCTGTGAGCTGGCAATTTTTAATCAATAGTAGCGAGTTTGCCGGCAGCGGTAGCGGTAGCAGCAATGCCACCAATGGACCTTTCAACAACGGCACGATGGGACCGTCTAATAACTCGACCAGGGGGCCATTCACAAATTCAACCATGATGCCAGGAAATGGGACGACTCGGGGGAATCGAACACCAGCCTCCAATGCTGCTACGGGGACACTAGATGCGACTAATTTCGCAGAATATGATATGCTTGTCCAAGCATGCCTTGCAACAGGGGCGACTTGTGTTATTGATATTCACAACTATGCTCGATTCAACAATAAGGTCATTGGACAAGGTGGCCCAAGTAACGCGGATTTTGCGAATTTGTGGTCGCAGATTGGTACCAAAGTATGCGGCTTCATCCATCATCCTCGATCAAAGTAGTCCCCTTGCTATCTCGTCAGATTCTGACATGCTACTAGTATGCCAAAGAAGCCAAGATAATCTTCGGTATAATGAACGAGCCTCACGATATCCCCGATCTCTCCCTCTGGGCGGCGACCGTCCAGGAAGCCGTAACAGCCATCCGGGCAGCGGGCGCAACAACGCAGCGAATCCTCTTGCCGGGGACGGATTTCACATCCGCACAGACATTCATAAGCAATGGCTCGGCGGGGAATCTAAGCACAGTGAAGAACCCGGATGGGAGTCTCGAGGGGCTGATTTTTGATGTGCATAAGTACTTGGATGTTGATAATAGCGGCACACATCGGGAGTGTGTTAGCGACCATGTCAATGACACGTTCATGCCGTTGGGTGCTTTCTTGAAGAAGAACAATAGGATGGCGATGTTGAGTGAGACTGGAGGCGGCAATACAACCTCTGTAAGCGTTCATCGATTTTAATTAACGCTCTTTCCCCTTAAAATGATATATGCATACGAGGAGTTGCTAACAGGAGGAATAAATAGTGCCTTCGGGATCTCTGCGCAACCCTGAAGTTCATTAACAACAACCCCGACGTCTATCTTGGTTATGCTGGATGGGCTGCCGGTGGATTCTCTCCCGAGACCTATGAACTCACCATGACGCCTAGAGGGTCCAATGGTAACTTCGTAGATCAGGATATTGTGAAACAGTGTGTTGTTGAGACGCGGGGTGTGGCTTCAAATGCTACGGCAAATGGGGCCCTAAGCGGAGCGGCGGCAGACCCGGGGAACTCGAAAGCTTTCCAAAGCGCGGGGACAAAGGGGATGGCTCCAGCCTCTGGGAGTGGGTTGGTGCTAGGTGTTATGATGTTGAGGGTTTTTTCGATACTGTAGGGGTTAGGTTTAAGGGTGATGGATGGGAGGTGTGGGCTAGATGGTCTGATAGGGGCTTTGGATTTTCTGCATTGTATATCTACACAGGGAGAAATATAATACTAACTAGTAAAATAAAATTGGAAGAATTAAGTTAAATTGTGCTGCACTTCCTTTGCTTATGTATTGAACCTTGCGTAGAAATTGGGATATTAAACGATATCCAAATAAACCACAAATCATAGCCTAGATTCATCAAATCCACTCCTTTCGCTATCTACCACCATAATCAGAGGCTTTACATATATATATATAATATACCTGCGTATCTCCTTAAAAAATTGAATACAGTTAGAAAATATCTATTGAAAAGGCGTTAGCTCCGACCTACCCGTTGCATTTGCCTACAGTGCATGACGGTACTTTCTATATGTAAATGTACAGAAGTGAACGAGGTGGGTTATATAGGTTACGTTTCGCGGGCTGCGTAGTAATCATGCTGCCGGGCCGTAATAAGTGGTTTGCTATGGGCTGGTAGAGTGTTTTGCGGAGCCGGGATAACGCCTTGATCAGTTTAGACTTTAGGAGAGGCTTTTCACTATGGGGTCAAATCACAGTGGCTGCGAACCAGCCTGGCTATTGTGAGAGAAACACACATTTGGCACACATTAATTAGGTTGCTTGTTATAGCTATCTAGTAAGTCGGTCCTTCTGATAGCTCCCAATATCTCTACAGTCGACATGCCCCATAAAATATATATGCAAGAAGGGTGGAGAGAATCCCCAAAACAAAGGAAAATACATGGCTTCCAGCCACGTCTCGCCTGCTAATGCAATCCCGTACGCCGTATAATGCTTCCCGTTTTCATCCATACACTCTTACACTTTGGAATATCATATCCGCTCTCGCTCAGCCCACAAATACCCCACAAGAGAAGAAAAGCACAGAAACAGCAAGAGGACAAGGAGGGAGAGACACTATCGTAATAGATCATCCACAAACCCCAACTTCTCCCTCTGATCATCACTCAATCTCGCGTACTCGAGTAACAACCTCAGAACATAAATCTGCATATCGTCCTTCCTTAGCACCTTATTTGCCCACTCCTGACCTGCGCTGGCAATTTTCTGCGCTTGCTCATCATGGGCAGGAACATTCTTATCCTTGCCCGTATAGCCCAAGAAATATTCCATGATACCATAAAAATCCATGAACCGATTGTCCATGGGCACGAAATGGATCCAAGGCATCAATCGGGAATCGTGCCACTCGCGGAAGATGGTTGCCTTGATAGGGAGGGAAGTGGACATTAGGAAGCCACGGTAGCGGCCGGAGAAGGAATTGCCATCGATATCAGGGAGGTATTTGAAGTCGAACTGTTTGGCCATGGGTAAACCTTTCTGGATTTCAAAATGTGATCCTGTGTAACTGCACGTCGCGTTGGCCTCGATAGGTTTACACATGAGATCGACAAAGCCTGCGTCGGCCCACTCCTTTGTCCATTCTCCCAGCTGGCCTTCCTCTTGCGCGGCGAGATTATACTGCGTGGTTGGCATTGCCCAATTTTCAGGAACCTCAGTCCACGATTCCGCATTGGATACCTTCGTGCCGTTGGCCATGGCCACAAAGCGGTGGCGTTGGAACCCTCTCCAGTTGTCCGCGGTGTTGGTTCCTCCAGTTGCAACGCCACGCCAGATGACCTTATTCAGTTTCTCGGTCCAAGGAGACCCCGTTGCGCCACCGCCAGTAAATCTTTCTTCCTCGTTCCAGTACATCGGGGCGGGCAGGAGAATTTCGTTGTTGGTGGGGAGTTTGGAGCCGCCGAACATGGGCGAGAAGACCTGGGATTCGGAAACGGAAAGGGGCGAGATCATCATGCCATGGAGAGCTTGGAGGTCCGGTTGGTGGCAGAAGTCCCCGGAGAGGGTAAAGTTGGAAATGTAGCCCTTATAAGTATGCGGTGTCGTATGGGTAAGGGAGATGGCGGGGGTTTGGCCGTGCAGCTCTAACTGTGCAGCTTTGCGTGCAAGACTGTCAGGGGGACAGCCCCGAATGGCGACCTGCCAGAACGGTCCTATCTCTCTGATTAGATCTGGTAGATAGTCACAATTCATAGGACTCACGCGTTTGGGTGAAGTTCCTGTTTCTAGACTGAACATCCACATCAGGGTGCTCTGGGAGCGTTTGAAAGTGTGTCACGACCTCTTCGGTAGGTGTGATTTTCCGGGCGGCGCGCTCGATGTCCATCAATCGATTGACCTCTTCCCACGGAGCCACGATTCTGGGCTCGTCCATAGCGTTCAGGGGCAGATCCATATCCGGCAACATATGTTCGATGGTGGAGGTCATATTCAGCCATATCTTTGTCCAAAACCAGTCGCTGCCTGCGGTAGCAGTCTGATTCCTCACCTTTATCGTCATGTCGAAGTTGTCGGCCTCTCTTCGAATGACTCCCGGCGGCAGGCCCCAGAAGGGGCCCAAGTCGTGGTAGATCTGATCAAAGAAGTCCTCCACCATCACGGCGTTCTTCTCCTGGGCGAATTTGAACCAGACATCGAAACCGGGCGGGGGATGGCGCCCACGCCGTTCGCGGTACTGGGCTGCGGCGGTCTCCAGGTCATGGCTCTCTTTCTTCAGGACTTCCCGGAACGAGCTCTCCGCTCCCGCGATCAATTCGTCAATCGGATGCGATGATGTCGTGAGCGGTCGCGCTTGCTGGAAGAACACAGCATTTGGTGGCCCGGACGAGCGATAGTAGCACAGGAGCCCAACAAGGACCACGGCGAAAAGAACGGCGCGCGTCAGACCGGGCGGCCGACATGGCGATCGTGCGAGGCTCATGACTGTAGGAGAAGTTATCCTATCATGGGGATGTCTGCGGGAGCTGGATGTGTATGGATATGTATACACATGCGCATACACATACAATGATCAAGCAGCGGAGTCTAAAGAAGCCAACGACGGCGACGGCGATGGCGATGGCGATGGCGGAAGAAGGGGACCAGGAGAGGCGGAAAGGGAGGATGGCGGAACCAGTTGACCAACTTTTTGAAGTTGTGCTGGAACCTGGAATTGGCGGTGGTTGATTGTGGAGGGAGGGATGAGGGAGGGCGGGAGCACGGGTAATACGGAGGAAGAGTAATAGGAGTAATAGGGGGGAAACAGAAAGGGATCTAGCTCCAGGTTCTAATTCCAGCTTCGACGTCGGGCAGTTTCAGCTCCAGCTTTGGCAGCGAATAGCACTTGGTAACGACAACTTTACAGTATTTCGTATTATTATGATTATTATTAATGTCCCCAGCACCAAGCACCAAGCACCAGGAGGCATTCCGGTTCGGCCGCTTCGGGTGGTGTGATCCACAAGCCCCGTAATACGAAGTATGGAAGTGGGAAGCCGGAAAGCTGGAAAGGCTGGGCAAGGTAGAGGTACCTAGGTAGGTAATAAATAATATGTTGCAAGTCAGGTACATGTACATGTACACTGTATTTGCCCCAGGAAATGTTCATTAATGCTCTGCTCTTGCTCTGGTACTGCTCTGCTATCCACACAGCTCTGTTTGATGATTACAAGTACAAGTACAAGTACAATAATCAATGATCATAATAATAATAATTGTGTCTATCCCGCCCTAAGCCCCTAAGCCCCTCCGCCCCTCAGCCCCCTAATATAGGGCCTCTACTAGGGATGCAATAGGGAGTGCTACGAAGTAAAGTACATTCCACGCCCGCACAGTATAATTACCTCTTCATTTTTGATATCCCCCTGCGGTTTAATTTCCGAGAAATACGACACCCCGCCGCAGTATTCGGAAAGCATGAATTGAAGTATTATGAGTTCGCTACGAAGTACTTACTCTATACTCTGCCCAATACGGACGCATCGCCCCAACGATTTAGAGTTACGGTTAAAAATAGATAGGCCGATAAGCATGTACAGTAAGCACGAAGTTGTTCGTGGTACTACGCACGTCGTCCGGGTAATCGTAATAAACTTGTTTGGTCTCATGGAGGACACCCCGTACTCTGCATGTAATAATATCCAGTCCAGATCGGTTGCAGAGCGCCGTGCATGTAGATGTATGCTAATTCCCCAAAACGCCCCCATCCAGCCAGCCAAAAGCACCATAGTCGCAACATCTAATAATCATACAAAGATATGTCATGTCGCCGCGTCCAGCTACGTGGAGGATTGCGATCGCCCTGCCCCCATTTGCGCCCTTACTTTATTCCGCTCCAACTCTGCGGCCATCTCTGCATTCTCTCTGTTCGCCTCCTGTAGTCTCTGTCGTGCGCTTGAACGATCCGTCTTTCGCGCCTCGCGCTCCGCTTTTAGCTTATACTCCAACTCCTGTAGTCGGATCTGCCATCTAAGGTCCGGAGTATACCCATCATCAGTGGCACTTCCGGGTCCTGATCCCTTCTGTGGCGACCCTAGTGCACTTCGGTTTCCGTGGCTGGACTTGGAGATGCGATCAAGGGTCTCCACGGCTGACTCCGAGGTGGTGCGCGTCAACGTCGATGAACGGGTCTTGTTCTCGACGACTTTGCTCCTAGGACCAGTTGGCACGGATGGACTGGGGCTGGGATCAGTGTAACCGCCGGTGCGGACACTGTGTGACGCTCTTAGGCTGGACAGCTCGGTTTTTAGCGTCATGTTGACTTCCCTCAGTCTTCCAATCTCCGCCTTGCCGTCTCCGCTCAATCCTGTAACCGCGCTCCTTGCCATGGTTTCAAGGCGATCTAGGCGCTTGGTGCGTAGCTCGAGATTCGATTCAAGAGTCTGATACTCTTTCCATAGATCCTTCTCAACGCTGCGGATCCGGGAGCGGAAGTCACTGACTGTGGTCTCAATCATCTTGATGGCCGCAAAGAGGTTCTTCGAAAAGCCTGGGAGCATAGTAGATACAGCTTCGAGGGACGGCAGTGCGCGACCGTTGATGAGGCTATTGTTGTGCGCCCAATCCACACCACATAAAGCGCTCAGTCTGGCCCACAAAGCCAAAAGAAGGTTATTCCGCTCATTCATCTGGTCCTTGAAATGGGCCTCAAGCGTAGCGATTTTCTTGCGGTCTTGCTGGCGGGATGTCTCAAGCTCAATGACACGAGTCTCTTGCTGAGAAAGGGTACGGGTCGTATGCGAAGTGGTCCTCTGGAAAGTATCGAACTGGTGCTTGGTATTACGATGAGCCTGACGTTCTTTGTCAAGCATGTCTGCAAGCCTGCGAGATTCGAGGGCATGGTTTTCTAAGAGTGTGTCGCGTTGCCGAATCTGCCGCTCTTTTTCGGTGAGCGATTCCTTCTTGTTGTCGAGATCCCGAAGGCTATTCTCCAATTCTCGTTGGAGCTTAGCAATAGACTATGAAATCGTCAGTACTAGAGGACTAAGCATATAAACTATGCCACTTACACTGAGTAGGCTTGATCGTGTCCCGTTGAGGTCCCCAAGGGCTTCTCTCAGGTTACTCTCAAGCTCCATGAGCCTCTGTTTCCATTCCGCGGCCTCAACTTCTCGCGAAGTCAAATTCTTCCGGAGTTTGCGGGCCTCATCCTTGGACGTAGACGCTTCTCGGTTGAGCTCATTGATGTATTGCTGGACCTCTTGCTTTTCCTTGCCAGCAACAACTTCCCGCTGATGCCGCTCATACGCCAGTCGTTCTTCAAGCTCCTTGATGCGTTCCCGTTCTTCACGTAGAGTCTGCTCGAGGTTCTTGACAGCAGCCTCCATGTCCCCAATCTTGATTTTATCGCCGTCTTGCTCTTCGCGGAGGAAAGCAATCTCACCCTGACTCGACTCCTGTTGCACTAACAGCCGTTGTATTTTCCCATTCGCTTCGACCAGATTCTTCTCCATTTGCTCAAGTTCTTTATTCATATCGTCAAGATCTCGTTCAAGGTCTTGTATTCGTCGACTCTTCTGCTCATGGTCGTCTTCCAACCTGACGACACCCTCGCTCATCTCCCGCATCTCATTCTGGAGAGCATTGAAATTCTCCGTTGTATCTGATAGTTCGGTTTGGAGGCGCTCAATCTCGGCTTGGGCCTCCTCGGCTTCCGCTGCAAAGCCATCTAGCTCTTCCTGTGCTTCTTTTCGGAGCGATTCGAACATAATCTCGGCCTCTTCTTGTCCCTGTAACGCTTCATCTCTATCCGATTGCATAGTGAGTAAATCGGCTTCTGCAACTTCAAGCGCCTCTTGGAGTTCATTTGCCAGAATGTCTGCCTGCTTCTTTTGCTCGACAGCAGTTTCGAAATCCTCCATACATGACTCGAGTTCGCGCTGAAGATCTTGGTTGTGTATTTTGAGACTATTGATACGGTCCCGGAGTTCGGCAGACTTATTCTCGAACTCTTCACGCTCAGTATCAGTTAGAGCCGTATCCCTAGTGCCAGCACTGGTCCGTGATAATGATCGTACATGGGCTCGTGAAGCAGACCGATCCAAGATACTCTCCCCAGCAACAGATCTCCCTCCCCTACGCTGGCCAAGTTTTAGGTCTTCAATCTCCTGGTAAAGGCGCTCTTTCTCACGATTACGGGATGTAAGCATCGATGTCTGAGCGCCAACTTCGCGCCGCAACTCGGCATTTTCGTGCCTGAGCTGCTCACAATCCCTTCTGAGATCCTCAACCAAAGTGCTAGCAGCACTAAAAGAGCCGTTGCGATCTTCTGCATGATCTGAAAGCCCCGATCTGGGTCTTGACGGGGAGTGCTGTCGCTTCTTCGTGATGTTGTAAATGTTAGTAGTGTGACCAACACCAGCGATACCACTACCGGAGGAGGCACTCTCAGTTTTCAGCCGGAAGATTTCTTCACGGAGCTTTTTATTGTCGTCGTCAGACTGTTCACGCCGCGCAGTCTCCTGCTCCAGGAGGTCTTTCCACACATCCATCTCTTCGCGAGCATCAATGGTTTGACCACGTCTTTCACCCATCGAGCGCACCACTTCGGCTAGATTTCGCTTCTCGTTCTCTCGCGCGATAGCCTCACTCCGGAGGGTCTCAGTCTCCGTCGCGTATTCCTCAACTCTTTCTCTAAGATACAGAAGCTCTTCTTCTCGCTCATGGGCACCTTCATGATCGAACCACTGCGGGCTGTTGTCGCCAGTAGATGTACCAGAGCGAGCTGTACCTGGCCGGTCTTCGTCGTTTTGCAGCTGTTTCTCAAGCTCTTTCACTTTCCGTTTCAGAGCCTTATTGTCTCGCTGCATGACAGCAAGACCAGTCTTAAGCTCGACATTCTCGGAGATCATTTCTTTGACACCTTCTTCGGAGACCTTGTCCAAACGGTCGCTAAGGAACATAACCTTCAGTTTTAGGTCGAAGTTCTCTTTCGATAGCCGCTCGATGGTGCTGCTCTGTTCCTTCAATGTAAGATTCTTTCCATTCCGACCGAGCGATGCAGCTGCGAACCCCGATCGCTTGTTTGGCGATGATACGTCGCTCTTGCTGCGGTATTCCTTGGCCAAGGACTCTGGAACTTGAACATTGCGTACATGACGGGCGATTATCGTATCTGTCGGTGCAGCCATCGACCTACTAGTTGCCCGTGGGGTTTCTGGAGGGGAACCATTTTCGGTCCCTCTTCTGTCGCGATTTTGCTCTTCTTCAGTCAAGGTTGCAAGACTCCCATCCAAACCGCGCGATGCATCAACATTTCCGGAATAGTCCTCAATTCCCGAGGCTATACTTCCCAGGCTGATGGAGCGAGACAATGCAAGGCTGCTGTTTCGAGAGAATCCGGTAGTTGGCACAGCTCCACCGGACTGAAGGGCGTAGTCCGCTCCAAGAGTGATGTCGCTTCCATCACGAGAATCAGGATTTGTTATAAATGACGAAACAGAGGAGCGCTGGCTGGCATGTCTGCTTCGAAGGAACTTGGGTCGCCTTCCAGACTGTGTGCGAGTCAGGGCAGCACCTGGTGTGCTTCCCGCATCTACACTAAAACTATGTAGGCTATTGCTTGACAGATGGCGACGTAGGGTAGATCGTTCATCGCATGAATCTAGTAAAGAATTGTTCATCGGCTTCCTGGGCGTTGCTTCGTAGTCGCCTTCACTGTCTGTGTGCTCCTCTAGCTGTGAGTCGTCCATATCAATCGCATCTTCGTGACCGCCGGCGCTTGCCATTGAAATCGCCCTAGATACAGTTCTTGCAGCCGCCGCAGCTGTGGGGGAAGACGACATTGTTTCGAGCGACGAGGTCGTATTTCCCGCATCCATTGCAGATTCATCCCCAACACTCGAGTCGTCTTGTGGTAAAGCGGGGGTTTTGTAGGCATTCGAAGGGGTGGGAGGCGACATTGGAGGAGTTCCGTTCTGATTCTGAGAGGCGTGTGGTTCATTTTCTAGCGCTATATCTGTATGTAGCGCTTCTTGGGGGGCTTGAGCTCTATCGAAAAGATATGTATCGTCGACTCCCTTATTCTCGGCGATACTAATCGGTGAAGGGACCGGGAGAAAGCTGGACTCGACATCATTCAAGTGTCTCTGCATTTTCCCTTCATCTAGTATGTGCCCAAGCACATCGCTCCCAGCGTCTCCGTCTTCACTATGGCTATACAAGAGGCTGCTATCGTTCGGGGGTGGTAATGACGGTAGACTCGTAGGGTCAAGGGATGGTATCCGATTATTTTGCTCGTGGGTAGGCGCATTCTCAAATATTGAGTCGTCGAATTTGTCCTTGTCGGGCGACAAATCATCCACGTCGTCGATGCCAAAGCCGCCAGGAACTTTGCGCGAATCCTTGCGCGCCGTCTGTGGGCGCGCATCGTTTGATGCCGACATTTCTGAATGTTCTCCTTCGTCCTCGGCCATCTCCAGCAGATTTAACGCGTTGCATTCGTCTTCGGGAAGGGTCAAAACATTCAGGTTCAAGTTGCAGACGGGGCAGGACGCTGGGGGGAGACGCGCGCTTGGTCCTCGTAGCAGAGTACAATAATAGCGTAATAGCGCGGCAGAGGGTACTGTGCGGTGCTGGGTCAGGACAATGAAGGCATGGAACGGCGAGATATTTGCTATGGGCGACTGGAAGCTGTTGTGGACGTGAAGGTTAACTGGCGGTATTAAGTTTACAGGACCCTTAGGGGTGGTGGTGGTTGTTGTTGTGGTTGTTGTGGTGACTAGGGGTTCCGAGGGGTCTGGCCACGGTGCGAAGCTTGCAGATCATAACAGCGATGGTGATGTACATGTACATTCGCATTCGCGACAATTGACGAACTCTTACCTACCTACACGTAGTATTGTCACGACATATTACTCCAAGCTACATTGGCTTGCTCATCTTTATAGATACCTGGGCAGTAGGTATTGCTTGTCGAGTATACTTGGACGATTGACTGTTGAACTCTGGGCACCGGCGTCGATACTCGATCGTGCAAGAGTCCACTGCACTCAATTATCGCCTCGCGCTGCTCTCCCACTTCTTGCTCGTGCTTGTGCAAGGGATGCGGTCGTATTTAATCATCTAGGTGTTATCCTATTTATTGATACTCTGTATTGTGCGGCAGGATCCTAGTCTGACCGCCCTGTTCCATTTCGTTATAGCCTCCTACGCCATGATACCAAGACCCGTCCCTGGAAATCGATCGTATGAAACACACACCACCACTCAACTATTCCGCGCCGTCCTAGTTGGAGTACTTGGGGTCAACCTTCTTGCTGCGTCGGTGTTAGCGGATACAGTACGTAGTATACCGAAAGTACATGGTTGACAAGAGGGTGGCAGCTGGGAGTAGGAGGGACGACTTACCCAGTGGCCTTCTCAAATACACCGCGTGCGCCGTCGGTGATCTTCTCGCTGGTACTGGGGTCGAAGGTATGCCCGGACTTCTTCGAAATGGCGTCGAACGCTAGATATTTAGGTGTTAGTCTGGTTCCTGAGAGGGATAGCGAAAGTGAGAGTGAGAGTGAGTGACTGAGTAGTTCGGCGGAGGAAATAGCTGAAGGATATACAAACCCTTATCGCCGTAGTCCTTCTGCTCACCACCGGCTGGTTGAGCAGCGCCGTCTTGTTGGGCAGCGCCTCCTTGTTGGGCAGAGCCTCCGACCCCGCTGGCAAGGCCTTGCACTTTGTTTTTGAAGGCGTCCATGATGCGATGCTGGTTGTTGCGGGGTAACGAGTAGAAAAGGCTTCTGTAGATGTGTGAAGATGGAAGATGGAAGAGGAAAGATGGGATAGGTCGTCTCTTTATGAAGGAATGGGGAGCTTTATGTACCTCAAGGAAGGTCTCAGGAACTGGGAACGTCCCGTGAAGCCGCCCCTCTTCGCTGCCCGGATAAGGCCAATTCGAGCGTTTGGGACGATGATATACGTCATTGTTGTGACCACGTTCCTTGCCTTTGCCATTGGCAATATTCGACCGATTGGCGAGAGCTGGGGATGTGGATATGGATGTGGATGTGGACAGCGATAACTACACACCCCGTATCTCGCTCTTTGAGAGGCTTTTGGAAACGCATTTACGAAGGACGTAGGTACAGTACGTAGTGCCTGTAGTTGGTTCAATGGTTCGTACTTGGGCGTTATATAAAGCAACCTTACTCGTGCTAAACTCTATTGCATAGATCTCCTCGCAGCTGCGTACTTGCATCCTACCTACCTTACCTAGGTACCTAGGTATCGTGGAGAAATCTCAAGCGCAACTCCAAACGGCTATACAAATATACTGTCGTTCTACTTCGTACGGAGTATAACGCTGCTCTTTACTTCGTGCCTGGGGTGTTATTATCATTAATCGTCATATTCTACAATGTGAGCTAAGCATCACTATCGGACGGAAGTACGTTCCGTGCAATGTGAGCTGAACAACCTCTTTACCGTCCAATGAGTTGCCTCTGGGTTGAACCTCGCCGTCGTCCCCCACCTCTGCCTCTGCAAGCGCGCAACCACAGGAACAGGCGATTCCATTGCAGCTGGCTCTCGGTGAGCCTTCCTAGCCCACTGCTTCTAAGTCTCCAAGGGACGACCTGGCTCTGATCATCCCACTGCTTGCAGACCCCGAGCGCGAGGCACGCCACGGAATGAGATGACCACTCACGGGTCGAAAGAGAGGAAGAACTTCCCCCCTGGCTGCACAACACCCAGACCTGCCCGCATAGTCGATTTTTGCTTTTGTGGAGAAGTGTGGTTGCATCTCCAGCGCTGGGTCAGTCTCCATGTCCGCCTCCTTGTCCCATGATAAAATGTACCAGAAGCAACTACCCAATCCAATTATTCTTCGCAGCCTGTTGGACTTGAGCCTTTAAATTATAACTGGTGGCCTCCTGCGCTTAAATCTAGGTAGCTAACTCTCTAGCGAAATATGAGCTCGGTTTGTCTGCCGTTGAAATGGCTCCATGGAGGGGCGATTCTGAAGCGCTCATGGAGTACTCCGTAAGGTAGTCTAGCCTCGGATGGGGTCAGCAAACGTGCTAGCTTCCTTGTGAGTCGGGGTTATCAATTAATTGCCCATGAACTGGCTGACTATTAGTTTAGCCCCAAGCTGCTTCTGGCCCCGGTCCTAGAGATTCTGGCTTAAGACATTCTCCTACGAATGCACCAGGAACACACAATAATCCTCCTAGACAGAACGCCGTCAGCTTCCCCATACACCTCCCAAGATAGTGTTTCGTATGAAGATCCTGACTCGCCTTTCAACACAGCATGAGAGGGGGGAAGATCCAGTCAAAACGCTGCGGACCTTCAAACCCGCACCTGGAGAACCTATTCTGGGTCGAACCGGCTGGAGACGCAACTCTTTGATGCTTATATCGAATGGCTAGTTGTCGGAACCAGTATCTTATTCCTATACACGCGCAGAAAAAAATACTTACAACTAGGTCTATATTTGCTAAGCTATAAGGGGAGCCTCATCCACAAATTTCTAGAGGAGGGAATTGGCGATAAGGACATGCCTTTCGAACGGTCCGACAGGGATGACCGGCGTGGAAATTACAACTTTGTAGCAAGCTAAACCCATCTCAACACATCAATTACACGGATGATTAGAATCGGCGATGTGTGAAGAATTTTGACCATGAGCAATGGATCCTACACGACACTATCTTCGAATATAAAGACCATATCTGTCACTACGAACTCCCTGATAGCTGCGTCCTGCCTTTCGTCGAGGATGAAGAGACTAGTGGATCAAGGGGCTTTAGCTCGGTCTAGAAGATCCACATTTTCACCCGGCAATCAGAAGCTATTCCAAGGCACATATCTGGAGGTAGGAGTTAGCATCCCATGCCCCTCGGCTACGTATAATTATTAACAACGTATAGTCAAATTCCATCCATTGCTTTGGAACGACTCCATTCGACCAGCGAGACTGAGTTCAATGCGGAAGTCAAAATGTCAAAACTTTCACCCCGTATCGACATCGCAACCATATTAGCCTGCTGTACACTTATCGCTATAAAGGCAGATACTTTCTCATGTTTCCATATGCGAAATCTAACCTGCGGAAATATTGGTAGGATACCCCAGAGCCAGAGTTCTTGCAAAATACACTTCGGTGGTCATTGAACGAGTGCAAGCGAATTTGCCTGGCTTGTACAGGATACATGAGTACCGAGCCACCTAGGAGTTTGCTCATTTGCAGGGCGGTCGATGAGCGAATAACAATGAAGTAGACGCTGAAGATAGCGAAAGACTGTACGGGAGGCATGGAGATATTAAACTAGAGAACATCCTTCTGTCCATCGAAGAAGAGAGAACTCGTTTGTCAAGAACCAAGATATTTTGTTAATTCCCAGCTTTGGATTAATGCATCTACATCGACAGCTCACAACATCCCACGTTATCCCCGACAAAATCTGCGGTTCCCCAACCTACGAGCCTCCCGACCTCAAACTTCACTAGAAGGTCTCCCGAGCATACGATATTTGGAGTCTAGGATGCGACTTCCTCGAATTACATGGCTCGTTTATGGCTGGGAGGGGTTCAACCGCTCCCCCAGGCACGCGGCCTTGATGTGAGTTGTGGAGCCTTCAAAACGCATCCGCAGCGGACTATTGAATGACAGACTGAAGGGTATGATAGGAAACGCGGAGAACGACCCAAATTATCTTACACGGGGTATTAAATGCAGCCGCGAGTGTCAAAAGCCGCTCGTTAGTGGCCATGATCAAGTGGACCGCTATAAAAATGGTCCTTCGAACCACAACCTCGTTCGGCAAGGTACATCCGCAAGGTGAGCGCTAGCTTCTCGCTATGGACTATCCTCGCTGGATGGACCGGTGTTCTAACTCTTACTCTGGGATGGCCCGTCATGATAAGTGTAATGATAAGTGTAAAGGAGAGCATCAATGGCCTGGTTCACACGGCAGGTGATACACTTATCACCAAACGCAGCTTCTCCGTCGTTCGAGTACGGGTAAGTGAAGGTGGAGGCCCCTATGGATCAAAGCGGAAGGGAGGTGCTAGGTAGGAAATGGGCAAGGGTTTGGGGATATGTCAACCTATATTGATGCAATCGCCCTGACCAGAAGCAGCCCCCTTCTTCTCAAAGCCACCCTCCCTCATTTACATCTTATATATCAAGCCTGTATCCCAACGATGGTAGTTGTTGACTAACGCTGTCTTGCACTCTAGACGTCTGGGTTGCTTCCTCTCTACGATGTCGAGCTAGTCGAAATTCGATGCCACTAGGTACGTATTTACTCGAAACAACAAGCTTCAATCTGCTCCTATTAAAATCAGTCAACTATAAAGCTATGCCCAATAGGCCAGACGACGAGACAAACTACGGTGAGGCGCTGTGGGACAGTCAACACCCACGAATTTAGCTGGAGCTGCTTAAATCGTCAGTAACTGAACCCTGCGCTGCCTGAGAGCCTAGTTCTAGCTCCACGGATACTGTTAACTCACCCGCACTGAATAGTTCTCAGGTCCTCCAAGCGTCCGGTCCAGAAGGAGCAACAACGTCCTACGGTCCATATACTGCCCATCGATAATCTGCTGGTGACCCATATCTGCTTGAAATCGACTAGGACTAAGAGGAACTTGAGTCCCAGATTTATCTTTGGGGGATTATACTGTCGTATAGTAATAAACTATTTAAATATAATTAAATAAAATATATAAAGAATATTTAGTTTAATTTATTAACAATAAATGGTTTTAATTAAGATTTTATTATTATATTTATAACAGATAGAATAAATAAAAAAGTAAGTTCTTTAACTTTAATTAGATAATATAAGTATATAAACTCGGCAAAGTATTGCCGGAGCTAAACGCCGAGGTTATATAATAGTTATATAACTGATTCTTAATATTATTTATTTAGAAGAAAATCCGTAATTATATCAACTAATTGAGATATTTGTACTTTCGCTCAATATTACAGGTAATCTCACATAGGGATATTCTCATAGTATTTTCCATTTCAGCCTCTGGACCTGAGCAGCTGCTGCTTTAGCCTGAACTATGTGTGATCAAGCTTAGGCCAAGGGTGAGTATTACCGAGCACCGCCTGAGCATGCATTGAAGAGCCATTTTAGTATCCGTAGAGGCTCGTTATGGCTCCCTTGAAACCCGATTATACTTTCCTCGTCTTTATCTCTAGGGGTAGGTCCTATTTTGGCTCCGACAAAGGACCTCTTTAGCAGTTTACAATACTTTTACTGTATTTAAATGTATCCACAGGAATCCTCATCCTTCAACCCGATATGTTGTGTGGTAACCAGCAATCCGAACTTTTGGTCAATACCATGGCTATTTGGCCAAATTATTATGGTATTGGCCAAAAGTTCGGATTGCTGGTTGCCACACAACATATAGCACAGCCATAGAACTCAACAGAAAATAACCATCGCCCTAAAACTCAAGCAAGCTTCCATTGCACATTGTAGACATCCATGAAGATGAACCACGGCATACTCCTTGGGAAAGAGATGAGATCCACTAACAAACCCTGATAGATTAATAAGCTGACTCGTAGGACAGCCATGAGATTGAAAGAGAATGTAATGCCTAGTCGCCTCGCCCCTGCTAAACACCTCGTTGACTAATCCTCCCCATACACTTTCCTGATTTTTAATACCCACTGAACTGAAATGTTTTCCTATAGAACCCACTGGGTTGTTGGGTTGGTGGCCGCACGGAGACGTAAAAAGCCCGGCAGAGTTTGCGAGTATTAATGAATTACACAGATACCCAGGTTGGCCAGGCAGCGACCAACCGACCTTGAGTAGTAAACCATTTTTTTCGCCTACTTCCACATTCCATGTCATAGAAGCATCTTTACTAACGCTCGGATAGTATGTCATGTTCAGATGATCAAACGCCTCCCGGGGCGTTACAACCCAGCTGCCTATGTCTCCGGAACTAATGACCTTACTAATACCCATTCCGTCCCACTGCACGGTGCCCCTAGTGTATTGCAAGCTGAGGTAGTTCTCCTGCGTGAGGTGTTTCTTGTTGAAGATGTCCGGATAGACGACTTGGCCACGTCCTAAGGAGATAATAGAACCCCCGCATCCGCTGTCATCTCCATGATCCCATTCAAGACCGAGAAATCCCACAGCATAACTGACGATTTCGAAAGGGCTTATTGAGAGCCAAGTGACCTCACCGTTCAGTACCAGTGACTGCCACCCATCAACGACTAACTCAGGCCAGCAAGCAGAGATGCCAGTGCTCGATTCTATGTAGAACTCTTTCGACTGGTCATGTGGTTTCTTTGCCAGGGAGTACTTTCCCCTTAGAGGAACTTTTAGACTAGCAATATCGTCTATGTCATATAGACATGTGGCTAGAAGGTCAGCCGCAAGAACCCCAGCCGCTCTCGCAATACAACTTGATCTCTCGTCAAAACTTTTCTTGCATTTACAGCATTGGGCACGGTGTTGTTGTAGATGCTCCTTCCATTTCTCCAGGTTGGGCGCGGTGCCTTGGACCTCCAGTGAGTTTCCCAGTGCAACTTGAGCAATTTCCATTCTCCGTTCGAATGGTGGAAAAGGTCGTGGAACGGATAAATTAGCGTCCGAAAGGTTTCCGAGCCCTTCATAAAATGGCATAGGTATTATGGTCTCTGGTAGGTGCTTCAAAATCATGAAAACTGCTTCAACCAACAAGGTCAAGACCTTTTGCCCCGGTCCACAGGTACCATATTGCCTCTGTAATTTCAAGGAGAATAGAGTTGGCACATCTATCAATCCACAGAACCGACTTCCGCATTTGGATCCGTCCTTTCCTGCATCAAAATCACCTTTGTTTTCAGGGCATAGCAAGGAATTAAAATCAGCCACTTGCTTGACCACGGATATTTCAAAGGAATCTCTCTGCGGAAGAAGAAAGAGAGAAACTCGAGACATCGATTCGACCGAAGCAAAAGCTCCAAAGTTCAAGCAAGGAGGCGAGCCAGTGAACCACTTCACAAAGGCAATCGTCCAAGCGGCGAAACGACGACTGGATAGAATGTGAATATTGCATTCTGGGCCAATCCGGAAACAATCTCTCAAAGCGGCTACCAGTCGCTGGATATCGGGATTTGCAGGTATCACGACTTCCTCCCTGCCAAGACCTCCAACAACGCCACTATTCTCTCGTTCGAGAACATCACCATGATAGATGCTGAATTCGTTCATTAAAGCCCAACCTATTACCTCATTTGCAAATGAAGATACTGTCATTTTTGTCTCCAAAGCCCGCAATAGATCATTTAGCTGCATGAGCGTCGGAAACATTTCACAGCTTTGAACTGTGCTTCGTAACAGCTCATCGAGTAGCTGGGCCCTCACAAGTCCCTTCTTTATCGTGCAAAGAGTTGCGGCTAGACATAGGAAACGAATACCACCGTCTGACTGTGATAGATAATACGCGGCGTCGCCGACCGAATATCCTATTTGGGCTTTCAGAAAATTCGCTGTTGAGGAGTGGCTACGCCGTGCAAGTTGTTCGATCTTCAGACTTGTTTCGATACACACTGGGAGAGTAGTACCGAACTTCTCACAGGCAAGCAGGGCTATAGGCTGGATATTGTCGCCTGTCATTGCCTGAACGATACCTCGACCTATAGAGAGGGCATTGAGACTCGTGTTGTCCAAGGACCACTGTAGCGAGAGAGAGGAGTTCGTCGCCATTGAGATGAGGGCTTTCTTGGAGCATTTAGGATCTGCACAAGGATAGGACCTACATCCGTGGAATTATAACTGGGATGAACGACTAGTGCAGGAGACGTTTAGAGTACTGAGGGATTGCTTGAAACCCATGTCTCTTTCCTATTTTTCAAATTTAGGCAGCAATCACGAGTGAAATTTCAGCCTGACTCGGGACGGACGGGCTCTATTCAAGGCACTTTCGGGCGTTGCACGTGACAGTCGCCTTTGTTCGGCAAGTGAGACGAGGCCAGAATAGAGAAGATGGAGAGGAAAGTTGCGAAGGCGACTGGAAGGAATAGCTATTTTTAGAACAAGGTCACCAAGATCTTCAAGGCGGCAACCGCCCTAGGTCACCATCCCAAAGCCTGGAGGAGGGCAGTCATAGTGGTCCTTCGAAAACCAGGGAAGCTGGACTACACGGCCCTGACGCCTACCGGCCCATATCTCTGCCCAACACCTTAGGCAAACCTCTGGAAAGCGTGATGGCTAGACGCCCGACGTACTACGCCGAAAGATACAACCTCCTGCCACACAGCAATAATCGATACCGTGAACTCATACCTCGATTCGAAGAGCATACTAATGGGTATACAAGGCCAGAGAAAGCTTGAGATCAAATATAATGTTGGCAGGAATAGCAATGTAGATCTGTCTATATTTGAAGAGACTATGTGGCCAGGATATCTCGATTAGTTTCGTCAATGCACGAGGATTCCAGAAGTGACGGTTGATATTGTGGATTATTAAAAATAATGCGGGTTGATTATTTGAACTTTATATTTTGCTCTCCCTAATCGATTGAATTTAATTGTTTTTGTTCCTTTTTACTTTCTCTTAAAATACTACTTCTGATTGAAAGGAAGATTGGAACTGACGATAGAAAATTAGATAATATCCTTTGGTTGTTCAACCTCCATCGACCCTAAAGATCCATCATAATTCATATATTCTCATTCATTAAAGTATATTACACATATGCTCAACAAATCTCGCCTGCCCCCTTGAATCCCTCGAAGTACCCTCTCACTCTACTCCAGCAAATTAACACCCAACGCCTTTCCCTGCACCCCCAGCCCTACCCCACGCTCAAACCTCTTCAACCTCGGATGCTTCAAATCTCCCAAATCCAACCCCATCAGCACCTGTTCTTCCCTCGTACGTCCCCTCGTAAGCGGCACATCATCCGCGCTCCCCTCCCAATCCGCATGTCCCCCCCCCTCATATGCCATCCTCTGCAGCTGCAAATACCCATCTTGGATCCAACTCAAGCGCGCATAATGCTTTCCCATCCACTCTTGCACCCATCCTACGACGATATCGACCGTCCAGCCGATTACTATTAGGATGGAGGAGCTAATCAGGATGATTGTTACTCCAAGCATATTGAAGTTCTGGTAGCCGGCTACGTTGAGGATGAGTTGACGCTTGCAGATGTTTTGCCCGACTTTATCGTCTGGTTTGGGTTTGATTATTCGCCCACCTTGCTCAACCACATTGATCGGTCCAGTGGCATATTCTAAGACTGTAGCTTGAATGCGAGCGAGCGCGATTGCGTTCCAAGCTGCGAGTTCGACGGCCCATTGATCGTTTGGCAACTTGATAGTTTGGAATAGGTTTGTGACTGTCTCTTGCGCCTTTAAGGCAGAAGAATCCATTCCATCGGCAACTTTGTCCATACCGGCGTATTGCATGCCTCTCCATATCGGGCGCCATGTTTCGACTTGAGTGGCGGAAAGCTGGATGCTTGATACTTTTCTGTAGAGGGGTACGATAGCGTCGAGGGGGGTGCAGAGCATGCTGTTTGTTGTCTCTGGGCCGGGAAGAGCAGGATTGCAGATTTGGAATTGGTCGACGCAGCCCATGGCGGAGATGAGACGATCGGGTTGGTAGATTTGTATGGGCGTTGTCGTTGAGGAGAAGTTATTATTGTCAGCCAGGATGGTGTTGGCGCCGAAGAGGGCGTCGGAGTTTGGGGAGTTGTAGAGCATGCTGTTTTGGGCGAGGAAGAAAACGGTTATGTCGGCGTCGGTGCGATTGAATTCTAGGATGGGAACCCAGTTGTTTTCATAGCCGGCATGGGCGTATACGGTTCTAGAGGGAGCCAGTAAATCTGAACGAGGTACTAGATGAAGGACTAAAGGAATAGTGGGCAAACTACATACTGAATGTCATAGCCTCTTTCCATGAAGATGTTGTGCCCGTTCCAGCGATAAGTATAATTCCTCGCAATGGCTGCCATGGCTGGATCGTTCTCATTGAATCCTCCGATGTACACCTGAATGAAAGAATCTGTCACCGGATCTGAAGGGTCACCAAGGGTCGTGTTGACCGCATCAACCCATTTTCGAAGTCGAAGAGGCGAGCATGATGTCTTCTTCCGGACAGCAACTCGTTCCTCAGGAACTGCATTCAAACCAAAGATCTTGTGAGAATCCAAATATCCTGTGTCCATGCTTATAGGTGTGCTGAGATTGTAGCAAGTTTCAGCAGCAAAGGGGCAGTCGGCTTTTCTATCAGTGTGCCATTTAATCTCAGGCACCCTGTACCTGTCACAGAGCCGAGAGTTAGCACTTCCTCCTTGGTAGCATGTTCGTGCATAATTTTGAGCTGTATGTGTATCATTTAGTGTTTTTATCTGCCATCCTGTCGTCTGATCGCTGGGGAAATCCCAGAGCCCGCAGTCGGGTGAGCGGACCAAGAACGCTGTTCCTGCAGTTTGGGTGACTTGCGAGGAAAAGATAGCTGCTGCCGTGAAGATAGCCGAAATGATTACCGCAACGGTCACAAACAGAAGTGTCCAGGATCGCCATATCATCCGTCTTTCATGTCTTCGCCATGCCCAAGACATACGTAAGAAGGTCAATGCCGTGCCCAACGCCGACGACGAGTTCTTGAGGGCGGCTTGTTGCTGGTAGAAGAGAGCATCGTGTGGCTTCTCGCTTGCTCGAAGTTGATGAAAGATGTAACGAAGGATCGTCCATGCTGCATGTCCTGCTGCTGTGACGAGTGTAGCTAGGAACGCAACGAGAATCGCGCCGTTCTTATTCGTCAAAGTGAGCGTTGTTCCTATAATTCTCGCGCGCGAATGATTGACCCACAGGCCGGTGTAAACATAACTTGAAACCATAACGAATAATGAAAGCTTATCTTGCGGAGCGGAATCTGGGAAGGTATTTCCATATATTTAGCTACAAAGCAGAGAATAAAGCCATGGTGAGCAAGACAAAGGGTCTTCAGCCCCAGCCTCGTGTTCGACTTCACTTCTCGAATGCGGATAGCCAAGACTGGTGGGGTAGAAACTCAAGCTATGGGAAAGATGTCTCGGTGCCGTCAATACGCCACGCGGAACTTACCACGACATCATGGAAGAAGGGAGGAAAGTGATAAAAATTTCTTTTTCTTCTCGTATCTGAAGACAACGCGCACTTGAAGTAGTCGCCAATAGCCACTTCGAGCCACTCGCAGAGCGTAATTAGTACCTTAGAAGGAGCCCTGTTCGGAAACGGGGTGAGGCGCTGCCAGCTACCAAATCACAAACACCTGACAGGTACCCTCAGGGGTTTAAGCGAGATGCTTCCTCGTCATCCCTGTCACATGCCGCATCCGGTCACGTGCCACATCTACCTAGAATATTAAAAATTTAATAACTAAATAACTAGTAGATAATTAAGATACAACCCGAAACTAAGACTTATATAATTATACTCTAATAATTATTAATCTTATATCTTATTTCTTATACTATAGTTTTTCTTCCCCTTGTTTTAATGATATTCTCATAGCTTAAAACGCTAACATAATAGAATTTTACTATCTGAATATCTTTTAAACAATTTATTTTACTCGTAACTTTTAAAGAAGGGAAATGGTGATCCAGAAGAATCGTGGTCTATGAACCCACGAAATATTTCTCGACTGTTTTTGCCATTTTTCCTGGGCGGCCTCACTAGCGCAGGTCATCACAAGCACGGCATAACAAGAAGCGCAGAGGAATAACAAAATCTGGCTTCTATCTCTATTTGCAACCATTGCGCCAAAAGGACGATAAACTGTATAGCAACAGGTTGCGAAGCCAGCGGAAGCCAGCTTCAAATCAACTTCTACATCCTTCGCTACCACATCCGCGCCACTGGGGCTCTCAGTGGTTCTGGCGCAACTTCCTCTACAACCTGTGTTCCGCTCATCTGATCCACTGAGCCTGTCGCTGACCCTGGCGCGTTGCGTATCCGCGCTACCTTGACCTTTCACTCTGGCGCATCTGCCTCTGGCACTGGCACTCTTACGCTTCCGACCACATTTCGCCTTGTCCGCGGTGGCTTCATCCGCCTCTGGTTCATCTGCCCCTAGCGTAGCACTTTTACACTTCCGACCACGTTTACCCTTACCTTTAGCTTCTTTGACAGCCTCTTTTTAACCCTAAGTTATATAAAGTAATTAGCTACGAAAGTATTTAAGTAATAAATATTACTAATTCTTTAAGGATTTACTAATAATAGCCAAATATATAATATAGTAGTGTAGAACTGTAAGATATTACGTGTACGATAGCCGCTCTTCGGAGCATAGGTTTTGCGGACTGGGCACTAGAAGTGCGCTGCGCCAGGCAGCTGTAGCTAGGCATGCTTTTTCATTCATATATACTTTTACCCACCTGAAGCTCGACGCGTTTTGATTATTACCGTACACCTAGACTGTACATTCCACTCCTTTACATTAGTAGTTTTAGGGTAGCTAAATTAGAACTAAGACAACAACGACTCCAAGAACTTTATTATTTTAGGTTAAATATAGCAGGATATAGTAGCGGGATATAGTAGTGGACAGCTAAGGCTAGCTACTATAGAAGTACTAAAACACTACCGATTACAGCTCACGGACACGTATTACAACTTGATATTGCCCAATTGGGAGAGGCGACTAGGGTCTACTAATCTTAGGCTGTTAAAAGTAAGCTGGGCCCTTGGCAATTACTTACTTACAAGTACCTTATATTATTATTACAATAGATATTCTCGCTAAAACACCTATAATTATAAAAATTAAGATAATATTATAGCTTAAAACGAGACAGAGCGCTATAGTGCTAAATCATTGAGACAAGTAAAGAACATGATACGGAAGCGCTCAGGCTAGGCGGCCGAGCGGCCAAGTTCGTCATCTAGTCGGGTTAGAATCAACTACAGAAGGTTGAGACTTGCGTAGTTAGTGAGACTGGGCAAATAACACAGGTATTATCATGAAAATTAGCTGCGTTGCATGAAGGGTTTAACTGGTGGGCACCCCGTTACTCATGACAGCTGACGGGTACCGGCGTGCTTACGAACGGGTAGGCACATATCAGGCAGCTGGCGGGACGGAGTATGGTACGAAGTACTACATCTACCCCTGTCATTCGCATCCAGCATAGCAGCAATGCAAACCTAGAATGTTTTGACCTAGTTTCTTGCCACTTTTGCTAAACCGCCTGAATAATTTGTCGTCAATTAGGAGGATTTCTGGAGCACAGGACGGTTTTATAGAGATCGTGCACTGGAGTTTCCTCAATTTAGCATTAGTTTGGCCCCGTACCCTTGCCTGCATGATTGACCGCTAGACAAGAGTACCGAGGAATAACCCCTGCAAAACCCCTGTTGGATCGCATCTACCGSKGTCTCTTATACACATCTAGATGTGTATAAGAGACAGGATCAGCCCTATCTGCTCGGTATCGCTTCCGACTGCACCCCTGCTCGTGAGTCTATTGGCGTGCTTTGTCTATACCTGCTGTTCAAAGAACTCCATCTTCCCTATCCTGAGATCTCATCTTTACAATCACGCTATACTGCTGCCGTATATCGTGTCGAACCGCGCTGGTTATCAGTGTCGTGACCACCCGAATTCAACGGAGATCTATGCTACCATGGACGATTCCACAATTATCAGTAGCGTCCGTGTCACACTTCTGACAATCTTGCTTGCATTCTGGATCTATGTTTACGCACAAAGTCGACAGAAAGACGAGGTATGTTCCATGGTTGATATCCGGCTGTATCGTGGCCACTGACGTTCGACCAGTCTAACAAGGTATTCGGTGAAGAAAATGGTTGCCAGCCAATACAAAAGAGACTCCTGTTTAAATGGCCACTTGCCTTGACGTCTTCAAACGGCAATACGATGTTTTAGTTTCTGGCCATTTGTTGGCGTTTCAATCCGAATACTTCGATAAAACTAGTATGGGCAAAACCTTTCAGGTCAAGTTGCTGGGCAAGGTTGGCTATTTTACAACAGATCCAAGAAATCTTGAGGCTATTCTCTTGACCCGATTTGAAGGTGAGGACCCTCTTGGTACTCAGTGGGTTACAGTCATGGAAGAACTAATACTTTCTTCCTGTGGATTTAGATTTTGAACTTGGGTCTCGACGCCAGGGTCTCTTTCCGATGATTGGGGAGGGCATTTTCACTCAGGATGGACACCCTTGGAAACACTCCCGAGAGATACTGCGTCGCCAGTTCGTACGCATTCAGTACCAAGACCTCAAAGTGTTTGAAAGCCCCATCAATGATTTACTAGACGGTCTCATGTCCTCTAGTGGCATCGTAGACTTGCAACCCTTTTTCTTCCGCTTTACACTCGCCACCACCACGTCGCTCATCTTTGGTGAGCCATTCGCAGGCCTAGATTCTACCGACCATGAGATTTTTAGCAAGAATTTCGACTACTGCTCTCTTACTTCTGCAATGCGCTTGCGGCTCGCGGACTGGTGCTGGATCTATAGCCCTTGGAAGTTCAAGAAATCATGCCAGATGGTCAAGAGATACGCCACTCATTATGTCAACCATGCGCCCAAAGACAAAGACGAGAATGGAGAGGAGGCCGCGTCTGAACGCCATCCATTCATTCTCGACCTCTATAAAGAGCTTCAAGACCCGGTAGTAGTACAGTGATCAACTCATGAACGTTTTGGTAGCTGGGAGAGATACTACCGCTTGCCTGATGTCCTGGTCCTTGTAAGTGTCTAACCTCTTTGACTGATTCTCGATAGTTATTAGTTGAGTCTGGGCAGTGTTAACTTTAACACCATAGCTACCTTCTAGTTCGCCACCCTGTAGCACTTGAGCGATTGCGTCAAGAGATACGGTCTGTAGCAACAAACGGGACTGTTTTGACGAGGGCTCAAATAAACAAAATGCCATATCTCAAATATGTTCTGAACGAGAGTTGGCCTACCCATCTTCAACATAGTCTCAATGAAGGCTAATAAATGTCTCTGCAGCCAACAGGTTATACACACAGATCCCAGTCAATGTCCGTGTGGCTTCAAAGACCACGTTCATCCCAAGAGGTGGTGGTCCAGATGGTCTCTCCCCACTCCTCCTCACAAAAGGCACAGGTATTGGATTCTCTCCCTACCACATGCATCGACATAAGGATCTTTACGGCGATGATGCTAATGAGTTTCGACCGGAAAGATGGGAGGGGCCGGAGCTGAAGAGCATCGGATGGGGCTTTATGCCATTCCACGGCGGTCCGAGAATCTGCCTTGGGAGTACGTATCTCCTTCTGTCACTTTGATTTTAATGCTGAATATTATTTCTAAAGAGGACTTTGCTCTTACGGAAGCATCTTATGGAATCGTCCGCATTCTTCAGTGTTTCCCGTGTCTTCACTTGCCACCAGGACATTCAACCGAACCGTCGGGCCTGGTAAAACAGGATCTTACACTTGTAGTTTCGAGCGCAGAAGGTTGCAAAGTTATGCTTAGTTAGATAATGTGCTTGCGAAAGCTCGATTGATTTAAGCCAACATACCGGACTCATGAAGAGCACTGGCTATGTCGTGACAAGTTCCCAATCATCAAACCACCTCCTCCCTTCTTTTGTCTTACCAGCTTCTCCTATCTCACTTTTTATAAATTTAACCTTCGCTCTCACGCTCTCGCATTCTTCAGTTAGTACCGAGCCTTTTAATGTCACAACAAAAGAAATTCCATGAAGCACGGTTGACGACACAAGTACAGGTTTCAGTGGTGGACAGGAGCGAATACTACGAGCGAGTCTTTAATGTCTGCAATCTGACTCAAAAGATACCCACTTTTGCCGCTTTTCGGCTGCTAGTTATAGCCCATATTACCTGTTGTAATATCAGATAATTTGTTGATTCGAGTCCCCATGAAATCTCTCGGATGACTTGACAACTCTAACGACCATGGGGGCAGAGCTAGGCAGATTGTCCAATGTGTCATATACTTTACTGTTTATGAGGAACCAAATCTATAGGATGGACTACAAATATGCATCCAGCCAAGCTACTGAATGATCAGTATGTTGCTAACTCCCGAGAATTGGGCTTTTAGCAAGATTTTATCTCAGTAAAACCTCAGAAAACGGTAACTACGGGATCTCATAGATGGTGGTACCCCCTTTGAGCTTTTTACATAAACTATAATCCCGTTGTTTGCCGCATTCTTAACATATGATCAACAACCTTCAAAGTAGTATTCCCATTTCTTCTTCTGCTTCTAAAGATTGGTGAAAGTTGCGAAGCTGTAGCTTTACTTTTCTTTGTCTAGTTCATGGATGGCCTGGAGTGCAGTTTGTCCAATCCATAGGCGGCCCCCAACAATTAAGCCCACAGAGCACCTCACGCCGGGCATATTTATGTCTAGTAGGATTTCGCTGAGGGTATGTTTCATTTCTATATTGCGAATTGTCATATCAAGTTGTATTTTTGAGCTATCGAGTAGATTGGGTACTTTAGTGATTTCCAGGGCTTTGTATTAAACCTCGATTCTAAGACCAACTAGATCGAAGACGATCGTCATGGCCTCACTGTTATTGGGCATTATAGCAAAGTAGTCTATAAAGCTAATGGGATTTGTAAGAACACGACTCTTAGCACAATTCGACCCGAGGTAGAAGTTACAAGCGCCTGGTGGGAGTTGATAGTGTTTCGTAGGTTCAAAACTCTTCGGTCTTAACATTTCGAACGTTGTACAAATAGAACATGACTAGAAAGGACATAAACGGGGTTCTTCAACGATATCTCTGTGGGCCACTTACACTATTAATAGCAACAAAGGAGCTTATAATAGAGTATCCAGCAGGCACAGAATCTCTAATATCATTGCATAAGAGCATGGTGAAGCATGGCTATCTATACACTTCTTTATACCTCGACGACGAGGAGAAGGGGCACCATGACGCCAGGCCCCATAGGGAGAGAGAGGACCCAGAACATGCCAACATGCCGTGGGGTAGAGAGTAGTAGACCGAGGGGAAGTGGGCAGTAGTCTTGGTACCTCGACGACGACGAGAAGGGGCAGGAGTCGTCCTTAGAAAGAAGTTAGCAGGCCCAGCAGGCTGGGACAGTATACAACGACGTCTAGCCCCGTGGTGGAGAGAGAGGACCCCGCACATGGCAACATGTTGTAGGGTAGAGTAGGGTAGACAGCGGGGAAGTAGGGCAATAATCTTGGCTGTCTAGAGTCCAGACAGACTATAGCAGACTGGGACATGTTGCTCCAGGTTAACTTTCATAAGCCATCAAAATATCGCGTAGTAGCGACGCAACGGCCGCGTTAAAGCGGTGCGAAATAAACATTGAGTCTATAGAGTCGTGTTAGACTTTGAGAGTCATATTAGTGAAATGTCAGGATTTCCCACTACTAAGAGCGGGGTACGACATATTGATCTCGGTGAATTAAACTGAAGTGGAGATGAGCTCAACGTTTCGGCGAGGAATCCACCGAAAGGCGATGTTAAGCTCTCCTATCCGTCCCTCCTATCTATTATTAATTGATTGATTGATTTATTATGTAAGATTCTTGCAACTAAGGCTATAAGGTGACTAAATTATTCTAGTTTTCTGCGTTGTTCCAGTTCAGACCATAGCAGGTTGCCCAAAATATAGCTACTTAGGGAAACCCCCCTAAACCTCTTCTCCATCCACCCTCTCTCCCTCCGCGCTCTTGTAACGGTCGTCAAATGGACGATAGAAGTTCTTCTCTGACGTTAGGTTAGTAGGGTAAGCAGGGACTGGAAGTAAGTAATAGAGGTAACACGTTACAACAATGTGAATTAGCAAGTTCAGGTTACTGTATTGAGTTGAGCACGAAGCTCCTATCTACTAATGAAAACTAACTGCTTATATAGAACCTTCGTGACATTAGACCTCTACTACCCGTAGCAGTCCATCGCCTATTTGTAGTCCAATGGCTTCTCTGTGCAGCACAAGACTGCCGAGCCTCGGGGCCATTAGCTGTGTGAACCGCAACAGCTCTCCCTCTCCACACTCTCCCTATCCACCATCCCTTTCCACACTCTCCTCCTCATGTAGCAGTCCTAGTTCTTTGACATCAGCTACTTGAGATTCGTAGACATTAAAGACAATAGACGCTCTTCTATTACTATAGAAGCTGCAAAAGCTGTAGATCCCCTAGACACAAAAGTGCATATTATAAAAACAGACAAAAAACATACAATAGTAGGTATTCGCTAGCAGTCACCCACCTAACTACTAGACAGTAACAACCGGCTTAGTAAGTGAGCATCGCCGCTCTTATGACATAGATACGTTCAATTATATAATAATAATTTTATATTATCTTTATTATTTAATTAATTTTTATATTTTAATTATTAAAAAAATAAAAGTATAAGTTTTATAACTACTACTTAAAGCTTTAGTATTTTCCTTACTAGAGGTAGCTCTTGTCTATTGTAGTTAGGGGGCGACTATACTTAGGAAAGGACAGATATAGCGGGGTGGAACTGTAGGTGTCACGTAAGCGTGCGACAGGAGGGAATAGGGGTATAAAAGGGGCTTCGGTAAATATATATATTCTAATTCTCTCTTTAGGTAGCTACAACTCTAAAAACCTTGATTCGCGGTCAAGTACTTCTACCCCTTTACACTATATATAAAGTATTTTAAAGGTAAAAGAAGAGAATTCTAAGCTAAAAAGCCTTGTATTTTATCTAATAGGCCGAATAGGCCGAATGTGGCAAATATTAAACAGTGGTAATTAATCCCTAAATACCTGAAATTATCCTTTTACAGCTGAATCACGAGCGTGTTCCTGATCTAAGAGCTGAATACTCGACATCTTGGAATTCTGAAAGATAGCCCACCTCCGTCTCGAATCGTTGGTGTCGCTCGCTCCTGTGGCGTCCATGGCCGGCTTGTGTAGGATGTGCTTAAGGAGTGCCTTGAGAGGGGGGAGAGAGGCGCACACGATACCGATATTGATTTCTGCGCATTGGAAACACCAGAAGTAGTATCCAGCCCCTTGGGAGTGGTTAGTGAGGAGGTAAACAGGGGGATAGGGACATACAAGGCGAGTCGGAAGACTGCTGACAGATCATTAAGAAGTGGATGCGGATGGCGCCGAGAATGCAGGCACTGCGCGGTATCAGCGTTGGGGTTATAGTCTCTGGTGTAAGGGTAGTACTTACACAAAGCCAATCGCGAAGACACCTAAAAGTTCAAATCGTTGGCGTTGTATAATCTGCAGTTTCCAGACTATAGGCATTGGCAGGAAAAAGACGAAGAAGTCAAACACGCTGTTGAGGATACCATGGAGAAGGAGCCCAAGACTAGGGTCCAAACATTTTGTTTTCATTGTGAATGGATCCCAGTAAGCCTGGACAGGATTACATTGCTATTTGGGTAGTTAGTAGGCAAATTTTTATAGCTCTAAAAAAGGTGAGACATACGAAGATAGTAACAAAGGTGTAGGCGATGAAGAAGGACGTAATAACGCCGATAGCACAGAAGACGACAATCCGAAAGCCCCGAATGATACTATCCTCGGCTAATTGCAGGTAGAAAACGAGAATAGATATTTTAACAAGAGCGGCGCACGCGTTAAATATCACCTGCGTGAGCCAGCTGAGGAAGAGCAAGAGCGTGAAGTTCTGGAAGGGAATATCTTGGATATGTGAACCCCAGCCGTATTTAGTCCCGATACAAGCGATAATACTAAGACCCAAGCTTAGTGCCTGAAAGTGGAAGGCGACTTAGTAAGTGTTTCAGGTCCAATAGGTATAGAGAAGGGTGCTGTTCTTACCACCGCTACTCCCATTATATAGTCATCAATCCCGACTCGACGAAGAATAAAACATCGTGTATAAAGCTTCAATGAATAGACTATAATGGCTAAGGCGACTAAGATGACCTCGACCACGACAATGGCCTCCTGGTGCGAATCTTTAGATCCTGTCGCAGCTTTCGAGACAGCTCTTAGCACTTGAAGGCCCATGCTGATTCAGGTCAGATCTAGACCACGTCGCTAATAATCGCGTTTTCTTCGTAGGGAGGAAGATTTGTGGTAACGATCCAGGAGGGGGAGGTGAGAGTGATAGGAAATGGTACAGAGAGGTACAGCGATAGAAGAATCGCGGCATGGCCATCAGACATACTCTTATTTTCTCCGCATCTCCATACCCCTTATAGCGTCCGGACTGGACGCACGGACATACATTTAGTGCGAGTTGGGGGTGGTCTGTTGGAGCGATAATCAACGTCCCTTCCAAACCGATATCGTGGCGTACAGCCACGCGATCTTGAGTGAACCGCTCTTGCCGTGGGCTGCTGGCTCGCCTTCCAGCTCTTCGGTCGTTGGCTCCAATCTCTACTATACTATTGTACGCCCCGGCCTGCGAAGCACTGTACCACTTGTCTGTCCTAGCGAGGGGGCGCCGGAGGGCATAGCCGTTACGTGAAGGGAAAGCTACCAAGAACAAAGCAAAAGCTGACAAGCCTCAGATATAGTCTAATGGAAGTGGGATCCTCCGGGATTCTTGCGTCGAGGATCGACCAAAAAGGGGCGAAGGCTTGAAAGGCGGGCGGAACGGCACGATGGCCCCTGATTGGCAAGGCTAGGGGAAGCCTCTCGTTCAAGTACGAGGTACAGTACAGGTTAAGTTAGCGGGAAGCAGCCTGGTCTCAGAATCACGAAAAACAAACACGGGCACAACCCCGGACATGAATACCAGAAATAACTTCGGGACAGGCATATTCGCCCTTTCGCCTACGGACTAGTTCCAGAACCTGCGCGCACAAGGGATACTATCAGGTCCCAGATAAACAGACACAGATACAGAGGAAGGATATTCCAGACTCCCTTTTTTTTTGGTTAGTTATTTTCACGGACAGGGACGGTAGAGCACCTCTCAAAACGCCCGCCAAGGATTCCCTGTCCCGTGCCTTCAATGGTACATATACTGTACTATACAGTGCCTCGAGGTGTAGTACTTCAACAGGGAGCCGGAAGGAGAAAACGAGTATCTACTTCTCTCCTTCATACGGAGTACTGTATAAGTATAAGGAATCGTTACAAGAGACAAAGGCGGCTGAGACGTGAAAGGAGTTGTTGTTTAGGGACAGGTTGGCTCGGTACATGCGCTAATGCAGAGGTCCCCGCAAAATAATACGACGGTGCACAGACATAGAAGAGCCAGCTGGTAACAAAGACTCACATCTTGGAAATATTCTCAACGAGTAACAGGGGCCCAGCTGCCTCTAACTTAATTCGCTAGCCCTTAGTCTATTTTATATAGTAAAGTTTATATTTTATAATTATATAACTTTTTCGAAAGCTTTTAATTACTACGGGAAGTTTTAGTTTATGACACTCCTTCTTAATATCTTTAAATAAGAAAGCTAAGAGTTATATAGTAGTATTAATAGAGATAGACTACTCGCGTTCAACTTTAGTGTAACTTGTTGCTGTGCTGTTTATTACTAGGAAGGGGGCGTGCTAGATAGATCTCTTGACCATAGAAGAGGGCTCGTTAAGAAAGCCGCTTCTAGCTACAATCCCCCAAGACTGAGGGGAGTAGAGAGTCCATTCAGATCAAGAACCGAATGACCATGCCGCGGCTGCATCCTGAATGGTAGAGATGATAGGGAGGTAAGCTATAGGTTGGGACGCGCCGTTTCGTGGAAATATCAAGTTGGCATTGATGGCAATTTAGGGTCTCTGGTCTAGAGTTTTGGCGCGACGGCCAAGGAAGAATGAAAGCAAGATGTGGTAAGATTTCATGGTTTATCGCAAAAGCATCCGTGGGAGGCTTCTGGTAGCCTATACCATAGAGAGTGATGCTAGGAGACGGTGGTTTGGTTTTGTAGGTACGGTTTTCGAGATGAAAGAGGTGCACCCCTATGAGGAGCATTCGAATTTATCAGCTATGGGATTCTAACCTTCCTTGCAGGCGCGTCGTGGGGTAATGGATGGCTGGGCACTAACAAACAAAATGCGCGAACCTATATCACTTGTAAGGCTATGGCAGGCAGCTGTTGCTTAAAATACTTTGAGGACCAACAATGTCAAGATGAATAGTAATTGCTTCATATCTGCGGGCACTTTGAGACCAACAACGCCAAGATAAAACTTGCTGCAAATCCGAAGGCACTTGCCCATGAAGTATCACATTCAACCGGATAAAACAGAATGAAACACATCGTTGAAAACTATACTAGTAAGGCCGCGATCAGGGTCTCGTCTGGGGGAAAGCAATTTTGGTGGGAAGGATGTGAATGGAACATGAAGACTAGTTGACGCGTTGCTGTTAGAGTGTTTTAAAACCACTCTAGCGGCATCAGGCCACAAACAATCAGCCCCCATCCCCTGGTTTCCCGATATTTATCTATGTAGGTGGATAATCACTAAGGTATCTCATAGCGTCACTTTGAGATAGCGAAGTAGGTAGGTACTGTAGCTTACAGACTGCAGAGATTTTAGTGCCCGTCTTTTGCGTATACTATGTATGTGTGAAGCATGGCTATGTAGCCACGCCTCGTGATCAATAATTGGAAATATTTTAAAGCTTAAGCAGTCGAGGAACGAGTCTCGGGGAATATCTACCTCGCCTTGACCACCTATTGAATAATTCATATATTTCCATTGATACTATTATATATGAAGCATACCTGCGCACACCTGAGGTGCCAATATAATATGCTTGTTACTTCCTCTCATGCGCAGAAAATTGCCAGTACCGATGAGTGAACTTTCCCCCGCCCAAGTCTAGCCTAACCGTGGCCGGCCCGGCCCCTATTTTTCCCAATGTCCTATGTGCTATACCGTCAATCCAGAAACGCCGTATACACATCGGTAGATGCAAGAGGACTAAAAATGATATGCTTTGCACGCGGCCTCTAGTCCGCATTTCCACTGTCTTATCCACGTATCTCGTATGCGTTCATAGGAAGACCCCACTCGTATTTTGTCGCTCATGAGCTTGGCTCGAATCCTCTTAACTCCCCTCTTGCCATCTCAGGTAACATATTCGCGTGCCGATTTATGCGTCGGAGGGGCCCTCACACGTCGTTGGAATAGACTTGGTACGCCATGACCATCATCCAGATCAAGAAGACACAGCCGACCAGTTCAAATGACCAAGCAGCAGTCCAGCTCTGACCTACAATTTCTCCGGCATTAGCATGAAAATTGTGAAAACCGCACACCATCTTTGGCGTTTAAAAAAAAGGGGTAAATAACTCACAAATACTGTTCTGCTGCAGCCACGCGAGCGTCTCCATACTCGGGCCTTTCACACTATTCCCAGTGACATACAGCTGGCAGTTGCTATTCACGCTCCCTACAGGACCCCATAGCTGGATGCTATCGACGATAAGCCCCACCATCCATAAAACAAACAGGATGAAAGATCCCATTATCACAATTCCAGGGAGGAGTTGCCGTTGCGATATTAGCCAGAGCATGACGACGAGGAAGAAGAGCGAGATGCCTCCAACGGTAATCCAGTATGGGAAATACCTACCATTGTCAAGCATGTCAGTAAGGGTAGTCGTCCTAAATACACCGTCCCCAACGGATAACAAAATCGGCGGTGATAGCAAGAGACGATTGAAACACCAAAAACTCACCATGGAACGCCAACTTGCAGCTGCTGCTGTACGGTGATAAAATTCGCAAAGACTCCTACGATCGTGGAGCTCCCCACGAGCATTATCAGAATCCAAAAATTGAGTTGGACGGGCGGCCAGCGATATTTCGTCCGTACTCGCTGCACGATTTCGGTTATTGTACTCGCCGTTGAAGCCATTTTGAACGATCGGGAAGTTGTTCGGCTTGTTTGTTGTAATTTGCAGGGCTGAGGAAAGCAACTATCGTAAAGCTCGTGTTCTATTCCTTAGGTGGTAATGTCGCCGCCGATTCTCTCTCACTTGCCCAGTCGGGGATGATATCGAGTTCAAGCTTCTGCAGCACTTCGTTCTCCCACCGTATGCCAATGGTACATGTATTGTTCCTGCTGTCGTTCCTGTCCACTATTGCTGCCCAAGCCACCGACTCCGGTCCTCCTATTGAACTGTTGCAGCGCCTGATGCGATCCCACGTCGATGGAGAAGTGCCGCGTGCAGGGCGATGTGCTGGAATCACAGCTGTTCTTGACCGTTCTGTACCAAGAAACGTCTTCGGGTGCGCATGCGTTCGCTGGCACGATGGCGGAGCTTGGCTTGCTTCGCTGTCCTGTGTCCAGGGCCTCGTACTGTTAAATATCGCGACTCGATGACGATTGGTCTTGCTGGCGGTTGGTCGACTGCGTGCCGAACCGGTTGGCGCGGTTTGTTTCTCGGGCGGGATTGAGCGATTGGAAGGGTATTTCAGAGCGAGTGCAGTGAGCGTATGAGAATGAGAATGAGAAACAACGGTAGGGAGAGACACAATGCGATTGTAATAGAGAGGGGGGGAGAATGCGACAATGCGACGATGATGAGGTTGTGATCAAAACATGGTGGGTGCGCACTGTACTCGGTACCTTGTGTGTTCAGGTGGTGACGACAAGGCGTTACATTACAGTACGGATGGCTGGGAGCTGCCGGAAAAGCAGGTGGCAGGACAACCAGAACCCGGAACAACAAGCATGTCCACCACCCACTGCTTGGCCTACGTAGTGCGAGCATACACGCACGGGTAAGAAGTCAAGTACTTCATACAAAGTAATAATAGAAAGAAGACCCCAGAAAAGTGGTACGACCTACTTTCAATGTTTCCCTTACGGAAGTATGGCAGTCCGCATATGTGCGCACAGTTAAAGGCGATAAGCGGCTTCATTCAAGCGTGGCATTGGCAGCTTGTATTGACCGTACCTCGTACAAAGTACTCTATGTGCCTCTTATTGAAGAATCGTGAGTACTCGAGCAGTGCCTAACATATATCCCTTGCTGAGAAGCACCGCGATGTGATATCCGTCAATTCACCAGGTTGAAAACCCCCCACCATGCTTATTACAGAATCATCCCCTTATCCAATCCTAATCCTTCGGACCATTTAGAGCAACGATTCTCCCAGGCCGCATCTGACCAGGGAGCAACCAGCCCTGACCGTCTCATGTGCGCCAATGTCGTTGAGTCCCGAGTCCAGCGTAGGATTGACTTCCACCAAATCCATCGCAATCAGGCAGCCGGTCTCATGGACACATTCTGCAATAAAATCTCCCTCTCGTAGCGTAAGGCCGCCCCGCACCGGGGTTCCTGTGCTTGGAGCCCACATGGGATCAAGTGCGTCGACGTCGAAAGACAGGTGGATAGGCGTGTCCGTCCCGATGTGTGCCAATGCCATATCCATGACCTTTCCGATACCGTGTCTGCATGCTTCAGTAACAAAATCCCAGTGGGGGAAGGCGCATGACATGGAGAACTCACCGATCAATGTCGTGCATGCTAAATGCCTTGATGCCATGGTCCCTCAGAGTCTTCTTCTCGGGGCGATCCACGTCCCTTAATCCAATGTACACAAGCTTCTTCAGACTAATCATGTGCTCCTCCTTGAGCCAGCCAAATATATCCTCTCGGCTCTCCTTGGCAAGGCCGCTCAGGAACGACACGGGCATGCCATGGATATTCCCACTGTCGCTCGCCTCCGGGGTATTGATATCCGTGTGTGCATCTACCCAGATCACTGCTATCTCCCGACCCAGCCGCTCTCGAATCGCTTTGGCGGTCCCCGAGATCGTGCCAATGGCAATGGAGTGGTCGCCTCCCAGAGTCAAGACGCAGCGTCCCTCCTTGGCTTGCGAGTAGACCTGCTCCGAGATCTTGCGGGTGACGGCGGAAACGGCGAGAGGGTTCTTCATGCCGCGATAATCTGGGTCCGAGGCGGGTATAAGCTCTTTGTATGAGTGCACCGTGTCGTCATGGAAGAGCTTGTAGTCTAGTTCATCTCGCAATTGCTTAAGGAGGCCATTCTTGATCAGAGCGGACGGCGCTGCATCAACTCCCGGCTTGCACTGAAGAGGGCCCGTTAGCTTGGTTTGGTGATGGAGGGGGCCATCGTATCGATGTAACTCGACTTACTTGTCCGCCAGAGAAGCCGACGGCGACGACGCCCAGCTGGTCGCCGTGGGTAAGGAATTTTGGTTGAACCATTGATGGGCTTGTCATGGTGAAAAGAGGAAGAATCCCGAGGGGATTGCACAACACGGTTTTGGTGAGTCTTTATCCTCCGTCTGGATCCGGATTCCTGCTGTTTCCTTGTTCTGTGGCGGCGTCGAGTTACACTGCCAGTGATAGCGACGAAGGCGGGGCGGCGGTAGGGCGGCTGGGCTATGGGTAAAACGAGGGGTATTATATTTCGTACGTAGTACTTGGGGTGTGGGTAGTATGGAGTGTGGAGTACGGGGTCTGGGATCACAAATGAGGCTGTTGATGATATCACGATGGGTTTTCAACTTCTTCCACCGGCGGAACCTGGGGGTTTTATGCTCTTGAGGATGCTGGCTCTCATCGGCATTGTGCTGCGGCGGTGTGTCTGTCGACTCGTAAAGGGCTGGAGTTCCGGTCTCTTAGGTAAAAGGGCCATTCTCGTCGCCGTTAAAGTTGAATCTACGCGATGCGCCAGGAATTCCCTTCACTGGCGCGATCCCTAAAAGCAGGAACACCCGCGGTGGAGTCGTGCGTTGCAGGTCGCCCCCGTCGACAACCGCGGCCAAGCTCTGACGGGCTCTTACAGGCTCGTACAGGCTCTTATCGGGTCTGATGGGCTCTGGCACGCTCTGGCAACCAATTATCAAGAGGTCTGGAGGGGCCCGGTGGCGATGGCTTGAAGTATCTGGAAGGTCGCAAGAGTTGGAACTTGGATCACGAGGCCTACACATGTACTCTGCCTACCTTACCTTCGGTGCCTCCTATACAGCGGTGAGCGAGGAAATCCTTGCAGGTATGTGGGGAGCTGGAATGGATTTTCAACATTGTGCTTGGTGCAGAGTAGAGCAGTGGGAGCAGCTAATAATAAGGTATGAAGGTAGAATAATAATACTTCGCAAGGTACGTACTCGTAGTACAGCGAACACTGAACTCGGGGCTATATTCGGCCACTATCAAGTATTACGTTGTGGATACAGGTACCGCCCCTGCACGACCTGCGCTCTAAAGCATCAAGCATTTTGATGTGTGGATACTCGGCCCCTTTGCGTCTTCAACTATACTATAAAACTTATTGTCACATCTAGTTCCTAAAGGTATATCTCCGTAGCGTATAACGGTCGCAAGGACTATGAAAGCACTGGCTGTATTGGCTTCGAACTCACCCGGAGCACATGCCACAAGCCCCGACCAAGATCGCATATTTAGCAGCACCAGCACTGTCACAATTTCAAGACCACTATTACGAAGGATGTTTGTTCCACGAAACACTCTATCGTGACACCAGTACCTTATTGTATATTTTTTTGCAGACTTCAGTCTTTCTTTCTAGTTTTTAAACAATAGTATATAGATTAAAAGAATATGCGCTTCATATATCGCCGGTGTTCGCATGTTCTGTTGAATTAATAGCCTAGTATACCATCTATACATCATCCTTGTGACCGAGATACTTTAAATAATACACCGTGATATAATACAGAGGAGATGCTCCTAACAAGGCTGGATCAGATACCCTCAGCATCACTGCCAATTTGATGTAGATCCCCATCACCACCATCACCACCATCACCACTGTCACCACTGTACGCCCCGAGCCGGCTTAATAGCTCAAATCTCGTAGGGCGCCACGGCCACCTAAACCATGCCTCCAGTATTTCTTTAAACATTCCAGAATTCATGCACCGTACTGGGAACATATCCAAATCCTGATCTCCGCCTCTGGTGGGATCCGTCAATGAGGGGCATTCTTGGAGGATCCATTCGTATGCACCGGGCCACAAAGACTTTAGGCCATCCCGGATGGATTGATTAGGGAACATATGCATGGTAGCAATGATGTACTCAAAAACATCATGATTCGCAGGGTAATTCTCACGCAGGACAGGCCAGATGCCTTGAGGCTGGAAATCAAGTAAGGCCAATTCGTGACGAGGAAAGAATTCCCCTGGGTAAACTCTCAGTGGCTCAAACTCCCTTCGGTCATAGAGAAGCGCCGGGGGGTCTTGCATAACGAAGCGCTGATTATCTATCGAGCTAAGAGCCAACTGCCTAGTCTGGTCTCCGGGGATAGCCGCGAGAGTATCCTTGAGCTGTTTCGTAAGCTGTTCGAGCTCTTTGCGCAGAAGTTCGACGTCTGAACTTTCGCCCCGGTGGATTTGGCATTGCAAGTCAATGATCTCGGCGTGTTTCGCGACCAACGATGCGACAATGTCGGTTCTCCTTCCATCTACCACCCTCCTATAGCGCAAGCCCCGCAGGCGAAGGAATTCAGGTGTCAACTCCCGAGAAGATGTAGAACGGTCGGTATTGGTCGTGTTGAGACCATCGGAAAATTTCGAAAGCTGGCCCGTAGCAAATTGCTTCTCGAGGTCTTCTAGCTCCTTCCAATACCTCCGCCCCTTTTTGTTGCTATTCAGCGATCCAGCTAATTCTCCTTCCTCGTGTGCCTGTTTCAACAGATATTCTTGTGGGACGCTTAGCCGGTTAGATGGCGTCGTGATACCAGACTCCTCCATCCGTTTCATGGCGAGACGGGCCTGTTCCGCCTCTATATCATCGCCCCGACAGAAATATCCCGTTTGGCGGGTAGAAGATGCAATTTCAAAGATCTTCCCACATGAGATTTCGGCTTCTATAGCAGCTTTCTTCCGGATAGCGGCATGCCTTGGAAGGGAGATAAGTCTTTCTTCGTCCGTGACCCAGATCAGCATTCGCACCAGGCCGTATTTTTGGAAGAGCGAATGAGCTCGCACAGCTGCCATTAACTGATGGAGGACGAGCATGGTGAGAGAGGAAAATCCTCGAAAGGACTTTTTGGGGTGATAGGACAAGTTTGCAACAACCAGTAGTGTGTCATTTGGTTTATCTAAACGCGGGTCATCCTTTGTGAGGGGCTCTTGGAAAGGAAGATGCTCTTTCGATAGCACCTTTTCCAGATGAGACCATACTATTCCAGACTTTTCGTATAGCACGTATTTTGAGGCTTTGTCATCAAGTAAAGGTTGAAGGAAAGGCTCATAGAGCTTATAGTCTGGTTCCATAAGAATGTGCGTTCGCGGTTTTAGAAAGTCGTGTAATTTAGACGAAAAAACTCCAGCACCGGGATTTATGTCTAAGATATCGCAGCCAGCGTGTTTCGCAAGCGACGGTCTCATGCGTTCTAATATGTCATCTGCAATGATTAGAAAAAGGGTCGACAGTTATGGCATCAACTTACCGCAAAGTCCTTCACCCACAACATGGACCCTTCTAGTATCTCCTAATGGATTCCTCCGCCTGCCTCTACCATACCTTGTACGGAGAACATCTGCGACTGGTAAGTCGGCTATTGCATCGTCTGGCTTTGTCGAGACGTTTCCGGGGTCGGGCGCCGAGTTCTTTGCTTTCTTTACAGTACGTTGAGACTTAGAGGAGCCCGACGCATCCTTCTTGGATTTGGCTTTGCGGGCGGGTTTTGTCACTAACTTCACTGGGTCCGGATCACCTTCGTCCTTTTGCGAAGATGTGGCTTGGGGATCCTTTATTTTCGGGGCCCGTGGTTTCTTTCGGGCGGTCGTTCTCTTGGATTTCGCCTTAGTTAATGTATCCGATGCCGGGGTGTTCTGTCCAGCAGAAGTATCATCACCTGTAGCCTCCGTGACTGAGGCTGGCGTGGGAGGTTTGGCCGAACGTAGGGGGGCATTTTGGTGGATACATCGAAGACATTGGCGCTGTATGTTTGGGGAGCGCCTAGATCTCCACAGTAATGATCGATTCGTCTTGGAAATGAGGCGCAACATCAACGTCAATGAACTCAGAACAGAAGAAAGGCGAACTTGATGCGAATCGGGATCGGGATTGGGCGAAGGAGTGTAAGGTCGAGGTCGAGGCTGAGAAAGCGACGAGAGGCTGTGGACAACACCAGAAGAAATTCCATGATTCTGCCGCTGTCGACCGCTCACCGCGACCTGAAGTACGTACTCTCAAGAACCCGCGCCCTTTGGGTCTGGGTGATGCGCAACGCTCTATACCCGCCACAGGCCACATACCGTCCAGTCATCATATCTATCTTGATAGAGTACCGGCCATATGCTATACATATAAATGCTACTAGAAAAGCATACTCTCCTCCCCCCGCTTCAGTACCGGTGATCCCCAACAGCTATGGCGGGGTCGACTCTACAGATGTCGGAGCCTATGAGCGTCAAAGAGATCTCAACGATGGCACAGGACTTCCTTTTCAATCCTTCTATTCCGTTGAAACACTGGTTACGCACTGCAGATGCTCTGCGGCGCGAGGTTCGTTGCTTCTACCGCTATCAACCGACAATTGCAATAGGAACGGCGCCTTGAGGAAGTTGGAATGCTAATGTCTCCATAGGCACTTATCTACGAGCAAGAAGAGAACGACCAACAAGCCTACCTTTTACTGATGCGTTACGCTGCACTCGTGACCGAGACGCTCCCACTGCATCCCTCAGCCGGGGAACCTCAGTATCGACAGGCACTGAAGGCTGCCCGGAAGTCCTTACCCGATGTAATAAATCGGCTGGAAGCACTCAAGCCAAGGATCAACTCGCGATATGGCGCATGGCAGAAGGCTTTGGGCTCAAGAAGAGAGCCCCCTATCGGCCTAGAACAGGGTAGACCGAAGCGGCGCTCACAGCTCGATTATGAGGCTTCGGATCCTGCCATTGCTGGCAGGTTAACAACCTTAGCCGCAGGGGAAAACAGCGACCTGGCCGTCAAGTTGGCACACAAGGAGATAGAAAGGAGAACCGCCGTTCGGAAGGCTACGCGGCAGGCTGGGTTGTCGGGGGAAGCGGAGCAGCAAAGGCGGACAGCTGGGCTTTGGGACGACTGGGAAGCTTCTTTGACGAATAATGGTCAAATAACAGCCAGGGACGAGGATGACATACGTCAAAATATGGAAGCTACACGACATAGAATGGAGGGATCTCATGACAACGTCGTAGATGTAGCTAGACCACGGCCGATGGACCGTCTACCACGCCCCGCAAGACCCGACCAAACAAGGAACGGCCGTAGTGAATTCCGATATCCTTCGATCCCCAAATCACTACCGCTAAAATATGAAGAGGGCGAGAGAGAGCTAGAATCTCGATCTATATCACCAAGGGTGACCTACCTTCCGCCAAAACCTCCCAAAGAAAAGTTAGGTGAATTGGCTCCTGCTCCGGTACCACCACGTCGACCAGAAAATGCAACTGAAATACGAGACGACTCTGGGATACCCGGTTTAAAAGCCCCCTCTTCATTCACTTTCAGACCCTCCGCCTACCTCGAGAATGGCAACCCTCTCCGAACAGTGTTCCTCCCACCTGGCCTTCGAGAACAGTTTCTCTCCGTCGCTGCCCTAAACACCCAAAAGAACCTTGAAACCTGCGGCATGTTATGCGGTACATTAATCTCAAATGCGCTATTCATCTCGAAACTGGTCATTCCGGAACAAGAAAGCACCAGTGACACCTGCGAAACCATCAACGAGGGAGCTTTTTTCGACTACTGCGCGGCAGAAGATCTCATGGTCTTAGGCTGGATCCACACCCATCCGACTCAAACGTGTTTCATGAGTAGTCGTGATCTCCACACGCATTGTGGATACCAGATCATGATGCCAGAGAGCATCGCAATTGTTTGTGCGCCGACCAAGAACCCTTCGTAAGTGAATAGCCAGTCCACCTCATAGCCAAGCAATACTGAGATGCAATAGATGGGGAGTCTTTCGCTTGACTGACCCGCCTGGGATGAAGTCTGTACTCAATTGCCGTAAGACAGGCTTGTTTCACCCTCATGACGAAGATAATATTTATACTGATGCCTTGAGACCTGGCCATGTGTTTGAAGCTGAAGGGCTGAAGTTTGACGTGGTGGATTTGCGGCCATAGCGGCTTGTGTACGATGCTAATGAGACCATGCGGTTTGCTTTGGAGCACAGCGTTGGCGTTCGGCTTGCTTAATTTACCCGCTGCATAGACAGCCCCCTACATGAATGTGATGCTACTACAGGTAGAATATAGGCGCTATCACAAATGGAATCAAACTTGTTGCTTATTTTCATCTACACTGACGCGGCCTGTCGCTTTACGTGAGGTTGCGAGGGGTATTATTATCGTAGGGCGAGGCTGACTTCGCTCTGCGTGCTAATTAAACAACAGGTTTTGTAGTTGGAATAATGCATATTAATATTTGGGAAAATGCGCCGGAAGGAATCTTCTGTCCAAATTGGTACCTTGACTCCATTCCAGTGGCTACCTGGTACGGACTCCAAAAGGTAAGGTACCTAGTTACTGGGCTAGGTGTGGCATTATAACATGTCACGTGGACCTATGGCCAGCCTGCAGCTGCCAATCGCGACGCGAAATCTTTCTCGCTTGAAATTCGTAGACAGCAGCAACCGTACACAACTAAGCTTCTACAACATCACAACAAGCTGCAAAATCGATACTTCTATTGCGTTATTTTTGAGAAGTTGATTCAATATCCAGAGACCGAACCCTCCGGCGAAAATGTCTTTCGGTGGCCAGACCCCGACTATTATTGTGCTGAAAGAAGGTCAGTCGGGCTGCCAGAAGCTCCAACATCCACAACGCTGATATCGGGTGGTATATAGGCACGGATTCATCGCAAGGGAAAGGGCAAATCATAACGAATATCAATGCTTGTTTAGCTGTTCAAGCGACCATAAGAAGTACCCTTGGCCCATATGGTGGTGATCTGCTGTTGGTGGACGAAAATGGCAGACAGACAATCACGAATGATGGCGCGACTGTTATGAAGGTACCTGGAGGCAGAACCGAATGCCGGAGCTTGACGGCTAATGAAATATAGCTTCTCGATATCGTACACCCCGCTGCCCGGATCCTGACGGATATCGCGAGATCACAAGATGCGGAAGTCGGAGATGGCACAACATCGGTAGTTGTTCTTGCAGGCGAGATCTTGAAGGAGGTCAAAGAGCATGTAGAGCAAGGTGTCAGCTCGCAGACTATCATCAAGGGCTTGAGGAGAGCGTCGAATATGGCTGTTAATAAGGTGAAGGAGATTGCTGTTAATACGAGCGAGGGCAATAAGCGGGAGACTTTGGGCAAGTTGGCCGGAACGGCGATGAGCAGCAAGTTGATCAAGAGAAATACCGGTTTCTTCACAAAGAGTGCGTTTCTAGCCTGCTATTAAGAGAAAGCTTTGCTAATCAAGCGGTAGTGGTTGTTGATGCCGTTCTTTCTCTCGACCAGGAGGATCTGAACGAAAAGCTTATTGGCATGAAGAAGATCCCTGGTGGCTCCCTAACAGACTCCCTCTTCGTCAACGGCGTAGCTTTCAAGAAGACATTCTCATACGCCGGCTTTGAACAACAGCCCAAGTCCTTCAAGAACCCCAAGATCGTCTGCCTCAATGTCGAACTAGAGCTGAAATCCGAGAAAGACAACGCCGAAGTACGAGTCGAGCAAGTTTCCGAATACCAAGCTATTGTTGATGCAGAATGGCAAATTATTTACGACAAGATGGAAGCCCTCTACCAAACCGGGGCAAAGGTCGTCCTTTCCAAGCTCCCTATCGGCGACTTGGCAACACAATACTTCGCAGACCGAGATATCTTCTGCGCCGGGCGGGTGTCCTCAGACGACCTCGAACGTGTCATTCAAGCCACAGGAGGCTCGATACAATCTACCTGCTCCGACATTAGCCCAGAGCATCTAGGAACTTGTGGTTCGTTTGACGAGCGCCAAATCGGCGGCGAGCGCTTTAACTTCTTCGAAGACTGTCCGGCCGCCAAGACATGCACGCTTGTCCTGCGTGGCGGTGCCGAGCAATTCATTGCTGAGGTAGAGCGCTCCCTTCACGACGCAATTATGATCGTCAAGCGATCTATTAAAAATAACACTATTGTTGCCGGAGGCGGCGCATGTGAGATGGAAGTTTCGGCCTACCTCCACCGTTACGCCGATAAGAATGTCCCACACAAACAACAAGCAATCATCAAATCATTCGCCAAAGCCCTCGAAGTCATCCCCCGCCAGCTCTGTGACAATGCCGGCTTTGACGCTACCGACATCCTGAATAAACTGCGTGTGGAGCACCGCAAGGGCAATACTTGGGCAGGCGTGGACTTTATCAATGAGGGCGTGAGAGATAATCTGGAGGCGTTCGTGTGGGAACCAGCATTGGTTAAGATCAATGCAATTCAGGCGGCGACGGAGGCGAGTTGCTTGATCTTGAGTGTTGATGAGACGATTACGAATGAGGAGAGTGCGCAGCCGCAGGCACCGCAAAGAGGCCTGCCCCCTGGAGCAGCACAGAGGGCGCTGAGGGGGAGGGGGAGGGGTATGCCTAGACGGTAAAAAGAAGTGAAGTAGCAAGAAGTGGCTAGATCTCTGTTAAATCAATAACGATGGTTAAACGGAGTCAGACTCAGGGCATAGATTTGATGAAATGGTATGTATGATTACGTATACATAATACACTGGAGATGAATGGCATATATACCAGTTCCATTCAACGTTGGATTCTAGCTACTCTTGCTCGCGCAAACATAACTCTCTCCTCCCTTCCAGCCGTGTTATTAAAGACAGGACCATATCCATACTTCAAACCTAAACGTAGGTTACCGAACACAAATCTAGGATGGGGCCTAATCGGAGTAGGGAGGGAGGGAGGGAGTGCTGCCCGCCACCCGCTTGCTTTGGGTTTGTAATATTATCATTAGGCTATTATTAATTTTTTAAAGATAGCATCTTTTCAGTTATTCATCTCTCGATGGGGCTGTGACGATAAGCACCGCATAGCCTGCGTATTATACTGCCCTCTGGACATAACGTCCCCCATGGTCTGGCAAATTCGGAGAGCCGGGGTAGTGAGGTTAGCCAGGAGAGTATGAGTGAGGAGGTTAAGAGGGTGATTAACCACCAAGTCTTAGGGTTCGGTGGTATTTGGTACCGAATCATGACGACTAAGATGGCAAGTATATTTCAACCTACACAACAGCCAAACCTAAACACCTCCGACACCCCCAACACCAACACTCCTTAGAGCCTCCTCCGCGGCCCTCGCGGCAGCCTCTGCGTGTAACTGCACAACCGCCTCATCACCCGCAGCACCTCCCCTCTCGTGCGAATCAAATCGATGATCCCCTCCGACGTACCCTGACCCATCCGTATGACCTCCCGCCTCTCCCCCACCATCCCCTTCATCCTGATCAATAAGCATATCCAAATCTGTGTCTGGGTTCTCGTCTACGTCGATGGGGCCTTTGTGGTGATGGTTGACGGCGGAAACGGAAAGCATAGCCTGGAAGGAGTCATGATCTTGGTCTTGGTAATCGTGGTGATGTTGGACATGCTCGGGCTGGTGGTGGTGGGCGGAGGTGTCGTAACTCCCTAAGTGGTGGTGAACATCTTCCATTATTTGGGGGTCCATGATCTGGGGGTCTAGGGGCATGTAGGCGTCTGCCATGCGGGCTATAGGTGCGGGTGCGTGGTGAGGGTGTTGGAGAGGCGGATGTAACTGTATTTGGTGGGTATGGGAATGGGGATGAGACGTATGGGAGGATTGTGAGTTTTGAGGCAGTGTACGGTTTAGCACTTGGGGTGAGACGGAGCCTTGGCCTGCTTCGGCGGGGAAGCCTTTTTCATCTGAGGCTAGCTGATGTTGAAGCTGGTGTTGGTGCTGATGTTCTTGGTGTTGATGTTGTATATGGTGTTGATGTGGGTGTTGGTGTGGGTGTGAGCGACTTAACCCACTCTCTCCTAGAGTAACGCTCCCGTGACTTGATGAAGATGCGGATCGAAGGGCAGCCGGGGAAGGGCGGACACCATCGTTGGCGCGTACAACCGGAGCCTTCCCTAATTCTTTACACTGGGTGCAATTTCTGATCACAAGGCTGACGGTCTCTTTAATACGGACCCAATGGTATTTCTCTGCAATCGTAGCGGTCGTCTTGTTAATCCCGCCATGCTGCAAGATATGCACATTCCTCGCAATCTCATACTGACGCTGTGGATCCGAGATGACTTCCTTTGACTTCAGCATCAGCTTGTCGGTCCCGGGGAGGAGGTTGTAGTGTGTGGCGGCGCTCCTTAGTCTGCTTTTCTCTGCACGATCAGCACCCGCTGGATATTTGCCGTATTTGAGGTAGAATTTGATCTTGTCGAAGCGCTCTTCACTCACAAAGTCCTCGCCCTCAGGGCCCAAATCCCGGCCGTAAATGATGGCATCTATGAGCTGTCCTGGGTAGCTCTTCAGATCCCCTGCTCCTTTTACTCGGCCAATCCGCTTGAATCCCAAGGCATCCCAGATACGGCATGATGCCACGTTCGTTTCGTAGACTAAGTTGAATACGCTGTAGACGTATCCGAGTCGGGGTGCCCATTCGAGATAGCTCTCGCCCATAAGCCGACCTACACCTTTATTCCGCGCTGCGTCCGTCACAAGGAAGCCGGCGTTGCAGATATGGCTGCTTCGCCCGGGGTAATTGGGCTTAATATAAAAACTCCCAAGACACTCAGTAGCCCAATTCTTCCCTTCAACCACCTCGTCCACACCCCCGATGTCCCCTAGAAGCATAATGGCACCAAAGTTCTGGAACCAGTATGAGGCGAATTGCTCGGGTGCCATGGGGTTGAGCATTGGGTATGTATCCCCTGTCTCAATCTCCTTGTTCAGTTGGTCACTGAGATAAGAGAGCAGAGACTGTGGCACTTGGTCCTGCGTGGAAAAGGGAATAATGGTGGCGACGGTAACCCTGTCACGCAGAGTGACTTGCCTTGGGAACACATCGACGGGGAGAGGAGGGCGTGGATCATGGGGATCTGGAAACGGGGAGGTGCCAGACGTGCGATAAATGGTGGGAGCGGTAGGGTCATCGAGCATGGCAGGCATTGCGGTATAGGTATAGGTATAGGTATAGGTATAGGTTGCAATTCTGGTAGAAGAGATTCAGGCACCCAGCACCCAGCACCCAGCAACTATCTATATCTATATACATGATCAGAAATGGTGTCTGCATTGGTACGGACAGCGTCGAGTCTGGTTTTACCTGCAAGAATACTGATCGTCTTCTTTCTGCAGAGACCGCCCCGTCGCATTCAAGCAGCCCGGTCTCGAAAGGTGCCAGGGCAGTAGCCTCCGCGTAACGAGCGTATCGGGAGGATAGGGGGGAGGACACCGCGAATTTCCTATTTGAGGCAGGGCGCAATAGGGGGGAGAACAGAGCTGAGATGTTCGACTGTTGTTCTGAGAACGTCAATTGAACATCAGGGAACCCGTCGCGCCTAAGCGAGAGGCGAGAAGCGAGAAATGGGCGGGCGTGTGTCACGTGAGGCGTGCCGAACCCGGGCCGACGGCAGCGCCGGGAAAATCCCTCGAAATTCTTTATAAATTCCCCCTTTATACCGCTTCGCGACTAATGCGGATGTTGTGTCCTTTTGCAGTCTACCCAGGTAGTCTATGATTGGAGCGGGTAAATACCTGACGCCATCAAACTGCCAAAGAGACGAGATGCACCGGATGCAGAGCGAGCTGGCCTTAGCTCCGATGCGCTGAAGTCGGTGATATGGGCTCTCTTATTATTATTGGCTGGAGCTCAAGGCTTTCCTTGGATTGTGGCTCACCAGCCTTGCGCAGCCTTGCCCCCCCACCAGGCTTGGGATAAAAGTAGGTCTGGTGGGTTGTTGTGTCCCACTGTCTGACATCAGGCTGATCTCCGTCGTGCCTCACGCCTCGCTACCTTTGTGATCTCTCTTTCTGCCTTCCTATACTCGGTCCTGGCCCTTCTCATTGTTACTGTTCACTAACACTCCGCAAAATTCACACGCCATTGTCACGATACATTTTTGATTCTGCAAGACACTGCCAACACCATGTCTCCCCAAGCCCCCGCGCCCTTCCAATTTCTGCCCCTTGGTGCCATCATCCAAACCTTCCTGGTGGGAAAGACGAACATTGTCCAAGGCTTCCCCAAGCAATCCCACTATGAATCCCACAATGCCCCGTTCTTCGGAGAGACAATTGGACGTATTGCCAACCGAGTTAAGAACGCAAAAATCGATTCACTGAACGGGAAATCTTATGCCCTCGCGGCCAACAACGGCGTCAACGCCCTGCATGGCGGGGTAAAGGGGTGGGGGAAGAGGGTCTGGGAGGGCCCTAAGCCTGTGGGTGTCAGGAGCATTGAGGGATTGGAGGGTGGGAAGCTCGAGGGTGGAGAGAGCGTGGTCTTCACCTTGCGAAGTGAGGATGGCGATGAGGGCTATCCTGGCACTGTTGAGGCCAGCGTTGTTTATACGGCCGGCACACAGAAAACCGAGAGTGGCAAGGAAGTTAATGTCCTGGGTATCGAATATGTGGTTGAGCTCGTAGGGGGCGATGTGGAAGAAACGGCAATCAACGTCACCAACCACTCGTAAGTCTTCCAGTTCCCCCCTAAGCATCAGACAGCGACGAATGGCAAGATCATCTTGTTAACAGCATGGACCACGGCAGGTATTTCAACTTGTCAGGCAAACCTACCATTGAGGGGACTGAGGTCTCGCTGTGCTCCAACTCTTATTTACCTGTCGATGAAGGCGGCATCCCCACTGGCGGTCCGGTACCATATGCAGGTGTCGAGGCGCACAAGAAGTTCACACTCGGGCGCGAAGAACCCGATATCGACGACTGTTTCGTCGTAGACCCTTCGACTGCATCTTCAGTGCCAATCGACACGCGCGCGTCGCCACTACACGGGCTGGTCACGGCATACCACCCGGAGACCAAGATCCATCTCGAAGTGCTCAGCACGGAGCCAGCGTTCCAGTTCTACACGGGGAAATACATCGACGTGCCCGAAGTTGAGGGCGTCCCAGCTCGAGGGAAACGATCGGGATTCTGCGTTGAGCCCAGCCGGTATGTGAACGCAGTCAACGTGGCGGCGTGGAAGGGCCAGGTGGTGTTGAAAAAGGGGGAGAAGTATGGAAGCCGAATTGTGTATCGGGGATGGAGCGATGAGTAGACTGATTCACTCGGTGGAGCAGAGTAAAGTGGGGAGATCTACTGTAGCTATTCCCTATTCCTTAGTTAGCAGGGTGGTTACTTTTGAGTACGCAACGAAGTAGTAGGTGTTTCAAAGGACAAGAATCGTAAGACACGGCAGTAGCCGTCCATTTTATTGTATACTGACAGGGTGTTATTGGTGCACTGCATAAGATTAAGATTCAAGCATCAGGTACGAGTACAGGTGCGTATGCAGCACCGGTGCTTTTCCCCGGACTTCTCTCCTGTTGCTCTCCCTTTGCGCTCTCTTTCCTCTCTCTTTCCTCTCTCTGTCCTCTTGTTCCCCACGATCCGGCGTGGTGCCGAGCTGCTGCCCTCCGCCGCTAGTCCGGTTCGGGACCCATGACCGCTGCACGTGATCCGGCGGCTATCCCCAAAGCGGCCAGCCTCGGCATCGCGGTGCGCCGGCGCATTCTCGGGGAAGAACTTGGATCATTGGATGATCAGGTCAGTTGTAAATAAGTTGTTTCGATGATCGCAGACGATACACATTATCACATGTAACATGTCAGCTCTATCCATACGCCAATGGCACCGCTGCAAATGCTAAGCTCCTGCTCCACATGACCGCATTCCGGGCGTGGCGGGGGAAACGGTCGCATCCAGAGTCCATAATAATCATCCCCATACTCCGTACAGGCAAGAATCCGAGGGACACACACCAGGAATGCTCCACGCACATGTGAAAGCCTCGGATACCGACCGAGCATTCTGACAAACTCCTCCTGTTGTATAAGATTAACATAGCAGCACAGCTACAAGTACGACTTCCGACGGACGGGGCACACACGTATATGCATTACATACATATACACGCATACATATATACACATACCTATACACAACATATACCCTAAACAATAGACATTTCCTCTTGTTACTCTTTTCGTGGCTTTCGTTCCTGGCGCCCCAATCCAAGGCAAACATGTCCAAGTCATTTACCGCAGCCGACGTCGCGTCGCATAACAAGCCCAATGATCTTTATGTCACCATCGACGACGATGTCTACGACCTGACCAAATTCCAGGACGAGCATCCAGGCGGCAAGAAGATCCTCACGCGGGTCGCCGGCAAGGACGCCAGCAAGCAGTTCTGGAAATACCACAATGACGGCATTCTCAAGAAATACAAGGCGAAGCTGCAAGTCGGCTCCCTCAACACCAAGAAGAATGCTGCCCCGCCATCCCCACCAGCCACTCCCCCGGCTGCGGAGAAGAAGGAGGTAGTGAAGCCCAAGGCCGAGAGTGGTGTAAGGCAGGTGGTTGACAACTCCGATGCGGAGGCTCTAGAGCCGTTTGGAGATTTGGTTCCCTTTGGGGATCCCAGCTGGTATCAAGGTGTAAGCATGCTAATCCCACGTTGCGGTCTTGGACTCGTTCTCCCGTATACCTGCGTCGAGCCCGTCAGCTAACAAAGGCTTATTCCTGCAGTACCACTCACCCTACTTCAATCAATCGCATGCCGACCTGCGCGCCGAAATCCGCGAATGGGTTAGCACCGAAGTCGAGCCCTACGTGGGGGAGTGGGATGAGGCGAAGAAGGTCCCCGATTCGATTTACAAGGCGATGGGAACACGCGGATATCTTGCAGGGCTAATGGGAATGCATTATCCAGTCGACTACACGGATAACAGGGTGAAGAGCGTTCCGCCTGAGAAGTGGGATCTCTTCCACGAGATGCTGCTCACGGACGAGCTTTCGCGCGCTGCCAGTGGAGGGTTTGTCTGGAATGTTATCGGTGGGTTCGGCATTGGATGCCCTCCTCTCGTGAAGTTTGGCAAGAAGGAGCTGGTTAAGAGGATCCTGCCTGGAATCTTGAACGGTGACAAGAGAATCTGTCTTGCTATTACCGAGCCGGATGCTGGGAGCGATGTTGCCAATCTGACATGCGAGGCTAAGCTGAGCGAGGATGGAAAACATTATATCGTCAACGGCGAGAAGAAGTGGATCACCAACGGTATTTGGTCTGATTATTTCACTACCGCCGTGAGAACAGGCACCCCCGAGAGTGGCATGAACGGTGTCAGTGTGCTACTGATTGAGCGAAGCATGGGTGGTGTGAGCACGCGGAAGATGGACTGCCAGGGCGTGTGGTCCAGCGGAACTACATATATTACATTCGAAGACGTTAAGGTCCCAGTTGAGAACTTGATCGGAAAGGAAAACCAGGGCTTCAAAGGTACGCTTCTCCTCCCCTGCCGCCTTTTTTTGATTTTGAGAGGGGTTCTAACATTGCAGTAGTCATCATGACCAACTTCAACCACGAACGCATCGGTATCATCATCCAATGCATCCGCTTCTCCCGCGTCTGCTACGAGGAGTCTGTCAAATACGCACACAAGCGCAGGACCTTCGGCAAAAAGCTCATTGAGCACCCCGTCATCCGTCTCAAGCTTGCTCACATGGCCCGCCAAATCGAAGCCTCCTACTCCTGGTTGGAATCCCTTATCCACCAAATCTCACACATGCCCGAACATATCGCTATGTTGCGGCTTGGTGGCCCAATCGCCAGTCTCAAGGCACAGTCTACTGTTACGTTTGAGTTCTGCGCTCGTGAGGCCAGTCAGATTTTCGGGGGTCTAAGTTATTCTCGTGGAGGACAGGGAGGGAAGGTTGAGCGGTTGTATAGGGACGTCAGAGCTTATGCTATCCCTGGAGGAAGTGAGGAGATCATGCTGGATTTGAGCATCCGTCAGAGTTTGAAGGTGGGGAAGGTCATGGGGATGAAGTTGTAGGTTGAGCCCAGGGTGCAAGAAGGAGGCATACATAAAAATGGGGCTTGTACATTTATTATATTAGATACCTTGCAAGGTCGGACATATTTACATTTAAATTCCTAATTTCTTTCTTTGTTTACCTAGGTAGTTCCGCATTGTACCCCTTCCAACAATATATCCCTTGGTGATTCATCAAAATCCGATGCTCTCTCTCTCGGGCGCGTCGGACATATGAGCAAGTTTTAAATAGTTAAGCTGTAATGAATAGAACATTTGAATTAAACAACTACCCCAAATATAATCACCGGGGAAATAATGTTGGGATTCTAATTGAATAGACACCTTGTGCCATGGACATTATATTGAAACTTTTAACTTCCATAGCTACTTAATAACTGCCTTGGTGATTTCCTAGGGTTTTCGGGCATTGTTGATGGCTCTCGCATCGTTGCGGACTTCGGGAAAGGCCTTAGCCATTTGGGTACACTGTAGAGAGAATAACCGTAAGGCGAAATGCGGTGGATGAAATTTACGCATAAAGGGAGGATTGAAAAGTTGTAATTTTGGAAGCCTTCATTTCCCAACCCTCAGCATACTCTGTGAGTCTATTAAAACCAAACCACGACCACCCAAACAACAATCAACACCAGGTATAACTCCCATCCCCATATTTTAGCTGAGCCTACAAGTCAAATCACTCTCTGCTTAACAGGTACCCATTATTCTGCAGGTTCTGCATCACGCCCGCCGGATCGTACTTGTTCGCAATCTTCTGGATATATTTAAAACTAGCATCACCATAGGATCGGAGGGGTTTTTGTTTTCCAGATGCATCGTTCACGTAGATGTATGGGAGGAAGACTCCCCTGTCCTGGGCGAGTTTTGTGGCCTGGGCCGTGAAGGCATCGATTCGGTCGCTGCCGATAGACGATTCGCTATTATTTTTCCAGTCCATCACTGCGTTGACCCCTATATATGACGAGTCATGTCTTGTTAAAATGGGTCCGGCGGTAGTGGGTTGGGGGATGATATAGTAGAGAAGTCCTCCTTCGAGTAGTACAAGGAAAGAAGATGGGAGGACGTACACATTTGCGGCACGGGAGAGAGGTTCAAGATGTTACCACCATTCCGTGTATTGCTCTCTTTAACCAAATTCGGGATCACTGCCTGTGGGTTGAAACTCATTGTCATATCATCTGGCAAGTTAGCAGAGAGGTTAAGATATAATGCATATTGCTCAAGCAAGAATTTCGAATCCCTGACCTCGTGTGAAAACACGGAGCTGTAACTGAACCCCGGAGGAGGTCGCGATGCCGCCGGACTGTTGGTAAGGCTGATGACCGAGGCGTTGGTTGGGCCGAACATAGTTTTGATTGGAGTGACCTTGTAGAAGTCGTTGAATGTCGCGGGCTTATTGGCAGGTTCGGCATAGCCGAGGAAAACGAGAGTGATTTTGTTTTGGATTTGAACTTCTACGTTGGATTTTATATCTGCATTGATCGTCCAGTTCGAGAAGGCTTCTAGGATGGCGGGAGTATCAGATGGTGCGTAAAGGTAGATTTCGTAGTAGATGGCGTTGCCATTAGAGATGGTTTCGATGTCAAATTCAGTGACGATACCTGTTGTGATTAGCATGGAGTAAAAACCGAGGGGGTTGGATAGTAATAAAGACGTGACCTACCATAATTTGCCGTACCTCCCTTGAGACCATGAAACAGGTCCGAATTTTGCGTGGCGGTTGCGTCCAATATCCTCCCACTTGGGATAACAACGCTATATCTCTTCACGCGGTTAAAAGACAACCCATATGTATTATAGAACAAACTCAAACCACCTATGTATAAAGATCAGGTGATGCTCACCCCAAGAGTTGTGAATGAACTTACCGCCAAGTAGAAGACCACCAACGCCAACAGGAGGCTCTCGACCGCCGAGGACGGTAACATTATATTGGTTGGTCATTTCATATACCGCACCCCATCGCTGACCTGGGCCCACAGTAAGCGTCTTTGCATCCTTGCTCATAGAAAGCTTGTTCAATTTGTGTAGAGCAATAAGAATCCCATCATTTCCGACCCCACTATAACCCGGAACAACTGTATGGCCACCACTCCGAACAGCGAATTTCGTCTTAAGTACCGAAATTAGAATCATAGCTTTCGAAATGTCTGAGTCAGTGTCCGGGGCAACTATACAGGCGGGCTGTAGCCAGCATGATTGGGACCTGTAGCTTATTAGAAAACAGCATGGGATATCATTGCGACCTCATGACTTACCAAGGAACTTGCCAGAGCGGGGTGTATTCTGTGGAGCCCGGGCTGATGACATCGCTCTTTGGGAAGGCTAAGGAGAGAATCTGGCATGTAAAGGCAGCATTTCCAAACTGGATTGGTCTTGGAGTTTTGATATTAAAAGTGGACATAACGTTTGCCGGAGACTCGAGGCTAACATCATCAGCAAACGGATAGGAAACAGCAACGTTAGCAAGCGCCAGAGCGGCGATTGCAGCGCGAGTAAAGGAAGACATGGTAAGTATGGTGACTGAATGGTTAGTGGCTATCGAGAGCCTCCAGCGGGGGTGTCTCTGCCTTTAAATATAGAAGCCAACGCCCTCATATCAGATGTGGCTCGAGTCGGATTGGATTGGGACATGGACTTGGGCACTTTCCAACTCGCCAACGGACATGGAGCAAGGTTCAATGCACAACCCCGATGATATTTCGAAATGGAGTCAGTGGTTGCCCAGGTGTAGAGACATTATTAGGTTGAGATATGTATAATAGCCCTACTTCGACGCAGAAAATGTGGCATTAGGCAACGTTGGAGGAGCATGGGACAACCCAGCATACCCCTAGGTCCCTCATACTTCACGATTGGGATCCTCTAACCCGATTATGTCCTTGAAATAATTCACAGCTCTCGGGGCTTAAACCGAGGGCTCACTTAAGGGAAATTGGGTATGCTAGCTCTGGTGGCACCCTATACCACCGATGTGGCAGCTAGAGCATTCGTCCACAGCCGGGCTCCCACCGGGTCGGACATATCAAGGCAGTGGCATTTCCCTGACAGATATGTGCAACCGGACGTAAAACACGTTGCAAATGCATTGCCCTTACATACCTCGTGGCATAGGCTAAGATACCACATGGCGTCTGCCCCGAAACCTCGCAAGGCTGCCAAGGATATCCACCAAAGGGGCTCGGTGTTCCGTCGGATCGGTGGTAATTTTAAAGTCCAGCTAGTTATTTGATTTGTTCAACTAGCAACTGACTGCCCTGCTGGTTGGTGAAGAAGGGGGGGCGGGATTATCGGGCGAGTTGGCAGTCGAGCCTGAGTAGCTTAGCGACCTAAAGAAGGATCGCGGAACAATTCTCGTCTGGTATGACAGAGATGCGTTCGAGCGTGGTTGTACCGAATAGGGCTATTCGAGTAATATTCATAACTGAGGTTAGTTGTAAAGTCCTACGGAGTAACCCCTTTTACCAAACCTAGCCATGTCGACCTCGTGTGAAGTCAAGTTATGTGACAGCACTTAGGCAAGTCGTCTCCAATTGATTTCCAATAGCACAATTAGCTTGAAATATCTCAAGTCATGTGGCACTACCTAGCCATGCATTGCGGGCTCGTCGTAGGCGTTGGGAGTGCTGAAGTTCAGCCGGACTTGGACGGCGTTTCTCGGCCGATGGCTATGCCATCCCCGGCCGATATAAAATCTGCCTACCAAAACAACAAGAAGACGCCTCATCGCAACTTCGATTTCCCGACACAATGATGCCCAGGCCCGTCAGGTTGTGACTCCTATGGAGTACAGTATGCCGTTCATGGAACAGATCTCTTTCTCGGCTTCCGATAGTATTTTATTTAACCTTATTGGTTTGCGTTTTCAAATTCCCATCCATCAATACTCAACATTTCCATCTTACAAACTCGAGAGAAAAACGTTCGCAACACGAGAATCAAAATGATGGACAAAAAGACCAGAGGGGATCACGCACCCATAGTGCCCCAGACCCAGACCCTCACCAAAGACTCTAAAAGGAACGTCGCCCGCGGTATTTTCGAATTGGGGCGCTTGCACACGAAGGAGGCATGGTTGTGTTGGTATCCTGCCGGTGAGTGGCAGTCCACCTTCCGATTTCTCAAAAAACCCCTTTAAGGCATAAAACACTGGCAAATGCGTGAAAACATACTCATCTCTACTTAGTGTGGGGAGCTTGTCTCTCAGCTGGCACCCAGAACATCTCACTTGATGTGTTCACATTTGCAAGAATTTTGTTGGGCATCTTGACAAGCGTAACGGCATCTCATGCTGCGCTTTGCACTTTCAAGTTCGTTATGCTTCCGGTTTCTTTGGGTTGGCCTTTGCTGACAGTCATCTCCTAGCGATATTTGCGACCGCAACTTTGATAAGGATGTTGAGCGGTGCAAAACACGGCCTCTTCCGGCAGGAATGCTCACCACAATGGAAGCTATTCTTGCCTACATTGCCTGGATTCCAGCTACTGTCGCCATAACTTACTTTACCCTTGGTGGAGTTGGCGTCAAAACATTCACCCCAATTTGGATCCTCAGCATGATTTACCCATTCGGGAAGCGATATATCCAGTTCCCCCAGATAGTTCTGGGATGCGTTATTGGAGGTGCCGTGTTCCCCGGGTGGGCCGTAATCACTAACAGCTTGGACGGCCTGGAGGGTGCTGCTCCATTATTCGCGGCTGTGTTCTGCTGGGTTGTGTATTTTGACGTTTTCTATGCGACACAGGTGATTTTAGCCTTCTACCCTGAGATGAGCAAGCATTTTGTGCTGATTGATACCTAGGACCGCCCTGATGACGAGAAGGTTGGTGTCAAATCTTTAGCAGTCCTCCTCGGCGATCGAGTACCTATTTTCTTAGGATTCCTCGGCCTCCTCCAAGTTGGCTTCTTCGCGATGACAGCACTGAGAGCCAACATGTCATTTATTTTCTGGGTTTTTGGCGTTGCCGTTTGGGCCGTCAACATGCCTTGGCATGTATTATCTCTCGATGTCAAGGATCGAAAATCGGGCGGAAAGATTTTCAAGGCCAACATACTTCTCGGGCTCTATATGACAGGAGTCGCTTTGGTGGAATTACTGGCCACGCGTGTCAATCTCCTCAGTATGGGGCATATTGGACAGCGCGCGGGCTTTGTGGTCTGAGTTCGGGGTATGGACTGCAGTTTTGGGAGGGCTTGAAGTATATGTAGTCTAGCTTTGATGTCTGAATAACTATGGTCTGTTAACTTGAACGGCGGTCTCGGTTGGCATAAGCATTTTTCCTACCGCTCATATCACAATTGCTTACCTCAAGGCTCTAGGTCTAGGCCATAGCAAACAATGAGTACATATCTTAAACGTGGGCTCTCGTCCTGAATCACTATCCCCGAGAAGTCGAAATTCTTGAGCCTCTTGAAGCTAGCCCATAGCCCACGTTCCTTCACCATCCTGCGTTCCCGCAGTTCCCCCATGGGGCCTGAAGTATAGATCCCCGTGAACATACCCTTCCACGGGAGCGGAAGAGATCTGGTGCTGCTGAGGCGTGAGGGGACGAAACTTAACGAGGGGCCAATAATAATCTGTAAATCGCGGAAGTCGAAGGCATTCCCTGTGAACAAAAACATGGCGGCAATGGAGTATCTGCGCAGCAGTGGAATATTTCGCAAATGTAATGTAAATACGGTCATATCCTAGCAGGATGTTAACAATAGCGATAAAAAGCAGCTTTTGTTCCCTGGAGATCCCTCCGCGGGAGGACCTCCGTATCGCTGCTGGCGGTATTTCTTTGTTTGATTCTCGAAATATACAATACTTGCCTTGGGATTTTGGCGTTTGTGGGTGTCGCCACAGGACGGCGATGTTGCCGGCGGTGTAAAACGTAATGGGCTTTTCGGCCATTCGGCGGGAAGCATCATTACATATTAAGGTGACCGTTGGCATTGACACAGCGTATAGAGAATACCTACTTTGGGGGCCTGAACGCGCGATATGTACTTACCTAGGTAGTAGTGGAGGTCGATGGCTAGGTTGGTGTTTGTTCGAGCTTTAGGAGTTGCGGTGCGAAGTACAATACCGAGGTACTGACGAGTTCACTCGTGGCTAGGGGTGGATTATGGTAGAAAAAGAGTTGAATTATTTTAAGAAAGAAGCTTATTCTTCGAAATCCAAGATTGACTAGTATCTATATATATATACTTAAGGTACGAATATATATAAAGAAACCCAGCTATTTAGTAAGATAAGTTATATAGAGTTTAATATTTACTTTTAAACTATTATAAATACTATAATAATTATAATAAAGTAAAATATATAATATAGATAAAAATTTATAAAAACGTAATAGTAATTCTTACATATATATTTAAATCTATTTTTATAATTTTTCTTTATTTATATTCTTTATAATTTTAAATTTTTTATCTTTTTATCTTTTTAACTTTATTTACTTTTAGTTTTTATTACTTTTTAATTTTCTTTAATTTTCTTTAATATTATTTATATTTATATTATTTTTATTAAAGTAAATTTACTATTTTTTATTTAAATTAAAAATACTTAAATTAGAAGTTAAAGAACGTTTATAATTTATTGTAATAAATAGTAAAATATTCTTAATTAAGTCTTTTTTTATTTAAATCTAATATTAAACTATTATTATTATCTTCTACGTTATTATTCTTATTAATACAATTTAGTATTCTGAGATTGTAATTTTTTCATATTAGGTAGTAAGACAAGTCCCTTCTATATTCTTAGAACAAGTTCGTTAAGATAGCCAAGGAGAGTGGTTTTGAGACTTACCGTCGATATTCTAGTACTTACTTATTTCTTTGCTCTTTTTGAGGAACTCAGGCGATGGCGGACTAAGAAGGGCAGTTATTACTATAAAATAGTAGGTATTATTTAGCTCCTCTGATTTATTGTCGTAAGTATAGAATAGACTTTCTCGTTCAAGCAAGTCCTAGGCCTAATATAAAAGAAGAGTTAGCGGAAGAAAGAAATAGAATCGTAAGTCGGGAGAGGGACTATTTCATACTAAGAGCCCTAAACTCCAAACATCCACGGAATTATCCCATTTCATGTTAAGAATAGCCTCGGGTACCTAATATAGCACTAGCATAGCATTTCTACTTTATTATTTGCTGACACGTACTTGCCCCAGGTCGCAAATAGTAAGTAGGCCTGCACCTCCCAGCATATACCGCGAGATGTAAGTAAAGTATCGCTAACCTACTTTTTTACAGAAGGAGTACGAACCTCGTCTTCTTTTACTACGGAGAGGATTAAATCGTTTATAATAGTAATAAGTAGATTGTCTGACTAAAGGTTTTATTATTTGTTAGTTAAAACGCTAATATCTGTTTATGCCGACAGGGCTCGATACGAACTTACCCGTATAGATCACGTCTGCATCGTGGAGGAAGCTTGCCCCAATGAGTGCTTGGTCGAGAGCTGACTTAACGGGACTTTACTCGAAGATGCCATCAGGTTATATTTCTTGAGAGGTTCTCAAACTCATGCCCAAAGGTGTTATAACGAAACAGTCGTATTCATTATTGCAGCTCTTTATTTTAAATGAATCTTCTAGCTGTTGAACGTATAGCCGACCTGAGTACTCGGTAGTGACGCCGGCCAAGTGCTTATAGACTTCTAGCTCCCTATTATATTTCAGAGTGTTGATATGCACTTTTATTACCCAGTATGACCGCTCTCTTAATCTAAGTCAAGGTGTTTAGCAAATAAATGATAAGATATTAGAAGGCACTCGACGGGAATTTTTCATCACCGTTTTCAAACTTCATTGTATTGAATCTTCACTATTGGCTAGTGTGCTTACCTCCCATGTTCAATTGCCGCCAAAAATTCCATGCATGATTAGCGTGACGTGGCGGTTACAGCTGGGCTGTGCTGCAGTGAGGCATGGGATTGGTGAGGGGATTGGGGGCTTAAACCGCAGCCTCCTAGAGGCTGATATGACCGATCTTTAAATCATGGACCCGTTCTTGACCCGTTCTTGACCCGTTCTTCTTGATTTTTCTTAATCCCACGATCTTCTTCCCATTAGAATTCATAACCAACGAAGAAGCACAAAAATTTGCCCTTAATATCAGAGGCATTTAGAACTTCTTTTGGAACTAGTTCAAAGCCGACATCTTGTCGTAAGCACTCAAAATGTGGTCAGTGGGTAGGGCTACGGCCTCAGCCGCGTCAATGTCCAACGAGCTCACTGTAGCTGCCGCTAACTTCAATCTCGATTTCACGTTAATGAAAGTCGAGGCACCTCCAGAGTACCAACGACTTGGTGCGGCGTTGTCAACAAGCAGGCGTGAGCGAGCAGAGGTGGGGTCTGCCCATACCACGGCTCGCAAGTTGGGAGCTCTCTTTGAACAGATTCTACCCGCAACACCGAGACTATTCCAAGCATATGGACAACGTGCCTCGGACACCGCCAACTCTCCAACATCAAATCCCCTTCAAGGACTGAGCAGCGGCCCCTTTGCGGACCATTTAGGTATTGATGGGACGAACATCTGGGCAGCGGCAACTTCTGGGAAGCGAGCAATTGCAGTTCATCTGTTGGCTTGTATGTTGGCAAGAATACTTCAAGGGCCAGAAGCAATATCAACCTGGGTGGAGTTGGTGGAGCGAAGGAAGCAACAGATCAAGACAGAATTTGAGCAAAATTCAATTTCAGATATGCCCAGTATTATGGCGGCGCAACAGGATATATCAAGAGAGCATCTTGCTCTCTGGGATGCCAGTGCGCGGGCCTGGCTCCAAACTTGCGACAATGTTCACAAGAACCAACAAACTCAACTCAGACTGATTGTCAACAACGTCAACTATCCTATCAACAACCACAAGGACACTTATCAGAGTGTTATCGAAGCTTGGGTCGATTCCATGACTTCCGTGGAAGGATTGATATCAGGAGTACCACAGAGAGTGCAAAATGGCGCAGTTCTGCTAGCACTGTCCTCTTGGCACTTATACCCAGACATGGTAGTACTTGGGTCATCGATACAACCTGGAAATTCGATCCACTCCGGAAGATCCAGCCGACATGAAACATCGCAAGATGCTCTTCAGATCTCGCAAAAAGACCCCTTAATTGAAATTGGCGGTATCCTCACTATTGGGCTTCACGTCAATCAAGACAGCGATTCTGGAGTATTCTGGTCTCTTCCGTTGGCGCACATGCGTTATTATGGTACCACTCCAGTTGCATCTCGGGCTCTGGCCTTTGATACCTCCAGAGTGACTGTAGACCAATTTTACCAGGTAATCTTAGGCTGCTTAAGTGCTCATTGGAGGGCCCAGCCTCAGGTTGTTGCAGAATCCATCATTACTCTTCACGGTGCTGTGCATAGCGACATCAAAGCGGAAGAACCTCCGTTTGGCCACACATATGATTGTTTGGAACCGAATTGCTGGTTTATGAATTTGGTTGAAGCGGCTAAGCAGTTCACAAGCTATCGGGGCCATGAAAAGCAGATTCTGGCGAAGCTTGCGGCGTTTGGGGCTAGAAGAGCACAAGCACTTTTATGCAGATTCCCTAAAAACTCCCTCCCTGCGTTCGGTCTTACAGACTTCCCTCTCTTGTTTTCTTTGCTGAGAAATGACGAGCAACGCATCAAGATCCTCCGCCAATACGCCAAACGATATGGACTGAAGCATAACGACATAATAATCCGCTATAGGCCCGTCACTTCCTTTTATAACAAAGGCACACTTGATTCTATGTTCGCAAAAAAGTCACCGGACTACTTCGAATATGCCTCTGCTATCTCGTATTGCCGAAAATCTCTCAAACGTGATCATACTGGTTCTCAATGTGAAAACTACAAGCATCGTCGCTGGATTGCCGGCTATCCTTTGACCCGTCAGGAAAAATACTCCCCTAATCCATTGGAGGTGGGATTTTGTGCCTGTCGCTGTCGTTTTGCAAGGAAACCGTGTGAAAATGATTTTGACTGCCCATGCTGCTTAGATCGAAACCACCCATGTAGCAGAAAATACCCCTTATCGTCAGATGAAGATAAGACCAAAGCTAAAATAGAATTGGATAAGAGTGTGAAAGACAGGGGACAATTGGCAACTGAAAAAGAGGTAGAATATCGTAAAAGGGCTGAGACGAAGCAGGAAGAGGAGGAGCGGAAACTAGATGCGGAACGGAAAGGTATACTTGCCGACCTTCTCGATATTAGGCGAGCATTCTTTGAGAGCATCGGTGAAATACCATTTCAAGTCGAAAAGGAAGATATCCAGGAGAAGATGTCACTTCAAGTCGGACAAGAAGGAGGTGCTAAGGAAAGTACCGAGAAAAGCGCTCCCTCATACCACAGCCCATTTGACCCTGTGCGCCTACAATGGCGGGAATTTGGCTCCGAATCAATCTTGGTTGCAAAGCCAGATGCCAAGATCTCAAAGCCCAATGCTTCGAACTCCGTCGGCCTTAACAGCGATTATGATATCGATGCTTGGGATAAGGAGAAGTTTACTTACTTTGAATTTCTCTTGGGGGACGAAAACACTGCCGCCTTATTTATACGGAGGGATGTCAATGTTGAGAGACATGCACCTTCCCATCAAGCTACTCTCAGCGATGTAACTCAAGCCCTATCTGAGAATTCTATTCTCTCAGTGGAGCTAGATAAGCACCTCGCGCAGTGGGGGGCGCCACCACCATCTCCAGAACATCCCGATGGCGCTATTAAGAGGTCGCTAAAAGCAATGAGCGCTGTCAAAGAACTCTATTCTAACTTGGCGGAAGCTACTGTCGCTTTGGAAGTCATAAACTATCCATTATACGACACACAGTGGGCTCTCACATGGTCTAAATCTCAGGATATGGACCTCAGTACTGCGTTTTCTTGCATAATGCTGTTTGAGTCTGGCAGATTTGATATTCAGCCCAAACGCCTAGCCCGAGTAATGGCCATGGCGGTTGGGAACTCTATTTATATCGGAGGCGTTTTGGTAAACGATCCGACAAATATAAAAGCCCAAAAGCAGATAAAGCGAGTAGTTGGAAATTTGGGCCGGGCGGGAATGGTGCTCCTGATTGCGCCCAACGAGCCCAAGGTAAAGCCATTGGAGTATGACAGGTGGAACCTGGTAAACCATGCAGACTTTGATGGCGAGATGCATGATTCATTCCAGAACACAACACTCCATCTCTCCTTCACTGAGTTTCAGATGCCATTAGATGTAATTGGGGCTCAAGGTATTCGCGATACAGAGGTTAGCATGCTTGAGTCGGTTGTGTCAGTCCACAATCGGGGTGAATGGATCGGAGATTTGAATGTTCTGTCTTTGCTTCCCGACGAGTCTGATAATGGACGGGTGCTATCTCATATCTCTTACCAATGCTCTCATTCTCCACAGGAAAGGGCCTTTCGAAAATCTGGTGTGATGTCTCCAATCATTTCACTTGACTCATGGAATGAGTTTCTTGACCGTCCTATCGGGAATGAAACTACAATTTTTCGAGGGCATGGTAATTGGGTTGCACGACTAGCAGCAGCAGCGATCAGTGTTCAAATGGGCCTACCAACTTTCACCCTGTCAGATGATGTTTGTTGGAAATGTTGTGAGGACATCCTCGCAAAGCAATGGGCCGGAAAATCTATGCTGATAGGGTAGATGCGGGCTAGACCATACTGTGACAAGGGTCTCATCACAGCAATTCCGCGAATAACACATAGCTAATCCTAGAGAGCGTTTCTACTCCACGCTTTAGTGTATTATGCAATTCTGCTTTCCAGTCTTCCCGTGATTTTATCGAAGACCGTTTCAATATCTTGACAGCCATGAAGTTCCCCGAGTCCACGTCGATGTATTTATGTATGGCCCCAAACTGCCCCGATCCAAGCGGAGGTCCCACTTCCTTGTATATCATCCTCAGCTTCCGCTCACTTGGCGTGTGGATTCCCGTCATTCTCTGCGATGGCAAGACGGTTGGCGCCTGATCTACTGTTCGAGCGAGGCGTGGGTTCTCAGCGTAGTAAGGTATGCCGTCCTTGGCTCTTGAGAACTTGACCTTCACTACCGTGTCAATAGGACCTTGATGCTATATCAACTCGAACTGAACGAGGTCGCACCCTACACCACCCATTCCAATTATCGTGTTGAGACCCTTTTACACGACAACTCGACGAAGCCGTCTATACTCAAACGCCGTAATAATAATTCGGTTCTGTGAATTTACAGAAAGAATAGGTTTTGTAATCCGTAAGAAATTATTCTAAATATAACGAACTTAATCTACTAGTCCCTTAGTAGCTACCTTTATCCGTAAGCTCGCACAATTATAATAGATAATCAAAGGAGTAAGAAGTAGTTTTATTAAAGATCTAAAACTACCGAAGAAAAGAGAAAAGGAATACACGATATTATATGTATTAGCTTAAAGTTATACGTTTAAAATATGTTATATCTAAAGTTGTTCTTCTTATAAGTAGTTTATAAAGTTTATAAAGAGTTATAATTATATAACTTCAAGAATATATTTATAATACTACTAAAATTTTATAAAGCTTCCTAGATTACCTATGTAGTTTTGAGACGAAATCCTTTATATTTCCGGCGATTGTCATGTGACGCGGGCATGTAAATTTGACCGGTTAACAGGCGCTATGCCGATTCCGTACGGGGTGCTTTATTAACCCCTAATTCTTGTTTGCTCCCTGGATATACTTCGTAAGACTTGATCCGATGTCTCTCGTTGGTGGGACTCGGCATGATTAGCAATGGCGATCGGGGACATACACTAGATATTCGTCTTCGAATTCCATTCTTCTTAATATTTTTAAATCTTCAAGTCGACGTATGATGTGCCACTGCCCTGTCACCTGCCAGCCATAGGGGCACTCAATTTCCGTGATTGTCGCAGCGTGGTTTACATCAGCTCTCGGCCGAGATTACTGCATATGTTGATTCTCGCCCGATGGCTTACGGAACCCCTCATAATTGCACTTCCATTTGTTATCTGCAACCTTTTCCTCTACCACACAACGGCAGCAGCCGACCATGTGCTGTAATGCCCTGATAATCAAATGTTACCATCAGGAAGACCGACTCGGAAATCCCGGGTCGAAATTCATCCTGGATCCATATTCATGGAGAAGGTTTGTGGGCGTTCAGTCCCGTCTTGGCTTTTCCCCTTAGAATCTCTTATTCGTTTGTGACATTGAGTATCGTTACATTTCTGTCTGTATCTTGAGGAGCATCATGTTGATCAATACCGAGTCGAGTGGTGCTGAGAAGCTTCCTGTTGAACAGTCTGGGGGAAATACCTCTGAACGTCAAACTTTTGAGGATGAGAAACCCGCCGAGGAACTACCAACCAAACAAGACGACGAAGACGACACTGTGTATCCCCGGCCACTTGTCCGCAGTCTGTTGATTTTGGGGATATGTTGCGCTGCGTTTCTCGTCGCCTTGGATCGTACTATAATTGCTGCGGCAATACCACGAATAACCGACGACTTCAAATCGCCAGGAGATGCTGGATGGTACGGAAGCGCCTATCTCCTCACGTAAGTTGTCAGATAACTTGTCTGCTCCATCCACTATATCCCGATTCTGAAAAACAATCGCCACACAGATCATGTGCTTGCCAGCCAACGTTCGGTCGAATATTTACCAACTTCGATACCCGATGGTCGTTCTTAACAGCCTTGGGGTTGTTCGAGCTTGGCTCGTTGATCTGTGGTGCTGCTCCCAATTCAACCGCGCTTATTGTTGGACGTGCAATTGCTGGTATAGGATGCGCCGGCGTATTCGCTGGTTGTATGCTTATTATTACAAAATCTGTCCCCTTGTCGAAGAGGCCAGTGTACATGGCGGGTGTTGGTGGCATGTGAGTTATTGGATCCCGTCCTTCGCTCCTACTGAATACAGTTAACTGTTCTCCCAACACAGCTTTGGAATTGGATCCATTTCTGGCCCTGTCATCGGCGGCGCCTTTACAGACCAAATAACTTGGAGAATGTGTTTTTATTTGAATCTACCTGTGGGGTTAATCACCGCAGTGATTGTGCTTCTTTTCTTCCGTGTCGCAAACCAAGCGGAGAAGCCCGATCCATTCTTTCAGAGACTGCTAAAACTGGATCTCTTTGGAAACCTGCTCTTGATCAGCTCCGTGGCAATGCTACTCCTGGCTCTGCAGTGGGGTGGCCTCGAGTATCCGTGGAATAGTGCGAAAATTGTCGGCCTACTCGTTGGTTCGGCCGTGGGAATATGCATCTTCCTTTGGTGGATGATTTACCGTGGTTCTAGTGCTCTGATCCCGCCAAATATTGTCGCTCAAAGAACAGCTGCGGCGTGTTTGACATTCAGCTTTCTTATCTCGGGTGCTGTCCTTGTCCACAGCTATTACGTGCCCTACTGGTTCCAAGCCATCAAAAATGTGTCCGCAGAGAAGTCCGGTGTGAACATGATCCCCTACGTACTTAGCAACTTCGTATTTTCCATGGTGGCGGGCATCGCGGTCCAGAAATCTGGCTACGTCCTTCCAGCAGCAATAGTTTCGCCTATCGTTGCCTCCATAGGCAGTGGACTTATGACAACCTTTTCTGAGGATACGACTACTGTTAAGTGGGCTGGATATGCCATACTGGCAGGAGCGGGAATTGGAATCGGCATGCAGCAAGGAGTTGTTGCTGTCCAGGCCGTCTTGCCGAAAGAATCGATTCCCATTGGTACATCCATGATACTCTTCACGCAGAGTCTCTCTGGTGCGATATTCGTATCAGTTGGAAACTCTATTCTTCGAAATGAACTATCCAGCGGGCTTACCACCGCCAAACTTCCTGGTGCCGACGTTCCACATGTTTTGGCCACTGGGGCGACTGCTGTTCGACATCTCATACCAGCCGACCAATTAGAGCCTTTCATCACGATATACAACGAGGCTATTCGGAAGGTTTTCCTTGTAGCAGTTCCTCTAGCAGCTACAGCATTACTTCCCGCGGTTTTTATCGAATGGAAGAGTTTGAAGGGAACGGCAGTAGTGGCAGGAGAAGCATGATATAGTGGATTTCTTTCCAGGGGGTGCAGGGCAGAAAAATCTCAATATGTTGGTTAGAGTATTCTAGCATAGTGAAATATATAGAATTCGCGGAATTTCCATTTTTATTTTTATACATTTAAACTCTTATCCGACCAATATCCAATGTACAAGCTAATATTCGAGCCCGGTATCACAAACCCCGCTGTAATTATTTGAACCCTAATTCCTAAGATGTTAAAAGCTCAAAGTTGGGTGAAACAATATATCGGCTATCGAAAGAACTGATATGATGAAGTCAACACAGGTATGTCGGGAATTGAGGTCATAGTGGGAGTCACCATACTATTTGCCCATCCCCGAGTCGGCCCTGAACATTAGGCCCGGCCCGAGTCTATGGTTCCACATCTGCTATCAAAATTAGACCCGGCCATGGGCTTCCTAGATCGTATCTACCTAGGTAAGTAACGGTGCTCTATCGCCGCAACAGTCCGACCGTATATACCAGATCTATACGGAGGATATAAGTATAATTGCTCCCGTCTACGTATTACTCTTAAAAGTAACATCAACCAAACCAACTTTAGAAATCGACAGAACCAAATACAAATATTAGCACTCTATTACTTTTTCAGAGGCAGTAGATATACTCCACCCAAATCATATTACCAGCCTCAGCCTAGACAAACACTCATATCCCTCCCTTTGTCCACCAAAATGCACTCCAAGTTAGGAAATGCCTGTGCCCTATCTACGCAGAAAATTGATGTCCACCATCACTTTATTCCAGAATGTTACGCCAATGGTTCAGAATCCTCTCCTAGAGAAACCATATGCAATATAATGCTAACTAGCCTTTTCAGCTTTTGCACATGACCCGTCCGGATGGAAGCTACCTGCTTGGAGCGTTGATAGTACCAAGGCTCTCATGGGCGATCTCAATATCGGCACCTCCATCCTCTCACTCACTGCCCCTGGTTGCACAATCCTGAAAGGTGCCGCTGCAGCTCAGCTTGCACGGGAAGTAAATCACTCGGCCGCGAACATTCGTGACGGCGACCCATCTCGCTTCGGCTTCTTCGCATCACTCCCCCCTATCCTTGACGATATCCCTGCAGCCTTGGCTGAAATTGCTTATTCCTTGGATGTCTTGAAAGCGGATGGGATTACGCTGTACACCCGTTACGGACCGGGGAATGCGTATCTTGGGCATGAGAGCTTGAAGCCCATATGGGATGAACTTGATCGGAGGGCTGCGGTGGTCTTTGTGCATCCTACCCACCTTGTCGATACACAGCTTGTAAATCCAAAACTTCCTCAGCCGATGATTGATTACCCGCACGAGACAACAAGGACCATCGTCGACCTCATCATGAGCAACACTGTCCGTGATCATCCAAACTGCAATATCATTTTTAGCCATGCTGGAGGATCGTTCCCGTATCTGGCCACCCGTGCAGCAGAGATGTTGCCGGACTATGGTCTCAGTGACAAGAGTGCGGAGGAATTTATAGAGGATGCAAGGACGTTGTTCTATGACCTGGCGCTATCGGGGAATAAATATACCTTGGGCTTGTTGACGGGGTTTGTGAGGGATGATCACATTCTGTTTGGGTCGGATTTCCCCTATGCCCCTACCAAGACGATTAAAACTCATACAAAGAATTTGGAAGAATATGAGCTTCATACAGCTCTGAGACATCAGATCAATAGGGGAAATGCTCTGAAGTTATTTCCGAGATTGGATTCGGGTGGGTCCTAAATGGAGTTAGAACTTAGGAGCTACTACAGAAGTTGGGGTTGCTCGTTTTCTAATCCTTAAATTTGAGCCGACGATATAGTGGTATATGGTATTCAGATATAATTGGCATCAATTTCAATCTTTTTATATAGAGTATGGAAGTGGCCTATCTAAATAGTACATGTCAAAAAATGCAAAAGGTATTTCTGTGCGGGTGGGGCCTGGTAGTGCCAAATGATTAGTGAACTAGAAATATTAAGATGGTGCATGAAATTTCCTATGGTCTTTAAGAGTGGAACACTTATCGATAGAAAGTAAAATTTCTTGGTTAATAAACCGTAAGAATGACGTGAATCGCTTCCTAGAGGTATTTTATTCGTCCCATTTCTCTGCACAGGGATAATTATAATAACTTTAGAAACATATCATTCTAGATAGGATATATGAGCTAAACTAACGCCGTAAGACTCCGAACTACCAAGTAAAAGACTAATTATACGTCAGATTTACTTTACTCGGATTCATACTGTGAGAAAACTTCCGTCTCCACATTTTCAAATTCAGTGAGAATAGTATCACGTCTCGCCAGACTTCTGGGAGAAATGCTCGCTTCGAATGGCTTAGGGCAATGCAAGAAGCCCTCCGAATAAGCAGTCTTCGAATCCACATCCACCGGAATTGGTGTTCCTGTAACATCTAGTTTCTGCGCGAAATCAAAAGCCCAAAGAAGCTTCGACATGGCCAAAAACAAGTTGCGGTCAGCTAGGTGCATACCAGGACAGATTCTCCTGCCCGAGCCGTATCCGTAGTGGTCACGGTTTTCGAAATCTGGCGAGGCTGCGTATTCCGCCGCCAGCGCAGTGCGGCCAGCATAGCGCTCGGGATCGAAGATATCAGGATTGGGGAACTTCACTAGGTCATGATGGAGCCCCCAGACGTTTATAAGTACGGTTGTTCCTTTAGGGATATACATCCCATCGATAGTATCGGCTATAACAGTTATTAACTATTTTCGTCTTCTAGGCGACTTTTGAGAAGGGACTCACCTTCGCTGGTAGCGTGAGGGAATGCAAGAGGGGTAACAGGTCTCCAACGCATGGTCTCCTTGACAATACCGGAAATGTAAGGCAGTTGGCTGTAGTCAGACCATTGTGGCGAGCGGTCCTCCCCGACAACACTGTCGATCTCCTTTTGAGCTTTCTTCTGCACGTGGGGGAATTTAATCATGGCATGGATGAAGGCAAGGATAATACTTGAAGAAGTGTCGGACCCGCCTTCCATAAGTACTCCGCATAAGAAGTTCAGCTGATTTCGCGACAGATTTAAAGCGTTATTTTGGTCCAAAACTCCATCGAGGAAAGATCCTCGGCTACCAACAGCAAGGCGACGCTTCATCACTTGGGATACCATCCGTCCGTAGAGGTTGTCCATGGCTTGGCCGACTCCTCGGGATCGAGTTATCCAGTTGCCGAACCAACTTTCTGGGATCAGCTTTAAGAAAGGGAAAATATCAACTGGTGGTGTTGCTCCTGTTTCCATGACTTTGGACCACTCTTCCATTAGCTCGTAGAGCTCCACCATGTGTGAAGTATGGATCGTCGGGCTTCGGATCCCTAGTACTAGAATATCGTGTCAGCAAGAAATTACTCTGTATACTTCCGTAAAATTCCACATACTTAAAGACATGATGATACTATTACTGAACCGTTTTGGGTGGGACATAAATTGATCTGGAACAACGAGAAAGTCTCTGAGCATTTGAATAGCCTCTGCATCCTGCAGTTTGATATGCTCCCTTTCGCATTTTCCCTCGTTAAATTGTTGGTGAAGAAGCTTTCGGAATAGTTTCCATTTGGGACCCTGTTCCATAACCAGGAGATGCTCTCCACGGGTGATAAGGTCATGAGAAACGTAGGAAGATGGCCGAGTACTGTAGATTGCGGACTTTCTATCAATCAATTCCTTCACGAGCCTGGGTGAGCTGATTACTACGGCAGTGGCTGGACCCAGCTTCAAAGAAAATATCCCCCCGAATTCTTGAGCCCATTTTGAAAATATGTTGATAGTTAGTAAGCTGGCAAGAGCAAAATTTAAGGTGTACTGACTGGTAATGAACACCACTTTTCGGAAGTTGGTGAAGATTGCCAATGATTGGTAGGGTCGGTGGACCTATGGGACCGTTATTTTGTAATTCTTTACCTTTCGGAGAACGAGAACGACGAAGTACAAACCTGGAGGAAAGTTTCGACCTCTTCGACCAACAAAGACCAATGCGTACGCCAGACCGCCGATAGCAACTGCCAAGCATAATATTCCCGAGAGGGCAAACATTTTTTCGAGAGATCGACAACAAACAAAATTCAATCTGATGTATTGCTCGCAGCTCCACATCTATTCCATGTCGATGCCATACGCAGGGACTTAATGCTCTTTTCTAACCTTATACCCGGGTTTGAAAGCGCGACGTGGGACCAGGATTTGGCCCCATACTTGCCTGATCCCCGGAGCGCTGGTACATGGTATGGCCCGGCCGGGCGACATGCGTCCTGAAAGTTGGGATTTACGACACCCTCGAGTGGCCGAGAACTCTTCGTGATCCATAGCAGTGGCATTTTGATTGTAAGGCAGGGATTTGCTAAATCCCGCCCGGAGTTGTGGTCGGCCGAAAGCATGAAAGTTGATGTTTATCGGGAATAGAAACGCCTCAGGGGTTAAGAGCGTCGGCGCCTAAGCGAGCACAATTACTAATAATGTGGCGCTCCGAATCTCATCCATCAAATAGTAAGGTCTCACTCAGGTTAAAGCTGCTCCAAATATTAGTACCGCATGAGGCAAGGCCACTTCGGGTTCGGGAGGGATAAAGATATTTTATATAGGAGACTTGCTCAATTACGTTCTTTATTTTACAGCACTTTCTAAGCACAAGTGCAATCTAATGTCTAGCCTTGGACGTGTAATTCTAAGTCAAATTTAGCCCGACATGTAACGACTGTGAGGTTTGTATACATTCTATAAGCTGTTCTAGCGACATATTATAAGCTCCTGTTGCTGACTTTGTATAATATGTTCCCCACTAAGCCAGGTTTCTAATTTAGGGGGTGAAACTGGAGTGGTTAAGATCACGTGCATGGCCCAAATAAGGGGTTTCACGGGTTGAATCTTGGCCGCTTTGAGTAGTTATCAATAATCTCTAACCTTATTCCAACTAGCTGCACAAGCATTTAATAATATAGTCCGATTTACTTTGTTTTCCTGCCATTCACCACATGGGCTTGGGTCCTCCCCACAGCTTGTGTCTCGGATTTCTTCACATAATAATATACAAATACATATGCAATATCCAGAAAGTGGGTGCCGAGCAGGAGGAACGCCCCATACGGAGTCCAAGCATAGCCATATCGTTCGGGCCAGTAGTAGATTCTCCAATAGAAACAGCATCCGGCCGTTATATTGCCAAGGAAACGCGTCCACCTGTGCAAAACAAAGTCCTTAGTCAGCATGCCACCAAAGGTTCTTGAGTCGGACAACAGCAGCCGACGAGCTTACCAGATGGGCATTGAGTGACCTCCGGTATGGCCGCGCGAGAGAATCTGCGCGATGGAGCCAAGAGAGATTATTGCTGCCATGGGCCAGGCCGTGAAGAATACAACCTGTCGGCCAATGTGAGGAATGAAGGTTGCGGCAATGGCCAGGTGCAGCCAGGTGCAGAAAACACACCCAAACATGATGATCCAGATGAGATTATCAGCAACGAGGGGTGATTGGCGCCATTGATACCGGGCGGATTTGATGATGGCCCAGAAGAGGAAGATGTCCACGATCATATACTGCGCGAAGACGATCTGGTTGACCGGGCCCGGTCCATACACAAAGCCATACACCGCCTCCCATGTGATGTTCAGGCAGAGGCAGTAGATGGGCATTGCGTAGGACTTGTCCTTGAAGGCCTTAGTCGTCATGAGAATATACGACACAGACCAGAGGACTCCAGACAGAGCTGTGAAAACATCTGGAACAATCTTGACGTGCGGGTACCGAGGGACATCTGCGGTATAGTCTGCATTGGCGGCCGCCCACGCTTCGAGGGGAAAGTAAGACTTCAAAGACATGATAAGAATACGACAATGTTAAAGTAAGTGAAGTCGATTGTTTCCATATTGTGCTCTTCCTATCAATTTATAGATCTGAAGGGCGGAATTGTGGTGCCGTCCGCCCCAGAAAGGATGAGATCCCCGTCGGCCGAGATATCGTGATGACGACCGGACATCAGAATCATAGGATACTCGACCTTTTTGGATTTCCCGAGTATAATCCGGATATAGCGATAGTTAGCACCGTCCCGGGTAGCGATAATAGACAACGTTTCGCTCACGATATCCGGCCCTGTCGCACGAACAAACCCAGAGCGTGCCCCAAATCATTCGGATCGGAGTAGCGGTCATCTTCCCATACCCTGCGAATAGCGCGAGCTCCCTGTCTTTTCGAGTTTAATTTCATTCTATGTATGGTTATACTCTTATATTTAAAGCGATATATTGACCTTAGGAAGCACACGGCTTCTTCTCGCCTCAGAGAAACTTCCCTACCTCCATGCCGCCATTGGTGTTATCCTTCTTCAGACCCACGTCTTCTTCGCGGATACCTAGAGAAGAGCAACTTTCTACCTCTGGCTCCTTCTGATTAAACGACCACTGCTTCTAGGTCGCAGCCATGCATCCCTCAACGCCAACTTCATCTGTTTCGGCAACCCACACGCCGATCTCAGCCTCTGACGACGATGAGACTTATACGACTTCCGACTCGTCAATATCTACAACAGAGGAAGAGCTTCAGAATAATGATGTTGCAATAATTGGGTTTGCTTGTCGAGCTCCTGGTGGCAACAACTCCCCCGCTCAACTATGGGATTTTCTCCTCCAGAAGGGTGACGCTTGTGGGGAGATCCCAGAAATGCGATGGGAGCCATACATGACCCGCCAACCAGGAAATAAGGATATCCTGGCCCAGACTACCTCTAAAGGCTACTTTTTGGACAGACTGGAGGATTTTGACGCGGCATTCTTTGGTATTTCACCTCGAGAAGCCGAGCTTATTGACCCCCAACAGCGTATTGCGGTAGAGGTTGCCTGGGAAGCTTTAGAGAATGCTGGTGTTCCAGCATCTAGTATTGCTGGTTCTGACGCTGCTGTATATATGGGAGTTGGCTCTGATGATTATTCTCGACTGTTACTGGAAGATCTTCCCAAGGTTGAGGCTTGGATGGGAGTTGGTACTGCAGTGTGTGGTGTTCCAAATCGGATATCTTACCTCCTCGATCTTATGGGGCCAAGTGTAGCAGTGGATGCTGCGTGTGCGTCGTCGTTGGTCGCTATTCACTACGCCCGACAAGCACTTATTGATGGGGAAACTGGGTTTGCTATGGCTGGTGGTGTTAACGCCTTGGTTGGACCAGGTCTCACGAGGGTTCTTGATGAGGCTGGTGCAATTTCGAAAGATGGTCGATGCCGGTCATTCGACGACTCTGCAGCCGGCTATGGACGAGGAGAAGGTGCTGGGATTGTTATCATGAAACGACTTGCAGATGCTATCAATGACGGTGATCGAATTCTGGCAGTACTTAAGGGATCCGCCGTTGGTGCGGATGGGAGGACCAATGGAATTATGGCACCAAATCGGGACGCCCAGGAGAGAGTTGCCCGGAAAGCCTTGAAAGAAGGCGGAGTTTCAGCAGACACTGTTGGTTATATTGAAGCACACGCCACGTCGACCCCCATTGGTGATCCAACAGAGTGTGGTGCTATGGCATCGGTCTACGGATTTGCGGCTCGTGAGCAAGGTTCCCAGCCATGTTATGTTGGTTCTATTAAATCCAACATTGGGCATCTGGAAGCAGGGGCCGGCGTCATGGGCTTCATCAAAGCAATCATGACCGTTCAAAATGGCATAATCCCACCGCAGGCCAATTTGACCACCCCCAATAAGAAAATTGACTGGGAGACCAACATGCTCAGGACCGTCACCACCCCCACCGCATGGAAATCTCCGAGGCACGTCCGAAGGGCAGCAATTGCGTCCTATGGCTATGGCGGCACAGTGTCGCATGCTGTGATCGAGGAAGCTCCCTTTGTTGACCAGGCTACTAGGCTAACGCAGCACGCTAAGGTGCCGACCGGAAGCCCAACAATTCTTGTTCTTTCAGCGCCTCAGGAGTCTCGCATTAAGGATGCGGCCACTGATCTAGCATCTTGGCTGGAGGATTCACCTGAGAGCGTCGATCTTGAATCTGTTGCCTACACACTGGCGGTCAAGCGCCACCACCACAGATTCCGATCGGTTGTTGTTGCCGAGAGCAAAATTGAGGCTATTCAACTTCTCGATGATCTGGCTCGAGGAAAATTTTCCAACACTGTTTTCAGCGGTCGCACATCCGGTAAGGATTCTGATCGTGGGGCTGTCTGGGTGTTCTCTGGGCATGGTGCTCAATGGAAGGAAATGGGTGTTGCACTTCTCGAAAATGAGCCAGTATTTAAGGATGTTATTGAAGAGCTCGAGCCTATAATCCAAGAGCAACTGGGTTTCTCAGCAATTGATGCTCTCAACAATGGAGATTTTGATGCAGTTGATAAGGTTCAAGCCTTGACATACGCCATGCAAGTTGGCCTTGCGGCAGTGCTCAAAGCTAGTGGGGCTACTCCTAAGGCTATTGTGGGCCACTCCCTTGGTGAAATTGCTGCGTCTGTTGTTGCAGGTGCTCTTACCTTGGGGGAAGGAGCTTTGATTTGCTGTATCCGAGCTCGCCTGTATGAAGCTGTGGCTGGTGAGGGTGCCATGTACCTTGTCAATATGCCGATGAACGAGGCCACCAAGCTTTTAGAATCGTATTCTGATGTTGTCGTTGCAATTGACTCGTCCGCTAGCTCCTGTGTCATCTCAGGAAAACTACAAGCTGTGGAGAATGTTGCAGCTCAATGGACCACGGACGGCTACAAGCTTCACCGTGTTAAGTCGGACGTCGCTTTCCACAGCCCAACGCTGGCTCCTCTTGAGGCACCATTACGGCAAAAGCTAAGTGACCTCATTTTACCCACGGAGGCAACAATCCCTCTTTATTCAACCTCTCTCGACAACTCCCGAGACGCTGCTGCAAGAGATATCGATTACTGGGTCGGCAACATGATCAAACCGGTTCGCCTGACCACCACAATCGTTGATGCTGCGGCGGATGGCTACCGAACATTCTTGGAAATTTCAGCTCATCCAATTGTAGCCCATTCAATCAACGAAACTCTGATGTCCTCCGACATAGACGCCGCTGTTCTTCCTACAATGCTACGCGGCAAGAACGTCCGAAAGTGTCTCCTCACGGCACTAGGCCGGCTCCATTGCATTGGTGAGCCTATTTCTTTTAAGGGCGCTTTAGCTGGAGAGTGGGTCCCCAATGTCCCTGCCACCAGATGGAATCACCAGCCTTATTGGCGCAAGGTCACTAATCCGGCTGCTGGCAAGGGCGCCACTCATGATCCTAAGGCACATGTTCTTTTAGGAGGCCGAACTCAGATAAACGGCACCAACAGCACAATATGGCAGACGCAACTGAACGAGCAGCTAAGACCCTTCCCTGGGCGTCATCCCCTCCATGGTTCTGAGATCGTGCCTGCAGCGGTTCTGTTGCACACTTTTTTGAACGCTGCCCCAGGACATGCACTCAAGAATGTTTCCCTGCGCGTGCCTGTGGTTGTTGAACCACCGCGAGAAGTACAGGTCCTGCTGGAAAATAACCAAATGATGATTTCATCCCGCCTCATGGGTTCAGCTTCTTCGGGCGCTGAGATCTCCTGGCTCACTAACACCAAAACCCAAATTTCACCTGCTGGCGATCTTGCATCTTTTGGACGGATCTATCTTTGCGAGCTAAAACAGCGATGCACTCGACCTTTGAGCCCCACATTCTCCATCGACTACCTTGCAGATGTCGGTGTTTCTCAGATGGGCTTTCCTTGGAAGGTTATCGAGCACTCTGAAAGCGATACGGAGATGCTAGCACTTGTGCACACCGATCCTGAGCCGGAATCAAACCCACTTAGCTCGAAGTCTTGGGCATCCATGCTTGATGCAGCAACATCCGTCAGCTCTACCATATTCTATAAGGACCCGCTGCTTCGTATGCCAACAGCCATCGGAAGTGTCACGATCTCTTCTGAGCAGCCACCAAAGCAATGTTATATTTATGTAAAGAAGTCTACTGAGGAGCTCGCAGCAGATATTCTCATTGTGGATCTATCAGGAAATGTCGTCGTCGAAATTCAGACTCTCAAGTTTGCTGGAATTGAAGGTAGTGCTGGCGAGTCCTATGGAGAGCTCATATACCGCATGGCATGGCCACCAGCCCGCCTTGCTGAAGAACCACTCTCTTTCAAGAAGGTGGTCCTGGTAGCAGATAAGTCTCCTCTTGTGCTAAAATACCAAGCTCAATTGAGTGCATTGGGAATTGAGCATGATAGGATAACTGATGTGATGGAGGGCACTGATATCACAGATGGCAGCTTGTTTGTGATGATTGCCAATGCTGCAACAAGTGCTGCAGAGGTTTATCCAATTTCCGAAGAGAACTCTGAGAGACTCCTGAGGACAGTCAAGCAACTGGCCAAAATTCCGGGCCAGAAGCTATTCTGCATCACCAAGGATGTTCTGATGGCCCGCGATCACCAGGCACTCTCACAGTCCTCCCTTATTGGTCTTGCACGCATTATGCAATCTGAAGAGGGAGAGATCTTCCAAGGTCTGGTCGACGTCGAAAATGACCAAATCCCACTCACAGCTCTGAAATATGTCCAAGGCGTTGATGTTATTAGGATCCAAGATGGAGTTGCCCGTAATGCACGCCTGCGGCCATTCGCATCTGAAAAATTAGATAACCCCTCGTCTTTCCAAGTCCGCTCCAATGGCACTTACTTGATTACCGGCGGCCTTGGAGCATTGGGATTGGAAGTCGCAACATACTTGGCCTCCCAAGGTGCTAGAAGGTTGGTTCTCGTGTCCCGTAGACAAGTTATTCCTCGACGAGCCTGGGTTGAAGGAAACTTGGAGACTGACAGGATCCGAGCTCTGGAAGATATGGGTGTCTCGGTACACCTAGTATCCGTCGACATGTGTGCCACCGACGCAGCGACTAAACTCCAAGGGGCCCTTGATGATCTTCACTTACCACCCGTCCTCGGGGTTGTTCATGCAGCAGGCACGTTGGCTAATCAACCGGTAATGGAGACAACTCCCGAGGCTTTCAACTCCGTGATCTCGCCCAAGATAAACGGCGCGATAGCTCTCAACAAGATGTACCCACCAAAAAGCATTGACTTCATGGTTCTCTTCTCCTCATGTGGCCAGCTACTCGGCTTTCCTGGTCAAGCTGCCTACGCAAGTGGCAATTCGTTCTTAGATGCTATGGCAACACATCGACAGGCTCTCGGAGACATGACCATCAGCATGCTGTGGACAAGTTGGAGAAGCCTCGGAATGGCTGCTAGTACCCGCTACATTGATGCTGAGCTTCACGCTCGTGGTATTACTGACATCACTCGCGATGAGGCTTTCGTAGCATGGGAGCGGATCTTCAAGGCTGGCATCGACCAAGCAGTAATCCTGCATACTCTTCTTGTGGAGGCCGATGAAGCTGCGCCGCACCCCATCGTCAGCGATATTATCACTCGGCGCGCTGTTACTGCCAAGAACACCGACGAAAAATGTGCCGAAGTTGTTGATCCTTCCACCCTAACTGGTGCACAGCTTGAAGCTTCGCTGAACAAGATCATCACTGGATGCGTTGCGTCAACGCTCTCTCTTTCTGAATCAAGCGTTGATCCGCACATGGCTCTCTCGGAGTTGGGAATGGACTCTGTGATGACGGTAGGGTTACGAATGAAGCTTCAACAGGCACTCAAGGTCAAGGTTGGACCGACATTAGTGTGGAATTGCCCTACCGTTGGCCATCTTGTACATCATTTCATTAAGGAGAGGTCCACTTAAGGTTCTGGATTGAGCCACAAGGCGGTCTTGATCAACAAAGACATCGCTCCAGGGAGACAAACCTGCCAGAGTTATCTGTGGGGCTTGCCATTGTTAAATTTACTTTATCTATAACGTTATGGGTTCGCATTATCTCCGCTGCTGATTTGTGGAGTTACTGTTTAGAATCGGGATTCCATCATTTCTTTTTCTGTTCACTTGTTGGTAGTTTAAATTAGAATTTTTCCATATTGACAGAGCATCTTACTCATTTTTTTAAAATTTTAGGTCTTGATAACCGTGATACATATAACTCCACAGTAGGCTTCTACATTCGCCTATGAAGAGAAGCAACCCTTAGTTAGAGATCCCAAGCTTTGGCCCGCTTCGAATCCTCCCAGTATTAACTAAAGCTTAGGAATCCAGGTATTGATAAAGCTTGCCTTATAATGCAACTCAATATCCAAGGTAGCGGTTTAAAATAATGGTGAGAGTTACAATATAGTCTTGATGGCCGCTAACGACAACAAAATAAGTTGCATATACATGGATGACGACGTAAAATTAGTCCAAAACACTTTGGCATATAAATTACTAAAGTGCCACTGTAAAGATGTATTAATTAGTAGTTTTAATTCTTTTTATAAACAGTTTTCTGAATGATTTTAACAGCACATATTTAATACAGAAATTTAGAATACTCGACTACAGAATATTTATAATATAATTATTTGCAGGGACGATACTAATAAAGACAGTATCGATAACACCGCCAAGAGAGCCATTTTGAGAAAATGATATGAATTGAGTGATCCAATATAAAGAGAAACTCTAAGCCAAAATCGATCAAAACCGAGCCTACGAACCATCACAGCGCCTTACCATTACCTAACTTCTTCGCCATATTCTCTCTAGCTTTGATCTGGGCATCTCTCACTGCAAACTTCCTCTGGAACCAGCTTTTTTCCATCTGATCACAAGCCGCATCCCAATCAGTCGTCCACTCGGGATAATACGGCGCATATCCCAACAACCCACCAATCCATCGGCCAACAATGATATGAAGCCACAGGGATAGGAAACATCTAAATGGGATCCACCATGGCGGAGAGAGATATGTGGATCCAGCGTCGAACATCTTTATGCTATTGTATTAGAGTCCGGCTCTCGATGTTAAATTGAAGAAGGGGTACTCACCGCCAAGACCTGAATAAAATCTAACTTCTCACCCCGCTGGAAAACATCTTCTTGATACCCATACCAATTCTCAAAGAACATCTGATCGGTCGGATCCTCGGAGGTGGTCGCACTCACTTCAAACTCAACCTCATTATGGTCGGTCCCTGGAGTTCCGTATATTACATGGTGCGTATATGGTGCCACAGCAATTTCTCCATCCTCTTTTGTGACATGTCTGGGAACGCCATTTAGATCAACTGTCAGATTTCCGTTGAGCACGCGGAAGAACTCCCATTGGCTGGGATGGAAGTGCGTGGGTGGCTTTTGGCCGTTGGAAATCAATTTTTTGTAGATTCCAAGGCTGGGGCGCATGAAGCCGTGGAAGAGAAATTGGCGGCCTGGGGGTGTGGGCATTGTGCCCATAGAGATGGCACCCTCAAATCTGATGGTGAGTTATAAGATATTCTCTCTTTGATTATGATGGGGGGGTTTACTTTGTCAACGGGTCCTCACCCGCGGTGTAAGTCTGTGGTTTGCAGGGTGCCATTGCGATTCTTTGGTAAGGGCTGATTGATCTTCGATAGGCAATTAAGGAGGTCTTTTCCAGTTATGTATGATGTTAAACAATATTAAAATTGATAGTCGACGTCATACAGTACTATGAAAACACAAAGAGTGGCATGAAACTTCGCGGCTCCATAAGAATTTCAAACCTCCTAAGCCTTGAGTTGATGGGCCCATTCTACTGTCAGGTCAGACCACGACTACGGACTCCGAAGCCCCCAACATGCTCGGCAATGCTCTAGTATCCGTATCGCATCGCGATCATCATGTTTCCAGCCTCGCCTCACAAGCCCGGCAAGGACGAAGCCCAGGGCAGGAGTTGAAGAGGGCCGGCGAGACTTTTCTCCAGGGAGTGCGCCTCGGCCGGATACTTTTCAGTTTTAGCTTTAACAACTGGCGAATGGAGGACGGGGAGTATTTAGCTCAGCCTCTTCTTCGCAAAGATGGTTGGCCGATGATGTTGTCCAGACTTGGTAATGTCGGCCGAGATATTTGATAATGACAGATGTACCTGCGTACCAGGGCTTATATAATCTCTCGGCCGAAATTATGTACCATGCGCGTTCCCGGCTGCGCTAAACCTTAACGGTGGCACTAGCCCCCACCGATGGGCGTTAAGGGGCAGATTAGCGAGCCGGATGGCGATCAGCGCCAATCACCGGCCGGGATGACGCTTCGGCACGTGACACTACCTGTGTTGAACAAAACTGCTTCAGTTGGTTTCTAGACTATGATTAAGCAATCCCTCTAATCCGATTTCTTCGACATTATTTGGCTTTAAAATCTCCCATAACTCATCACATCACATCACTAACGAACCTGTAGGCTGAAGTACAAGACTCCTACTTCTCTCACTCCCACACCACAAGAAATATACAAACCAAACAATAGCCACAATGCCGTTCTTGCAACCAAAACTTCACCCCCTGCCTACGGGCATCGACCTTAAGGGCAGAGTCGCAGTCATCACAGGTGCCAGTTCTGGAATGGGCCTGGAAGCCGCCCGCCAACTTCTCGTCCTCAATATCTCCACGGTTATTCTGGCTGTCAGAAATCCCTCGAAGGCAGAGGGATGCAGACGTCAATTGCTTGCAGATTCGTCTGTCAAGAAGACGAACCCCAATGCTGAAGTAAAGATCATGAAGGTGGATATGGGGGATTACACCAGCGTTAGCACATTCGCGGATAACCTGGTCGCCGACGTGCCCATTATCGATTATCTGCTTCTAAATGCCGGAATTGGTGTTATTGAGTTTGTCAAATCGCCCGGTGGACACGAAAGTACCGCCCAAGTCAACTACTTTTCAAACGTACTTCTTCTCGCGAAGATACTACCACACCTCGAAGCTAGCTCCGACAAGACTGGCAGAGCCGCTCGCGTTGCTTGGGTTGGAAGCCGTCGCCACGAGACCCCAAGTTGGGCATCGAAGAAGCCCGTCAAAGAAAATGAGACAGTCATCAGCTATCTGGACAATCCCGAGAATTTTGGTTTGGCGACCAAGTATGGCGATAGTAAAACTCTGTGCGCAATGTTCATGTACGAGTTGGCCCCGCGCTTGAATAATGACAAGGTTTTCATTGATATGATGTGTCCTGGCATGGTTACTACATCCATGGGCTCCGATCTTCCTATCTACATCCGTGCCCCTGTTGCGGTTTTGCGATGTATTAGGGGTCGTACTGCAGAGGAGGGCACCTGGGTTGTTTTGAACGCAGCTTTAGTTGCTAATGACGGCGCCCATGGTCGTTTCCTATTAGACAAGGACATACAAGAGTAAGTCATCCACCCTCAATGGCCTCAACCATGATAAATTATCCTGACTTGTAACATTAGTAAATCTGCATACATTGCATCGCCTGCTGGGCAGAAGTTCGAGAAGCAGCTGTGGGACGAGACTATTGCGGAAATTGGCAAGCTGGCTACTTTACCTCCCGCATTCGCTTCAAAGATTTAGGTTGTTGGTGGATTCAGGTAACGGTTAACTTGAGATACGTGTTTGAACTTGACGGATGATATCCTTGCTGTTAAAATAAAATCCACTGTAACGTCCATTGTATAGTTGAGTATGCGTTTTGGATCTGGACCATTCTGTTACTATTAAAAGCGATGTGGGTGACCTATGGAATTGCGAAGAATTCTAATATTTGAGACTTTCTATATTTGGTCGAGTGGCCACTAATGATAGTCAACAAGAACTCACGTTGGATTGACTGTTAAAAGTCCTACATGTGCAAGGTTACTTCCACTTGCGATATAAAACACGGCCCGAATATTATTACTGTCCAGTGTTAACCAAGAACTAGAAACGTTTTATAATTCCATAGTTCTCACTGGTGTCGACAACGCCAATATGCCACATTAAGATTGTTTGACCCTTAGGTGATATCCAAGATTTCCAATTTGATTCGATGTCAGTCTTTAGCATATTACCAAAACAAAAGCCGACCACCTTCTCTACACCTTCTGAGATAGTATAACTTAATGTTTTACCTACTGCTTGACTCGAAAAACTCATATCCGAATCTGAACCAATTCCCTGGCACCGCATACGCTCCATCGGCCATATGTTTCAGCGCCGCGAAAAGCAAACCACGATCATCCTTATACCCTTGAGCCATTGAAATAGGTATTCCCTTGTATGCAACTCGACTCCAAACATAAAATGCCGCGGTAGCAGTATACCCCAATGTCCTGCGCAGTGTGGAGGGTTGATTTAACCGATCATCCACTCCAAGAAGATGACAAATTAAATCCTCACCCAGGATACCCGCACATTGCAACAAATAGAAATAGAGATCTCCACCAGTGGAGATAGGGAGGTTTAGGGCTCTTGTGACGTTATACGTGCCACAGGAGTGGATAACTCCCGAGATGAAGAAGGATCCGAAGACCAGGAAATACCGGCGGAAAAGACGCCCCGGCAGGGAGTTCGATTTCCGGATGGAGAGGGGAAGATATGCGAGGACAAATGCGCCTGGGGCTGCAGCCACACGACGGAGCTGTTGGTGCCAAACGTTACTATAAAATATTATTAACAGTTCTCCTCATTTGAATTTGATCGGGAATTGGCTATATGAGCTACCTACCCCCAGAGCCGTCGAATGCTATAAGCCAAATTCAGGACCTCAAAATTTGGTGGCCATGCCTCGACCTCTTGCCACGTTTTTGGGCCAATGTTAAAACCAACACATAAGAATCCCAGGGGGAGCATGAGAATTCCAAAATGACTGTATACAGTCATAGTCCAACCCAGCGCGATAATTGCATAGAGTGAAATATTGTTGCTAGTCGCAGCGACCAAGAATTCCCTCAGATTATCGTTGGAAACTCCAGAAAATTCTTCCAAAATAGTTTGCGAAATGATGGTTGTCAAAGTAAGCCCTATATACAAAAGAGTCCATTTTAGCAGGCGTGTTTTCAGAAACTCGCGGCGACTCTGCGGGGGGTGCTTGGGAATCCCCGAAACCTTCCAGTCCCAACCAATACCACGAGTAGTCAACATCAGTTCCAGCCCCCAGAGAAACTTCTGCCAGGACGAGAGGGTTTTGGCGTCTTCCTTTTCGCCCGTTTTATTTATTCGATGGAACGTTTCCTCGGGGACGTGTATGTAGAGACGGTCAAACGAGCGTGCTGCGATCACGCCCATGAGTACACCGCTTGTGTACAGCACCGCTGTACTTGTCTCCTGGGGAGGTGGAGGTGCAAAAAATGCTTGAACCACGCATGTTATTTGAAGTAGGAGGGCCCCCCGTCGAAATGTTGAGCCATGCTGAAAGCACGGCGTCAACGCTGCGAGGATCACGGAGAGGAAGGTGTATTGAACATTCGTAATGCCATGCCACGGCAATAATTTGAGATCCGAATCCGAAAGGCTGAGCTCGTTGACTGTCGAGTTCTGCGCCATGATATGTGAAGCTATCTTCTTATGAAATCCCAGTAGCGACTGGCCCAACGACAACGACAAAATTGGGATGTGCAAGCGCCATTTTATGAGGGGCCGCCGAACGCAGGGCATATAAGAAAATAAACAAACCAAGATAACTAAGTCGTGCAGGTATCAGGAGATATTCGGTGCGGGCGGACGAGTGATTACCTCAGGCCGGATGGGAAGGTATGGCGTAGAGAGACTCGGGCCACGCGATTCGCTCGTCGGCTCGGATGAGAAATAGGAGAAAGCGATGAGGATTGGCACCGGGAACTGCAACCCCCCGCCACACATGGATATCTCGACCGGGAATGCCTTGGAAAGGATTAATCAAACCAGCAATTCATATATTGCATACAATAGAGTTGTTTCTTGGTGCTTTGAATTCTTGTTAGGCCTTGCCTGCTTGAATTTCCTCTGCTTTATACATGAGAAAATGTTTGCCCAATTACTAGAGCTCCCAATTAGGCCCTGGCAGGTTCTGCTTGGGACTTTTATTGTATACCATGCTGTGCGGGCAATATACTTGGTTTATTTGAGTCCGCTTTCAATATTTCCTGGTTCGAAATGGGCTGCTTTGGGAGAATAGTACGTTGCTTCTGGTATTTATCTGTAAGATCGGGGATCAGACTGACAATACTTCAGCTGGGAGGCGTATTGGAATATTGGGGTTGCTCCTGGAAAGAAGGGGCAAACTCTTTTCAAACTTGAGAAAATGCATAGGAAGCTTGGTGAGGAGGCCCTTCTCATTTCGTCTCCCAGGTTCTTGCAACAGTCAATACTTATACCAGGCAGGTGGCGCGCTTCGAATGGGACCTAATGAAGTCCACATTTATGATCCTCGTTTCTACCATGAACTGTACAAACCAGGGAGCAAGTACTACAAGGATCCAACTATGCACAAAGTGCTTGGAGCACCATCTTCAACACTTGCGGAAAGTGATCCCATTCGACACAAACAGCGCAAAGCACCGCTCGAGCCATTGTTCTCCAAGAAGAACATCTTGAGTTTGGAACCAATGTTGATGAAGCACGTTGACCATTGCTCCCAAAGATTTGACGAGTTCTACAGGGCTGGAAAACCAGTGTCCATGGAGTGGGCGTTGAAGTCTCTTGCCATGGGTCAGTGAAGTATCCCATCCGAGAAGTAGGAGTTGGTGGTCTGACAGAAGTATAGATATGGTGTCGCAGTTTGCCTTCGGAAAATCTCTAAATGCCTTGGCAGATCCAGAGTTCAAGTCTATGCCTGTTCGAGTTTTCCAAAAATATTTACCCAGTCTGCACGTCATCAAAGCATTCCCTTTTGTCAGATACTTAAATAGCCTCCCCCTCTGGATTGCAAAACATATCTCAGAGGACGTTGTGATGGGTCATGAGCTTGAACAGGTAAACATCCGGCACCCTAGCTTTACTGCTTCTTCCCAATATCTGGTCAAATTCTAATACTCTGAAGTTTGCATCCCGCCGAATCGAGGAGTATATTGCCGATGCCAATAGCGGCAAAGCCCCCAGCTTCCCCACCCTCATGGAAAGACTGCTTATCCCGCTCCCAGAAAAAGGATACCAAGTACCAAGCAAGCAAGGACTTCGCGATGAAATTCTGACAGTTATCTCAGCCGGTGATGATACCACAGGAATAGCAAACATGGTAACGATCTTCAACATTCTCAACAATTCCCAGGTCCAAGACCGTCTGCTCAGAGAACTTAAAACTGTGATGCCAACACCAACTTCCCACGCGCCGTATCTTCAACTGGAACAATTGCCGTACCTCGTAAGATAATTCTCGTTCCTTTATATTTTCCCTATTTATTTGAAATTATTCCAACTAACAAACCCTCGAGACCGCCGTTATCAAAGAAGGCCTACGCTACTCTTCACCGGCAGCTTCTCGTACTCCCCGTCTGGTTCCTCCTGGAGGCGTAACGTTGCCTGATGGGCGGTTTATCCCTGCCGGCACCCGTGTTGGAATGGCAATCTACCACATCCACTACAATGAGGATTTGTTTCCTTCGCCCCGGACGTTTGACCCTGAGCGCTGGCTAGGGGACCCAGAGGAGGTCCAGAACCGTTTGAAGTTCAATGTTGCATTCTCGCGAGGGAACCGAAGTTGTTTGGGGATTAAGTAAGTTACTTCTGCAGCTTTCTCAAAAGATGAGAGCTAATTGAAATTCCTGTAGTTTGGCATACATGGAGATGTATATGGCCATCGCATACCTCATCCGTCGCTTTGACCTGCAACTTGTGGATACAACTGAAAAGGATATGGTGTGGGATGATATGGTGGTTCCTCAATTCCATGGTGAGCTCAAGGTCATGACGAAGCGACGAGAAGAGTAGAGCGTTAAATGCAGCCTGTTTTGTCTACTATCGTAGTAGAAATTTTAGAACTTTATTTCCATTGCGAGCAAAAGAAGACAGTACAACGGCATTTCTAACTCAGTCTTTCACCAAAAGGGTCTAAAATAAATACCCATTTAACATCGTCGGCATCTCCATAAACCCAATTCTCGGATGCCTTTATCTGCTCTGTTTTCATCGCTAAAACCCCCTATATCCCTATATCCCTATATTCCCTCCCTACAAAAACGCTACCCACGTATATCAATAACATATCCACCCTAAGCACGACATAGACGGAATAGCATATCGCTCGTATTTGACCCACTCTCCACGAGATCCTGTCGACCGAACCCTGGCAGCCATGTGGCTGGCTGGCGGTGCATATGCAAGTGATCCCGTCCACCGATCCGAGCTGACTCCGAACCGTACTCCGTATGGAGGGCTGCATACTCCTTCAGCCCGCAGGTCTGTAAATAGCTCAAATGTGCCAACTAGCTTGGCGATGCGTGCATCATGTGCGTATTGATAGACCTAGAGGCTGCATTAGCTTAGTAGGGTTACAAAAGTATTATTACAAGTCAAATAATAAGCATTAGCCTATCCTTGGGGTTTATGCCAAGTCGGGGTGATCCATAAAGTCACCTACGCTTATGCCAAGTCGGGAGATGAAAGCCTAGTGGAGATGCGAGACGATATTGCAATTGGCCAAGTGTTGACCGTTCCTTAGGGCTGAGGGGAGCCTCGTAGCTTTCCGAGGACGCTATACTCCCTAGGGTAGCACAGGTATGGCGGGCACATTAGAGTGGCAATGTTGACTGATAATATTCAGCATGCTATTTGAGGCTTGAGTTAGGAAGATCGCGATTGTGATTCCCATTTCCCTCGAGGTTCAGCAATAAGTAGTAGGAGTATGTGGAGGATTCTCGAGAAAGGGTTAGGGGGCAGTGTAATAGTAATCTTCTAAAAACATTGGTGAGTGACTATTCAAATATTTGGATGTCTAATTATGCTACGCGCCCTTCGCCATGGCCCACAGGGCATCCTCCACCATCCTGGCTTCTAGCTAACCCTGATTTACCCAAAAGGAAAAGAGAAAAGAATAGAGTCTAATGATCTATTTGGTATCTTGGCATCGAACCGCGAGCAGCAATGTTCTACTAGCTTGTCTCTATAGTGGCCGTAACACATGAAGAGTCGTTAAATTGTTGGAAAGGGCGTCGTCCCTAGCTATTTCTAGAGGGAGAGGAGAGTCGTATACCTCGAGACTTTCTTCGGAGGGAAAATTTTCCATCAGGTCAGATTTCCATTCACCATCCCTCCATCATCGTACTTAATAGGTCGGAAATCCTACCCTCATCAGCCGTCTCGCTCATATGAGGGCCCATCATATACACACCAACATTCATTGCATGTCCCATAGTCATTAATCTCTCTGCAGAAAGTCCAGGATCCTCATTGCCGTTTCTGTTAAGGCCAGCACGCTGCGCAATCTCATTCATAGTTCCCCCTAAGTGCGTCCAGTCGGAAAATTGCTCGAAGTTATCGCCAAAGCTAGCGGCGTTGTAATCTGACGGGTGTTGGTTTGGTAAGGATGACAAGCCGTACATGGGCTCGCCTATATCTCCATCATATGATGAAGCGGAACTTGGTTCATCGGTGAGGGAAGCTGACCAGGCGACCAGTTCGGAAATATCTAGCAAGTTATATAGCTCAGCATCTCCAAACTCATCTCGGCTGCCCGGGAGCGAGCCTGCAATAGATGACGGTCCCCGGTTTGAGGACCCGGTATCAGATGAGCCACTGTGACTCCCCGGGCCAGAATTGGTCATATCTGCGTTCATTTCGAGTTCTGAAGATAGAAATAGGGTTCGAGCTCTTTTGGAGCACATTTGTATATTGGGACTAGGAGCCGGCTGTCTAGGCATGGGCGCCTCAATCCCATGCGGTATATCTAGCCTAGATCTTATGTTTCGCAATTTCCGCCATGCGGCTGCGGTTTGTGCATCTGTCTTGATCCTGGTCTTGGGGGTTGAATGGCTATCATTCAATTCCTCGGAGGTGAACATATCGATCACTTCGTCTGCAAAGTACCGTGCTAGGTGGCTTTGCGGTGTATTTGGATGGTTATGTAGGTAGATCAGGATCAAAAAAACGCACTGAAGAGATGTTCGGTGATTCAATAGGCACCAAGCATACGGTTCAAAGGATGGGACGGCAGTAAGTTGAAGATAGTGCCGGAGGTAGGTGGTAGACACTCGTATAACACTATACGCACATCGCATTAGGTCCGGTAAATAAATATGGTTCATGAAGTCGAACCGAATATCTAATAAAACGGAGATTTCCTGAAGCCACGAGTACCAAATAGATGGGGAGGCCGATGTTGCTTCCAGCCAACACCCTAGCATAGAAGGCTCTCAAACAAAATATATGTGCCAATCGTCATAGGGCAATAAAAAGCATACCGTGTCATTTTTAGACTCCCGTGGACAATCTGCCCGGGCTACTAAAGCCATTGTTGGGCTGGGACTTTTTCTGGAACTTCCCGAGATATTTAAAAAGCAAGATATGAATGCGGCAAGGTGCATTCATCTTAAAAAGCTAGAAGAAGGAGGGTTCACGTACCTAGTCCAAATGGTCTGGATACTGTTCTTGTCAAGATCAGGGCGTTCGAGCAAGGGAACCAGTAGAAGAAAAGTAGTCCCAGCCTTTAACATGGTAAGCATGATTCTTGCCCAGGACATGAAGACTGTCGGATCCGTGCTGTTGTCGCTGTAGAGCTTTTCGTTGATTAGAGGTGTCGCGTTCGCAATGCGAGAAGGGATCAGACCTTTCTCTGGCATGCCCTGAGCAGGGATTTTGCTGATGATTTCGTCGATCTGGAGGTGTAACTTCCTCATGGATTTGACAAATTCATCAAACTGGACTTGATTTAAGCCCTGTGTGCCGTTGAGATGGCTGATGAGAGTATGCTCAAACCTTGCCGTCTCGTACTGGCCAATTACAAAGAGCATAACGATTGAGCTTGGGCCGGGCAATGAAATTGGAGAAGGGACACCTTCTAACTTCAAAATATCTTCGTCACGAGCTTGGCTGACCATCTGCACGTCCTGTTGGGATGGGTTCGAGTTACAAAGTGTCGGGGAGCCAGTGCGGACGCTGATCTCCACGTCGAGCCAGAGAATATGCCACCAAGCTCTACGCCGGATTTCAGAAACCACCGGGTCGAGGCCTAAAACCTTGCCATCTCGATGCATGCCCATACCTCTCGCGATACGCAGGACAGTGCTCACAAACTCCGCATCTTCTGATCCGTCCCGCCGTTGAGTTGAGCATTCATGTGCCAAAAGAGATGCTACCAACGTATTGTGCGTTGGATATTGCAGATGACGGCAGAAGCTCTGACAGGCGTGCACGGATGATTTTAGCTGGGTTATGATTTCTTCTTTGTTGACGCCCTGGAGAGTACTGGCTGACCAGATCGAGGACGACGCAGTTGTTGCGCCGCAATACATCACCGAGAATAATAGGCACAGATATGTTGGGTCTGCAAGGAGTTTGGCATTGGGAAGATTGCACTCGCCGGTTGCTACCGTGGCATACCAATTCCAATAATCGTTATAGTCGGCTCGAAAGGTAGGTACGTGAATAAGCGGGAGTATTGGCCGAACACCAACCAAGAATGAATAGAGAAAGACGTCGCAGACGGGTTTTGTTGGGAGGGTTCCCAATATACCCGCCAAACCATTGGAATCGATGTAGGGCTGGGGTTGGTCCCCATGTCCTCGATTTTCTTCGTCCATGAGCAACGCATCGCAGAGAAGTTCCTAGATAATTTAGTAGGATGAAAAATAAGGCGGAGAATCCGGGTTCTTACATGTCCTTTCGCGAACCCCCAAAACCCACCTCCAACATATCGCATCTGACCTCCCCCTTGAATATTTAGATGTCCCCGGCTCTGAAACGCGCTGCCTCCGGCCCCTGCGGATGCTAAGTCATTTTGAGGGGAAGAAACAAGTTGGTCTTCGGGCACGAGATCCGTCGGCTTGCGAACACGCTTCCGGGACGTGTGAATGGCCCCGGAAACCGGTGTCTGGGTCATGGAGATAGATGGACGGCTGGATCTATCATGACCAGAAGTCCGCGGCGGCGCTGTAGTCAACGCTGACGAGGCAGACTGGTAGCGGTTTTGCTGCCATCCTGCGGGGCGGGGCTGGCCCATGGCCACAGGGCGAACGTTGGAAGCATTGCTGCTACGTCCCGAACCCGTACTCACGCTACGGCTGTCTCCCGAGCTGTGTGAAGCCGTATCATCTGTGGCAGCAAGATTCTGCTGCAGGTCATTTCCATTAGTGGGCTCCCCAGCATCAGTCTCCATCTCGGACGGCGGGCCATGGCTGTCGTCGTTCCCCCACTGCGGCCATGCGTATTCTGAAGCCGCCGACGACGTCCCGTCGGATCCGGCGCCGGAAGCTTCCTGTGCTGGCCGATCTTGCTCCGCCAAAGTGTTCTGGTTTCGAGAAGTCTTTTTTGACGTTGGGTTATTATTGTCGTACTGGCACGGCTGGTTGATTTTAAGGCAGTAGCCGCACGAGGGATGTTGGCGGTCACAACGGACCTTTCGCTGTCGACAGACCAAGCAGCTCAGCGACGGCCGCGGCCTCGTAATCTGATATGTCC